GTTCTAGGACATACTGAGGGCGCTGAGCGGCGCCGAGCCTGCGCTGGTGGCGGGTGTAAGGCATTGTGGGACTCTGGATGCTCTGGTAGGACTGCGGACGCGTGATATAGAGGGAGCGCAGGCGTAGATGCTCTTGACATGTTTTCATGGCCGAGCCACGGCTTGTCAAGCGGAAGAGTCCTCCAGCTGGCTGACGACAATAGAAGGAGACAGTAGGCGAAGGCAGTGGACAAAGGTGCGCAATTCTGGGGGCGTATCAAAGCCCGAGGAGGAGACAGAGGTGCAGATGGCGTTGCAAAAGTACTTTGGAAAGTAAAGCTGCTCGCCTACACAGTAACCCAGACGGAAGCGGCTACAGTGCTTTAGCCGGGCCACGATTCATGCAGAGGAATACCCAATTAACATACTGCTCCTTTATGCATTTGTGAGATCTCATATTTGAAGCTACTCTGATGATAACCTTCTAAGACGAGACATTCTCCGAGTAATAAAGAGGAACTCCACGTATTATATAGGAGCATGCTTATTCACAGTGCCGAAAATATGCCGCGTGGCCTCATTCCCAATTCATTTCTTCCTCTCTCGCCCTATCCGGACCACTTCACCCCCACGGCCCGCAATGGTTTCCCCCGTGTCAAGACCTTCACCCTTTGAGTTGCCGAATCTCATTAGCTTGGGTACCATCACTAGGGCCAGGCCATCTTCTCTTGTCTTTTGCACCTTCGCTTCCACATCGCTCAAATATGATCCCTGAACTAGAACCATAACTCTACACCGCTGCAATTCAAAGTCGAGCCAAGTCTTCGCAGCCCTCATTGCCATCTTGTCCAGAATCTGAAGGTTGCTCTTGTCGAGCACAACCAGGTCTTCAAGCGCCGATACAATCTCTTTTCTCAGACGTTCGATTGATGCTTGAAAATCTTTCTTGAGTTTCGCCCGGGGGTCAAATTGCGAAGGCAGTTTCTGCCTCAAAGCTGCTTTACACTCTCGAATAGTAATATATCGCCATCGCTCTGTTTCCATTTGAGGTGTCGGCCAAACGTAGTGGCTGTTGGCCAGCTGCTTGTCTGCTATCATTAGCACCTGAAAGTAGTTGGTGAGTAAGGCCAAGGCTAAGGACATACCTGCTCCACATTCCTTATTCCACTGAGACTCCAGCAACTGGCCCTGGTCCCCAAAAACCCTGAAGGGGCTGCAAAAGACAAACTTGTGAAGTACACTCCAGATACTGTCCTGCAGAATCTGCTTCTTGAGTATTCTCTCATTTTCTGCCAAGCTGCGAAGGTCTTGATTGGTCCAACCCTTCGGTTCCGGCTTCCAATTCAGTCTTGAAAGGGTGTCAACATCTTGGACGAGATCCGCAAATTTGGCCTCAATGTCGCTATCCGTCAAAGGCTCGAAGACGTCCGAATCCATCATGTTGAAGTCGTTCTTGTCCCGAGTTAGTAGCGCTCCACTATACTGAGCAATTTCTTCTCGTAGAGACTTCTCTGTGGCTACCTGCGCTGCCTGTTTCTGAGACAGGATCTGTTTGAACTCTCTCTTTAACCTTAACAGCTCTTGGTTGTGGCGTTTCTCGCATGCCTCTAATTCAGCTTTGTGGCCTTGATCCATTGTTAAGATAGTTTGGCGCAGCTGATCAATCTCTTCACCATGTCCCTGTTTCAGCTGCTGTATTTCTTCGTCGAAATCCGTCTTCATAATATCGATCCTAGACTTCTGCGACTTCTGTTGGTCCGAAAGCGTTTTTCGTAGGACTCTGAGCTGGGTTTCGTGTTCTTCTTGCTTCCTATTCAGCTTGTCCTCGTTGTCCTCCTCGATCTCTTTTATCTCGCTCGCATGAGTTATTTTCTCCTCTCGGAGGTCCTGCTCTGCTTTACTCAGTCTTTCGCGGTGAGCCATCTCACGCTGTTTGATGTCGGAGCTGTGGCCATTCACCTGCGACTGGAGAGCAGCTTTTTCGTTCTCGGTCTTCTCCTTGAGTAGGTTGCAATTATGGAGATTGGTCGTCAGTTCCTGAATCTTTCGGCTTTGCATGGCATGTTGCTGGCTGTCCATGACCTGTTTTCTTTCTAACTCAGTCATATGAATTCGCCATTTATATTCCCACTCCCGGTCCTTTGCGACGAGCTGATCGGTCATCTCCGATACTTTGCGACGTTCAACCCGATAATTGTTTTCCGACTTTGACCCGCCTTCCAGAGCAGCATCAAATTCCCTTAGTAAAGCCCTCACCATATCCAATGGTTTGTCAAAGTTGCGAATCGCGTCGTTGAATGCGCTTTGACCTCCCCGGTGCAATGCTGCTGCTTTCTCTCTCATCGTTTTTTGCATTTCTACGAGATGGTCGTTCAGCCGCTCTGCGTCGGTCAATAGCTTCTTGTACTCTTTCTGCCAGTTTGTGTCCTTGTCTTTCTTGATTATCTGCCGGTACCACGGCCTCTCCTTCGGGGAGGTAGTATTCTCAGAAAGCGGACTATCTTCTTCCGATGCCTTGTCCTGAGCTTGACGCTTTAGTTCCTCGAGGTCAGTTGGACTGAGAAACGTCCTGGTCGACATGATGTGGTTTTGGTATGATCTGAAGGTTTTAGAGAAGATAGGCTGCTTCGAGTGAGGTAGCCTGCAGTGCGTCCGCCCGGAAAGTCGTAAGACGAAAGTCACGACTTAGAGGTCGGCTGGGCCAGAACAACCGACGGAGTGCACCTAGGCAGAAGATCGGCGATTCAGCCTCGCGATCCCAGTGATTTATTTGACCACGGCTGCATGCGCGAATGCACGGCGCTATCGTTTGCCTTGTTGCCTTCCTGCCTGCAGCCTGCTGCGCACACCGTCACACGGCTAACGCACTATCTAATATAAGCAGCTATCTCAATAATGTGATCGTGCCGATCAATGCTCAGACAGGCAACATTCCATTAGGCGTGTGTTTCTTTTGTCGTCGTATGCGGCCCATTCCCAATTCAATCGTTTTCAACAGCATCTTTTCGGCCCTTGTCAGGCTAGAAAGCCTTCAAGAAAACTTCAATATATGCTACCCGATCACGCTTCTCAGTGACCGTCTTTTCACTCTTTCCATTCCAGTACACTCGAATCGTCGTTTGATAACAATTCAGCCATGGCGTCCAGGTTTGCAGCGAGTCCGACCTCCCCGAATAGGGCCAAATCCCAAGGCCCTGTCGCCAAGCAGAAGCCCGCAAGTTTACGAGGTTCTCCGGTTAGCCCGCGCTCTGAACAAACAGAGCCGGATTATCTGAACGACGACCTCCTCGAAGAAGATTTCGATGAGGCATCGCCTCCTTACAAATACCAAGATCAATCGGGACTTTCGGAAACTGATATTGAAGACGCTCCTCTTCGCCGCTTGAAGACTGACTTCGATGACACTCTTCGTCGATTGGTCATTGCCATTGACTTTGGCACTACCTTCACCGGTATATGCCCTTCTCTCTCGATATCGACTGTTTGCTAACAACAGTATCTTCCAGGAGTCGCGTTCGCTCTTCCAAAATCACATGAGGCTGGTCTCAACGAAATTAAAGTTATCGGCGATTGGGGTGCACGCATGAGTAATAGTCTCAAGGTACCGAGCATATATTCGTACTCTCCGGCTCCTGACGGGCAGCAACAATGGGGGGACGACTTAAGCCCCGACGCCGTGACTATGATCAATACCAAACTGGAGCTTGACGTACAAGATAACAAGTCAGACGAGCTGGAGCTGATTCTCCAAGTGCTGGACGGCATGAAAGATCTCAATTTCAACTACGTTAGGGCATCCGGCGGATATCCAGAATACACCTGGAAAAGTCCGGATGAGATTGTGGCCGATTATCTCACTAAGGTATACCACGCCTTTGACCAGAATCTACAGAAGAAAATCCAAAACCAGGGTATCCGTCAGCGCCTGACAGTTGATATTGTTGTCACAGTCCCTGTGGTGAGGCTCTCCATATAACGGCCTCTCTACTGCTTTGCTGATTATCATGACCAGGACTGGGCTTACCGAGCCAAGAACTCGACACTGCGGGCAATCAGAAGTGCTGGCTTCAATGAACAGAATTTCCCAAATCTGCATGACATCATCATGGTTACAGAGCCCGAAGCAGCAGCGATTTATACGGCACGGTACTTGAAGAAAGAAATGCAGAAAGATTTTCTGAAGGTAAGTCCTTTAATTTCGGAAACTTGTAGATCTACTGACGATCTCAAGGTCGGCGAATGCTTCGTATTGTGTGACGCGGGAGGGGGCACCGTCGTGAGTGGCCCGAAGTGTACTAGAAATGCATTAATCACTAAGTCTACTTCTAGGATGTTGTTTCGTACAGAGTCACGAATCTTGAGCCAACGCTAGAGCTTGAGCTTACTGGAATCCCATACAGTGAGTTACATCAGATCTCTAGAGAGCTAGGCCACTGCTCAAGACTCTTTAGGCTCCAAATGCGGTTCTGCGTACATCGACACCAACTTCAAGCTTTGGCTTAGAGACATCCTAGGGGAGAGATATTTCCAACAGCTCGACCAGAATAATAGCCGCAATAGGATCAGCACAATTAGTGAGGGACGGCGAATGCGATTCGTGATCAAACAATTCGACGCTCTCAAGAAGAACTTCTTCCTAAAATCTGCACCAATGAAGATCGAGCTTCCGGAACCATTGAAGAACATCTCCATTGCTGGCAAGGTGAATCTAGGAGAACTAGCTATCACAAGGTAGGATCTCAGCTCCTCTGGATACTTGACAAGCTAATGCTCAGCAGCGAGGAGATGAGGTCGTTTTTCGACCCATGTGTTGACGGAGTCATAGAGCTCTACCAGGGCCAGCTCCAGCAGATTGAAAGGCAAGGGCGGCGCTTGAAAGTACGTCAGCTTGGTCTCTTTGCGCCTCGCACTGATCGCTAATTACTTTCCAATCGACAGAACGTGTTCTTGATCGGTGGGTTTGGGGAGTCACGATATCTACAAGCTGAGCTTCAAGCAGCTTTAAAGTTTCGGAATGTTGAGTTGCGAAGACCAGATACGTCGTAAGTATACGTTATGTTTCATATTGGGCTCTAATAACCGGCAGAATAGGTGGACAGCCGTTGTGCGTGGTGCCGTAATCCATGGCATTGAGAAAAGCAATCGTCCAAATGTAATATACATGAAGACTTGCCCACGAAGCTATGGAATTGTGCTCAACGAAACTTTCCGTGGATCCATGTTTCACCTGGAAGATCGTTACACAGACCCTATTACCGGCGATATGAAGGCTCAAGGTCAGATCACATGGCTTGTCAAGAAAGGCGACCTTATCCTTTCTGACGAGGGAAGGACGTCTTCCAAGGACTTCCGGGTCAGCTTTCAAGGGACCGTGGAAGCTGATGAACGCAAAAAAAAGCTATCCATCTACGAATACGAAGACGACGATCTTCCAGATCGATTCCAAAATGCACGAGAAGGTATTGTTCATGCCAAGCCTCAACAGATATATAATATTCCGACTAATGACCTGCCAGAGCTCAAAGAAGTGGCTATTCTTACATACGATCTATCCACGATCTCACTGGATAACTTCGACCGAGCCGAAAACCCTACAAACAAAGCTGTGTACTACGAAACATATCTGACTTGCAAGATGGTCATGTCTGGAGCGACAGTGACAGTTGAAATTCTGTGGAATGACACGGAGCTATGCAAAGTCAAAATCGAGGACGTTGGCCGTAAGAGCTCAACGCGGTCGTGGAGTCAGTCTTTCAACGCCCCAAGATAGCAGGTATTTCGTCTAACTTCACATTAAATAGATAATGTCCGCCCTGAAGCCTTGCCACATCGTGGGCATCCGGACGCCCACAGTACCTCGTCTTTCGAACTTCCGGGGAGTTTTCGGGAAACGCATTGAGGCATGGCATGGAGGCAAATATTGGCTGGCGTCTGCATGCAGCCTGTGCTTTAGTTTTCTGCAAGAACAGCGAGCCACATTTTGCATCTTACGGGAAATTATCACGAGTGCTTGAGCATGGCGTTGCTGCAGGCGGGAGTGCATGTAGCAAGGAATATGATTTGATGAATATTGCTTCTCTCTAAGCCTGGTCTTTCGGATATGAGTACACTAGATTAAATCCGGCATTTCAAGGCACTAAGGCACCCATGGCATGCTGGGCAGCAAGATAGACAGCTCCAATCGGGGACCTGGACTCTTCCCCAGTGGTTGCCTCAAACTCAGCCTTGCAGGAAGGCTCGCATGTTGAAATGGTTCGCAAAAAGCCAGACCACCTGTGCCCCCGCTGCTGTACCCAGGAAGATACGTGGCCACACTGGACACGCGGACATCCATCTATGCGGCTGAGCTCAAGTGGTATTGATTTCATTCCTTGCTCATTTTCCCAGATCGTTGCTGTGGATGCTTCCTTTCGCGTACCCACCCAAACACCGATAACAACTCTAGTCAATCGAATCACACTGCCTTTCGATTATTAAAGAGGCCTTCAAACTTTCGTTCTCGGATTGCAAAGCCTTCAAATTCGAGCCTGTCTCACCTTCGATTTCAACCTTTGCCTCCTCTAGTCAACACGACCTTTCCCTAACTCAATACGTCCACATCCACATCAAAATGCCAATTATCGCAAATCCTTTCAACAAGGGCAAGAAGAAACTCGAAGCTGACATGCTATTCCAAATGGCCCTCCAGCGCGAGCAGGCTGCTGCCCAGCACCAACAGGCTATAGAAGTAGAGCGTCAGTATCGCCTAGAAGAAGCAGCCCGCGCTGAGCAGCGACACCGGCGCCGAGAAGAAGACTATCGACGCCAACAAGAGATAGCCGAGCAAGAACGCCGACGTTATCTAGAGGACCAAGCCCGTGTGGAGCAGGAGCTCCGCCGCCAGCAAGAAGAGCACCAACGCCGTCTCTCGGCCGAACAGGCCGCTCGTGAACGTCGTTGGCAAGCAGAGCAAAAGGCACGCCAGGAACAAGACCGCCTGAGGCAAGCGGAGCATGAGAGACTCCTTGCCGCGGAGCGTGAGAGAACCGCCCACCTGGAAAGTGAGAGACGAGAGAAAGAGCATCGCGAACAGATGGCCCGCGACCGTGAGGTCCAGCGCCGCGAGAACAAACTCAAGCTGCTCCGCATGACGTCTCCTGAATCGTTGCGGTCGCTTCGTGAGCTCATTCGCCGGAAATATGAGCTCGATATGGCGATTTGGGCGGACAGAAGGGTCCGGGCGCCCTTGAGGCCACATGTGGAGGCTAGGATGGAGCAGGCGGATGCGGCATACATGGAGATATTGACAATTGTGGGAATTTGGGAGGATAATAGTAATGGAGCGTGGAATGAGCGGGAGTGGAAGCTAGCGAGCGAGGTAAAGGCGAGACTGGAGCAGGATGGGAAGCGGATCTGGGCTGGGCATCCGCCGTGGGAAGAAGGTTGAGAATCTAAATCGGTGTCTGTTATAGTTTTTTTCTATTGACATGGTCGTAAAGAATGCTCTGCCACTTCAACGATATTGGTCTGTTTACAGCAGGAAGAGGCTCCCTGTACTGCCTATACTAGGTTACTTTCAAAGAATGCAATCATCTGCAGACGAGCTATTGGTAACAGAAGCAGAAATCAAGAGGAGGAGTGACAAGATGGTGTATCCCCTTTACACGGTGGGGTACACGGTGCTTATATAAGCAAGCTTTTGGCGAATTGCTAGGCTAAGCGACTAATTTAGCCCTCATTTGGCAGATTCCTTATCGATAGCTGTGGGGAAGGGATATAGACCGCTTGACATGACCAGGCCCCTTGAACAGAAGAATAATCCACGACTCCGTGCACACTCTCTCTACAGTATCTCCCCTGTACGAGCTGTGCAGGTCAGTGGTGGGCAAGGGTGTTTACACTTTGTAGACGTTCAAGGTGCCTGGTGATGAAGCTTCGAGCAGGAGTCACGTGACTACTGGAAGTCGTTCATGCGTCAGGTAAAATCGAGGAGCAATAGGCGTACTAGAACACATATGTGTTTGGATTGAGTTCGAGCATGGCAATGAAGGCTGACTAAACGATTGATGTTCAGGTCGTTGCAAGATACACATCAACACGGCCTGCAGGGTGGTGAATAATCCAGTCACGTGCCAGTCCGCAAACAGACAAGCGTGGCTCTTGGCTGTCGCAAGTCGGCGGTGCTTGCCCAGCACCTAGTCAGGGAGAGCTATCAGGCGCTCGTCCTGCCGTCATCTCCTCAACCTCCATCAACAATCCTCCCGCGAAAACCGTCGACGCGGTACTCTTTACATCCCTCATATCCCCTGCACTTTGTCTCGATCGATACCCGCAGCTTCTCTTCATCATGAAGACTGCTACCCTCCTCGCAGCGGGCTCGCTGCTGGGCGCCGCCACCGCCGGCGTCCACAAGATGAAGCTCAAGAAGGTTCCTCTGTCGGAGCAGCTTGTAAGTCATCAACAGTTCTATGATGGGCCGACTATTCGTAGCCGGAGCTTCAGCTAACGACTGTCCAGGAGTATGCCAACTTCCACGACCAGGCAAAAGCCCTCGGTCAGAAGTACATGGGCGTCCGTCCCACCACTCACCTCGAGGAGGTCTTCAAGGCACCCAAGATCGAGAGCGGTGACCACACTGTGCCCATCAGCAACTTTTTGAATGCACAATGTAAGTAACGCGGCGGCCTTCGCAATCAACTCCATGATGCCCTTGCTTACACGTGCTGTAGACTTCTCAGAGGTCTCACTCGGAACGCCTCCTCAGGACTTCAAGGTCATCCTTGACACTGGCAGCTCCAATCTTTGGGTTCCATCGACCCAGTGCAACTCGATCGCCTGCTACCTCCACACCAAGTACGACTCATCGTCGTCCTCGACATACTCGAAGAACGGCTCCTCGTTTGAGATCCGCTACGGTTCGGGATCGCTCAGTGGATTTGTCTCTCAGGACACCTTCACGATTGGAGACTTGAAGGTCAAGAAGCAGGACTTCGCCGAGGCCACCGCGGAGCCCGGACTGGCTTTTGCCTTCGGCAGATTTGATGGCATCATGGGCTTGGGCTACGACACCATCAGCGTGAACGGAATTGTCCCTCCCTTCTACAACATGCTCGACCAGGGCCTGCTCGATGACCCCGTATTTGCTTTCTACCTCAGTGACACCAACGATGAGAGCGCCGAGTCTGAAGTCATCTTCGGCGGCGTTGATAAGAGCCACTACACTGGCAAGCTGACCAAGATCCCATTGAGGCGCAAGGCCTACTGGGAGGTCGATCTTGACTCCATCACCTTTGGCGATGCCACTGCTGAGATGGAGAACACTGGCGTCATACTTGACACCGGCACTTCTCTCATTGCTCTTCCTTCCACTATCGCTGAGCTTCTGTAAGATTTTACCTCGCTCCACTGCATATTTGGTCAAAAATGCTAACCTCTCGTAGGAACAAGGAGATTGGTGCTAAGAAGTCGTACAATGGCCAGTACACTGTTGAGTGCGATAAGCGCGACAGCCTCCCAGACCTGACCTTCACTCTGTCCGGGTACAACTTCACCATCGGCCCCTTCGACTATATTCTAGAAGTCCAGGGCTCGTGCATTTCGTCCTTCATGGGTATGGACTTCCCCGAGCCAACAGGCCCACTCGCCATTCTCGGCGACGCCTTCCTCCGAAAGTGGTACTCGGTTTACGATCTCGGCTCCAACAGCGTTGGCCTCGCCGCGGCGAAGGCGTAAGCGTTGCTCTTTGGGCAACCGGCTGGGCTTCGGTGAGAGCTGCAATCTGGCAATCGCAGGGCAAACTACAGCTTCTAGATTGCGGCAGAGGTTGGTGTTTGCGCTTGGCTCAAATTGTAGCTGTATTATGCGATAGGATGTCTGTACTGCACTGGCTAATTTCTTTTGATTGTCTACTATTCATCATTATGTACAAGGGCGAATGCGAAGACCAAACTGAGTGAATGAATGCTGTGCCACTGAACATGTGATGATGCCTGACTGGTGATTAAGGTTTGGTTGGTGCTTCCGCGATACCAAGGAACTCTGGACGATAAGATCGAATCTTGGGCCGAGCTCCGCAAATTCCAGCACAATTATTGCTCGAGGCGCTCGAACTCTGGCCAATTTTGTGGTTTTTCTAGGCGGGCGCAGTCTGTATGGTGCCCTCGTTCTCTTATCTCTCCCCTGGTTTGGCTCAAGGCAGTCACTTGCACCCGAACCGTGGGACTTGCTTTTGTCACAAGGTAGGACGCGAACTTTTGCTGTCAGCGCGTCAGTTCCATCCAATATGTGACAACCACAACTGACGACTGCCTGAAGCAGAGCTCTCCATCTCCTCTCTGCCAGCGCTGCGCACTCCGCTGTGCCTTTGAATACCCCTCTCTTCACCTGCAGTGCCGCTGCTCGTTCCTCGTCACCCGCGAAGAAAGTCCGACATCCCACCACCACTCCTACCGAACGAACGCCCGAGAGTATACACAATGGCGTCTGAGGATGGCCTCAGAGAGAAGGTCGGCCGCAAGCTGACCAAGCGGCGGAAGGAGCACAAGAGGGTGTCGTTGGATATACCGGAGCGCTTCAAAGACGGCGACGATGCGCAGGAAGACGTTACAGCTCCCAAGAGCAAGGAGACCATGGCCATGAACCAGTCCCTGTTCTCCATGATTACTAGGGCGGGCGGTCGATCGCAGACGGACTTGCGCAGCACGCGCGAAGTCGACTCTGGTGATAGTGATGAGGAGGGTGGACCCAGCCCGCATTATCACAGTCTTGACGGAGCTGCACGACTCAGTCGCCTAAGTACAATCAACACTTGGGACGAATCTACAGAGGCTGCAGAGGATACAAAAGAAAAGGATAGCAAACACCGAAGGGGTCTCTCGGAAAACAAGTTGCTTAAATCCTTACCTCGACTGAATATCAAGCGGAGGGAAAGCAAGAAGGGCCGCTCCAGTGATCGCATGAGTTCTTCACAAATCCTCCCTCCCCGCGCCACGGATGCCGCCGAGGAAAATTTACTGGACAAGCAGAGGATTAGGACGAAGGTTCTACCCGAGCCTGAAGCGCAGAGACTACCTCTTGAACCTCAACGGAGTAGACACGGCAGCACATCAAGCTCGTCAAAAGCAAAAGCTCCCGTCACGCTTGCACAAAGATTGATGGAAATATTTGAGTTTGATTCTCTGGAGGAAGTTATATCTGGTTTGTGGCTCCTCCGAACTTTCGTAGACTATGTTAATAGCTGCAGAATATCCGTGCTGGCTCCTACAGAGCATCCTTCTTCAAGGCTACATGTATATAACCCAGAGACACATCTGTTTCTATGCGTATATTCCAAAGAAACATGTGAGCTCCTTTCTTCATCCTAATTCCAGCTGTGCCTAATGGGTGATAGCATGATGTTGGCAAGACTGGATATCTTTCCAAGCGCGGGCGGTCGAAATACAATCGATACTGGTTCAAACTGAAGGGCGATGTCCTATCTTACTTCACCAATCCTGCTGAGGTGTACTTCCCTCGAAACCAGATTAATCTGCAGTATGCTGTCTCGGCTTCTGTGGCGGAACAAAAAGATCCGAGTAAAGACGAAACGTTTTTCAGCATCACTACGGATGATCGGACCTATCAATTCAAGGCCGACAGCGCTGCGAGTGCGAAGGAATGGGTGCGAGCGATTCAAAAAGTCATCTTCCGGACTCATAACGATGGCAACAGCGTCAAGATATCGCTCCCAACCCAAAATGTTTTGGATATTGAGGAGAGCACACTCCTGGACTTCGCCGATACAGTCAAGATACGAGTGATTGACAACGACGAGACATTTGCTGTGGACGATGTAAGCCCTTGTCTTGACCTCTATTGGCGTAAATATTAGATGCTAACTACGCTAGTATTTTTTCTCTTTCTTTACCCATGGACAGGATGCCTTGAACGTATTACGAATAATGGTAAACGATAATGACATTCACGTGAACTCGCCTTTACCACAGGACCATCAGAGCGCCTTGAATCAGAGCACGTTGACTCAGAACGCACTATCAAAATCTCCACGCCAAGGCCGGTCTGTAGACCTTCGTCGCACCTCCGCTCAGACGAGCCCCATCGATACCCCCCAGATTCGCGAAAACGTTAGGGCTACCCTTTCACCGCTACCCGCTGACCATCTCGCCCGATCAAGGTCTCGGGTAAGTGCAGAGTCCAGGCGTTCGAGTTCTGATATTAATCGCCGAAGCGCTGATATTCGGCGGAGTATGGATGCCTCACGTGGATTCCGACGGCCAAATCAGGAGGCTAGGCGTAGTCTGAGCGAGAACCGACAGAACCCTCACCAGCGGAGTGGTGCTGGAGACAAATCACCGCTTTCCGCAAAGCCGCAAGACTCCTCTGATTCCGCGTCGAATTCGCTTAATCCCGGCACAGAATCTTCTGCCGCAATCCAGTCCATCGATGAAAGCAACGTCTCCGCCAGCCAGATCCTCAACCGAAGCGATGTTTTCCGGGGGCCAACCATTCACCACCAAGGTGTATCCACGTCGGCAGTGTCGGATCCTTCTCTTGATAAGTTTGCTAGACAATCGCAGGACACGACACGCTCTTTTGGCGCGGGCAAAGTCCCACAACAGTCGCATTCTAACAAGACACGCGAAAACACCGCGAAGACCAATATAGAGGAAGAGAACGAAGGCCAACAAGCAGCCGGGAGGTTGTCAGGATCCTCGTCAGCCTTGCAGGATTTTATGGGCGCAGCCTCATATCCTTTGCAGAAAGCGACCGGACTGGCCGGCTTCATCAGAACGCGATCGAAGAAAATGAGCAATCTACTTGCTACAGAATCCATGGGTTACTATGAGAAGGTTTCTGGGATGTGGGCGGGCGGCAGGCGACACTATAACACAGCAGAGGGTCTGCAGCCTGAGGACCAAGTGCGCGGAGCAGAGGACGAAGAGGATGCCGTGAAGGCCGCCGAACACTTCCGAGAGCACTTTTCGCTGCCCGAAACGGAGCAGCTTCAATCCTCCTTTTTCTGCCATCTTCAGCGAGTACTCCCTACTTATGGGAAGATATACCTGAGTAATCACTACTTCTGCTTTCGAAGTCTCATGATCGGGTCAAGAACCAAGGTAAGCACACGCCGTCTATTTGTGTTGCTAACACTGACATACTCAGGTTATACTACCTCTGAGAGACATCGAGACCGTCAATAAAGAAAAGGGGTTTAGGTTGGGGCTACATGGTCTCGTCGTGGTGATTCGCGGGCATGAAGAACTGTTTTTCGAATTTTCGCGGGCAGAGTTCCGAGATGACTGCGCCGTTACCCTTCTCCGAATTTTGGAGAGCACTCGGTACATGGAAGAAGCCAGCAACGACAGCTCCGACATCGACTCGGACGACGAGGCCGCGAAGGCAGAGCATGACATGCTGCAGGAAGCCCGAAAGAAAGCAGATTCGAACCCTCCACTTGAGGCATCTCAGATCATCCGCGAATCTGGCAAGGGCGCACCTACTTTTCCGATTCGAGAACTAGCTAATACTGTGGTAGAGCAAGGAAGAATACCACTCGTATTCGACGACCCTTTGGCATCGATAGTAGATTTTAAGCCTACTGCACCGATGAGGATTGTGTGTCTCACAATCGGATCACGAGGAGATGTCCAGCCGTACATTGCTCTCTGCAAAGCCCTCATCAAAGAAGGCCATGATTGCTGCATCGCAACTCATGCGGAATTCGAGCCCTGGGTTCGACAACACGGTATCGACTTTCGGCCCGTGGACGGAAACCCAACTGAACTTATGGCGATATGCGTTGAGCATGGCATGTTCACGATCTCATTCATGAGGGAAGCGAACTCGAAGGTAAGACCTTACATATATAGCCTCTTGCTTGATGAGAACTTCACTAACATGTGGTGTAGTTTCGAGGCTGGCTAGACGACGTTTGCAGGTCCTCTTGGCGAGCCTGCCAGGGCGCTGATCTATTGATTGAAAGCCCAAGCACGATGGCGGGCATCCACATAGCCGAAGCACTGGAAATACCATATTTCCGTGCATTCACGATGCCTTGGACGAGAACAAGAACGTATCCACACGCCTTCACAGTTCTGGATCACAAGATGGGAGGCAACTACAACTCTGTCACATATATAACCTTTGAAACTGTCTTTTGGGCAGCAATTCGATCTCAGATCAATCGCTGGAGAACTACAGAATTGGGACTGCAGAGCACAAGCCTGAGTAAGATGCAACAGAACTCTCGGCCCTTCCTTTACAACTTCAGTCCTTCGGTAGTCGCTCCGCCACTTGACTGGCCGGACTGGATTCGCATTACTGGGTACTGGTTCTTGGACGAGCCTGGCTGGGAGCCACCTCAAGACTTGGTGGACTTCATCAAGAAGGCGCGCAAGGACAAGAAGAAGATTGTATATGTTGGATTCGGCTCTATCGTCATTGACGACCCAGCGGCATTAACAAAGGCGGTGGTAGACTCTGTTCTCAAGGCTGATGTTCGTTGTGTCTTGTCCAAGGGCTGGTCCCATAGACTCAACAGTGGCGACGCCTCAAAACCGGAGATTCCACTGCCTCCCGATATTTTCCAGATCCAATCCGCGCCGCACGATTGGTTGTTCACGCAGCTGGACGCAGCTGTTCACCACGGCGGTTCTGGGACAACCGGAGCTAGTCTCCGCGCTGGGATACCAACGATCATCAAGCCCTTCTTTGGCGATCAGTTCTTCTTTGGACAGCGTGTAGAAGACCTACAGGTCGGGAAGTGTTTGACCAAGATCAATACTACTGTTCTTGGTCGCGCGTTGTGGGAAGCGACAACCAGTGAAAGAATGATCATCAAGGCCAAAGTCCTCGGCCAGAAAATTCGAAAGGTATGTTAGAAGATGCCTATTTTACACAACACGATAGTTAACATGACTCAGGAGGATGGAGTTGGAGTTGCCGTCCAGACGATCTATCGCGAGCTTGACCGCGCCCGGTCTCTTGTCAGGCACCGCGAGAAGCCAGTCGATGGCGCCACGCCCGAGGCCGAAGAGGACTGGACCTGGATCGATGACGAGGAAGAAGAAATGGAAATGGCGCCGCAAGTCTCGCATTGGCAGGCGGTTGCAGGTCTTGGGCAGGCACCGACCGAGGGGCGCTCAGGTAATTCGGCGCAGGCGTTGGGGGGCATAGTGCTGAAAGGTGCAGGTCAGACAGACCAGCGGCGTTAACAAGCAGTACGTTTTTTTGCTAACTATTCAAGTCCGATGTGTTTCATATTGTGTTATTTCTTGTTGCTCATAGGCGACGGGGTTCGGCGCGAGTGGGTGAGCGTTGGGCGGGGCTGGGTCATAAGGGTGCATTCTAGATTGGTTCACGGCAGATAATGCATAATGCGCAATCGCGCGGAATTGGAGTAGATATTTTATGTCCGCTTTTCTGGTATAGAAGATGATCTGCGGCTGGGTGCTGACGACCATGGGATCATAAGCCAGCGCTTCTACGTACTATACGACACATTGTTCCGATATCTATGCCGTAGAATATTATTTCTTGCGACTTTCCTCCTCGTGCAGCTGCAGTGCTTCGACATGTTGCCTGCATGCGACAGTGATGCCGTGAAGTCGACACTACAAAGGCTGCATTCTGAGCTAGCTATCCTCAAGTGCACCCAGGATTCGAAAAGCACTTCAATAGGCTATGGTCGGTCACGGAATGAGCGAACAGACGTGAAGCATCAGTAAGAGCAGACTGAAGGAAATTATAGATGTATTGTTCCGGTGTTCAACGTGCACTAGGCTAGAGAGACGTCTCGTTTGCGTGTGGTGAGCGCTATAGTGGCCACAAACCTAACGACATGCGGGTCTCTGTCGACTCAGCTTTCCCGTGGTGCAGCGCCCAAGAGCTGGCCATGCTGGGCGGCGCGTGTCACCCCGAATCCGCAAAATCCATGTGAACATGCCCCGCTGGGCTCCAGAGCGTGCATGGCCTCCTGACCTGGTGCTATAATTCCGCTCTCTCCACCGCAGAACGCAGACAGAATAGCCGACTCGCGCGCAGGGATCGGGCTGCACGTGATTTGAGGCGTGGGTGCCTTGACGGAACACGCATTATTCGGCTGCTATAAGAGGCTGGCCTTCCTCGCTCCTGCCCCGCGAGCCGCGTTCTTCATATTTGGCGATCTGCAACGCAAACCTCACTACACCAACACCACAACCACCGGGGCGCTCCCTCCTGCCAATTGCACCCCGACCTACTCTCTCCTGCTGCCCAGCCCACCTTACCGACCGACTTCACGCCACCGCGACGGCTGCGAACCCGCGCCCAAGCTCCGATCCCAGCCGAGCTTCACCTCGAATGCGCCTCTCGCGCGCCTCCTTCAACCCCGAACCCAACACCTGAACCAACACATAGCGCGACTCGCATGAGCATGTAAAAGAGGAATGTTGGTCGAATCCCCCACCGGTCTCCACTATCCCATCACCGTCGTCGAGCTCGCCAAGAAACCCGAAGATGATATTCAACGGGGTGCGCCACTGTTCTCCTACTACTATGAGACTACCGTGACCGAGGGCGACAAGTATGGCGATGAGAAGGAGGTCAAGAAGAAGTTCCCTGCCGGCTTCGAGTCGTCAAAAGCGGGCACGCTTACCAGATGGTTCATCCAGAATGGCACCGTCATTCAACGCGCCGGGTTCGCAGACTCCCGACCAAGTCCCCGCTGTATGAGCTAACAGCTTCGCAGAGTCAAGCTTGTCGAGATCGATGAGCCATGCACCCATGAGACCCAGTTCGCCGGCATGTGCGCTGACTGCGGCAAGGACATGACAGAGTACGGCTAGGCATCCACCTCCATTGCGCGATGACCTGCTGACCACATTCTCATAGGGAGGACTACATGACCGATGGACGCGATGTTGACCGAGCCACCGTCAACATGACGCACGACAATACATCTCTGCTGGTCAGCAAGAAGGAGGCCCTCCTCGCCGAGGAGGATGCAAAGCGCCGTCTGTTGGGTGTCAAGAAGCTCTCGTTGATTGTGGATCTAGATCAGACCGTGATCCATACAACTTGCGAGCGAACGATTGCCGAGTGGCAGAACGACCCGAACAATCCCAACTACGACGCAGTCAAGGAAGTCCGAAGCTTTCAGCTTGCGGATGACAGGCTGGCCAATGTCGCGGCAAACTGGTACTACTGCAAGCTCCGGCCGGGTCTCAAGGAATTTCTCGACAAGGTCTCCACGATGTACGAGCTCCATATCTACACCATGGCGACACGCGCCTATGCCCAAGCCATCGCAAAGATCATCGACCCCGACCGAGTCTACTTTGGCGACAGGATACTAAGCCGTGATGAGAATGGGACGGATCAAGTCAAGACCCTCCACAGGCTGTTTCCTGTGAATACCGACATGGTGCTTGTAATCGATGACAGGGGCGACATATGGCACTGGAGTGACAACTTGGTCAAAGTGCGGGCATACAACTTCTTTCTGGGCGCCGGTGACATCAACGCTAGCTTCCTTCCAAAGCAAGTGGATTTGATCACCGACACCGCGCAAACCAAAGCTGCCGAGTTGACCAAGGATGTGGAAAAGAAGAGTGAAGACTCGAATGGAGAGGCCCAGGTAGTGTCCATCGCCGCGAAACCTCCTGAAAGCATTTTGGCACCAGTAACAAACGGCGTACTAACTGATTTGGAAAAGCAGCTTCTTACCATGAGCGGAGGTGACAATCCAGACTTGTTAGAGCGACAGACCAAAGAGCAGGAGAAGGTCATCATTTCCCAACAGACCGAGCGACCACTGCTCCAGAAACAGCTCGCGCTCGAACAAGCCGAGGAGACGGCGGAAGCTGAAGAGGATGTGGATAATGCTGACGCTCCAGCGCCAGAACAACACAAGCACAAGAGCCTACTCCACGACGATGACGATGAGCTTATATACATCGAAGCGTGTCTCCGACGTGTCCACCGCGCATTCTTTGACGAGTACCAGAAGAAGCGGACAGCGCATCAAGGTGGGAGGATTGCCGAGCTTAGAGGCGAGAAGAGTCCCAAGAAGCGTGCACCAGATGATCTGGCGGTAGTACCAGACATCAAGACAATCATGCCACGAATGAAGCGGGCCGTGCTTCAAGGAGTCTCAATTGTCTTCTCCGGCATTGTTCCTCTAGGCATGGATGTTCAATCGTAAGTTCTCACTTGGATTCGTAACGGACTTGTTCTAACGTATCGGAAAGTTCCGATATTGCGCTGTGGGCCAAGAGCTTTGGTGCCCAGGTCACGACAGATATCACAAAACAGACCACACACGTCGTGGCAAATCCTAGCCGCAAAACCACAAAGGTCAAGAGAGCGGCGAATCATCCACAAATCAAGATCGTCACGACGGAATGGCTGTTGCAATGCTTCTCGAAGTGGGAGCGGGCAGATGAACAGCCATATCTCATCCAGGTGGACCCTGCCGAGCATGGAGCACATGGTGGGTCTCCTGAAATCTCTGCTTTCGATGACCTTGATGAAGGTCCGTTGCTAAGTGCCGAAGATGACGGCGCGATTAGTGGCGAAGAGGACGAGGACGAGTTGAAGAGCCCGGTCAATGTGGACATATCCGAAGAAACATGGCAATCACTCGGAGACGAATTCCAAGAATTCATGGACGAATCGGACGACGACGACCAAGGAACTGGATCAGATACGGATAGCGTGAACTCGGAGAACAGCGTCCAAACTTCTTCGACTACGAGGAGCAAAAAAAAGAGAAAGCGTGGAACCGGATCAGTGGATGGCAGCGAGGCGGATGATAGCGACGCCAGCGTCAGCAGCTCCACAGGATCGAAGCTCCAACGGAAGAAGAAGCGTGTGCTCGAGCGAGTGACTAGCCTGACCAACGTCGTGTCGGCGGACAAGTCTTCGGGTCTTCCTAGTCCTGAAACCACCGGGCCAGACGAAGGCCAGGAGAACGGTCTTGGTGGGGAAGAAGACGACGATGACGGCGATGCGGAGCTCGAGGCTGAGCTCCTGGCGGAACTGGAACGGGACGATGACGAGTAGGCATCACAATGGTTGGGCCCTTATTTCTTGTATTTGCACCTGCATAGCGAGGTGTCTGGATCTGGGATTTTTGGACTGACTGGGCGGACTGGGCGCCCATCTTTGGCTATGCATGGACATTACTGCGGCAGGATATAGCGTGTCTGCTATGTGCTAGGAACAAATGCTTGATACCCAGATTCGACCGTGCGGGTCTGTTCTGCCTTTGCCGCTCGTTGCCTAGCCGTGATGCTTGAGTGTGGTGGTGAGATTTGCTTTGACGTTTAACCATTACTAACCAGTCTAAAAGAGCTTCAACGTGCCAGCTGAAGCGCCTGCGCTACAGTTTATAACCTAGCTCTGTGCATCGTAGCGGGCGCAGAGGCAGATTTCTAATGTTCGTGGGACATGCGCGAACTAACTCAACGCTCTCACTTTCAAGTTATCTCCACACCTCACCACCAGATCATGTTGGATTCCGACGAGGATATATGTAAGTGGTAGACCAAGCCATCCATAGGTGGTGTCTAGCACTGTCTTTACCCTCGAAAGTGGCAAAGCGTTGAAGTGACGGCCATGATCCATCTCCGAGCTGTCTCACGACTTTTACCGCCTCACCGGTCGTCAGTTGCCATGGTTCACGAATTCCCCACAACGCGAGGCTGAGACGTGCCACTGTTCTGACTGTGCCACTCCGCATGGACCCCTCAGGGCTGGTCGCTTACGGCCATTCCAAGGTTCCAGGTTATTCATGGACAGCCATCCTGACTCCACTATCCGATGTGATTGCCAGGGTCTTCAGGTTGAGGGGAAGCCTGGGAGCCGTGATGACTTGCTCTGCAGTCAGAATATCTGTGTAGCCGTCCACCATGAGGAGATGCCTCCGCATCCGTCCGGAGCATGAGGGAGCGCTTCCTTCACCGCCGTTGACCTCCCCTACCCACTACGGCCCCGCTTGGACAAATTAGTGTCGCAATGAAAAATCCCAAACAATATCAGATGAGACAAGCTGTTTGAGACAATCATGTATAAACCCATCTGTAGCCTATATTAGATGAATCAACCTCCTCCTGAGAGAGGATATGGGTTTCCGTATTTCAGCAATTAGCACCACGGACCGCTGCTTAGTCGCGACAGTTTTTGGGGTCTGAAGTGAGGCTGAGAGCTCTGCCACATCTGATTGGAACACGATCGAAGGCAGCAGTCTTCAGCAGCTCTTTGCATCAGCGCGACACCTCCGCCCTCAACCTCCACGGCAGCCTTGATGTGGCTCAGAACCTTACAAGGCAGCAATTGCTTCCGTTCAAATTGCGTCTTTGACCCGTCGTGACCCATTCTACCTCCCATTTTATCGTTTGCCCGGCTCATTCAGAGACGCTCGCTTTCATCGTCGTGCAACTACTCGCGCACCTATTTTCTGACCGCTAGCCCAGAGCTCTCAGTCGCCTCACTCCCCCCTCACTGCCCAACATGGCGCCCTCCAAGTTCATGGACCTTTCCGTCGACGTCAAGACGTTGATCGTGCAGCATGTGAGTATGCCCTTGTAGCACAGCTCCTCCGGTTCCATTAGACTCGCAGGCTGTCACTCGGCGTTGTCGTCGCCTAGGAGAAGGAACACAAGCATCTCGATGTTAGGGCTGGCGCTGACTCCAATGCGTGCAGGTTATCCGCCCGACAGACCTCAAAAATCTCTGCCTAACTTGCAAAAACCTCCACGAGATCACGGTGCATCAGCTCTATCAAGAGGTGACACTCGATGTGGGAAGTCCGTCAGACACCAAGCTCAGTGCTTTCCTGAACCCGAAGAATATTGGCCTACCATGGGTGCGGAAACTGGACCTCTATCTTGCCGATGTCCCGGACAAGTGCAACCAGCTACAGCAGGCGCATTTTGCGATCCGTATGATCTTGGAGTTTCTACCAGAGAACATTCTGGAGAAGTTCTCTTGGCATCCCTGGTCGCCGTTCTCCGGAGATAACTTGATACTACTATACAAGAAGCAGAAGCGTATGAAGTGGCTGGAAGGTATTGCCTTGGATAAGAACGTCCTGACCGAGCTGGAGCAGATCCCCAGCTTCGACGAAACTTTCCAGAATGTTAGGAAGCTCGGTCTGTATCCCGATAGCCGGGACGTTCTCAATTACTGCCAGATGCTGGTGAAGAAATCACCCAGAGTCGAAAAGATAACTCTCCACGCGAGCTTCGATGACAGCGAATCGGCCCTTACCAATCGCGAACTCAACGACTCCAGTACTGGTCCAGGCCTGATCACAAGCACCATGTTCAACTCCTTGCAGCCCTTTGAGAAATGCACACCACTAGGCCTCAGGGAAATTACGCTGCAGAAGATCAACCTCCGATATGCAGCGGAGACGTATTGCAAGTTCATCAACTTCCACAATATCAAGTCGCTACGTGTTTTCGGGTGCCCTGGGGCCGATGCGCTGCTTGCGGAGCTCACCAGGAGCACAAAGCTACCGGAGAAGCTAGAGACCCTAGAATTCAAACACGATGATAACGTGGAAAATGATGCATTGAATGCTCTAGATGGGTTCCTCTGCCTCGTGTCAGGTATCAAAATCTTGACCATCGATATCACCTACGCCAAGGCGCTTCCTGCAGCTGCCGGCATTGTTCGACATGCAAAGACACTCAAGGAGCTGAATGTGCATGCTAGCACCGTGGACGACATTGAGCACGAGCACATCTACACTTTCCCAGACTTCCAGTCGATTTGCAATGATTGCACATTGCTAGAGCAGATCTCGGCCGCTTTTCCAAATACTAGCGTCATTCGGCACAACAGCGATCAGTTCCTTGCTTTTGAGGTAATCTACGTTTGCGTCTATTCCTAACAACTACGGATGCTAACCTAACCATTAGACATGCCTAGGTGCTCTTCGCAACCTTGTGACTTTGAACATAACCACCTGGCCAAATAATAACCCTTCTTCCTCGAAGCTGCCTCTCAAAGTCTACGAGCATCTGCTGGGAGGCATGGCCCAGCAAGGCTTCGAGCGCAGCGCGGCGCACGCTAAGACCCACGATCGGAGCTCGAAACTCAACGTCATCGCCTTCGGCTCATCGGACAAGGTGTACGACCGAGAAGATAGCAAGAACCAAATCATTTTCGTAAAGGGCAAGCAAGTGGACCCGCTTGGACAGGAGAAGCCCATGGCCATCCAAGTTGGCTGGTGCCTGCGCAAGTTCATTGAGCCACGTTCTGATGTGCTGGACTTCTCGCTCTCGAGGACGACGAGACCTCCAACAAGAGAGTCCCCTACCAGTGATGATAGCGATTAGACGAGGCAGCACGGTGGAGAGTGAAAGCGGCTGCACACCCAAAATTCTGGATGTTAACGTTTTCTGGCGCACATGAATCTCAATGAAGCGCAAATTGTTGTCTTGTAGATAGACTGCTTTTCTTACATATGGTTAGTGTAGCGTATAGGTTGGTTGGGACTTAGGGCATAATATTCTTCTCAGGCTTGCTATGCGGTAAACCATATGCTGAATGTGTGACAGTGTGAGCTTAGAGCCCATACAACTGTAATGACCGAGTCTACGAACACAAATGTCTTGTACACATGACAATCCAATATCAATCCAGAGCGAAGCCGGGATTACGTTTAGCCGATGCCAAGCCGCTAATTCGAGCTCACCAAAGGCGTAGTGGACCTCCAGCTTTAAGTGCCGCCTACGTAAACATCGACAGCCTATTCAACCCAAATACAAACCGCTTGTTTGATTCTCTCCGGGCTACTCCGCTCTCTTCAACCCCACCCATCACGAACTCACTCCGGCTATCCTGATGGCGCCTATAGCGGATGATGCGAAGCGGATAGAAGAGGCGCACGAGCTGGCGAAGAAGGCGCCCGCAAAGGCTGAGGCTATCTACCAGGATATACTGTCGAAAGATCCAGGAACAACCGATGCCGCGCTGAAGAATTATGAGGCGGCACTGGTCGGCCTGGGAGAGCTCTATCGAAACCAGAAGAAGGTCGACGATCTGGCGGAGCTTGTTCTCAAGACGAGATCAGTCCTGTCCTCTTTTGCCAAAGCGAAGACCGCCAAGCTAGGTATATAGGCCCCGCACTGCATAGTATGGCCATATTGTCTAACAGGTCTGTCGTGTAGTGCGGCAAATGCTCGATCTCTTCAACACCCTCCCAAATACCACCGATATCCAGATCTCTGTCACAAAGTCATGCATAGAATGGGCGGTCTCGGAACGGCGAGGTTTCCTGCGCCAGAACCTAGAGACTCGTCTTGTGTCGTTGTACATGCAAAAACAGTCATATTACGAGGCTCTTACGCTGATCAACAGTCTCCTCAAGGAACTGAAGCGGTTAGATGACAAACTCGTGCTCGTGGAAGTCCAACTGCTCGAGTCTAAGGTATACCACGCCCTAGGGAATGTTCCCAAAGGACGAGCCGCTCTTACCTCGGCGCGAACGTCAGCTGCATCCGTCTATACACCTCCGCTACTGCAAGCCGGGCTTGACATGCAGAGCGGTATGTTGCACGCCGAGGACCAGGACTTCAACACTGCTTTCTCATACTTCATCGAGGCTATGGAGGGCTACCATTCGCAGGACGAGCCTAAGAAGGCGACCTCCGCTCTGCAGTATATGCTGCTGTGCAAGATCATGCTCAATCTCGGCGACGACGTTACATCTCTGATGACCTCGAAGCAAGCGATCAAGTACGCTGGCAAGAATTTAGATGCCATGAAGGCGGTTGCGAGGGCACATACCAACCGCAGCCTAGAGGAGTACGAGACGGCACTTACCGACTACCGATTCGAGCTTGGTGGCGACAGGTTCATCTCAAACCATTTGAGGCGCTTATACGACGCCATGCTGGAGCAGAACCTCATCAAAGTCATCGAGCCCTTCAGCAGAGTGGAAATAGACCACGTTGCCAAGATGGTGGGGCTAGACACGACACAGGTGGAGCGCAAGCTTTCTCAAATGATCTTGGACAAGGTCATCATCGGTGTGTTGGACCAGGGTGCGGGCTGTCTTATTGTTTACGACGAGGCGGAGCGGGATCAGGGCTACGACGCGGCCCTGGACACAATCGAGAAGTTGAGCAACGTCGTGGATGTACTCTACACCAACCAGGCCTCGCTGCTGGAGTGAGAACCGGAGAACCATTGGCCTACGACTCGAAGAACATGATCATGCCTGCATTTTTTGGGCGTCCGCAGCACAGCATAGAAGGCTTAGGACAGTTCATATCCGAGCAATAATAAGACGCAGGCTGTCAAAAGCGCGTGAAAATGACTTCATGGTGCAGTGGTGATTGACATCTCATAGATGATTGACTTAGTCCCCGTAACCATCTCTAAGCTTTCTATCATTCGCAGAGGAGAACATCACAGCCCACTATTGGTCGGGATACACATCGGGGTTGATCCCGTGCATCTACCTAGGTACCTCGGAGTATAATCCAAATGCGTACCACAACTCTTCTTGCTTATATTGTGTGGTTGATCTTCAATGTCCGGAGGTTGTGTAGCGGCATGGCATGCTCGCGGCCGGAAAGGTATTGCTTCAAGCCCGGGACTCATTTGCCACTTACGCTGGGCGGGCAAAACGTGGCACACTCAAAAAGTCCTGCTAGGTGAGCAAACATCGGTCTGCCAGTGCTTGGAGTGCTTCAACGACATTTAAAATCGCCCAAGGCGAAGAGCTTCTATCACGTTCAAGTGTTACCTTTGTAGGAATGCATTGAAGCACCCCTGCGACTTGTTCAATCTATGAGTGCCACTTGTTTTATGTCCCACGTGCCATTCCTGCACTGTAAAGACGTCGATCTCATGGGCTATGTAAGGACTGGCAGGCATTTAGCCGGTATGCCAGGGTAGCGAGAAGGCTATCTGGCCCCTTTGAGCAAAAGGGTGTCATCTTTATTTCCAGTGATAATCACATATTGACGGGAGACAGAACAACGAACACAACCGTGCCTCTCGACCTGGCGGCCTGGCTTTTCTATAGTGATTGCTTCCAACACAAGGCTACGAAGTACGAAGAATCGGCTGATTCGTGCTCCAGACGCCCCGAATACCGGGTTTGGGGCTTTGTGCAAGTTCGACTCCTCCGGTGTGGTGCAGCTCGAGCTTCTGCAAGGTATCCGCCCCCTCGTTCCCAGTTTGCCAGAATACCCGTCTGCATGTTCTCTCCCACGGCTTGGAAGGCCCGCTGGACGCCTCCCAGCTCCTTCAGACCCGCCCCACGCCCCTGTCCATCTGCAATGCGGGACTTTGGTGCGTCCGAGGCATCCGTCCCGCGCGCGACGTCGTTGTGTGCTTTGGGCTCAACCGTTCGCCAGTCGTTGCGTACGTCAACCGCCACGCCGTCACAGCCTCCACGCGGAGCCCTGAAGCAAGGGAACGCAGACACTGTCCAGAGCATGCCGTTTCTGCGGACGCTTGATAGGGTTTTCCGTAGACCGGGTCCCACTGAGCACGAGGGCTGCTCACTAACCTCTGAGCGCAGGGCGATGCCCAGCACGGGACAAGAAGTCCTCCGCAGGCAAATATGCGCACCAGTTGCGAGACTTACAAGAACCCAATCGCAGACTTCCCATCCAGCGCGTCCATCGGTAATTGCCTCACACGAAAATCCCTCGCGCTGGTGTTGAGTTGGATGCGACGAGGCTAAGTCCATCTGGGGGCTTTGCGGCCACCGACCACAAGGCTGATCTCAGACATGACCGTGGGGAAACCGAACGACTGACCGCTAGACCACCGGCGGAGCGACATAGGGTCACTGGGGCTTGAGCCTGCAGCATATGCAGCATGGCTTCCTGTGCAGAGAGCCGCGTCCTGGAGATATGCCCCGGCCGTAAGACTTTGCAGTTCGTCCAATCTCGACCCCCAAAACTCGCCTTATTCCCCAGCCTTCACACATACCTTGCCAACCGTCGTTTCGCCATCGCACGAATGGTGACGACCCTGACTTATCGCTCTCGGTCCTTCGTGCTGCACGCGGTAGCAACCGACGAATCGCGCCTCACGCGACCCGGTGGCGATCGAGCCCTCTTCTGCCACTCATTAAGCGCGGTGCTGGAAATAGTGAAATTCCTGGAAGTGGACCCCCAGCAAAACTATTAAGTATTCGGTAGGCCCATCTCCATCCCTCTTCTCGCCACTACATACACGTCTACAACCGCCACTGCCATGTCGCTGCGGACATCGGACTCCGGACTCAGCAAGAAGATTGTCCGAAATATGCACACGAAGCGAGTCCTCCTTACAGGTGCATCCGGCTTCATCGGATTACACATCCTCGATCAGCTTCTCTCCTTCGACCTTTCCGTTCGTGCCGTGGTAGGCTCCGACAGAGAAAAAGAAGCTCTACGAAAGCAGTTTCCCCGCACCCCTCCCACCCGCCTCGACTTCGCCGTAGTCCCAGATGATGATCTCTTAGTCCCTCGTGCATACGATGATGCTCTCAGTGCAACTCAAGAGCCCTTCGACACCGTCATTCACACCGTCACTGTCGATCCTCTGGACGAGGCTGGCAGCTTATCCCACTTTGTGAATCAAGAAAGCGATGGCAAGAAAGACTTCCTGCAAAGCGTTCAAGCTGTTGCACCAAAAGTCCGAAGGGTGATCTTCACGAGCATCCTCACTTCCTTTGCTCGTTGGCTAGCCACCCCGGACTTAGACAGCAACACTCAGTCCCCTGCGTCATCTATACAGAGTGTCGCTGCAAAAGATCCAGAGTACCTCTTAGCCACGTGCAGGGCGAACGACGACCTCATCAATGATCGAATATGGAAGTATCTTGCGGATGAAAAACCTGGATTCGATGTTGTGGCTCTCTCTGCGCCCAGTGTCTACGGACCCTTAGTACGGCCACTAAGACTCCTCACGGACTTGGAAGAGGGAAATCAGCGGGTCTGGAGCATCTGCAGCAATATACCCATCGGGACCGTCGGACTCTGGTCAGACAGTGTCAGTTACTACGTAGACGTCCGAGTAAGTGAAACGCGCTCTAAATACATATAGACAGGTCATCGCAGATCACGAGTGCTGATCTCGAGGCTTAGGACTTCGCATACGCACATGTCCAAGCTGCTCTCATACCGAAAGCAGGAAACAAGCGATTCGTCATATCTGCAGGGATGATGCCGTCTCATACAGTCTCAGATATCATGCGTACTCACTTTCCCGAGCTTGCAGATCGCATAGTGGATAGAGCCACGCCATCTTTAGTGCCGACAGCAGGGAATCTATCCAAGGACCTCGTAGATTCCACTCCGGCTGCCGCGGTACTCGGGCTCCTCAGGTACCGGAGCGTCGATGAGACTGTGGCTGATCTTGGGCTACAGCTTGTGGAGCTTGAGCGGAGGATCAGAGCAAACGAATCTGCGAAAGGGTGAAGGGCTGTCGACACGATCTGGCAGGTCGGTTTCTATATCTTTCCATTTCTAGCGCACATCTAGCATGGTGACAGTTGGCCTGACTGGGGCCTCTTCTGCATGATCATGAATACTATTGGTCATTCCAAGAGGAACGCCGGGGCGTATTGAGCTGAAACTCTACGAGAAATAACGTATCATTGAAGCATTCACAGCCAAGATATGTAAGGTAGATGGGAGGGATGCCTCTGTTGCGTGAGTGGACAGTGACAGGGACGAGAAATTGCGGTGGGAGACTGGCGGCTAACACCCTCGAAGCCCCCCGACCGTACGGTCGTATTCAAAAAATCAAGAGCATGGCATTCTTCAACGACTCAAACTCAGTGCTTCCGCATCGTTCCATTCGAACATAATGCTCCAGACTCGTCTGCCTTGATTCTAATATCTGCACAAAAGTCCATCAGTGCAAGGACAGCCGAACAGAGTCCACCCGAACAGGCCGGGGCGTTAGAGTAACTTCTTCAAGGCTTCAAGAACGCTTTATACGATTGCAAAAGCCGTAACAGACCACCTATGTAGTCTTTAGGGCTCCGGCGGGAACTCCACATGAACATGAAGCACGAAGTCTGCTGGTTGCAGATTCTCGGCCACAAATCGAACCAAGGCTACCAAAGCATCAACCGTATCACTTCATGGTTACTCCGCATACTATTGGTGACAACATAAGCTTTGCACTCGTCCCATGTGCGTCGCCGGCCGATCGAATATGGACTTCGGGAGGATAAGCCGATTTGCTCTCCGGATGTCAGGACGCTTTTGGAAGGAGCTTGGACGGCCGACGACACGACACCCAACGTTGCGCTGACTCCAGAACGCCGAGTTCCGAATCATATCGATTGTAGGACGAGGTGCGTGTGTATTTGGAGGAAGAGGAGGACAAGAGGGGTGGTCTGAAGACTTTGCGATCGTTGCCTGCTGGAACAGTGAGCCACTACGTTGGTCAAAGGCACGACACTGCGACAATAAACCCTCCATAACGACTCATAATGATCGGATTTTCGATGAGAACGTTTTCATACCGAGAGTTTAATCTTCCGCGGGCAATCAACCGTCGCCTGCTACCGCTCGTACCGGAGTCTACGTTGGCTCGTCACTGGAAACTCTCCTTTACTACAATCCGAAGCTACAACAAGGCAGATTTTGCGCGGAAATTGGCGGGCTCTGGAATATATCATCTCCGCGTGTATCCTCCGGTCGAGCGAGTCCAGACATTATTCAACCCGTGTTCTTCATCTCACAAGCAAGGAGTGCTCGATCTCAGACCAACATCACTTTCTGGTATCTCCCAACCACAGCTTTTGTCGTCAGGATCGCCGGAGTGATCTGTAGCCCTCGTTATCGTCTGTTCCAGTCGTCGCTAGATCCCTAAGGTATGGGGATCTCTTGGTTGTAAAACGAAAGCAGGTTAGCTGGAGTTGGTGATAGGAGAAGCAACAAGAGAGACCTTGTCAAGGAATATATCGAAAAATCAGGATGACCTCTGATCAAGCAACAAGTCAACTTACGAATTCCATTCCCATGCTGTACGTATCGACGAGTGCTATCTTGTCACAGCTTCCAACGGCTCAAGGATTTCCTTGAGGAGCTTCTGCTCAAGCCTCAGGTAATCGATGAAGGTTGTATGGTGGTTTCTAATACTTGTTTCATCTTTCCTGTCTCTCAAGTCGTTTTGAAAGGGTTTGAATGTGGCCTTCGGGTAGAAGGTCGAATATTGCGCTCACGAGAAATGTCTTGGCACTTCCATCACTTCCTTATCACTTCTGATCCGCTCCTTCAAACTTACTCAGTTTGTTCGGCAGAATTGAGAGACAGGGTTACATTCGTGACGAGGGGCATTTGGACGCCAAAAATTAATACCGGTGTCGCTCTTGCATATGCGGTGCATCAAAGTTACTCAACCTGCCACGGCATGGCATGATGCCCTCCGGCCCCGTGCTACCAAAAGGTTCGTGCACCGATAGCGAGACGCATGGTATCTGCATTCCTGCAGCTTTCTGGCCGGAAGGATGCATGCGAAGAGTCACGAGGGGCTCATGGCTGTGATGATCAGCCAGTGAAGAGTGGTGATCCGGATCACCTGTGGGCGACAGGCGGCTAGCTGTGGGAAGCCCGACGTTGGCAGCACCACTGGTGAGGGCTCAGTGCAGCGACATGCTGTCGTCTGCTGTCGAGACATCGACGATCTCGTCTAGCATCCTCATAGCACGGGTTAGATGCTCAGTGTGAAGGCCCGATTGGTTAGAGTATCAATCCTGTTACCTTGCACTTACACACGATTCCACACTGCTTGAAAGTCTAAGCCCCAGTCGGCCTTGCCTATCATCCCCAGCAATAGCTCCTTGAGGCGAACACAATCTATTTTGAGGCTATGTGTGGACATCTGACGAGGCCTCCCCCTCGGCACCGGCTTTATCCATAGCTCCCACACTGCGACATGTGTGCTATGCCCTAATCACGGGGCACAGGCCGTTTCCCGAAACAAGATAGGCTGACTATCCGCCTCCCCATGCTTCTGATCAACATGGGAATCCTACGTGCTGTAACGTCCTCAACGGATCCCCGAGATTCATGCCCGCTCGAGACAACTCAACAGCATGGTTTCAGCACCGGGAAAGCTAGCCTATGGTTTCGAACACGTTTAAGAGGTACTAGTCGCTCACTTCTCCGTGAATTTAAACCTCAGTCTTCTCACGTTTTAGACGTTGCAAAAGGGCAGATTTTGGTGATAGAGGCCCGAGCGTCTGGCCCCACGATCTGATAGGTGAGATTTGTATGGCTGTCTCGAGCGGGCGTGAATCTCGGGGATCCGTTGAGGACGTTAGCCCGAGTATATCATGCTACAGTGAGGGCAGAGTACGCCGAGCCTTAAGTAACTCGTGTTGACCTACAACCACGGCGTCTCGTATTCTGAGAGACGGCACTTCCAGAGCGCGAAGCACCGAGGGGCAGCAGCTTGCTACTGAGTCTGAGATTCAATTTGTCCTCCGTGATACCACTTGGGTTCTCCGGCTCCGATAGGCTTTGAGCGCTGATTGGGCCGTTGTTCACCTAGGCATCGGTCAGGATGTGCCGCATGAGCAGGATGCTTCGCTCGACCTATCCTCTGTCCGAGTCAACGAACTCTTACCTTTTTATGTTGCTAAAGGCAGTTGCTGCTAGATACGCACACGGGTGATCCTATGCACCAGTGGTTACCCCCAGCACGTGCTCGCCGTTCGCTTAAACTTCCTGTTCGTCTCTAGTGATTATATTTTTCCGGTCTCGCAAAGCACCTCGCACTGGGTCGAAATAGTAAGGGCTATGTGGGTGTCGAGAATCTAGGGTTCAATTCGTCCTGGAGCTATTAGCATGTATTAAATCAAAATCTTCTCACCTCTCTCGGAACGGATGGGACTTTTTTCAGTGAGATATCTTACCTTCTTCACAGAATCTCGTAGGCACTATCAGTATCCGATTGGCTGATTTACTCTGCTTGTGTTGTAGCAAGTGAAACCATACGCAAAAGATATCGCATTTATCAAGTGTTGAGGAAGCACGGCGATTGCTCGGACCTTAAGTGAAACTAACATAATCAACAGGTGAGAATTGCCCCAAATTCGTCGTCTCAAACGGCACTATGCTATTATTCATGGAGGAAATTGCACTCGCAATATCCAACTAGCTCTTCATGCTGTTTGCCGAAACTGATTGGAAACGTGAAAGAGCGAGGGTATGGTCGGATCTGGACAGGGATATCTCCGATCACGTGCCTAGCCCCGATACATCATTATAAATCAAAGAAAAAGACTCCAATCGTCTTCTTTCTTACATTACTTCCATTCGCCTTCTCTGCCTTGGGCTCAATTGAAGCTATGGCACACCGGATTCTAATCACAGGCGGCTCAGGATACCTCGGGGGAACTCTTCTCGCTCGTTGGAAAGAAGCGAATTTTCTATCGTATGAGAAGCTCTTTGCCCTCGTCCGAACAGAAGAGCAAGGGAAAGCTGTCAAGCAGTATGGTGCCGAGGCTCTACATATCAACTTGGAAGACCCAGAAAGCATTAAGAAAGCTGTTCTCGACCATAAGATCAACATCGTCTTCTATCTCGTCGATCCCCGGAATTGGGAGCATCAAGTTTCCTTCATCGAAGCTTTGTCAGAGCTGAAGAAGCAAACAGGCCAGGAGGTGCACTTCCTGCACACCAGTGGCGCAAAGATATTTTCTGAACACGCCGGTGCACCAACGGATGCGCCACTCCTAGATACAGATCCAAAGCTGTACGATATTCAGAAGAGTCAGAAGGCGCCGTTCCCTTTACTGCAGAGGGTATGTCTGAAATCATTCACGGTCGGGAAGTAATTTAGAGTAATTGGTCTTTCAGGCGGTTGAAACCAACAACCTCGTCATCGAGGACGCGGAAGCTAAAGGCGTTCGAAGCTACATCTTTGCGCCGTGCATCGTCTGTAAGCAATACCTAAAGCTACTAATGAGTTAATAGAGCTGACAGAGTCCAGACGGCAAAGGCGAGGGCTTCGGCAATCCGATATCAATACAGACTGTTGCCATCGTACAAGCAGCCATAAAGGTCCGACAAGTCTACAAGGTTGACGTTGGACGGCCGGTACGTGTGTAATACCACCTGCCCATTGATATGTTCTAATCCGATGCGAGGCAGACATGGCCCGTGTGCCATGTCATCGACAATACAACTCTGTACATAGAATTGCTGCGCGCTATTCTATCCGGAAAAGAGCCTGGCTACGGCAAGAACGGGTACTATCTCGCCTCACCCGGCAGCGTGGCCTGGGATGACATCTACTCGTCCATGGCTAAGGCACTAGCGAAGGGCAAGTACATCGACAATGACGTGGTAAAGGAGGCCGATGACAAAGAACTCCAGAAGATGGGGGATGCACTAAAATGCCCAAAGGACTTTGTGCCAGTTCAATTGGGCGGACTGTAAGATATCTTCTCTGGAATGGATAGGTTGTGAGTGCTAATGAAGACTAGGTGTACGTTTACCGCAGTACATGGCAAGCAGATTGGCTGGAGGCCGCAGTTTGCGCCGGAGCATATCATCGAGACCGCGGATGCGGAGGTGGAGCTGATTTTGCAGCATTTGAAGGAGTGATGAGGAAAACTTAGCTAGGAATTAGCAGAATAAAGGACTCACATGAGACATCTTATGAAGTCTTGAACAACATAGCCCCTTTCGAGTCAAAGTTGTGATGAACACAGAGTAGGAGGCTCAGAACGTGGATCCACCACCTTGGTCGGGTAAGTGGTCGACAAGATGCAATGGACTCAGCACTGTCACATGAAATGCCAAAAAATAATCCACGTGATGTTGGAGCGACGAAGTCTGCTGTTCGGAAATAAGGAAAATACACAGTAATAGTGCTGGTATCGTTCGGAGGCTGGAATAGATAGGAAAGGGGCTTCGCGCTAGCCGGAGTCTAGCTGTATGGTCGAGGCCGTCTTTCGCACCGTCTTTCGCACCGTCTTTCGCACCATCTTTCACCACCATTGAATAGCCCAACAACTTCTCCTCGAAGCTTCGGCCTACGGCACATAGCGGATCCTACTTGTTTCTGAACTGGCTCTGAAAAATGAGGCACTCCGTTTGTTTTGTTTATTGGGGCGACACCGACCCGGCACATTAACAAGTCGCAACACCCCACCACCACTTCAACCGTCACATTCACTGACAACTCCTCAGCGGACTCTCCGCATCCAGAGCCGCAGAGGTGGCTGGCTTTGCTTTACCTATCATTTAGCACGCCCAATTGCGACGTGAGCTGTGCAGATCATCTTCTGTCGCCAACGCCCTCGATCAGGTGTGCCACATCAGGCCCCTACATTTCTAGGGCTGATACTAACTTGGCATCATCGTGATGGGAGCTGCAGATCCCAGATAGCTTCAAGTGACGAGCACCAGAAATTGCCAAGAGTCTTGAAAGATAACTAAAGACACGTGGGCTGCACAAGATTGACAGCACACTTCGCTTGGCGCGTAGATAAAAACACTCGTAGCTTGGCACATACCACAGATTCGAGATGTGAAAATTTCTAGGAACTTTTCTAGATGCCCCTAACATCAAGATCCAATATTCATCCGTATTTCTCGTTTCCTCAGCTCGGCACTCAGTCTCTCATAGAAAACCAAGACCGCCTGTTGTTGCATCCAAGTCGTGGCTGTAGGTGGCTGCGTCCGTTCAGCTGATAGTCTCTTTTGAGTCTCCGCAGCTAATGCTGTCTTGACTTGCGCGACGCGCATGCGGGCGTTTCACATCGAAGGTATATAAGGCGAGTGCACCGGTGGTAGGAACTCTCCTAGCTCGGAGGCAGGAGCCGTAATCAGCCCGCATAACATCTCATCTCTCTTAGCAAGACTCTCTCTTCATTACCTACGTCTGCTACCTACAGCACTAACCTAAGCGCTGCCAAGCATATTTGTTACGCGACATCCGGGTAGCTCTCATACTCTGAATCTTTGAGTACGTTGATAGTATGGCTGAAGTTGATAAAAATACTCCCAAGACAAGACCTGCGCCGGATTGGGTCCCGCAGTTTGTAATCGATTATGGTAAGAAGATTAGATTGATTCCAGTTTTTCAAGGAGGGTTCACTTTCAACTTGAAGTTATTATTCCATGACTTATCATCAGTTTTGAAGCGCATGTTTCCTATGTATCGATGTAAAACTAATTTAGCAGGCTTTTCACCCTATTAGACCTCACTTTTCTCCTTGCTGTAATTTCTCTAGAAAGTTTCTTAACCATTGCATAGCGCCCCTCGTCTACCTTTCCTCGAAAGAGTAATACAAACCCTCGGACATCAGCGCCCAGCTCGCCAACACGCGTCCGCAGATTGCCGTGCAGATGTTATCTTGCTATTCACACTTCTTACTCTCGATAATCTCGATCAACTCAACAAGGTCGGCGCCAAGCAAGGTAAAGATGTCTACTTGACATCCACTGTCGACATTACGACGAATCCAGCATGGCTGAACGGAGTCGCACCTGATGCGGAGGGGAGGACGAAGAATGCTGTGTCATGCTGCATCATCATCACTGATACGGGAAATGGAACTGTGCATGCGTTTACATGTACTTCTTTGCTTTCAACTAGGGTGGGGTTGTGTTGAACAATCAGCTAGGTAATTCCTGCCTCGGATGTCCCCTGTGAGTCAAAGGCCTACTAACTTGTCGCAGGAGACCATGTTGGTGACTGGTAATATTTCAAGACCCCACAACTATTGGACCAGCTGACATGTATCGCAGGGAGCATAACATAGTCCGTTTCGCTAACGGAGAGCCGAAATACGTGTGGTACTCACAGCATTCAAATGGCCAAGCTTTTCAATACCGGGTCTTGAAAAAGGACAAATCTGGCAAACGGGTACGTTAGCGCTTCGATTTTTTATGTGGCATATTGCCAGCCCAAGCTCACAAATATAGCCCTTAGCCTACTGTGCTAATGGCTCTCACGCCGTATACGCCACCTCCGGAATCCACGACCATACAGTCCCCAATCTCAACCTCCCCTTCCCCTTCCTCCTCGTCGACGAAACGAACGCCGGTGCCCTCTTCTCAATGCCTGATACTATAACTACAACCCGTCAGTATCACACCCAACCCCACGGACCCCAAAGCCCCGCCAATGGTGACAACAGCTTCATTCACGCCGTTTTTAGCCGGGACTCCGGTGAATTGGCTGTACTTTCTGGGAAAATGGGGCGATGAGCAACACCCGGACAAAGGTAAGAGGCAGAAGCAGTTGGCGGGGAATCGAAAGTATGTAGGTGGTCCTACGGGGCCTGCGGACAAGCAGTTGAACAGAAAGAAGGTGTGCCTGGATAATGGGAAACAGTGTCACAAGGGCTGATCTTGCTCCTTGAAAGAGTCAATAAGAAGCCTGGGGGGCCTTTAGATGAACTGGAAGACTAGTAGGCGAAACGTTTCTTTTACGTTTCAGGCTTTCATTGACACTCGATGTGTTATGATAGTGGTACACCTGTAACTATTTTCCATCTCATCTGTGCATAACTGTCCACCACTCTCTAAATAGCTTCAGCGGATGTTCAAAAACCTGTAGGATGCAAAGTTACGTCCACTGCGACCCTAAGAGGAGCCTCGTAAGTTGACCTAGTTAGTTGAATGGTTATTCAATTTAGTTTGTTTACACCCTATCCAAATTCCTGAAAATATGTTCAAGCAAGCCTGGTGGTGACAGGCCAGTGTATACAGATTACACAGCCCAATGATGATGACCATCACCAACAGTTCTACTAATAAAGTGAACACCGCTACTAGCCGCAGACCCACAGTCACGTTTCTCCGCCGGAAACCTGCCGTATTTATGTTCCAGTGTTTGCAACCGGACCCACAACAACTTTCTCCGACAAACCGCACTCTCACAGCACAATCCCCTTTCCATCTCGCTCTCTGCATCTACCCGAACGCATCGTTCCAGCTAACATGGCGAAAATGAAAGGACAAGCTATGGACTCACTCGCCGCCGGCCTCGCAGCCCTTGATGTTTCCACTATGCCTCACGCACCGCCAGTCGAGGCTACAGCATCGCCATTCAGTAGTAGCGACATCGCTACGCCTCCCTCTACAATCGGTGATCTGACTGGTGGCTTCACAGATCTCAACATGACGTTCTTCTTATCCTTCGCCGACTTCACGGTCTATGCGGACAAGGCCAACGCGGTCAACTTCGGTCGCTTGGGCTTCAAGCGCGGCTGGCGCCTGAACTCCAAAACCTGGCGTCGCAACTGGCGCGCGTGCTTTGGCAATGAGTACAGACCGGAGCTCAATCCTTACGCCGACTCATTCTTCGCGTTCTTCGCATGCTTCCCGGGTTTCAAGGCCAATGCGACGGCACCGATGGCTGCTGAATTCGACAGACTAGCCAGCTACATGGCATGGACGAAGCAAGAGGCGGCTATCTATCGTACTCAGGCCTGGAATACCGAGTTCGAGCGAGCTTATGGAACTGACGCGAGCAAGTTGGAGGGCTGGAAGGCATTATGCGAGAAATGCAGCATTGAGCCGGCACCTCAGAGTGTCAAGAAGTGCAAGAAGGTGAGTAATGCACCAGATCTCGTCCTATTCCGAGTATTTTTACCACGCTTTGTGTTCTTAGAGTGCTAATACCGGACGCATAGGCCCTCGCGAACGTCCACGTCAATCTTTGCGACCTGGCTGACGCATGGCGCACTGGCGAGAAGGTAAAGCTTTTCCCGAGCTTTGCTGCGCTTCGTCGCTACACCATTCCCGCGCGGATCTTCCCCTTGACGGACGCGAAGGCAGACGGATACGCGAAGGCGCTTCTAAAGAAGTTCTTCTTGCGCCCCTCGGTGTGATGGAGAGTTGAAGATGCTGAGCAGATGGGCAGATGAGCGAATTGGTGCATTGAAGCCTATTGGGAATACATGGCCTTGGATTCAGGCTGGATACTTGGTGGTGCTGCACTATCGGAAGCGGATGGCGGGTGCTGTTTGATACACGATGCGTGGTCCAAGTCTTGGAGTAATGGGTTTGAGGAATGACTATGGGCAATGAAATAGTGTGCAACACAATTGAAATCGATTGGTCCCATGAACGACTCCAACCATCCGTCCATCACTGCTTGTGGTACCCCTATAGGCTCTCAACTCCGAAAACAATGTGAAGGTCGACACAGTATAAATTCGACTATCTTGTGACTGACCAGCCACTAGCTAACCAGGCCACTCCTTACAGCGGTTTTGGGCTAGCAATATTAGAGCCCAAGCAGTGCGATATCCGTATGCCTGAACTTATGACCCAGTACTGTAGATATGTAGTCTAGAAGTCACGTGAGCGGGGAAGATCGGAGACAAACGAAGGATCAGCTTCGGTATCGAAGCTTAATGGAGAACACGGGAACGTGCCCTGGGATTCTCTTCATGCAGTATTTCGGACTACCGAGTGCTGAAGTTGAGATCTGATAATTTGGGAGGTCAAGATTCTGGAACGGTGGAGCAGAAACAATAGGAAAGACCCTGACACTTCCCTGGTACCTTGTACATACACGCATTCCAGGCCATTGAAGAGTGAACGAATATTATATCGCGCCTCACACGCTCTCGGCGTCAACATCTCGCGGCCTCAACGAGGCATCCGTTCCCCGCAATTTGGAGGCTTCCCCTGATGCGCTTCTTCAGCCCAGCTGATCTGTCCCGCCAAGGCACTAGACCAACGTCTTCTTGGTGAAGGGCGGCCAAGGAGAGCATGACCCGCGCACACGACTGGCTGCTCACCGACCAAACCCGCGACTCCTCCTCGTCCTCCTCCACCCTCTATACAGACCCACGGCATCCTGCTGATGCGGTCCCGCTTGCGACCCTCTCCAGCCCGTCCTCTCCGGCCGAGGACCATCACCGCCGCTCACACGTGTCACGCGTAGCAAACCTCACCTCCGCCGACTCTCCTGTTATGGAAGCGCCGCCTACGAACCACGCCCGACGAAGAAGCGCATCTCTGGCCGGCGCAGGAGCTGGGAACCCCCCGGGCGGCGAACCCACAGCGAAGAAGCACCAGCGGACACAGTCGCAGCCCCCCATCGAAGAGGACGGGTCTTCGTCGGACGGAGAGCTCTCGGATTCCTCCAACAAGACCGAGAGCACCGACCTCGAGCTGGATGATATGCGCTCCGACGATGAGCTCGAGGACGACGAGGAGACGGGATTGACGGCGAGAGACAGGCGGCGGCGCAGGAGACGCAAGAGGCAGCATACTAGGTTCGATGAGCGGATTGTGCCGGACCACAGCATTTCGAAGGAAGAGGAGAAGATGGCTTCGCAGAGCATGGTAAGATCTATGCTCATAAACGCGTTGTTAATTGGATTATGGTGAGTATCCATTCGAGTCCTGGTAGAGGGCATTGCTAACAACACAATAGGTACTTGTTTTCAATCTCAATATCACTGGTGAGTATTTAGTGTCATAATGCAGTATACTAGATGCTAACTGGCCCAGTATAACAAATGGATGTTCAAAGACGAGAAGGAGGATGGAGAATCCCGGAACATCTTCCCGTTCCCGCTATTCACAACTTGCCTGCATATGATTGTTCAATTCTCCCTCGCATCGCTGGTCCTATTCCTAATACCAGCATTTCGTCCACGACACGATTCCATTAGCAACCCCCATTCCTTCCGCGGTCCTCCCCCTCCTGCTGAGGCTATTGATCCGAAGAAGCCACTCATGACCAAGTGGTTTTATTTCACACGTCTTGGGCCATGTGGAGTTGCCACGGGCATGGACATTGGCTTGGGGAACATGAGTTTGAGATTTATAACTCTGACCTTCTTCAGTAAGACTAGACTGTCATCCACCACATGTGCAATTTTGCTAACGAGGTTCAGCAATGTGCAAGTCCTCCGCTCTCGGCTTCGTCCTCATATTCGCCTTTCTCTTCCGCCTCGAAAAGCCGTCCTGGAAACTCGTCCTTATTATCCTTATCATGACTATTGGCGTAGTTATGATGGTTGCTGGCGAAACCGCCTTCAACGCTCTAGGGTTTATCCTGGTTATGTCATCCGCACTTTCCTCCGGCTTTCGCTGGTCCCTCACGCAAATCCTCCTTCTCCGCAACCCCGCAACATCAAATCCTTTCTCCTCTATCTTCTTTCTCGCCCCTGTCATGTTCCTATCCCTTCTCGTTATCGCCATACCGGTAGAGGGATTCTCCGCGTTAGCAGGGGGATTTTCTCAGCTCATGGAGACCAAAGGCCCAGTTTTGGGTATTGGCATTCTTCTATTTCCCGGCTGTCTCGCCTTTTTAATGACGTCGTCTGAGTTCGCCCTCCTGAAGCGTACATCGGTAGTCACACTCTCCATCTGCGGCATCTTCAAGGAGGTGGTTACCATCTCCGCTGCCAACATCGTCTTCGACGACCACCTTACACCCATAAACCTTTCCGGCTTGCTCATCACCATCGCGAGCATCGCCGCATACAATTACATCAAGATTAAGAAGATGCGAGACGATGCACGGCTCCAAGCGCATTTGGTGGCGGAGGAATATGCACCAGTGCTGGTGAATGATCCAGATCAGCCACGGGCTAGCATTGCGTCAGTCAGTGGAACGAGGGGGAGCATCCGGAATAGTCTGCATATCCCGCCCTTAGTTGCTGAGAGCCGCATCGAGAGTCCGGTCAGGCAGAGTCCAATTAAGCGGCCGGAGAATATCGATTGAGCTTTTGAGGTTTTTTTGTTCCGATGAACACTTGGTACTTTTCTATGTTGGAGTTCTGGGTGGAATTGCATTGCTGGTCCGGTTCATACCATTTGGACGTTGTGTCTGGAACGAGAGCATATTGCGCGTTTGGGCGTCATTTTGGTTTGGCGGGTTGCTGACGAGGCAACTTCGTCTCTGTATACGGTTGCATTGTGTGGCTGTAATGGTTGCTCGTTGTAAGTCTCGGTAGTATAGACAAGTTATGGAACAACGGACTTGCACACATCGAGTTTTGGTCGTTGTCATTTTGCGTGGCCACGTGTCGTGTTGTTCCCCTCAGCCACAAGCTTGGAAGGACGCTAAGGCTGGCGACCGGTGAGCTAGGTAGCACCTCACAGCGCTTCTACCTCTACTAACAAGGCCAGCTAAATCTACCTTTGATCAATCCGAATCCGTTGCGGCTTATTCACCGAAGAGCGACCTGTAATGTCAGGATCTTTCCTTTCGGTAATCACCAGCCGAATTAGACGGAGAAGCAAGGCTGCACCCGACATACAAGTATGGCGGGACGAAGGTTGCCTAATATGTTCCAGGGAGGAGAAATGCTGGGCACCCTCGCCACTAGATTTTACCATAAACACGACATTAGCAAATCTACGGGATGTAGGCTGCGGGAATTGCAAGGCGCTTTTCACTACTTTGAATCACTTCCTGCAGAACCTGATGTTAGTAGGGGAGGCCTAGACCTCTCAAAGGTCACTGTATCATTTCCTGAACCAAAATTTCATCCAGACAGGGAGCCAAACGGGATAGTCTCCATTAGATTCGAGGACATGGCGTCCATTGATTTCCTACTCGGGCCTGAATGTGAGTGCTCTGCCATAGATTTTCTCTCTTTCAACTAAACATCCAACAGCACGCTTCACATTGCAAAGGTCTTCGTAAACAAAGATTTTGACACGGCACTAACTTGTGTTTCACACACAGTCTCAAATTGGATCCAACAATGTGAGACTCATGACAAATGCAAGATACAAAGGACAGGCCTTCTTCCTAGCAGAGTCCTTCATATCACAGCTACGTGCCTCCAGCTTCGGGAAACTAGAGGAACAATGGGCCGATACGTAGCACTCAGTCACTGCTGGGGTCAGTACCCAACATTAACTACCACGCTGGGTACTTTGCATGCTCGCTAAGAGGAGATAAAGTTTGAGAGACTTGGGAAGACCTTCCAAGATGCCGTCATACTTACATGAAGGCTTGGATTCGACTAGCTATGGATCGACTCGCTCTGCATCATACAGGATTCATTGGCCGACTGGGAGTACGAAGCATCGAGCATGGCTTCGGTTTTCAGGAACGCTGACCTTACCGTTGCTGCAACGAAGTCTGCCGATGGCAGTTTTGGGTGCTTCCCGAACACTCACCCACCCTCTTATATATGGAAAAGTTTGCGACCGAATACTGTAGAAGTTGCCAAGTATCTCCACCATCCCAAACTTTCGGAGCCATTCCATTCCAGTTTGGGGTGGTTGGCGCTCGAGCCCGACCACTCCACAATCTTCCATAGCCCACGGCGCAACCCCCACACGGTTGTCAGTCTCGGACGGCCTTGTTCTATCCGTACCCTTCCTTCATGGGGACGACATTCGCAGAACAACCCCTGGTTGCATTCCCAATATAGCTCCATAGGCCCAAAGTGGACAATGCGTGGGCTAAGCATACGCTCTTGCAAAACCCATGCTCTTGAGTAGAAAGGTAATCGATTGGGACAGACCACTCGGGACTTTTACATCGAAATCCTGGAAAACAGTAGTGATGTGGCATACCACTGGGCGTGGCAGGCGATGGTGGAGGAGTGCAACCGCCTACGACTCACGAAAGAAGAAGATCGGCTTCCGGTACTGTCAGGTCTGGCAAAGTCGAACCAGTCCGTGTATCTCGCGGGTATCTGGCTTCAACATTTCCCACACTGCTTGTATTGGGCGCCTGATCCATATTACACGAGCCACGTCAGCCGTCCCCAGCAATATCGCGCACCATCATTCTCCTGGGCCTCTATCGAGAGCCCCATCAACTACCTGCGCTAGCGAGCCCCGATTGACTTAGATGAAGACTTCAATCGATCACTTCGCCAAGAAGGCGCTCTTAATTCAGCGGAGGCGTTGAATGCGAGATGCGAAGTACAAGGTGTGAATCCTCATGGCCGTGTAAAAAGCGGATTCTTGGTCATCAACGGATGGACAGGTACCGCTGCTGTCAGCAAGATCCATCGCCGCCGTATGGACGCCAGCGGAATGTCTGGGGTATGCGAGTTACAGCGCGACGGACAACTCCATCGCTTTACGCTGGATCTTAGTTCTCCCAGCTTTCAGGTATTGAACTCCAAGAAGGTGAGTCCGTTCTGCTGCTCTTACTTGAATGCGAAATGATACTGAGCGGGCCTTACCTAGATTCCGTCGGACCATATCGGGCATCAGTTCTAGTGTTGAAGGCCAGTGCGACGGTTCCTGGCTCGTATGAGCGCGTCGGTCTGATCTTTCCAGCAACTCAGGTGCGGTACATCAGCAATGATGATGACAATTATGATATTCTAGTCGGAGATATCTTCAAATCGGCACCGAATTGGTTTGATGAGGAAAAGACGGTCCGAATCATATAGAGCATATCGCAGAAGGTAGCACCATTACCCTTACGGTTATTTATCTAGACTCGTGATTAGATATTTATGTAAAAGGCCGGACAGTGATGACTTTAGAGCTTTGTCTCTGCAGCGATAGTGTGATTTTTATTGAGACCAGTAGAGCAATGCTTTACTTCTAGAGCTAAGGCTACGTAGTCTCTTTGATAAACCAGAATCAGAGCCATCTTATGTACGTACTATTGAGTTCATAAGGCAAGAACCGTCGAAAATAATGCACGCAGAATGAAATGAAAGCCTATGGCCTTTCTACCATTGTAGATAGTTATAATACCAACCAATCGGGTGAATGTCCGCCTTGTTGGTCCATGCGCTTTCTAAATCTAGCACGTTGGCCATCAACCATCAACAAACCTCACTGTGTGTCGCCTACGGAGTCCAAGCCTTACGGCACAGCCACCATTCACTTAGCATCTACATTGAATTTATAGTTCCCATTTACTTCCTCGTGCCTAGCTCTGACACTCCAAGTGACGCGGTACACATTTCTCACTTCCCAACTCCCCACGACAACATTCCTTCACGTGGCAAACAAGTCACAAACTTCTCACTGGCCGGCGAGACTCTTTCATTACTCTCCTCATTCCACCAAGTTTCAACAGCCAGAAAAGAAAAATGAAGCTCCTCTATCTCCTCCCTCTCGTGACTTCGTTCGCGTCAGCACTGTGGCCGCAGCCTTCAACTTACACCTCCGGAGAGACCGTCTTGTGGATTGATGGTGATGTGCAGGTCACCTACAATGGTGCTGAATATGTAGGCTCGATCAAATACCCAAGCGACCCAGTAGAGTATGTTTTCACGGTCGCAGAGCACTAACTTGTCGTCACTTACAGAAGAGTCACAGCTATCGCGAGAACGCCACTTCCGGAGCTCCTACCGGCGGCGAGATTGTCCAATACGCCATTCAAAAGACATACGCTACGATCTTCGAGAAGAACTTCATACCATGGAAGTTTTACTCGCGTAACTCAAACTTCGAGCCATCTAACTCTGACAAGAAACACGTCACAGCACTGACGTTGAAGCAAAATGCGGCTGATCCCGACAACCTTGTCAATGCTCTAGCAGGAGATGTGGATGAGTCGTATGGCCTAAGCCTTACCGAAGAAGGCGAGGTTACAATCACTGCAAACTCGTCCATCGGCTTGGTCCGTGGTCTTACGACGTTCAGCCAACTCTTCTTCAAAACTACGGACGATTGCGTGTACACAAACCTTGCTCCCGTTGAGATCACGGATGCTCCAAAGTTCTCCCACCGTGGTCTCAACTTGGATGTTGCACGGAACTTCTTTCCAGTCAAGGACATCAAGCGCATGATCGATGCTATGGCGTTCAACAAATTCAACCGGTTCCACATGCACGCGACCGATGGCCAATCATGGCCTTTGGAGATTCCTGCACTTCCTCGCCTGGCTTCCCAAGGAGCGTACGAGTCGTCCTTGACCTACAGTCATGGTGACTTAAAGGAGCTTCAGTACTACGCCGCTCTGAATGGTATTGAATTCATCATCGAGATTGATATGCCGGGCCACACTTCTTCTATTTGGCACTCATATCCAGAGCTTATTGCTGCATTCAACATCCAACCGGATTGGAGCACGTACGCAGCAGAGCCCCCGTCTGGAACACTCAAATTGAATTCTTCCGATGTCTACAATTTCCTAGACACTCTGCTTGCTGACCTCCTTCCACGGGCTGCTCCGTTTTCAGCTTACTTTCACACGGGAGGCGATGAGGTCAACAAGAACGCGTATACCTTGGACGATACCGTGAAGTCCAACGACAGCGCCATCCTGCAGCCTCTCATGCAGAAGTTCGTGGACCGGAACCACGACCAAGTTCGGTCGCAGGGCCTTACCCCGATTGTCTGGGAAGAGATGCTCCTGGAATGGAATCTTACCTTGGGGAAAGATGTGATCGTTCAGACATGGCAGAGTGATCAGGCTGTCGCCGATACAGTCGCCAAAGGCCACAAAGCATTGGCTGGCAACTACAACTACTGGGTAAGAGGCTTCAAAGGCTCCGGAGAACAAACTAGAACTAACTTTGGCCTGTAGTACCTTGATTGCGGTCACGGGCAGTGGCTCGACTTCGTCATTGGGCCATCATCCAAGCAGTACTGGCCTTACAACGACTACTGGTAACTTTTGCGCTTCAACAGTTGACAATGTAGCTGACTATACCTAGCCAACCCCTTCACAACTGGCGCCTCATGTACTCTTACGATCCACTCTCTGGTGTTCCCGATGAGAATGCGCACCTAGTCATCGGAGGCGAGGTCCACATGTGGGCAGAGCAGACAGATCGCACCAACATCGACCGCAACGTCTGGCCTCGTGCTTGTGCGGCTGCAGAAGTCCTATGGAGCGGGCCCAAAGATGCCCAAGGGCACAATCGAAGCCAGGTCGAGGCGAGCCCGAGATTGAGCATGATGCGTGAGCGTCTTGTTGCCAGGGGCGTCATGGCCGAGCCGATCCAGATGCCCTTCTGCCTTATGAATGGGACGCAGTGCACACTCCCCACCTAACGTTGGATTCTGAGTACTCTTTTCAAGCGTTCTGCATGCCATCTTCCCTTCTCAGTTGGCGAGAAACCGTGATTCGAGATGGAATCTGACTTGGCGGGATTTCCCGAAGGATGACCAGCCTTTGGCATATCGTGAGCATTTACAAATTCGATACATAGGTATAAACGAAGTGCCATACTATGTTTTGAGCACGATGCACCGGAACTCCGGAACTCTAGAACTCCAGCAGTGTTGAACACCGCTGAAGACCCTGATGCCCAGCCTCGTAAACGTCGCCATCTTGGGCTAGTCTCTTTCCCGAATGCGTAACATCCGAGCGCGGGAGGATGTCGCCTTTCAAAACGTCCACTCCCATTTTCGCTCCTTCCTGCTGGAAATGCTCTCGAACGCGGCAGGTGATGTCAACGTTGCCGAGTACGACTGCCCTCATGGCTGGTGCTCCTGCCCCTCCGAGCCCCTGGCCGTCCCCGCATTCCGGGGATAAAGAAAAAGCGGCTGGTGGCAGTATCAACCTCTCGATTGTAGTGCCCCTATAGTCTCACCGTGTTACGAAATACAGACATCTAGCATCGCAAACGATGCTGGACTGCCCAGCCAACGACAGAAGCTCTTCTGGCCGACTGTCATCGCATCTAATGGCACGGGTCGCTTCAAACCAGCCAGCCAGCTCCAATTGAGCATCGTTTACCACACATACCACTTTCCCCAACTCTTGTATGTCCGGGACGACGGCTGTTACTAATGTCGAAATAGCCATGGTTGCGGCGGTTGCGTCACCCCACCAGGCCAGTCCTAGGAAGGATACTACCACGACGGATGGAGACCATGCCTCGGGATTTCCGTATGCCCACGCGCCCAAGCACATGATATATCAACGAGCGTGTCGTCTTCTTTGTCCAATCCCTCCATGCGAATCTCTTGGAGCGGGGTGAGCTTGCTTGAATAATTTGTATCCTATCCACGCCTCAACCTGAACTGGAGCCTCGATTAGACCACGTCGTTGCACGACGTCTATGGAGCGAATTTCTGTTCGTTTCGCATCGTATTCTTGTATTTGAATCAAGAAATCCTTCTGTCTCAAAGCTCTCCAGTCCACAAACGTTACTCCTTCTGCCGTCAAAATGCTTCAAGTCATGCTCCCGCACCTCACGATCCCTAAAGTCATCGTTGGTCTACTCATCTTCCGAATCATCTACAATGCTGTCAACTACATTCTTGAGACAAAACGTCTCCACCGCCTCGGCGGCACGCGCGCCGCCATTCGTACGACGTATCTCCCCTTCGGGATCGACTTAGTCTACCGAGCGGTAACCTCCTCGCTCGCAGACAAGAACTATGAAATGTGGCTAGATATGTTCAAGAGCTACGGGAAGGGCAGATGGACCCTCGAAGCAGGATCCAGCTACACACGGATAGTATTTACCGCCGATCCAGAGAACATCAAGGCGATTCTGGCGACTCAGTTCAAAGATTTTGGGAAAGGAGAAAGGTTCAACAGGGAGTGGCATGATTTCTTGGGTGATAGCATCTTCACGACCGACGGGGACAAATGGCACGACTCGCGCATGTTGATCCGTCCCCAGTTCATCAAGGATCGGCTGAGCGATATTGACGTTTTCGAGAAGCACTTCAATGTACTCGCGGATAAGTTGGGGGGACAGGGACAGGAGGTTGACCTTGCGAACTTGTATTTCAGGTACGTGGTTCCCTCAGGCCTAGATATGCGGGGCTGATGTTAAGTGCTAGGTACACTCTCGATGCTGCTACGGACTTCCTCCTCGGACGAAGCGTAGATAGCCTTCATGATCCTGCAGTCGAGTTCGCGCACGCCTTCGGCAGGGCTCAGCACATTCAGGGCTTGATTACTAGGATAGGGTGATCACCTAACGGCCATCTTTAAAAAATGGAGACTAACAATCAAATAGACCCCTTAATTGGCTCGTCCCGCGCAAACGTATGGGCTTCTACGAATCTATCAAGAAAGTCGACGTTTTCATCAACACTTACATCGAAGACGCTCTTCGATTGTCTCCCGACGAGCTCGAGAAGAAGTCAAAGTCCGACGAAGGCTACACCTTTTTGCACGCCATTGCAGGCTACACTAGGGACCGAAAGATTCTGAGAGATCAGCTCGCCGCGGTTCTCCTGGCTGGACGAGATACCACGGCCTGCACGCTTACCTGGCTAACCTACCAGCTATCAATGCATCCTTACATACTTGCCAAGTTGAGGCAGGAGATCGTCGACGTTGTCGGCTTGGACAGGCGGCCAACCTACGACGACCTGAAGTCAATGAAATACCTGCAGGTTCGCTCCTTCTCCCTCAACCCTCGTACAGCCACCGCAAGCTCACCATGAACCGAAATAGCACATCATGAATGAAACCCTCCGTCTCTATCCTGTAGTGCCCTATAACGTCCGAGACGCTTTACACGACACCACCCTCCCCCGTGGCGGCGGCCCAGACGGCATGTCCCCCGTCAGCGTCCTGGCCGGGACTCCGATCGGATACTCTACGCTCGTGATGCAGCGCAGGGAGGACCTGTATCCACCGCCCGAGTCTGGGTTCCCGCCTGTCGATAAGTTCGTGCCAGAGCGTTGGGACGGATGGACGCCGAAGAGTTGGACGTAAGATCTCTCCCCTCCTATTCTTACCTAGTCCATTTCAGCCCTTCTCTCGCTTCATCATAACCGACTCACCCCTACTCGTTCAATATGTCTCACTAATACTTACGATAGCTATATCCCCTTCAACGGCGGCCCCCGCATCTGCATCGGCCAGCAGTTCGCGCTGACCGAGATGGCGTATACCGTTACGCGGCTTTTCCAGCGGTTTGGGAGTGTGGAGAATAAGATGGGTGGGGAGGATCCGGGGATGCATTGCGATATTGTGCTGCAGCCGGCGAAGGTGGTGAAGGTGGCTTTTTGGGATGCGAAGAGGGGATGAAGAGGAGACACTATTTTTGGAAATGAGCATGAAGACGCTATCCCCGGCTCCAGGTAGTTTGTTGCCCCGCCTTTCTCTTCTGTTTCTTTCTGAGCGCTCTTAAATGAGGGTGTATTTCATATCTTGAGAGATCTGATCACGCGCTCTATTTTTGTAGTCTGGTCTGCGATGCTCGAAGTTAGGTCCTTAGAAAAAGCCACCTGTCAGTAAGCAAACATGAGAAAGCGCTCACGGTCACAGGAAATAATACTCTGATCTGAAATGTTGAGCAATAAGATGCGAAAAACGAGTCTAAATTACACGGACTAGCTCCCGTTCGTACCCCTCGACACATTGTAACATCAACCTATACCTAGGATCCGATTCAGCGTGTCCTGCCTCTTACAGGGTACATATCCGACGTCAAGAGAATGCAAAAGGGCGCTTGTACCTATTTAGGATCAATGTTCTATCATATTATTCTAGGATCTAGATTCCGGACTGGCTTCCCTTCACATTCTTCGAGGCTACCCAAAGACCCGGTTTACCACAATACTCCCATTTCCATACCATTTCCAGATTATCGCCCTCCAGTTCATAGCACATCCAATACATTAACGTTACCGATCAACACCGCTTGGTGTCCTAGCAAAATACCTCAAAATAAAAAACCCTTGCCACACGCCATTTCCATTCCCTTTACCTTAGGTCAAAACACTCACCCCTTCATCTACTTCCCACCCCCAATCTCGTAAATCGGCCCACCCCCTTGAGCCAGATGCGGCCTACTCGTCGCATCCACCTCCACCACCCCCCGCGGCAACGCTCCCGGACTCGCCGCCGGCAACGGCGCATACCCACCCGCCCCCGGCGTCTGAAACCCCACAGGCGCAGCATAAGCCGGCGCAGGCGTCTGCGGCGCAGATACCGGGCTGACCGTCTGCGTCGCAAACTTCGATTCGGGATTGTACGGCTGGTTCGGCTGCCCTAAGTACGAGTAGCCCTCTGGCGCCGCGGGCATGGGCGGGGGGAGGTTAGGAGTCTGCTGCATGGGTTGGTACAGCGATTGTGGTCGGGTGTTGTTAGGGTAGTATTGTGATTGCGGCCGTGATGCTGTTGCGGCTGCAAGCGCGGCGGCGTTGGAGGCGGCCGCGCGCTTTTGCTTGCGGCGGAGGCAGAAGAAGATTATGAGGCTGGCGATGGCGAGGAGGAGGAAGAAGGCGCCGCCTGCGACGCCGGCGATGAGGCCAATGGGGACTTTGGTGGTTGTGGAGCTGGTGGAGGGGGCAGCTGTGGCTGTGGAGAAGAGGTTGGTTGTGTCAGTCGCGTCTAAGGACGTCCGCGATGCCTTTGCAGTCTTGGTGGTAGTGATAGCGGCGGCTGTTGCTGTTGATTGGTAGCCCGTGACGATGTTGGCGCCGACGTATGGAAGGGAGAGCGAAGTTGTGATGAAATTTGCGGCGTCAGTGACGTCCTGTTGGATAGTTTCAAAGATGGATAAGGATTCGGTCCCGCAGCCATAATCTTGCACATTGTCGGAGATATAGGTCCAGGAGACGCAGTAGGGGGAGATGTTGTCTGTGCACTTCATGATGAATGTGTTGGACATGCAGTCGGAATCGCAGGCGCCGCCCATCATGCTGGAATAGTCCATGCACGTGTTGACGTAGCCGCAGTTCTGGAAGTCAAAGGCTGAACAACAGCCAGCCATACCAGGTGATATATCTGTGAGGAGCATGCAGGTGGCTCCAACTGAACATCCTATTTGAGATGCTGGATTTAGTGTTAGCATTGAAGTAGGCACGGACCGGTAGACCAAAGCTTACAAAAGTCGCCATCTACCCATCCACATGTCTCTGAAGAGTCAAATTGTCTCTTTCGAAGTTCATTCGGCGATGGGCCCTGTGTTGGTTTCGGACTCCATCCGTCGATCAGCCTCTGAGGAACTAGAGGCGTAGCTATTGGTCCAGCAAATGTAATACATGTCACGCCAGTAACGAGAGCAGCAACAGCTAGAAGCTGTTCTAGATGTGTCATAGCTGAATGAGGGATCTGTGGGGTACTGAGAGGTTCTGTAGGTAAGATTATGCAATTAAGAAAGACTAAAACGAGAGACTATAGAATAGAGTAAAGCAAGCTGACGATAGAAGAAACTGACGAGTGGAAAACGAGATGAAAACTACGGGAAGAGCACCGACTGATTAAAGTCTTCGAAAAATCAGCCTTCTACCTTCTTGGCATTCTCGAGCTGAAGGTGAGACAGCTCCTCGGTGTCACCACCACGGTTGGGTAGAGGGATGGGCCTGTAGCTGGGAAGCATCTGGACCCATTCTGAAGAAATAACCAAACACCACTGACGAGCCTGGGATTGACGCCGGCGGCGTCTGGCGGTCCACCAACTCATCAGGGCTCAGTTCGAGCCATGGGTTGTCTCGCTAGTCCAGTGAACTCCCGTCGTTGATTCGAGGAGAAAACCAGGCCATCCCGTCGCCGTGTTTATGCATAACAGGACGAGTTGGCCCCATGGCGTTGAGAGGTGTATCAAGTCACGAGCTCTAGCCCCAGGAGATCCTATCACAGCGATTGATGTCGCGACAGTGGCGAGTGAAAGAAGCAAAATTTAACGACGTGTCAAAGCCGGGAGATATGCGGCAGCTGGCTGAGCCCCTGCATGAATCCCGGTCTCGGAATAGGATCCTCAAACGCTTGGCATAGTGAACCTTTCTTTTCCCTTCATACAACTTATTTACCCAACGAGAGGTTGAACCCATCCCACGAATTTCCCCCCTTCAGCAAGTCTCGCCAGACTGACTCTTCAGAGAACCCCCATCCTGCTTCTTGATCCGCTCAAACAGCTGCACGAATGCTGACGGCTCCTGCGCTCCGCCAATCTCGAATCGATCCTGGATCGTGAAGTTGGGCACGCCGGAAATGGAGTGCTCGTAGGCGTCCTGCACCTCTCGATCGACCTCAGGCCCTCCTTTCCCGCTCTCCAACCATGCCTTCACTTCGGCCGCGTCCAGTCCGGCTTTGGTGCCTGCCTCGAGTAAAGTCTCGTGAGAAGTGATGTCCTTCTCGTTCTCAAAGTATGCCGCAAACAGCTCCTCGATGACCCTCGTCTGTACAGCTGGAGACTTGGTCTTGCCGAGTTGAATCAGGCGGTGCGAGTCGCGCGTGTTACCTGTCCTGCCGCCGAACTTGAAGGCGATGCCGTCACTCTGGCCAAGCTGCGCAAGTCGCTGGAACATCATCTGCGTGCGGCCCGCGCCGAACTTACTAAGGTAGTATTGCTGCTTGTCGATTCCCTGTTTGGGGGCGTCTGGTACCAGGTAAAACGGGTACCATGTCGTGGAGAATGTGTCGTTGGAGTCGGGATGGGCGGCTTTGTAGAGTTCGATGCCCTTCTCAAGTCTCTTCTTTCCTACGTAACACCAGCTGGATATAGTCAGTCAAGATATTCGCTAGAGCCGGTGCTGTGGAGGAGCGTACGGGCACACTGTGTCTGACACGATCTTGATGTCGAAGTTGGTCATTCTGCGAACGCTTTGTCGGAAAGCCACGATGACGGTATTGGGTTGGGTGTTTGGAACAGTAAATGAGCGTCTGGAGGCTTTATACAGTTCAACTTTATACAGTTCAATACATCGTGGCAATACCGGCGGAAGCTGCTGACAAATTGGGCTCGGGTCGGGCATGTTGCCATATGGGCGATGGTCAACAACATACCCGACGACTCCGAGGACACAAGTCGGCAGCGGTTACTCTTACCTAGAGGCTGGAGCTGAACCTCTATATCGAATCATACCTACTCCGTCAAATAAGGTCTTTCGCATGCCTCACCGCCCACAATACCTTAACAACCCGCATCCACGCTCTGGAAACAGTTCAAGTCTATCTGCGAGAGTCTAATCGGCACTCAAAAAGCCGTCGATTATGATAACATCTACCACTGCTCTGAATATAAATCTTGTAGCCGACTGCGCTTGTACAGACCAGCTGATCATTGCCCGACACAGTAAGCTCGGAGCTATACATCCGCCACCCGGAGCATAGGATTTCCACTTTGCCATTCTGCCATCCTGCCAGGCTGCTCCTTCACATCGTTATCTATTTTCTGTCGCGTCCCCCTTTAGACTTCAATAAAACTGCGTTTAGCGCTGTATTCTAGATCATTTCAGTCCTGATGCAGCGCATTCGTATACCGTTACAGCATCTATGGCTCTTTCCATTCATATCCGGTACAGCGTGGTTTGTGACGCTAGCCGTGCTGCTGATTACCTGGTTCGCAGAAGGCATGCCCAAGTACCCGTTGCAGAGTAACCCATATGTTGCGTGCGTTGCTCTCTTCTCATTCTGCATGCTTCCAGCAGCCTCCTATTCTTTCACAGCCCAACTCTTTTTTTCTCTCAAATACTCTCAATCAACGTCATCCATCCTTACCTAGGAGTGAACTTTCAACTTCAAACTTCAAGCCTTCGTCGTCATCGAACATCTTCCAAGCCACTTTGATGTTGACCCTGTGACTATCTCAAGTTTCATATCCGACATCGCCGCCTTCACGTTGAAACCCTTCTTCCTCACGGGCGCCTCCATCACGGGAATAACCTATATCGCGACCGTAGTCCTCGTCCACTTCGCCCGCTACGACCACCGCGTCTACGGCATCGCCGACGTGCGCTGGAAAAAAGCCCTCTCAATCTTCGCCATGGTGTGCGGCATCATCGCTGGTCTCGGACTCGTCCGTAAGCCACAACCCCCAACCCTTCACAATCCATCTAGAACAGGAGCCATACTCATCAGCCACAGTCCTCGGCATCATGGACACGGCCCGCTACCGCATCGCGCACCAATATCTCCTCCTCGCCTGCCTCCTCGGCATCGCAGGCAGCGCGGTGAGCACGACAGTGGTGTACTGGGATCAGGTGTGGAAGCCGAGTCCGTTTCGGAATTTGCGGGTTTAGTACGTCTACCTATCCCATCGAACCCTATCTCTCTCCCCTCTCACATTTCCCAGCGCAGCCATCAGCGCAGCCACCGTCCTCGCCGACTTCGCTCTCGCCGTTGCCATGTACGCCTTCATGCGCGCCAAGCACTGGCGTATATCCGGGATCCTGGAGTGGAGCATGGCGTTCGTAGGCGCGTTTTACATCCTCGCGTTTATCGGGTTCGTGTCGTGAGTGCCCTCTTCGCCCTCTTTTCCCACTTAGTTTTGTGTTGGTAGTGCATGGTGCGTGGTGCTGACGAGGTCCAAATATAGGGTGCCGGAAGAAGGGATTGATGAGAGAGAGCGGGAGGCGTTATTGGAGAGAGAAGAGGAGGGAGGGGGGTGAGTAGTGTAGATGTAGATTTAGGCTGCGAGGTTGTTAAAGGTAGCGAGGGTACTAGAAAAGTGAGTATAGACATAGATGACAAGATGATTACGTTTTGCTACAGCAATGTATGAATGGTTTTGTATGGCGGCGGTTTATAATACAGTGCACTCCAAGGACCGATGCCAAGTGCTACGAACCTTCGAATCATTCCCGGCTTGTGTCAATCTCGAATTACCAATGTCGAAACCACATTAACCATATACCATCCCAACATTCCACATCCGCACTCTTCTCCCCTTTTTATCACCCCTTCAAACCTCCCTTCCACTCGCCCCCCGCAAATCTAACTCCAAAACTCACCGCCACAGCCGCAAAGAGCCCAATACACAGCACCGTCGGGCCGATCTTATCATGATACGTGACCGCCCTCCTCTTCCTAATCATCTTCACACGCCACATATACAGCCCCATGGAATAGAAGAGCGAGACAAGCGCGATGATAGTAAAGCACCAGGCCGCCGCAAACGAAACATTATCGCCGAAATTAAGCAGCGTGGCTGCAATGGAGCCGAGCAGGATGCTAAATTGGAGCCAGTCGAGGAAGGTACGCTCGGTAGCGAGTTGGACTTTTGGTTCGACGCGGACAGGGACATGGATGCCTAGATAGTGTGTTAGTAACTATACTGAAAGGCATCTATTCTTCATATGAAGATAAGATGGAGTCGGGACTCACGTTTTCCTTTTGGTGCTTTGAATCGCTTCACCTCGCCCATGACCTTCGGCACGCCCATGCTTGGCCCATTGGTAGGCATGGGTGTTGCTTTCGGCTTCGGGATCAGCATCTTAGCCCAATCTAGTGTTGTCTTCCCGAGCTGGGTGCCACGCTGCTTCAGCCATTTCGAGTAATAGTGCCATCCACCCGTGTAGCGTGCCTCCTCTAGGTCGTCTTCTTCGTCATCCGAGTCGTAAAGCGGGTAGTCGTCTTCTGGGAGAGGTTGAGCTGCAATTCGCTCTTCAATATCGAGCGCATTGGGTCCCTCTCCGTTCGTCACTGTGCCGTAGTCTCGCCGTTGGTCCATATCGTGTTGTTCCATTGCGTCTCTGGCAGCACGCAGGCGACGCAATTCTTCCGTGTCGTCTTCATTTTGGTGAGCTCCAGGGAGACCAGTAGAGCTGTCTTCGTCGTCATCGGAGTCGTCATCTAGGTTTCCCGTTGTGGAGATATCGTTGGATTGGCCAGGACGTTCGATGCCGAAACGGTGAGTGACCGGTTTTCGAATATCCACGTCCATCTGCGGAGCCCAATATGGTAGGAGTTTAATGCGGTTTGGTTGCAACGTTGCGCTTCCGTGAATGTATTTACTGAACTTAGGCACGGCTTCCACAATATGGCTGGCCGTGAGTTGTCGAATCCAGTCCGGCGGTTCCTGGCCAGCTTGCGTCTGTAGCTTCACTTCAAGAACAGCATATGGAAACCTTTCAACATCTTCGGCGGGAAGCTGTGAGAAGGGCCAGTCGACGCCAATATCCATCCGTCGCCAATTCTTTCCAGCCCGCTTTTTCCCATCCAAGTTGTCTTCACGCGTCATAGTGAGCTCCGTGTCTAGCGATATGCGAACCCTAGCGTCTCCTGGCAGTTGGAAGGCAGTCCTGTGATAGAACGATCGCGTTACTGGGACAAGGTGTCGGGCGATGACTCGATACTGGATCTCCCTAGCGAGGGCCTCATCGGATGCAATATCCTTTTCGCTTCTCTTGCCATCCTTGCGTTCCTTCTCGAATATTTTGTCCACCGTGAGTTCGCCGGACATGTATGCGTTTACGTTCTTTTCCTTCATCTTGAAACGGGCTTTTACTGACTCTTCGCCAGTCCAGTCTTCCCGATGCGTCTTTCGCTCAATGAAGATGGCTTCGCTTTGCATGCCTCCGTACCAACGTAATCTTATGGCCTCAGCTCCTTCCGTCTTTTTCAGACGGCCCTGATATAACTCCCAGGTATCTGTGTTGTCGTAGTAGATGGATGTTACGGCCGTATCGTCCATGGAAAATTCCTTGTTGGGGTTGAATACAAGAACAGGAAGATGCTTCAGGATGATGAGCTTCAACTCGGTGATGTTGTCCGGATGCACCCAGTATTTGGTTGTCTGGCGAACGAAATTCTGCTGTTTCCCGCCGGCAGACGAGTCGCCTTTGACTGGGTTGCCTCGTGTCCGCACGTTGTCATAGAGGCGGGACAGTTTTATGATGAATGCATCGTAGTTATCCTGGAAGAAAGGCTTCCTCCGCAAGCGAGCTGCAAAGACGGGCTTCAACACCCATTTTGTTGTTTTCTAAGACAATTAGTATCGTGCCGAATGGGGGACTTGCATAGTATCATACATCGTGCTTTTTGATGATCTTCTGGAACCCCGTATAGTTCAACTGGGTGAATTTGGCTAGGTCGTGGACGTCGGCAATGATGTCGCTCAAGTCTTCCTCCAAGAGCAGGAAGTCATCCTCAGACGGGCCCTCAGCCTGGCCATCTGGGGCATCTGCTCTGCTTAGGACCTCATTTACCTCCTTCTCTGAGGCTTGGATGCGGCGGACAATCTCCTGGCTCTTAACTTTCTGGAAGGTGTAAACTTTATCCAGCTCCTTCTCCAGCTCGCTCACGAAACGCTGCTCGTCATCAGCCGTCCACGGGCGGCGCTTGGGCTTGGGGCCATGGGGGACAACGGACAAGCTGCTGGTGACGCGGTAGGCGGGCTCGGACTCGTAGGGCGTCTTCAGGCTGTCCTTCAGGTCCTGGTAGGAGATGTAGTAGAAGTACCAGTCCTTGATCAGCGACGACTTGAGCTGTTCGCCGAATCTGCAGTGAGTCGCGGGTCAGCAGTGATTGGATGGGAGCTGTCGGGATTAGCACGCACCTCATCGTGGGCTGGAATGGCCAATTGGGGCCCAATTGAAATGGCGGCGGCACGAAGAAGCTGCTGCGAGGCGTCGAGACGACGGGAGAGAGAGGAGAGGGACGAGAAAGAAACAAGAGATACAGGGTCGACGAGGTTGGGAGCTCCCCGCGCAGAGTCTGAGGGGAGCTTTGACTGAAGCTTGCCCACCTGCCGAGAGCGATCCAGGCCGTCCAAAGAGATGGCCCGCTGCGCCCACGTTCTCTGGGCGTGCATCAACATCGCACATCTTGTGCCCGCCATCTGTTCAACACCAGCCAAGCCATGGCGATGGTGAATCCAGCTGTTGACTAATATCCTCATTGCCGCCCATCCGCCTAGGCGTCTCCTTCATCAAGGCCATGTCAGCTGTTCAGGACACAACATCCTCCGCAGCTCCCGCAGGCCCTGCGGCGATTTCCCATTTGGCTTGGTCATGCCGCTCTGCTCGGGCCTATTTCTATCCATCTGCATTCTGACAACTTCAGTAGTTGACGGCTGAGTAACCACGTATGTAGCTGAAGTATCTTAGCTCTATGCTTTTTTTCCACGTCGAGGCGTTCAGTTGCATATTGCCATACACGGCGCAACTCGCCCTGAACGCAATAGTGGCTCTTCGACGTCTCTGACTAACTTATACCTCCTGTTAGCGACTAGCGCACGTCTTTCCATACTGCACGTCTATCGCATTTATCATCAGTTTGCGGACAGCGCTGCGGACAGCCTCCGCAGGCACCTCCGCAGGCCCTCCGCAGCCCCTTGGTGCCTTAGTGCTTTAGACACTAGATACAGTATTCAAGTATAAAAGCAACAGCATATGGCCATCATGTGTCTCTCCCTTCATCCAACCCTCCAGCTTCTCCTCTTTTCAATCTAGAGCAGTTCATCAACTAAAATAGTCTATACTCAAACCTCCTTTTCTCTCAGACCTAAATACTCCTTATGGCTCCCATTCGTATTGGCTTCATCGGCCTTAGTGCCGGCCGGAGCTGGGCTGCCTGGGCTCATATTACCTACTTGAAAGATACCTCCAAGTACACCATCGTCGCCCTCTGCAACACCAGCGTGGAAGCCGCCCAGGCTGCCATAAATGCCCACGGGCTGCCAGAGACCACCAAGGCCTACGATTCTCCGCAAGCACTCGCCGATGATCCTAATGTCGAGCTAGTCGTCTGCTCTGTCAAGGTTCCCTATCACTACGCGACCATCATGCCCTCCCTGAAAGCCGGAAAGGACATCTTCTGCGAGTGGCCGCTAGCCAAAGACGTCGCCGAGGCAGAGGAGCTCATCAGTGTAGCGAAGAGCAAGGGCGTTCGCACCATGGTCGGACTCCAGGCTTGCCGGTCACCCTTCGTGCACAAGGTTAAGGAACTGGTGGAGAGTGGAAAGATTGGGAAGGTCCTCAGCGTTACGTTCGTTGGTAATTCAGGCTTCGGAGGGCTCAAGGAGCCAGATTTTGCTGAGTACACGAACTACCGAGAAAATGGAGCCAACGTGCTGACAATCTACTCCATGCACGGTATGTGTATCTCCATGCCTTCATCTCTCAACTCACAGTGCAGTGCGCTAATGGTCGACTTTTGAACAGCCATGGAGGCCATCTTGTACTCGTTGGGAGAGATATCCTCTTTCAGTTCCATCATCGAGACAAAACGTCCCAAGGTCGAGATCGTGGATGGAAAGGGAGCCGTTGTAAAGACTATCACGCGCACGACCCACGACCAGATCCTCCTCCAAGGTCATCTCGAGTCCGGTGCACTGCTGTCCTACCATATGCGTGGCGGTCCCGCATTCGCTGGCAACGAGGGCCTCATCTGGCGCATCTACGGCGAGACCGGCGAGATCCAAGTCACGGCTTCGGGCACGTACCTGCAGGCCGGGCATGAAGACATGACGATCCGCCTTCAAGACCACGCTACGGGCGAGACCACCAAGATCGAGCCGAACGAGGATGATCTAAGCAAGCTGCCCCTCTTCACGCAGAACGTTGGTCGTGTTTACGAAGCGTTTGCCGATAAGAAGACCGATGGGTATATGGATTGGTCGTATGCGCTGCTCAGGCACAAGCTTGTCGATGAGATCTATAAGCGCGATGCTGCTGGGAAGCAGGAGACTCCGGCGACTTACACAAAGGCCTGATGTCCTTCAGAAGCGAGCGTTGCATTTCTATCCTTGGCGGTTTAGATAGCATTTAGTGGTCCGAATAGGATTAAGTGGAAATTTCCGACATGACGGTTCTCCATTGCATATTCCGATATCTTTTCTGACACGTGTAACACGTCTGCACGCGTTGGACGTGTAAACTGAACGTAGATGGAGTCTAGAAATCAAAGGCGGAATTAGACAAATTGAAGTGATATGATTGGCCAAAAATAATCTAATTCCATTCGTGGCCGCTCTAGCTCGTGAATTTTCTGAGCAGCCGAAGTCGGTCTATCCTCCACTCTCTCTTTCGATCCATGAAAACATATATACTTTGAATCAGAATATCAATATGGTCTTCGAGAAATTTCAGGATGTCGAGCTTCCGGCTTCTTTCGATGCCCATGTCCACCTCCGAGATGGGGCGATGTCTAACCTCGTTGTGCCCACTATCAGACAGGCAGGTAGATACTATAATGACCTGTACTGTCTTGACTAACACTTAATAGGGAGGGGTAAACACGGTCTATGTTATGGTAAGTACGGTCAAATCCTGATTGTGGGAGATTATTTCCATATTTTCTATCGTCTTTTCGTAATCAAAAAACACTTCACCTAGCGCCGATATCTTCATTCTTCATATCAGAATATCAGAAATGCGACATCCCTACAAGATCCACAAGTTCTCCATCTTTCTTAAACCTCTATCCAGACCTCAGACCTTTCAAACCCGGTTCTAACCAAGAACCAGCCCAATCTCGTCCCACCCATCACCACAGTCCAACAAGCCCTTGACTACCGAGCTCGTCTGCAAGCTCTGGAGCCAAACGTAATATACCTCATGTCGCTTTACCTCCACGAAAGCATCACCCCCAATGTGATCAAAGCGGCTAAGAAAGCCGGCATAACGGGCGTCAAGTCCTACCCTGCCGGCGTCACAACTGTACGCACTACGACCCCTTCCCCTTCCCCTTCCCCTTCCCCTTCCCAACCCTCCCCCTGACAAAGCCCGCAGAACTCCTCCTCCGGCGTCGTCGACTACACCCTCTTCTACCCCGTCTTCGCCGAGCTCGAAGCCCAAAACATGATCCTCAACCTGCACGGCGAATCGCCATCGGGCGACGACATCACCGTCCTCAACGCCGAAGCCGGCTTCCTGCCCACCCTGCGCGAGCTGCACGCCCGCTTCCCCCGCCTCCGCATCATCCTCGAGCACTGCACCACCGCCGCCGCCATCGCCACCGTCCTCGCCCTCGGCCCCACCGTCGCCGGCACCCTCACCGCCCACCACCTCTACATCACCGTCGACGACTGGGCCGGCGACCCCTTCTGCTTCTGCAAGCCTGTCGCGAAAACCCCCGCGGATAGGGACGCGCTGCTGCGCGCCGCGGCGTCGGGGAACCCGAAGTTCTTTCTGGGGACGGATAGCGCGCCGCACCCTGCGACGGCGAAGAGAGGCGGGGATCGAATTGCGGCGGGGGTGTTTACGCAGCCGTATGCAACGCAGCTGGTGCTGGGGGCGTTGGAGGAGGGGGTGGAGAGAGGGGTGGTGAAAGAGGGGGAGGTGACGATGGAAGTGTTGGAGGGGTTTTTGAGTGGGTTTGGGAGGAGGTTTTATGGGGTTGAGGATAAGACGGGCGAGACGATTGTGCTGAGGAAGGGGGGCGAGGAGGTCATAGGGTTGTTGACTAAGGAGGGGCTGGAGGTTGAGGTGGTGCCGTTTCGGAGGGGGGAGAAATGCTGGAGTGTGGAGTGGAAAGGGTGAAGTTGTGAGTCGGTTTTGGAAGCTGAGAGATGCATGGATGGGAGCCAGTCCGACATTCGGATCATCGAATCAACTTGATAGCATATTGGCCCTGATTTAAGCCATGTTGCTTTTGAAGTCCTGTTTGACACGCTAAATTAGGCTACGAAAAATAGGTTGCCGTATGATAGATGAAAACTTTTGAACGGGAGCCAGACCAGTGGTACGACCCCAAGTCAAGGAGGTTCAGAAAGTCTTCTCACTTACGTTAGCCGAGTGATATCAATTACTTAACGATGCAAAATGGACCACTCTTAATTTGACTGTGAAAGATGATAAGAGTCCTTTGGCATGCTCAGTGTATCTCTGGGCTCGAGCATTCCTGAGCGATCATACAATTGATACTGACAATAACAAAACGCCCATTGCTATGCGCCGTGCTAAAATTAAAGCCACGGTATACAAACCCTTCAGCTTACAGCCCTTAACGTATACGAGTCCAAACGTACTCCAAAACCCATCGAGCCAATTTCAACTTACCTTCCACAGCAACCTCACCTCTGCTCCACCTTATCCCAGATATGAGTATCATCATACGTCTCTCTCTCCGCCTCCTGATTTTTCAGCACCTTTCCCCTCTCATACGCCGCATCCCTCGACTGATTCATCTCCGCATCCATCGCCCTAATCTTATCCTCCAACTCCTTCATCCTGGCTTTCACCTCCTCCGTAAACTCAAACGCTCTCCCCTCCTCCGCCGCCTTATCCTTCTCCTTATTATGCCCATTCAACTCCTCAAACAACTTATTCCGCTCATCCATCACCTCAAACCAGTGCTGCGTCTTCTTCTCGCTGCCAAAACAGATTCCATACCCATCGCAATAACACGAGCTCACCGCCGGACAATACACCGCATTCCCGGTGAAAATATATTGCCAGATATACTCAAACACGCGCCCGGAAAACTGGTCATCCATGCTCGTTTCCAGCAGCCACTTGCGGTAGTGCACGAACCGCTCAATCGGCACCTGCTGCACGCGCTCCCGGCTCACCGCGAACTGCGCGCAGCACGGCGCGGATAGCGATGGCGGCACGGGTGCCCCCGGGTGTAGCTCGTCCCACACGCCCTTGCGGTAGTACTTCTCTTCGGGCTTGTGGAAGTCATCGAAGTCGACGACGGGCCGGTCCATGTGGATCCAGTCTGGGCAGCCTGGGTCCGTGTGGCAGCGCGTGTTCATGTATCCCAGGCGTGCGACGCGGGCGTCGTTGAGGCGGCGGATGGCTTGCGCGGTGTCCAGGCCCATCAGGATGTTGTTGTGCCAGGCGTAGCGGTGCGAGTGGAAGAACATGATGGTGTCGGGGAGGTCATTGTAGTGGTCGATTAGGTAGGTGAGGTAGACCTGGGCGATATACGATTAGTTGGAGTTATGGGATTGGGAAGGGATCGAGGTAAGGGCGCGTTGGGGTCGGGATATGTATGTAAACGTACCATTGCTTCCCGGCCCTTGTTCTTGGGAACGCGGTACTCGGCCGTGTCATTGTCGACCTGGTAGACGGCGAGTGGGATTTCTGGGAGCTCGGCATGGATCCAGTGGATGTCTTCGTCTTTGGTCTTGGGTAGGACGAGGATGCGCGAGTAGTTGGAGCCTGCGGGCTTGGGCGTTCCAGGCGTGAATATGAGAGGGATGCTGAAGTCGAGAGGGTCGACGCTAGCTCTGAATCCCGTGTTCTTCTTGGGCGACTTTGGCGGAGGAGAATGGTCGGTCTTGAGAGGTGTTGAGGAAGTGGTGTGGACGAGGCTGATGTACCACCAGCCTAGCAGCAATACAACGGCGACGGAGACAACCGACAGGAGGCGTGGAGGGCCGGCCAACATGGTGAGGGTGTGGAGGGAGCGGCTGCTATACCCTCATCGATGCGTGGAACAGTGAGGAAGAAGGGAGTTCGCGCTCTTACTTCACAGCCCCGAACTACTGTGAGGTGCGTCCATTGGAGCTGACAACCACACCGCCCGGCAGACCGACGATTCACCCGTGTCCTGGGTGTTTCACATTACGGCATAGGGGATCAACACTCTTGTGCCGGCTGTTTTCTCGGGCATGTGATGTCTGCTTGATGATATTCGTGAAGTTGGTATTCACGGTGTCACCACGTTGTTGAGCTAAGCAGCGCTTCCCATGACTCTCGAAAGTCAAATCTGGGCTACGAAGGAGCTCGTTTTCAGTGTTGCATAACCGAAGGAATGCCAAGCTGCTCTAAACTTCCGTGCACTGCACCCACACTCTAAAATAAAAGCACATATGACTAGAAGAATAGAGAAATGTATGCCTAAGAAGCGTAGACCTCTTTTCCGCAATTTATTTGGCCTTGTGGTGGGCACTGGAGGTTGGTGAAATGGTTATGTGGTTTTGGTTATGCGCTTTACACTATCACGAGGAATGACTCCAAGGTTTTAAACTGAGCTATGACTAAGCAAACATGAGCTGTGGCGGTGCAAAAATGAGCAGGCCTGAGTTCAGCCCTGAGCTTATCACGCCCAGGGTCCCAGTTCCGGCCCCCAAGTGTCGAGTAAACTTGCCCTCTGTTCCAAGGTTACGACCAAAGGCTGACGTTTCCGCAATGGAGTTGGCTGAAGCTGAGCCGGGACAGCCGACCTCACAGGAGCATGGGGTGTTCAAGCAATGAGTATTACATATATCGCAATATACTCACAGCATTGTTCCTTCCTATCAAGGAACCTGAGCTACTGCTCCTGCTCGAGGCTGAGAACTGTAGCTAAGCTTGGTGTACAGAGCCTGCAAGTGAGCTTCGGGATTTAGAAAAGCCCAAATGATTTTCTACGAACCCTCTCCATCTCTAGGGCGTTTGGCATTGGTGATAGAAATTTGTCTACCTCATCCTGCCAGAACTCATTGTGCGGATTGACAAGCCGCGCATTTGTATATTCCCAGTACTCAGGGAACCAGCCTGCAGTCTCCCAGTCAATGATACCGACAATCTTATCGCCGCGTACAAGAATATTGAAACTGCTTAAATCCCCATGAGTGAATACAGGTGGAGGCCATGGTTGGTCGTGAAAAGCGATAAGCTCCTGAATATCTGCAGGCACATCGAGGTGATGTGCTTCTACCCCATTCCGCAATACCTATGGAAATCAGGGATGTTCTGAAAGGGCCCATGTCGTAAGCGATGAGGAAGTCTACAATCATATATTGCAGAACCATCCACATTAGCAACGCCAGCACCCTTTGGAGGGTGAATCGTACGCAACTCCTCAATCATTTTCTTTGCCTGTCCAAGGATAGCTTCCTTGGATTTCTCTGAACAGAACCTCCATACATTCGCCACCGTATCTCCATCAATTCTCTCCATAACAATGTACGTCTGCCCCTTTCGAGTAAAGGCACAATGAACGGTCGGCACTGGTATTGAAGTATGCTGCGCGACGAATTGCATTGTGTGTGCCTCTGCAAGAGTTATATGGTTCCCAGTCTTTATACAAAACCGGGATGCGAAAATAACACCACCGGGGTGGCGAAAGAAACGCCTAAGGGCTTTCTGAGTGACGGTAATACGGGTAAGGGTTCGTCGCAAACGTGTATCGTTGATAGGCGTTTCTCCGTTGATCTTCGACATTGCGGCGAAGGTCGTAATCAACCTCTCAATGCTAACCCCCGACCTGATCGCCATTACGGCCGTAGCTGCGACACAGTGCTCTGGCAGGAAATCGATCCTGAGCCCGGCGGTGATGTAGTTCACGCTCTTCTTGACCACCGTCTCTAGGGCCATCTCCAGGGACGCCGGTGGGTACTGGAACTCGCTCGTGCGCCCCAGAGCGGCTCCCATAAACTGCATCCTAACCCAGTTGTCGATCCTGTCCTTAGGGAAGGACTTGAAGTTCTTGCCGATGAGGTCAATGGTCGTCCACTCGACCATCCTGGTGAACAGCCTCGTGATGTTCTTAGAGAATCCACCCTTGCCCTCGGTTTTGCTATTTGGACCTGTTCATCATCTCATCCGACCGGTTCAGATCTCGCCTCAGGAGTTGTTCCTATCATAACACATTCCAGCTCTCAGTCGTTTATGAGAAAGTTAGTAAGAGTGATTAGGGTAGAGTCCTGACCTCCACGGCAGTAGCGAGCTGGTAATCAATATGCTTAATCTCCGATGATGACTGCTGTCGTTCGCATCAGTTCTCATATCGACTTGTACTGTACCACCCTCTTCTAAGAGTAAAAATATGGTAACATGATTGTCGCTGTGGAGAGAGTTTGGCCATGCCCCCGGTGGTATGGATGGTGACCCGAATCGTTTTGAACTTCGAAGTATTGTTTTGGAAAAAAAAAAAGTGTATTGAAAGTTCACAGAGTTTCAATTTACTTCAATGTTGTTGACGTGATGCAGTTGCCGAGAACTCGGTGCTATTATCCTCGCACCACGCTAAATATCACGATAGGACTTAGAGAAGATCCATGATATTAAAACCAAATCTCCCCGGCCGCCGCAGTCACCACCCGACGCGCTGTCTAGCTGCACTCTCTAGTCCTTGTCCATCCGTTTCATTCAACTTGTTATTCGGCTGCCACACATTTTGTGGAGGATGTCTTTGGCAGAAGGATATTTCCGTTTCCAGCAGCCCATAATGATATCGTTAAGCAGAAGCCCTTCCATGCTCGGATACTTTTTTTCCTCAAACAACGACTCAACTAATTCGTCGCTTAGACCTTCGTAGGGAGTATGGCCAGCTACGAGTTCGTAGAGTGTAGAACCCAGTGCGAATAGATCTGACTCCACCGTATTATCCGCCTCAAGATCTCGAGGGAGGCAATGGCTTGGGATCTCGAATCCTTGTGCCCGTGTTCCTTTCAATCCAAGGTCTGGCTGGTCGTCAAATCCCGATGCATTGAAGTCGCTGAGCCGGGTGTTAAGGCCTGCGTCAACTAGCCACTGGTCAAGCCTGAAATCAGAATGCCTGACTCCCTTGGAATGAATGTATTCGACACTTTTAATCATTTGATGGGCCCAGCGTTTCAGGTCTGATTCAGTGATGTTTGCGAGATTCATATGGATGTAATCCTTGAGGTTGCCGTTGGGATAGTATTTGAGCTCAACGTATTCGTTTTCGGGACCAATAGACAAGCATTCGGCGATAAGTGGGTGGCTACCCAGGATGCGATAAACGTCAGCTTCCGCTTTGCATGCTTTTACGTTCTCCTCTGTGATACCAATGTCATCAACGAGTACATGACATTCCTTCCTGACGATGTCTCCGATGCGGTAAGTTTTGGAACTCATGCCGACCATAAGGAGCTCGCGCTGTGGTGGCGTAGATGATGACATGGTTTAGAAGCTGAGATAAGAACGTGCTACGGATTAAGATAGGACAATGGCCAGGCGCAGGAATCATTGTAGGCACGCCGGGAATAAATGGCTGCAACTCGAGCGAGACGCGATGTACAGATATCACGTGACCTGCAATTACGCCACAACTTACCTTACGTAGTTCAAGCATGCGCGGCCTATAGTTGTATCGGGACTAGCCCGCCTTTATCAGCACGTCCTGCTAAAACCTTGTTCCTCCAATCTTTTATCAGAACCTCTGCCAATTCTCTGTTCATGAAGTAGAACATAGATGTATATGACGTAACAGTGTATATTGTCAAGCGAGCGTGGTTCAAGCGTGAATGCTAAATACATATCTTTTCCTTCGTCCTATCCTTTGTATGCGCGCCCGGTAGATATTCCTTACAAGCGAACGAAAACGGTAAATCAAATTTGCGAGTGGTGAAGCCGAATGGGCTTTAACGGCATCTCATTTGACTTCTCGTAGATGGTGCATCTTTGAGAATCATATCAGCAGGTAATCAAGTTCAGCTTTCGTTTTATACCAACCTGCTTAAGTCGAGCTGGAGCTTCCGCCTTGCTCGCCGTGATTATGTCCAGAACGAGGACCTTTTCTCCTAGTCGATCCAGAATGTATCATCTTATACCTGTGGCAGTGTCGAATACCGCTGGCAGGTTTCTCGTCGCACGGATCAGCGGTGTACTTGATTTCGTCGCATGCTTCCGTGCAATCACCTCCAGAATACTTGTACGTGGTCCTATATTTCGTGCACATAGTTGATTCAATAGATGGAAGTTAAATTTATTTTGGTAGATATTAGATTTGCGAGAGGACAATTGCTGTAGAAACATTCAAACAGCTGAACGGCATTTTATAGGACTTTCTAGACCCGAGTGGCCGGCACTTTTCTGCACTGCGTGCTTTTAGACATCCTTCTCGCATGCGATCAATTCCCACCTACCATAGGAGGGCCAGAACGACTCATTCATGGTCATGGAAGCTTTGTTGCTTTAGGAGCAGGGCTGTCTCCACATTGTTCTATCGGGTGATTGGACGCTTGACTAGCCCCCGTGTTATCGCTACTTGCCGCTGTCCATTTCAGCTGGTGTCACATATTTTGCTTTCGTCGCCTTGTTTGCCTTGAATCTGTGATGTCTACCTGTATTGGGCCTGGTACAGTCGGAGAGATTCCTGATTGGGAGAGCGATACTGATGTTCTTGCCCGCAGACGCCTCTTATCACACCATCCGTTCGCCGTAACCGTGATTCAGTGCACCGTCAACAGTCAACTGTCCAGTCCGACCAATCTCAATGCCTGCTTTTCAAGCTCCTCCTGCACTCTTTCGCTAGATGTCTGCCTGGAGGAAAGTGCATGGTTTCGTCTTCTTCCTAAAGGCGGGAGAATTAATCCCAAAATCGGCTGCACGCAGATATTCGTTGCTTGCTAATCTGCACAATCGAATAAAGGTTAACAACGGCACAGTCATACCGAGGCTCGGAGAATCGATGAAAAACATCATTTGCGGGCGGTGAGCAAGGTTTTCCTTGCGCATACCGTACAGCGTAAAGGCGCAGATGGAAGGAAAGGGATGCAAAGCTAAGGTCCGAAGAAGCTGGAAGTAGTAAAAGCTATGTGAACGTAATCTTTCAATACACTAAAAACGAGCTCCTTCGTACGACGTGCCTCATGGGGCATTCCAGCTCTTGTCGCTAAGTCTCTCACGTGCGGAGTGGTGGAATGATGCAATTGATATATATTAGGCTAAATTGAAGCTTTCTTGATTGAATGTGCCTGCTAGACGTGAAGCGTAAGAAGTGACATTCTTCAGTCGCGGAAAATCACAATGTTCTAACGCACTCTCGCCATCCTCAAAGATCTGTTCAAGCTTCGCGAACACCTCTGGCCAGACTTGCAGGAAGCTGACGTGCCATCCAACCCCGTTTTTGACGACCAGCTGAAGGGCTTCCAACGTGGGCACTCACGTAGCACCTGGTCAACATCTTGATAGCCAGCTCAAACAGGTCCTTCACACAGACACCCATCGCAAGCAAAGCAAAGACATCACAAGCGAAGCTAAAACAAGATAGAGTTCATCTTTTTTCATGGAGCGGGAGGAAAACCCCCAGGGACAAACCCCCCCGGGATGAAAAACCTCCCTAAAGCCGTGCAAGATCTCTCACCACCACCGCTCCGCCAGCTCCAAGCCCTTCCATCCTCTTCCGTCCATCGAACCCTTCCCCCAGCCATGCCCTGCCACGCACGCCGCCAAACCAAGCAGAAAACGGAAAGGTAAAGGCGATTAAACCTTGCGTCACACGGGTGCCTCTGCGGTAAAACATGCCACGGACCCCAGAGGGTCTGTTGCGCAGCCCGAAGACGTTGCTATCTGTTGGCTTCTTCCTCCGGGTTCGGCGCCGCCAGCAAGCCGACAAGCTCTCCCCCGGTGTCGGGCGATTGCCGCCTACTGCAGAGGGCCGTGGAGGCTGGTTCCTCATACGCGAACGCATGGAGATACAGGTGCAAGAGGGCGGAGAGTACGCTAGCAGTACATGAAACATGAACAGGAGATGAAGGAGAGGGTACAAAAAGGGTGATACATTGAAAGCGGGTGGTGGCGAGATCTTGAGTCCCCGAAGGCAGAGGAGAGAAAGAGGACGGGGAGAGGACGAGGTTTTGTATGTGCACGGAGGCGGGCTGGTCAAAGCGTGGAGGGTGCTTATTGGTGGGGAGAAGGCCACGGCGATTGCGTTGGCACGGCGAAGCTGAGAGAATTTGCAGGATGGAACAGTGGTATTGATGGTCTAGATAGGCTACGTACCCTCACCATACCATGACTATCAATGTCTACTGGTTGCGTGTAGCAAGCTACCGACGAGATTACCTGCTCTTGTCGATTCGCAGAGGTAGCTGTTACTTCTGCTAGCAGTGTGCCGGCTGCTTCAAAATTTTCAAAAGGGGGGCTGAGGATGACTAATCCTTGATCCTACCGATCACCATTGAAGCAAGAAGCCTGGGCGGCTCTTATGATGTCCGAAGCCTTTCCTACGTGCTTATATAAAATCTCTTTACTCGTGTGTTGTGTTGCACGTAGGTGGATTCTCTTTCAGCCGCACTTTTTTCCCCACTCCTGTCCGAGGATCGTTAGCCGCCCTCAGACGGCACCTCCTCTGGAAGTATTTCATACACCAGTCTTGCCTGGGCCCTTGGGCATCTTCTTATCGACGCCCAGCTTATCTAGGTCTGCTGATTTGTGGTAGTGCGGCGCAACCTCCACCAGCCACTCGGGCTCCAACGGCATGTTGCTCCGCATATATTCTTTCGACGTCAACACCAACTCATAGAAAATGACCCATTTAGGCCGGCTTTCCATGAGGACAGAGCTGGGGTGTAGAAAAACTGTCATGCCATTCTTCACCGTACGGTATGAGTCTCCTCCGCGCTGAAGACGAGCCGCGTTGGGGAAGAAACCGGCGGTGATGGCTTTGCGGATGGCCACGTGATCTGAGATACCGCTGGTAGATAAAGTGACCTCGACGCGGTCGCAAAGCTTGGCGAGTTGGTCTCGAACATCGCGGGCACGCGTAAGACTTCGCTGCTGCAGAAAATTTTCTTTCGCCCAGATCGGACTGAAATCTGCGTCGAGCCATTGGTTCCAAATATTGAGGTACGTCAAATGGTCGCCCCCCTCTTTATTTGTGAATCGAGCTCGTGCGGAATCGGCATGGATCTTTTTGTCCTTGGGTCGAAAGAAGAGTGCAGACGCTTCGCTCAGCATGGCCACTATCGACAGGATTTCCTCCACACAGCCATACTTGTCAGCGGCCAGAACAGCCTTGGCAAGCATAGGATCTGTAGGGAACTCTGCCATCTGTCGTCCGATCTTGGTGAGTTCACCCTTATCATTGAGGGCTCCGAGGGCGTAGAGTTGTTCTAGCGCACGAATGAGGGTATCGGTGGGTGGTGCGTCCATGAAGTCGAAGTTGATGAGGTCGTTGATCCCTAGAGACTTGAGCATTAAAACAACTGAGTTAAGGTTCGTGCGTTGAATTTCCGGCGTAGTGTTCTCATCAAGCTCATTATAGAAAGCCCATTTGGTATACAACCTGAAGCATTTACCAGGACCGACACGCCCCGCACGTCCTGCACGTTGGTTTGCGGAGGCTCGAGAGCACGGCGTCACGACCAAAGACTCCATGCCAGTTCTTGGATTGTATACGTTCTCTTTGACGAGTCCAGGGTCAATGACGTAGACAATGCCATCAATTGTCAGTGATGTTTCGGCGATGTTGGTCGCTAAGACTACCTTCCTAGCATTTGGAGGGGTAGGCTCGAAGATCTTAGCTTGTAGGTCAGTCGGAAGATTGGCGTAGATAGGACAGATGATGAGTTCTGGTGCCCGTGAGCCAAGTTTTCGAGCTGTGTCTTCAAGATTTTGCTGAGCAGCTTCAATCTCATCTTGACCCGTCAAGAAAACTAGAATGTCTCCAGCGGGCTGCGAGAGATGAATCTGGAAAATAGTGGTTACTGCTGCAGCTAGGTAGTTTGCCTCTGGCTGGGGTGTGTAATGAATATCAACAGGGTAACGCCGACCCGGAATATTGAAAATTGGAGCATCGTCAAAGTATTTGCTGAACTTCTGTGCATCCATAGTGGCCGAGGAGATAAGCAATTTCAGATCAGGCCTGAATCGAGCAATGTCTTTTACGAGTCCAAATAGAATGTCCGTATGTAGTGTCCTCTCGTGTGCCTCGTCAATCATCAGCGCTGCATAACCACCGAGATCCGGCTCAGTGAGAAATTCGCGTAGTAACATGCCATCCGTCATGTACTTCAGGACCGTTTTGTCCGATGTTTTGTCTTCAAAGCGAATAGCGTATCCGCACTCCTGGCCCAGCCTCACACCCATCTCTTCCGCCACTCGAGCTGCTACGCTCATGGCTGCCACACGGCGTGGTTGTGTGCATCCGATCTTCAGTCCGCCCTTGGTATATCCAGCCTCATGGAGGTATTGTGGTAATTGTGTAGTCTTTCCACTGCCAGTCTCCCCCACGACAATCAGGACCTGATATTCCGCAACCGCAGCCAAGATCTGTTCCCGATATGTGTACATAGGCAAGCTCTTTCTAGTATCCTCGATAGTAGCAGCCTTCTGTTCCGCAGCATCCAGCATCCGCTGAAGCATCTGCTTCTCCGGGTCCAGTCGCGACGCGACATCAGCGACAAACTTTATGCCCTGGGTATCGTCAAAAACGAACTCGTAGTCTTCCTCGCGCACTGGCCTTGATATCTGCGCTTTGGCGCGCGCCGTTTGTTCGTTCTCCCACTCATCGTGCTCTGTAACGTATTTATCGTCCTTGTGCCGTTTGTTCAGCACCTCCGTCTTATTGCTGTAGTCGGCATCAGGTACGAGATAGCCTTCGAGATGGTCATCGATGGCGAGACGCTCTTCGGCGAGGCGTAGGGTTTCACGGTTCTTCTGAAAGTCTTGGAGCTCTTGCCGAGTCAGGTCAGGGTTTGCCCGCTCTTCTGCCGCCTCCTCTTGGACCTGTTTGCGAAGGAGCGCAAGCTGTTCTGCTTCTCGTTTCGCGAGGTAGTCTTGTCGGGACCGTAGACGGAGGTCATCGAGCTTTTCGGGATTTCGCTCGCGCGGTGGCGCCATAGCTAGTATCAGGGAGAAAGCGCGTTGTAGCTCGTATGCGCAGTGAGAGTGAAGCTGTGGCTCGAGGTCGATGGTGGAGGCAAAAAGATTGGAATGGCTGCCTGGGCAAATATCACTGCCGCATATTAGAGCGTTGACGCATGTCACACGAAGCGAGGAGTTAGTTTATGACAGTCTCTCGGCTCCTTTGAAGATAACTCGTACGTGAGGAGAGCTCAAGAGTCGTGAATGGACGCAACTTTTAGGGTTGACGACACTAGCGAACTGGCATTAAAGGTTTCACGTGACGGAATATGCCCCAGCCCCACATCATATATTGGCATGTCTTTCTCGAAGTAGCTGTGCATAATAAGGCAACTTGAATTTGCATAGAGTTCATGTGTTCTGGCTGACGAAGATACAGTTTTCATTTTGTATCCTGAATTCTAGATATGGTGTGCTCTATCCAAGACGGATAGCTTTTTTGACGGAACAGGCAACGGACTTTTTGAGTGTCTTTACTGCGCTTGATCTTTCACCCTGCGGAGAAGGCATATCATCTCAATGGCCGAAGGATCTCGTTGCCCACAAGCCAGCGGAGGGACCCGAGTGCGAGATTCTGTCGACTCGAAACTGCCCCGGGGAACGCTCCGAGGCCTTCTTCTAAAGAGAAGGTAGTCCTAGTCGCGGCCTTTCACGTTCCATTGTGCTAACTCCCCATTGCTACCCCATTCTCCGAATCCCATTCGTCTTGACAGGCCGCTTCCAGATTGATCTTGGTACCAGGGGACCCTCATCCTCGTCGTCATCATCTCCGTCATTGTTTGTAGGACGAGTCTCGGTTCTGATGCTCTTCCTCGACAACTTTTCTGGAATTTGAGAATAGTCATCAGGAGCTACCAACTCAGTACCAGCTGTGTTTTGTCGTGTGCGCTTCCGAGGCTTTTGACTCTCATTGAGCTGTGGCCGTGCACGTTTCCTACCATTGATGGGAGTTTCGCTTGAAGTCTTCTTCTCCGGCTCTGGAGCAGTCTGGTTTTCAGTAGCCTTGGATAGGCCAACTTTTGTACTATGTCCTTTGCAGGAAGCATCTGGTCTTGTCGGCGCGTGGCTTCGAATGTTCACTGTCGTGCTGGTGGTCTGATCGATGTAAGTCCCAGTGGTTGTCGAGCGTTCAACCCTAGTGATATGTACTGAGATCTCTTCTGTGACAGTTGTTTCGGGTTCGTCTTCCTCGAGATGCATAGATTGTACGTCCTCGGCTAAGTCTAACTCTGGGCGGCTCACACCCCTAGAGCTGTGTTGTTGGGTGATTTCAATCCTCCATGACTCTTTTTCCTCTGGATTATCGGACAACCATGCTTCCCTGAACGCAAAACCCCAGGCAAGGCCTACTGATCGCGTGACGCCATTTCCGATTATACTCCATTGTTGCTCGGGGGTTCCGATGATAACCTCATGATCTGGAATTCCCTGGGCTCTCCTGGCTTCCTGGATTGTCATCATGCGAGGTTGCCCCGAATGTAACACTTTGCCGTAGCGTGATGATCCAGCGCATATTCCGGTCTTCACGGTTGGGAACAAGCCCTCTTCATCCAGTCGCGCCCAGCAACGGTTCACTTTGGGGTTAGGATTTTGACGATCTTTGCTAAATCGTTCTTGTCGTTTCTTGTAGAACTTTGGTATCATCTCCATTGTCCCTTCATCATCTGGTCCTTGCTTGTGGTTGATTTCCCTCTCAAGCGCTATGGCTGCCATTAGACTTGAGTTGATGGGAATCAAGGACATCAACCTCCTGTCAGCAAAATTTGTCGTTGCGGAATGCCTGTGGTCCGGGAATGGTATGCAGATTTGAACACGTGAATCGCCTATATTGGGAAGATCTTTCGTTGCCATCTTTGTTGAAATATACCGGAAAGGCGTGATTCCAAAATCCCGCTTTCCGAAACGTTGTCCATTGGGTAGATTTCCAAACGATCGGTCCCCCAGATTGCCAGGGTGTGAGTGAGTCGGTACCAGAGGAGCTGGCGGTTGTAGACCTGGCGCTGTGCATATGATAAAGAGGCGGGAACGACTTTGTGGGTCTCCGTGGGACCACCCATCGCCAATGCATACCTGCACCTGATAACCCATTGATACCAAGCAGCCAACAAGCTGAGAAAGGACGTTGTCTTTCCCGACGCCTGTTGCGATACCAAGAACGTTTTCCAGTATCGCGTACTTCGGGCGGTACAAGTCCACATATGAGGGAAATGACGTGACATGGCTAGCGTTCGTCAAACTCCTTGAGCTAAGCTTGTTGTTCTGCATAGTAGAGAAGCCAGGGCATGGAGATCCCGCACTCACGAAGTCGATATCCCCTATCTTTGCTTTCCCGTAAAATTTCGGGTCGCCGCTCAAGACTCTCGAGAGATGGTCATCAACCGAGCCGCAGAATATACAGGCGCCTGTGGGGCGGCCGTTGAGATTTGCTCGGAAAGTATGCGCCGCGGATTTTGAAAAATCCACTGCTACAACGGTTTCGATCGCTCCACATTCTTCCAGTCCTCTGTCAAAACTCCCACCTCCTGTGAACAACGACATTCCTTTCATTTTTGGCTTCTTGTCATTGGATTGATCAAATCCTTGGTTGAATGATGGAGGAGACTTGAACCGGCGCAGCTGTCCGTCGACCAGGCGTACGCAGAAGTACCAACAGTCAACAGTTCCATCTCGGTTGTAGGGCACTGGTATGTCACCACGCTCAACTGTTTCAGAATCAAAGTATCTTACGTGGCATCGACGGCGGATCAGATCAGCTCGAACGCTAGTGATGGTGTTAGTCCATACCAGCTCGTTAGGTCGACTCTGCCAATCCTTTGCGGGGTCCTCATTATGTTGACAATCTCGAGCTCGGCGCGCGAGATGGCGGACTCCAACCATGCCAGTCTCGGAATCCAGACACTCGATAACCATCGGTTCGAGCATGTCGTCTTCTGATGACTTGCCCTTCTTTTTGAGAACATACACACAATCGCCACGGCTGTACTTTTCTTCTACTTCCTCGAAAACAGATTTGCGTTTCTTGCTGCATGAGCAGCTCATATCTGACAATCGAAACGTAGTAAATGAGTTGGTTTCCGTCGAGTAAGTTTGCTGGACGAAAAGCTGATCATTACGTGGTATGGTCTTAGGATTCAGAAGTACCTGAGCCCGGCCTAAGATGTCCGATGCTCTTATGTGTGGATCGTGACAATTGCAATGATCAGAAAAGAAGAGTTCGTTCTTGTGAAGGTATTTCATGGAGAAAATCACGGTTTCTTCCGGAAGGTAAAGCCAAATAACCCTGAGTAGAAGTTCTCCTTTGGCATCCTGGGAAGTATCTCTAACGTAAGCGAAATGGCCATCCGACTCGCCTTTCCAGACCGAGCCTTCGTCCCGCTTGACGCTAACGAAATCTCCTTTGCTGGGCTTCCAGGATTTCGGGTTGATACTAGTCGAAGGGTTCTCTTGTTGGGATTCGGTGGAGTCTTTAGTAAAACCTAATTCGGTCATCCTAAGCTCTCGGGCTTTTGCGACTTCTGGGGCAAGCTTTTGCACCGCCAACTTCTGCCCAAAGTACGTGTCTACGAAATGTTCGTGAACGAGCTCTGTACATATAGTTTTTGTCTTTCGCTGTTTCCGCTCTTTTATAGCAGCAAGCTCCGATGACATGCATTCTTTCCAAATGAATGCGTCGGCGTGATCATTGTTTACAAGTCCGCTTTCGTGGTAGAGATAGTCAACATAGGCAGCCACATCCATTCTGAAGTCTTTCCGCCCAGACTCAGCAAGCCATTCCGAGCAATCCTTATATTCTGATTTGACCCAAGAATAGAAATGTTCTCGGAAATCATCCAAGCAGACGTCCAAGTCTCGGTTCAAATAGTCGATAAAGTATCGGCCGAAGTTTGCTATCCATAGGAAGTTGTGATGATATCGGTAGTATTCAGGCGCCGGTTCTCCCAACAGAAACCAAGTGTCCTGCTCTCCGCATTCTTGTTCATGTTGACACAACCGGGATTTTATGTAGACGTTGACAGCGGGTATGGTGCGATCGTCGTAACCTTCAATCGACAAGCTGAGGAACTCAACCCCCTGCACCCACCGGCGCTGGTCGCCACAGGCCAGTATGCCGTCGCAAAGCAGCTTATTGACTCCATACTTCGCCCGCAAGACGATGAGGGGTTCCAACTCTCCATTCGAATGAGTACCGTTCGGGCGGTAGACGCTGAAATGTTCTAGGCGGAATGTCACCTCATTGACTCCGGGATTCATCGCATTCCAAACTTCTCTTAGTTCTTCAACCGCGGTACACTCCTCCGTCACGGCCAACGGAGGTGTCCATCCCTCAAAAAGCGACTTCGGATGCGTAAAATCTGAAGGCGTCACAACGACGTGACCCTTCTTCGAAGACATCTGGACACAATTCGAATTAGCTTGACCGGGGATTTCTGGAAAGCGCTATTAGACGACTTACCTTGCAGCTAATGCTTGCCGCGCATATCCAATGACGCGAGGGTAATTAGTAGAAGCAAAAACGCGTAAAGACGCGAAGAAAGACCGCTTAGCGCAAGAGCGTAGAAGGACGAAGGTGGAGTATGAAGGTGGAAGTGCGCAAACAAACAGCGAACAAGAGGAAGTGAAGTGGAGTCGCTGCACGCCAAGACTTCATGCCTTGTCCAAGCGGCGGGGACAGTGTAAGAAAAGGTGAAGTCTAAGAGCGTGAAGCCCTTAGGCGGTGGAAAGGTGAACCGGTAGTAAAACGCGGAGTATGCGATGTTTAAGACGCGACTTCGCGTGACAGATGTAGAGCTGCTATGCTAGCATGCTTGCAGCAGATCCTCAAGCGGCAATTAGAACAATAGCGGGGCGGCTACAAATACAGCTCCAGCTTCAGCGAGGCTGGACGTCGTCGTTTGGCATTTTGAAATTAGGTAGGATACCCGCATTTCTAAGCCTCGCCTGAAATGGCTGCTTAGGCTACAAGCGAAGCTCTGAAGAGCCTTGGGGAGACAGTGAAGAGATGCCATCGAGAACGGTCGTCGATATAAACGCCAACTGACACGCTGGCGTTGAGCCCGCCCGGCACAGGTCGAACTGATTGGAGCGCTACATGACGCAAGCAAGGGTCTACCTAGATACCTATTCACAGTTGACGATCACTTGTCACTTTCACAGCTTTATATTTCACTTTCTACGCATTTGAAAGCTCTGCATAGTCTGCATAATGACCTCCTATCAAAACGTTGAAAGCATGTTATCAATTTGATCTTAGAAATGCAACTCTCCTCACTCCTCGTTCAATGTATGCCTACTCGCCGAGTCCCTGCTTTCCATAAAAAGCAGCTTCACCTCCCAACTTCTCCAGTTCTTCCTTCGAATGCTTCTTCGACTTCTCGCTCGTGTCTGCAATCCAATCAGCACCCATGACCTCAGATATTTTACAAGGGCACCTAGAAAGTAATAGTCTACGTACTAGGGTTGCTGATATTCGCCTTGTGCCCCTGCGCCGAATGCGAAACATCCTCCGTGGTCTGATTGATCTTCTGCTCTTCCTCGCTGTATCCAGCTGCGTTCATCTGATGGCCAACGCCTTCCATGTTCTGTTGGCGGACATGGTGATTGAGTTTGGAGCTATTTAAAGAGATGGTGATGGATAGATTTGTACAGATGATGTCGAAATAGGTAGAAACTTCACTCACCAAACGGTTTCTAGCATAGAGGTCACCACCTTTATATACCCCTTATTCAAAAGCAACACTTTTGTCTCAAGAGGCTATGACATAGTTACACAGCAGCCACAAATGCTCCTCAACCCGCATTCCCAAGACACGGCTCGTTGTGACCCAATCGGAGCACTGCCTTTAGATTATGACGATGGTTGCAACACCACCACTGTGCCATTTACCCAAATACGATGATTGCCCAGATACACGGACGAATCATTAGTGGCCATGATGCGAACTTCAAACTTTAAAATTCACAAAAACCTGGTAGTAGTGGCAGTTTGCTCGCCGCGAGCCGAAGCGGGACGGGAAGCATCGTCACTACCCATCTGATCGCCGACCAAAGCTGGGCTGGGGTTTAGGGCTCAGATCAGGCCACCGATAGCAGCTTGTGCAGGGTCGATTTCATCGGAGTTCAAACGGTAACGATGTAGTCAGTGTGCATCCAATCACTTCTGTCATTCACTCTTCCCATTCACTCACTCCTGCCATCTATTCACTTCTCACCCATCTCACCACTCTTATCCATCACACAGACAATCCTAAAGGACATCAGATAGAACGCACGATGATCAGTACTCATCTATAACACCCTTCCTTCTGCCACACATGTACGGAGAGAGGAACGCGTCAGACTAGTCCAAACCGAACCAGACCAAATCAGCCCGAAGCAGACCAGACCAGACCAAAAGATACCGGTATGTTGCCCAGCACAAGCGTGACAAGACGACCATCCAAATCCCGAGCACATATTTCCGCGCAGTAGATATGCTGAAATGCATGCTACATGATTGCACTCGCGAGGAAGAAAGAAGGAGAAGAGAGAGGAGAGGAGAGGAGAGGAGAGGAGTTACATCGGCTCGCTCAAAGATGCCCCAGACAATCAAGTCATCTAATCTCATCTCAGAAGAAACAGACCCGCAGCCGCTTAAGTCCTAAATACACCCTATGAACCTCCCCTTTCCCAGACGCCTTTAATCCCCTCCCATGCGTCCCACACCCCAATTCCTTAAGCCCACGGCCCCTGCTCACGTAGTAAGAGCGACATTGAACTCCCATTCCCCTGTGCCCATGTTCGTCAGTCTCGCGATCCCACTAGCCGAATTTCAAAACAAATCTATAACAAGGCCCTCACCTTTCCGTAGGTTCTCCGCCGTGTCATTCAGCAGGATGATCCGCCGCTTGCTACAATAACTCGTCTTGTCCATCATCTCAACCTTCAGGCTCTCCAGCTGGTCCGTCGACTTCTCGAACATCTCGCTTAGGTTCTCCACCGCCATCTCGAGGTCTTTTTGGTTGTCCTCGAACATCTCTGTCGTATTGTTACGCGCGAGGTAGTAGGCGAAGGCATAGGTCCATTTGAGGGTTTGGCGGCACTGTTGAAGGGCTTGCGAGGCCGAGTCGAGGAATTGCACCTCGATCCAGGACATGCCGGTTTGCATTTGTAGCTGCGTCATCTTCTTCTCCGTCTTGAGGTAGATGTCTTTGTCGAGCTTGGCGGATTGCTCGTGGTTGGCGTAGCGGTTATAGTAGTGGAGATAGCGTTCTAGTGACTGGCGGGATTTGGCCTGGGCGTCTCGCGCTTCGTAGCCGCTCTTCTCTTCGAATCTATTGCAGTTGTACCAGCTCGTGCCGTGCTCGGCCCAGTTGCCCATGCACATCCAGCAGAACTCGTTACGGCACTTCCGGCACGTCATATGGTTGCAACCGCCATTCTTCTCGATGGTGGAGTGGCACTTGGGGCACTCCTTTGTGTTTGCGGATATCCAGTTCGCCGTTTCGGAATCGTCCTCGCACTTTTTCAGCCACTTCTTAACAAGACCACATGGCGCCGGTTGGTGGTCATTTAATGAACAGCCGAAACAGAAGAAATGTCCGCAGTCACAGTGTACAGTTGGCACAATCCTCGGCAAGTCCTTGTCTTTAACTCCGCACTCGACAGTATTCTCGCAGTCTGGGGCCGGGCACCACCTTAGATTGTCCTTGTCGTCGACGTACGTTCGAGTGAGGAGCTCCTGATATCTTCTTGCGATTAAAATAGGAAACCCAGGAAGAGCGAAACCACGTACCTGTCCCTGAGCTTATCCGACGTCACCAGGAAGTCCAACGACACTGCGTCCACGATTCTGTTGCAGCCGTCTCCCGGGCACCGAATCCGAGCAGCCTCACCATCGTCTTTAATTTTGGACTCCAGGTAGTGCTTATAGCAGTCCACACAGAAGCGGTGGTCACACTTCATAGCAAACGTCTCCAGCCCGGGGCCATCCTCGCAACAAATGTCACAAGTGAATCCCTTCACCTTCTCGATTTTGGGAGGGTGCAACGCAGCCTCGCCCAGACCAGCGCTTTCCAACACCTTATCTGTATTGTCCATGTACGACTCGATCAGTCGCTCCTTGTTCCATCGTGCGTGCCTTAGAAGGATAGCTGCTGCCTCTGGCGGCTGCCCTAGGATGTTGCCGACCTCTTCGATCTGGTTGTCTTGTTGGGCCTGGACCTGCTCGGGGCCAAAGACCTGGAAGTCGACCTCGTACTTTTGCTTTGACTTCTTGATGTCCTTATCTTGTGTCTCAAAGCCTATGTCGTTATCCTCCATATCCAGGTCAGAGTCTAACCCTGAGACGTCAGCCTATGCCCACCACCACCACTTCACATGCGGGAATACTGACCATCATCGCCGCCTCCAAAGCTGGCGTCACTGTCATTATTGAAGTCCTCCTCGCTGCCGGAGCTGTTGAACTCGTCGTCAGAGTCCATGCTGGCGGATGCAAGCGTGGCCGGGGTAGCTGGCAGGGTGGTGGGCTTCGGGGTGTTTCCGCTGTCGACCTTCTTGCGGGGACGCTCGACAAGCTGGGGAGGTTCAGGCACGTCCGACGCTTTGCGTTTTTTGGTCTGAGAAGGCGTGGTGACCTTTAAGAGGGCCTCGCCTCGCCGTGATGACGAGACTAGGCTGTGACTGCGCGACGCTCGAGACGGGTCGAGGGGTGCGGCTGTGGCGCGGCCGTGGACAGCGTGCAGGCGGAGGGTGAGCGGTGGAGTCAACGGCCAGGGTGTGTGTAGGTAGACGGCAAAGATGGCGCGATGAGAGGGTGAAGGGGGCGGGTCTGGCTGCTCGAAAGAGATATTGGTCAGCTGCGATGTTTCTGCCTGCAGGTGGCTCTGCCACTCCAGCTGGTCGTCGTTCGTGGGCTGTGGCGGCGGAGGAAGTGCACACAGAACGCCCGAGATAGGTGCGGGCCGGGCTGCGACCGAGCTGTCACGGGTGCGCTTTCGGCGCGTTTGGTCTTCACAATAATGGCGGCTCTATGGCACGCGTATTGCAGGCGTATTGGGTGTTTGAGACACAGCGAAGATGTAGTGCGACAAGTTCCAGCTCCGGAACCTCCCGCAGCTTCACCCAAAAGCGTGTGAGGCCACCGCCTTTGGTCGGTGCCTAACGTCGTCCTTAACTAGATAAATCCTTAGTGACTAATTTTAGGCTTCCATCTCGTCCCTTATGGTCCGGCAGGGCATTCTACTCTGTACGGAGTCGTTGGGTGCTTCTTCTTTGTCATCGGCACAACGCATTCACCGCACGACTACTTCCGGAAACGTGCATGGCAGACCCTGAGAGCTTTTCTTCCTATCCAACCACCAGTGACCTACTCCAATTCACTCTCCTCCTCGCTCTCCCCCTCCGAATCTTCCTCTGATTGGTTCTCCAAGAACTCGATAAATGGCTGCGTCTTCTGCCTCACATTCACTAACGCCTCCGTCCCAGTCGCCTTCGCATCTGCCCACCACTGCTCAACCGCCTCCGGTTGAAGAACGTCCATCTGATACAGCTTCATCGACGCTTGTAACAGGATGATATCTCCCTTCTCGCGGCTGGCCAGTTCCTTCTGTAGCAGAAGTAAGAAGTCGACCTGGTCGACCTTAGCCGCCTCTTCCTTATCGAACGAGATCCGCTTCAGCAGCGATTTGTGCGGATCAAACACCTGCGCGACTGCCTGCTTCGCTTCGACGCCTGACTTGATGACTTGGCTGACCCGCTTGACGAACGCGACTGCTACCGCGCGGCGGACTTGGTGCTCCGAGGCGTTTAAGCTCATACGGAGCGATGTCAGTTCGAGTTGGATGTTTGCAGACTCGTGGCCTGCTTCCAACGAGTCGTAGATGCTCGATGCGGCGTCGTGATCGAAATGCTTCGCGTGGCCGGATTCGCTTTCTACCGAATCTATCGACACGAAGCTTCCGCTGGCGGACCGTTGGGTGTACTCTTGGCTGATGTCTGATTCTGAGTTTGAGTTTAGTGTAGAAATTGAGTCTGTTGACAGCGCCAGGCTTGACAGATTGTAGACTGAGATTGTTAGAGGTGTCATATAGTCGGATAGGAACACAGATGCTTACTGAGTCCCGTGGGCGTAAGCCCCTCCACCACTTCGTCTTCGTCTTCCTCCTCATCGTCCAAGTATTCGAAGCCATCGCCGCCCTGGCCTACTATGGCAATATTAGGCTCTCCTCGTTCAACGTCTTCATTCTTTTCGCGCCTCCTCTTAGCCCGCGTGATTCGGTGATCGCCTCCAATCGTCATTCCGTCGGAAATAGTAACCCCGTACGAGATTAATGCGCCGGGCTCGACCTTGCATGTCCTTCCAACAGATACTTCACTGGCTAATATCGCTCTTTTAACTGAGGACCCATCCCCGATCCTTGTATTGTCCCAGATATATGCCCCGTCAATGGCAACATTCCGGCCAATGACACATCCTCTTCCTATGATGCTGTTGGAAATCACGCTCCCTTCGCCGACGCTGGTATCACGTCCGATCACTGTTTTGCGATTGATAATGCAAGATCGCGCCAATATGACACCCTGCTCTTTGTAGATATTTCCTTTTTGCAACCGGTACGACTGGCCTCGGAGCAAGTTGCTGTCTGGGCAAAGCGGATATGCCCATCTCGAGACAATGTCTTTACTGATCGAGTCGTAGGCATGCAAATTCCGCACACGTGCAGCGTAATGATCGGTAACGATATGCGTATGGATAGTCTTGCCGTTGAGGTCGTAGTCCTTGAGCACACTGTGTAGGAATCCCTTTCGTGGGGCCTGGAAATCGAAGTTGTCACTCCACAGCGCCAGGACATCCGGAGTGCAGATGTCAATCCCGCAATCAATCAGATCCTGCCTGACATCCAGCTCCTGATAGCTCGATAACAGCCCCGGATCAATCGAGAGAAATTTGTTGTGTTCCCGGTTTGGCATCTGCTCAAAGTGTAGACACCGGTCCTTCCTGGGGTCGATGACGAAGACGGGACATGTGCCCTGAGCCTTAGTCCTGTGTGTTGTGCCAGCCTCTCTAAGCACCATTGTCATGATGGCATCCTTGTTCGCAGCACGACGTGCTCGATGTGCGGCTAAGGCAGATTCGAGGGGCAGGTTGCTGACCACATCTCCGTACACCAAGAGAAAGTCGCCGGTCAATATGCCCTTCTTGTCCAGGTCCCGCATAGCATCTCCTATAGATTGTGCGGTCGAGTGTATGGTGTTGATTTTCGAGAACGGAGAAGACAGGGACGACCATTTTGAGCGCCTATTAATTCATTAGCACACGCAGCGACGTCTAGAGACTACTGATCTTACTGGACATAGTCGTCGACTAAGTCGGTATGTGCCCCGCAATACACAAAGACCTCCTCGACGCCCGCGTTAGCCAGAAATTCAAACGTGTATTCGATGAGTGGGGTATTCGCGAGGGGTAGTAAACACTATTTAGTTAGTCGGGACCGTCATAGCCAGTACATTCTAGGAGCTTAGCATACTCGTGGGCGCTCGAGCGTGAAAGGGTTGAATCTCGTCTCAAAGGGATCTGCGAGTATCTGTAGGAGTCAGTACAAGCAACTTGAGGTGAAGTCTGCACAAAGCGACGCACAACGGCCTGGAGTGGGTCCTCGCGCTCGACCTCGCCGGACTTCGCCTTGTCAGCGGCTTGGCCCTTCTTGCCCTTGGGGCCCATGTCTGTGTCGAAAATGCGTCGTGGGAAGTTTGTGGTGGGGAGAGCTTCGCAGCCACACGGTGCGACGACGGCCTCAGCGCGTCGGGCTGCAGAAAAATATGAGTCAGGCGGCTAGCCGCAGCTCTGGAGCAGATCGGGGGCCCTGGGGTGACGCGCTCTCGGGACTGTGCTGCTTGTCGTCGGTCGAGGTCGTGGCTTTGGGCTGATCCTGGGGGAGTCGGAGAGGTCTAGATTCTGTGCTTGGCCGTAGCTAGGGACACACCTTAATGCGACCGCAGCTCATCAATTTGCACTCTTCACTCAGATGTCTTTGCACGAGCATTGGAAGCTCTTTGGAACAAATGATTGATACTGTTATGGGGATGGGGTCTCCAGGCCAAGACCGGTACCAAACATTTCTGCATCCAAAAAAACCCTTTTGTTTAACAAAGACCCAACAGGCGGCTTCGTCCGGATCCAGCACTGGAACAGTAAACTACTCAAGATCATTCACCATGGCCTGGCTTATTCAATTAGAAGCAGCCTTCCAAATCAAGGTGAGGTTCACAAAGTGAATATTCAAGGTGGCTTCAAGAGGATTGTGATAAACTAAGTACCTACAAGACCACCCCTGTCTATGGGTCAAGTAGCCAACAATAACAGCCGATATATTCACAGACATGGTACTGTAAGTATTCGCAGTTCACCGTCCCATCATCAACCATACTCTTGCGACCAGAAATCTCGCGGGATTTCGTTTACGACCTTATCTTTACTTCAGCATCCTCTGCCCACCCCACGAGCTTACTCTTTGCCTATCGAGGCGTATAAACGACCTAGTCTGCGTAAGAGCCCATCCATCGCATTCAAGGACCTCAGAAGAATCGACCACAGCACTTGAAACCTATCCCGAGGCATCCAATTAGGGCACTTCACTAAGCCAGCTACTCGACGACCCATTAGAGACAGATGAATAGAGCAATGTACACCGAAGTTAAAGTATCAGGCCCACGCTTGCATCCATAGATACACTCATTAAATCACGTACACCGCACCCCAGCCACATCCAGCAAAGAAGCCCGGGGTATAAGATGGTGATTGATGTCTAGCGGGGAGACAAACTTAAGGCATCCCTCTAGGAACCCAGTGTGAAATAAAATAAAGGAGCAGACGCGACATATCGCTCGATGCGGCGTAAGCATTGTATAAGAATGAGGGGCCGATTCAGATTTGAGGGCACCGTCTGCAAGTATTATGGGGCTGGGGTCAGGTCGAATGCGAGTGTCTCGAGTTGACTTGGTGTTCTTGCGATAAGATAGCAGCCACCAGGGATAGAACTGATAGACCCTTGGCGGCGTGAGACATGATGTTGGGTCCGAAGTCGAGGGTGAGGTGGAAAGGCGGATAATGTCGATCCAAGGCGGACAAGAAGGACTAATATTGCAGTGTGAGCGACGGGATAACCACGCATTGCCGACCGGCGAATGAGCCACTCCAGAACACCAGTGCTCGAATAATGAAGAAGATTCAAACTGGGTCCTCAAGATAGCTCCCGTTACCGCGGCCGCTGCATCGGATTCATTGGCTGTGGTTGTAGTGGCGGAGCATACATCTGCTGGCGCTTGGCGGGGTTGTTCATATCTTCACCCCCTGCTATGTCCGAAATCTGTCTTCTGTGAGGGCCTTGTCTTTGAGCCATGGGCATCTGAGGTGATGTGTTGTACCCAATGTTGCTAACCATGGGATTAACGCCGTAGGTGGCAGGGTGGCCTTGTACTGCGTTCATGTATTCGTCGGTAACATTGCTACCAACGGGAGACACGCCGGGGATCTGATTGGGAGAATTCCAGTTACTAGTCGTAGCAGGCGATTTTGCAGGTGATTCGTCGTCTTTTAATGACTGCCTTGTGGAAGCCAAAAGTTGAGGCGGAACCATTCCATCCATCTGGTGAAGAGGTTTCTTGAGATGTGCCAAGTGTTTCTCGAGCATGTGGAGAAGACCTTCCTTTGTGAAAGGCTTAGGTAGAACATCGTTCATGCCTGTGTCTGGTTAGCCGGGTTCCCTTTGTTCCAACTCTTGCCAACTCACCATGCTGGAAATACATGGATATGTCGTCGCTTCGAATGTTGGAGGTCATGGCAATAATCGGAGTGCTATCAAATTGCCGAATGAGGTGGCAGGCGGACACGCCATCCAGATTAGGCATGATGATATCCATCAAAACCAAGTCATACTTTGCGCCTGCGTTCATTTTATTTACTGCTTCCAATCCATCAAGCTTCAGGTTGTCAGTTATCATTCTTTGGAGTGCCGCAGGTTGGGTACTTACAGCATTGTCAATAGCACAGTTGAACGCGTATAAGAACTTTCCGCCGATACGCCGACAGGTTGGATCATCTTCGACTAACAGAATCTGGGGCTGCCGGATCCATCCTGGATCCACCTGCGTGCTCTTTTTCCTTCCCCCTTCGGTTGGCTGAAGCTTCGCGTCTACCGCCTCAACAGGTTTGGATGGCATGGGATATGGAATGTTATGAATGTGTTCGCTGTACATTGGGTCGATGCCGTGCGTCTGGCCAACAGGGTAGACGATATTGTCGAGGTCGCTTATACGCATCGTGTTTGAGGAAGAAGCGGAACCGGGAGCATTGCCACGGCTGACTGGTCTACGCATTAACTCTGGTGGAGGCGTCGTCAGAGTCCCATTCATCCGCATTGTGATCTCGTTCATGTGTTCCAGGTTTCGCGGGTTGAGCATGGCGTCAGCATTGGTCTCGCTGAGGAGTTTCGATGCATTTTGCAAGGGCGATGCCGGCACATCATCCTCGAGAGGAGTGACTTGTGGATTTTGGGTGTCGACGGTATTCCCGTTTTGTGTCGGCGGGGGGAATGGGGCCGCTCTGCTGTCTCGCCTTCTTTGCGCGTCTACTGTGTGCAAAAAGTTCATTACGTTCGACAACACATGCTCGTGGTTTACGAGAGTCTTCTGGAGGCCGATGACTTCTTGCAGAAGCATCGAATGGTGTATGCTCAACTCGTTGTAGCGTTCCGTAATTGACTGAAGCTGTTGTTGGGTGGCTACTAATTGGGTGTTGACCAGGTCCATTTGCGCTGTAGGAATCATAACGTCTTCATTAGTCTGGTTTATTTTCCGTGGAGCGGGAGCTTTTCTTCGAATGTTATCAATCGCGTCCTTGTTGTTTGCCTTGAAATCTGGATGTTTGAATTCCCAAGCCTGTAGTAATCTTAGCGCGCTGTTTTTCCGCAACGACATCAAGAATGGATCGAACATACCCCGGTGCCATACGGCGACGTCCCGTTTTCCTCGTTGTTGTGTCGAACCTTGTGGAAGTCGTATTTGTTCAACTGTCTTACGAAGCTGGCGAAATTACTGTGTTTGAAATGTTTTGGTAAAATGTGTTTCGTAAACTTCTCGTTCTGTGATATGGTCAGTATCCTGCCAATCGTCTTTGCGCAAGAGCACCAACCTCCAGAACGACAAAGCTATCCCCTTCATTTCCCCATCGTACTACGGTATCATCTGCGGGGGCCTCCAACATTCTATTGTCCAATTTAGCGGGGTTACGATCGCATTGGGTATGTCGGCAACGTACTTGTAAAGCTTGCGAACCTGTGGCAATGGTTAGAGAGTTACTAGTATACTGGACGTAATTGCAGGCAGACGTACAAAGTCGCTGGAGCTAGCCCCGGAGCCTCCTTGGTTCGCGTCCATCGTGAAGGCGAAGCCTTTCGGCGAGCAGTCGACTTCCAACCGCCAACAATGGGTAAGGGAACTATGAATGTCTTCTCGGAGGGATTCCCGGGGTCGGGGTCGGGACCGAGGCTGCGCGCGTGCGATTGTCGAGGCTGGCGAGTGCGACCAGTACAATACGGGTTGCGCGGCGCACTTGGTGTCTTTGATGTCGTGGAAAACGAGGTGGTAGACGGCCTGTGGGGACTATCGATAAAGGGCGAGGGCTACCGATGCGACGAAGTCCACGAGGGAAAGGCGAAGGTAGTATGGGACTCGCACAGCTCAAGTGATGGGTGTCGTGCGGTGGAGATGGAGGATGATGGAGGGAGGCAGCGCCAGGGTTGGGCAAGGGCGGAGGAAGAGGTGCGGATAGGGTTATTGGCGTACCTCCTCTCCCTGTCGTCGCGGCAGCAGCTAGTGCCCACCTTGGGCAAGAACTTGCCGTCGTTAGTTCTGGCTAGCGTGCGCTGCAGGTCGGCAGAGAGCGTGAGATTGGCGTGGGCTGAAGGACGTCCACTTGGGCGGCTTGGGGCGAATGAGGACAAGCCACTAGCCTCGGCGATGTGCTCCTGAACTCGAAGACGTATCAACGCGGGGGGGAGACTGGGGGTGTTTTGGCGGGACGATTGGGTGTTCCTAACCCTCTATAACCTTTTGGGGGACGAAAGTCGATACTGAGCTCGCCGGTCGATATTCCTTTTACTTCTTCTTCTTCTTCGTCTTCTTAGCAAGTACATTGGCGTGCACCGAGACTTTAAACTACGTCTACGCGTCTTAGGAGCATTTCCATTAGATACGTCTGTCTATAAACTAGGTGGACATGGTTGAAAATAGATGAGCATGTGTCTATAAATGCAGTGGAGGAGCTAGGTAGCGCGGCTCATTGCGACCAAACGAGAAAAGCGCCTTTTATAGAGGCCACGGGGATGCATTTGTGGAGACTGTTGCTCCGTGGGATCTGTTTAAAGGCCACGCAAGATGCACCAGGTGTGCCATTGCTACCCATCAGTGAGCCATGGTATGTACAACCGCACCCTTGGCGCCTTGTTGCAGTCGTCCGCTCCACTGGCCTGTGGCGAGCATGGCATCGCGAGAGGACAGGCGGCACGGCGGCAAAAGCAGGGAGGCGTACCGACAGGGCATAGCGAGCAACCCTGCTGCAAACGACCGAAGCACTTTACTGCGTGGCCAGGGTTCACACCGAGCGGGTAGCGATCGACCAGCACGGCGTGAATCTTGCGAATCGCGCTCGTTGACAGTGCAGACGCATCCGACTGGCCGTCTGGGCGCGCGCAAAAGGCAAGCCGGTGGGGTGCGTTTGCCTAATAGCACGGCCGTCGCAATTCAGTCGCAGCGAGTGCCGAGTGAGCAATAGGGAGAAATGGCTGCGACTCAAGCGCGCTGCGTTGTGGAGCGAGTGACGCACTGGCTTCGGCTGAGCATCGCCAGCTGACAGCTGCCATGGCCATCCCAGACCTGCACGGGCTGCATCCGCGCGCCACATCTGAAGATCCCGTATCGAACCAGAGCTCGATCTGCGCTGGCCCGGGCACCTGGCACGACGGCGCGGCCTGCGGTCGGATGTCGTGAAGCAGCCGTGGCAGCCTCCTCGGCCTCCCGTTGCACGGCATTTCCCACCTCCACCACGGCACCACCACGCCTCCACCCCTCCACCGCGCCCATATTCCCGCCCTCGAATCCACACCCGCCGCCGAAGTGCCGCTGACTCGCCCACGGAGCACCTCGCTTGCCCGCCACCTGCAGCATGTTCGCAGCAAACCGCCTCCTGCGCGCCAGCGTCGGTACCCCTAATCAACTTCGTGGCTTCACCTGACGCTTGCAGCCTGCCGCGCGGACTGCTCTTGGCCGCCACAGCGGAAAGCAATTTCACGCCTCGGCGCCCGCCTTCGTCAAAGCTGGCGATCGCATTCCCGATGTGGAGCTGATGGAGAACTCGCCTGGCACCAAGGTCAGCCTCGCCAAGGAGCTCACGGGGAAGGGTGTGATTGTGGGTAAGCAAGACGCGCTTTCAATCACCTCAATTCGCAGTGCTAGGCGTTTCTCCGTGTGCACTTCATCGTCGCTGCTTGGATGCGTCATGTGTTTCCTCAGTGCAGACGAGATCATTACGTCCCACCTATGACCTTGAGCAATCCAAGAAATACCCCAGTGTTCTATGGCCGCAGTGTCATCCGTCCAATTCAACAGAGCCAGTCATATGCACATAGGATTCTTGAAAAGGCATCAAAGCCCAGGGACGGGTGATGAATACGCACGGCAGAATGTCATAGCACTGCAATCTCCAACCAAGCAACACCAGGCAATAGCCCCAATTCCCGGGGGCCACTCATAGTCCGACTCGTAATCATGTCCTAACTTTAATCGCGATGCAGGTGTTCCCGCGGCCTTCAGTCCTGGCTGCTCCGAGTCTCACATACCTGGTTATATCAACTCTCCCAAGCTGAAGGATGCCGGCCCCGTTTTCGTTGTATCGGTCAATGACGCCTTCGTGTGAGTCTGGCTTTTACATCATTCTCTGTCAAGATTGCTCTACAGCTGTGGTTATCAAGTTTTGGAAGTGGGCTTGACGATGAGGTCGTAGAGTCTCGGCCTTCGACCGCCAGTCTGACCCATGGGTCTCTCCTTCACCACCCCACAATTGTTTCAGCCTTAGCTACCCAACTAGTTCGGCTCGCTCCGACAGAGCTATTTTCGACCTCCACAAAATCTTGTAGTGGTTATGCGTGGAATTTTGAATATGTTTGGTGCTGACATCCATCAGAATGAAAGCATGGGGAAAGGCACTTGATCCTACCGGCAAGAGTGGAGTAAGCAGTCTTTTCTCTTATTTCATCATTCACTCTTCCTCCGAACCTCAACTCCCACGTCTCGTAATATCTACCGGATAATTAGCTGACCTCCGCAGATCCGCTTCATCGCCGACCCTACACTGGCTTTCACCAAGGCCTTGGACCTCGACTTCGATGCTAGCGCCATCTTCGGAGGTCCGCGTGGCAAACGATATGCCCTTCTTGTAGAAGACGGGAATGTCAAAGAGGCCTTCGTTGAGCCAGACAATACCGGTATCAGCGGTGAGTGTCGTTGTAGATCAGCATGCAGCTACAACTAACCCTTTGCTAGTTTCGGCCGCGGACAAGGTCCTTGCTTAGGAGGAGGGACACCCTGGCGTTGCTCTTATTGACTAAACCCTGTCAGCCAGAGTTAGTAGCATTAAGAATACTTAGTCTTGTATATTATCACGTGGAACAGCCCCGACCATCCGGGCACTTAGCGCCGCCGAACGAGGCAATGCGCTCTATCCAATGGCTGCAGCTTCACTTTACTCTGTCTGTGCTTGGATATGCTTGTTGAGTAAGACCATGACCTTTTGGCAATTCTCTTTTACTATCAGAAAAGCGGTGGTGGCGGTATGTCATCTTGCTGCTAAGTTGGTCACTGCATCCATACATTCGTTGGCATTGTTTGAGTGGTACCTGCTATCACTGCATGGGTAAGGAAACCTCCAGGTTTCTCACTTAACTTGACGTCCCTTCCAAGCCTACCTAGTCCCAACACAATGCCACTTCTACTCTCTGTTCCTATGACGACCATCACTGCGTCATCCGCGAATCAACCGACGAGCACCTCTTCAAAACCTGGTACACTGACTTGAACCGCCACCTTTTGCGGAACCCTGATTGGATATCAATTCACACCATTCGAATTCTCTCTACCATGGCACTAACACATGATTATGGGTCCTGGCACGGGAAAGAAGCGACAGTTTCATGCCGTTCCGAAAATCAATTGAAAACCTCATTCGCTGTCAGAATAGAAACGGAACGACGTGAGCACGTATCTACCATAGTTCCCGCAGCGCCCTCCGCTCATAGTCATCTCCCAACCGTGTAGGATCTATGTCTGAGTGTGGGGTCGCCTGAAGGCCGACTGTTCTAGACAGGAGTGGGGGTTTGTCGTTCCATGGATGAAGGTGCCACGGTAACGGGGTATCGCGACTCCACCACATCTGTGAGGTTGTTGATGAGGCATTTGATGTCGTGACTTCTTCCTATTCACGGATCGTAGCGGACTTGCCCAATGCAAGCGACCAACCCTCAATCTCTGTGCCATGGGTACGTTGGCTTGGCTGACACTGCAGCGTGAATAATGAGGAGGAGCGCGTGAGATGTGACGCTACTGTTTCCTAGGAAGCAGCTAATGGGTATTCAAGAATGGATGGCCAGTGACAGCAGAGTTGAGCGGGATATGATTTCACTCGTCCAGCGTTTGAGCAGAGCTGTCCCACGCACGGTATTGCAGAAGCTCTTTAGTTCAGCTACTTTGGAAGTGTATGTTTTGTATTTTAGATCCTGCGATTGATAAATGGAAGACGAGTGTCATTTGTTGAATCTATATCCTTACCTCCGCAGCCTTCCTCAATCGATTCATGACCGCCGTAGCAATGTCGCCTTCGGTGTCATCGACGCCTTCTACAAAGATGGCGTCGACGTTGTGTTTATCGAGTTCGCGAAGAGCGGAGAATAGACCTCGCGCTACTCCTGCGGTGGCCGCTCCTAGATCGATCTCCCAGATCTCTATGTTTTTCGAGCCGTCGAGCTGTAGAGACATTTGGTGGGCTCGGGGTATAGGTATTGGGGCGAGAGATTGTAGAAGATCGAGGAAGCCGGGCGTTGATACTGCCTCATATCCAACTCTATTCTGAGTCGGGATCTTGGCATCTCCATTTTGAAGCCTTTCCTCTTCAACGCCGTGGTTGATTACAACAGGCAACCCACACGCAGGCTTCCACAGCTTCGTCCTAATAATACCAATCCTAGACGTCCTCCCTACGTAACCCAGCATAGTAGCAAGATCAGGCTGTCCAGCGCCCGCTTCATACAGCGCAACAGTCGCCTTGGGAGAATAATGCCGATACTTCATTCCAGGGGCTCTCGGCTGTATCCCTTGTTCAGGCTTGTCCTTGTACCCCACGACCACATTTTCCCATCCTGGGCATTGGCGGAGCTGCTCCAAGGTAATTCCGCCAGGTCTCAAGATCGATGGCGGAGAGCTGAGTCCATCCACCACGGTGCTTTCTACACCAACCTCGCATGGGCCGCCGTCTAGGATCGTCTGGATGCGCCCGTCCAGATCGTCCTTCACGTGCTCCGCCGCCGTAGGAGAGGGCCTCGTAGACGCGTTGGCAGAAGGCGCAGCCAGCGGCACGCCGGCCAGCTTTATAAGACACAGCGCGAGCAGGCTTCGCGGCATGCGCGCACCGAATGTCTGCAGGCCGGCTGTAACTTCGGGAGCCAGGACCGAGCCAGCGGGGTTCGGCAATATAATCGTCAAAGGCCCAGGCCAGAACTTCTGGATCAGCGGCTTGTATATCGCTGGTATAGGGTCCTCGCCATCGGTGGGCTGGAGCAGCGTTCTCAGTTGCTGGAGCGAGTAGAAGTGCACAATCAGGGGATTGTCGACAGGGCGCTTCTTGGCCTGGAATATTCCCCGGACTGCCGCGCTGCGTGTAGCATCTGCGCCTAAGCCGTATACTGTTTCGGTGGGGAAGGCGACGGGGATGCTCGTGGTCCGTAATTCGGTTGCTGCGCGCTGCAGGTTTTCGAGGTCTGGAGTGCCGACTGCCCACTTGATATCCCAATTATCCAAGGGCGAGTCTGTCGTGGCACTAGTGGTGATTTCCCCGATCCGGGAAGGGTCTACTTGGAGGATGTCGGTCTTCATGGGCGAAGAGGAAGGCATTGTAGCCTCGGTGTTGCTCATCGTTGCGGATACAAATAGGTGACCATCCGAAGGGGTGGCCGCCACAGAGTGAGATGCGCGGCGGATGCTTGAGGGGGCGAAGATGGAGCGAACATTTGTAATAGTCGAGAGGAGTCTTCGCATTAGAACATTGCAGCTTGAGACGCCCAAATTTCACAGGTTGAGATGGTGGAGTCATTAAACTCGCCGAAGAGATTTTCCGTTCCGACGTCAATCTAATCTGATGGCCTTCTAGTTGATCTTCATCCTTCTTCATTAGCTCAGATAAGCAACATGGCCACAGAATGACGAGATCTTCGCAATCTCTACCACAGAGCAAACAAGAATTGCGTGCATATACATTCCAATGTAGCCTTTATGGCGATTTCGAGTGCAGATATCTAATCTATCCGATACCGAAGCTAAGAAACCTGTGCGCACCGACTCCCACTTCGTATATAGGTGTTCGTGAATTCCCTCCTTCTAATGATGAGCCCCACAATCAAAATCCATCACCGGAAATCGTATTTAGAGGAAGAGAAGAAGAAGAGCCACCAACACCAGCGCGATGCCCCTAACCTGATATAAACCAAAAGGGAACGCTGTCTTGGAAAAACTGCATCCCAGACGCCCGTTCCGTTCGCTGGGATGCTCTCTTTAAGTGATCATCCGGGTATCCAAAAGTCTATAGCAGTGGATCATGAAAACACATTACAAGAACCAGACTCCTGCAGCTCATGATGCAACGTCTTTCTTCCCATGCAAAAAGTAGCGCTTGTAGGATATCAAAGCCATCAAGAAGCACCATTTGCGTCAGGCGTTCGGGTAGTATTGGTGGACGTTTCATCAGGCACTACTTTCGATACTGCGTTCGCCTTGAGCACCGTGTTCTCCCTCGAAGTTCTAGGCCGTTTATTTTCTTTGGCTTCCGAGGCATCATGTTCGGCATCTATCATAACTCGTCTAGCGAGTGTGTTGGCCTGTTGCTGGAGATCCGGCATGTCTCTCTCAGGCTGAGAGAGGTAGGATTCGAGGAGTGCTTTTAGTGTTTGGGCGCTATGGCGATGTTAGCTTATGTTCTTTTGTAATTCATGAGATAGAAAGGGGAAGCGGTGCGTACCGAACTGGCTTGGCAAGGTAATTATTCATGCCCGCCTCTAAGCACTTCTCTCGGTCCCCTTGGATAGCGGATGCGGTCATGGCGATGATGAGGACGTTGCGGATTACGGGGTCTTTGTGTTTTCGGATTTCTCTGGTGGCGTCGTAGCCATCTAGGACGGGCATTTGGACATCCATCAAGACCTGTATCGGATGTCAGCTTTGTTCCCGAGGAAGGGTTTTAGGATTGCACGTACAAGATGGAACGGAAAGCCCTCTCTGCTTGCCTTCTCCAACGCGTCTATTGTCTTCCGGCCGTCTGCGCAAGCTTCGCACATGAACCCAAGCCTCTGTACAAACGAAATCGCTATCCGCTGGTTGATGAGGTTGTCTTCGGCGATGCAGATACGAAGCTCTTTCCTTGGAACTTTAGATAGATCAATGCAACCATTTGGTAATTGCTCGTGGCCATTGTTCTCCTGGGCAGAAAATTTCGCCATAGGATCCGGATCGCGCGAATCCCATTCTATCCGCATGGCTTCCGATTTAGGAATCTTTTTGAACTTCAACGAGAAAGATACTGTGGTTCCTACTCCTGGCGTACTCTCGAGCCAAATCTTGCCCATCATTACGTTTTCGATGATTGCTTTGCAAATACTCAGCCCCAGGCCGGTACCACCATAGCTTCGGGAACTGGAATTTTCGATTTGGCTGAATGGAAGGAAAAGCTTCTTCTTCTGCTCGTCCGGTATACCGATTCCAGTGTCTATGACGCTGCAAGTAATATCTATTGTGTCCTTATCTTCTCGCTGCACAGTAGCTTTGACAGTTACCGAGCCGTGAGGCGTGAACTTGTAGCTGTTCGAGAGTAGATTCATCAGGATCTGATGAAGACGGACAGGATCACCCATGACAAATAGGTCAGGATCGATTTCTAGTTGCTCTATGGTTTTCAGACCTCGTTCGGCATTCGTGTATGACAACGCACGAACGACTTCGGTAATTGTTTCTGTCAGGCTCAGTGGCATTGATATCATGTTCATTTTACCAGCTTCCAGTTTGCTATAGTCCAGCAAGTCGTTAATGATCGATAGAAGGGTATCTGCACAAACGCGGATACTGTCTGCATATCCTGCTTGTTCAGCATTGAGTGGACTAGCTTTGAGTAGCTCGCTCATGCCGATAACACCGTTGAGAGGCGTTCGTAGCTCGTGCGACACGTTCGCAAGGAAGAGAGACTTCGCCTTGGCTGCCTCCTCCTTCAACTTCATGGTACGAATAGCGATGGCCTCTGCTTCCTTTGCTTTGTTCTCGGCTTCGCGCGCTTGGGTCAGAGATTTCTTTTGCATCTCCAACATAGCTTCATTGCTCGCGCTGACTTTTTCGATCTTCTTAAATAGCAGAGCATTGGCAAGCGATATGGCAATTTGGTTGACAAGGAGTCGCAGGACATTTGTGTTCCTTTCCGTGAAGCTATTTGGAGGTCCTTCGACGTATATCGAGCCGAGTAAGAGGTCGTCGTTTCCGTGCAATATAGGGATCGCTATGACTGCTTTACCAACAGGATTCCGTTTTAGATAAGCTTCTGAGACGTTGGAAAATCGGTCATCCTCAAGGAGATTCTGCACAAAGACTACCTCCTTGAAGCGTAGAACGTAAAGCGTCACTTGTCGAGCCACTTGATCTTCGACCGTCTCCAAAGACTGGCCACCAGGGAACGACTGAACTCCATCAGGACTTGCGACGGCTGCGACGGACCATTGAATTTGGTCATCCTCAACGACAATGGCACCTAGATCTGCTCCTGTAGCTTCTAAAATAATCTCCGTCATCTTCGCCAACAATCGATCAACTTGAAGCTCGGAAGATAGAACCTGCGAGGACTCCAGAATGCTGGTAAGGTCAATCATATCAAGTCCGACAGCCGAAAATCCACCTTGAAGGTCGTTATGAGTTGCCGGTTGCTTTCCTGCGCCGGAGGAATTGCTTGGGCCGAGCCAAGCGTGCGTGCGATCCACCGAAGTTTCTGCGCCGAGCATACGTGCCTCTTGGTCTTCATTCTGCTCTAGCTTGAAAGGGGTATTGCCGGTATCAATGATAGTCGTCTGACAAGCGACATCCATAGTGGATAGGCTGGAGGTCCCCTGGATGAGCCACTCGTATTTGGCAGCTAATTGATCGGATTTTCCAAAAGCGCTGAGACGTCGGTAGGTTGAAACACAGTCCTTCAGCATACGGCGAGCCGGACGAGTAGATCCTGCACGTTGGAGAAATTCTGCATAGAGTTCGTACGAGAGAGCTTCATCAAGAAGAAACCCATGGAGCTCAGCGTGATCGATGGCAGCTTCGTAGTGCACCAAAGCCGTTACTCGGTCTCCATCAAGGTCGTGCAGCTCAGCATTGAGGAGAGATAGCCATATGCTATAGTTGATGTCGGTGACAGCACAGCAGGACCGTATTTTGCTGATCGATGACCTGACAAAATCTAGTAATTTGCCTTTGTTGAATGCGCTGATGGTAGAGAACTGTTCGCGGATGGTAGCTAGATAGGCTAAGGAAAGATAGAAAAGGTTGGAATATTGGAGGCGCATACACCACACACTTTCCATCATGGGGAGAAGCGCTTCTCCAACCGCGATCGCTTCAGAAATGAATCCAAATCGGTACAATACAATAAGCTTGTAGCTCAAGTATATAGTTCTAGGTCGTTTCGAATTGGAAGCCTTTGAATCGAGGTGCTCGAGGTATGCTGTCGTCTGGTGTTCATCGTCTGACATTACGTGCTCTGCGGAATGGGTGTGCGTTTTTCCTTGCAATGCGCGAGCGTACTGCCTGACGCTAATGAGGAAGACACCCCCACGCAAGTCCTCTTGCCAATTCTTGAACTCCATAGGAGCTTCTTCTATCCAAGCTTCTAACTCTGCGAGGTCGTAGGATGACCACAGTCTAAACGCAGCGACAACCCCTAAATTTAGCAATGAAAGAATGCGATCCCCCGCTACAAGGCTCGCCTCCATTGCACGGTTGAGTATAGGAATCTATTAGATGTTAGTGGGTGCTTTATATGGGCATGGTAGGCAAAAATTTTGCTCACCTGATCGCGGACATGTGTCTGAAGATGACCCATAAATAGGGCATGCAGAGTTTGCCCGCGTCCGACAGTATAAGGCTCTTCGCGATAGACCTCCAGAAGGCGTTTAGCCATGTCGCCAATTTCAACGCCATACTCCACCATGTTGAATCGACCTGCACAGATCGATGCCAAGTGAACATAGCCCAAGCCGATTTGGGGAACTGTTCCTCTGTGCAGATGTAGATCTACCATTTTCAACGTGATTTGATAGAAGAGGAGCGAATTACTCCAGAAAGCGGCACTGAGCAACTCCACGAAGACGGCACCCATTGTCATCAGATTCCGATCGCCCGTCGGAGCTCTCGCTACCAGCTCGTCCCCATCAACGTTTTTCAGTTCAGAACATATCCGTTGAAACTCAGAGTCACATCCTTCCCAAGTCGTTTGCCCAATATCGACCCCAAGATCCGATAAACATTGCTCGAGCGCTTGGAACGCCGCGAAACTGTCACCCTTCACAGCGAACACTCGAGACCGCAAGATCCATGAGGGAGCTTTGTCCACGGCATCCTTTGCTTTACTAAACGTAGTTTGTAGTAAGCCTAGTGCCTCTTCGAACATGCCTTGAAACCAGTAGCACTCTGCTGACCGGGTAAACAAGGTTAAAGTTTCCTGATAAAGTACGTCGGGTATCTTTTCGTCCCAGGGATCGTCCTGTAGCAAATTAAGACAATGCGTATAGTAGTATAATGCGGTTGAGCGTGCTCCAGACTCTCGAGCATTTTCTGCGGCCTGGTATAAGACGTCTCTGTAGGAGGCACGGTTTTGCACTCTTGACTTAATGAGATCAACTGCCAGGCAGATGTGTCGACTTCGAATGTAGAGGCCTTTCGAGTTGGCGGCCGTGTCATCGTGATAGTCGTTCTCGATCATGGTCTTGGCTATCGCAAAGTGCATTTCCGACTTGTTGTAACACTCTGTTAATGATGTTGCGGCTAGCATGTATCGATCGTGAGAGAATCTGAACTTGTCTTCGTCCTCGCCGGCCATCAGTATATAGGACGAGAGAGCTCCTTGTAGTGCAAACACTGAGTCCTGTGGATCGGTCAAGGTGGGTATCCCAGAAGCGTTCGACAGCACAGTCTCTTCATCCATCAATTTCTTTACAAGGCTGAATGAGAAGCTGTTGCCGATCAGGGAAGCCCACGCGAGTAACGATCTCGTAGGGAGTGGTAGCTCTTGTAGCCTCTTTGTCACAAAGTCGTTATTGATTTGCGATCCGTATGTTTGAGACTCAAACTCAGTGAACACTTTATCGAGGTCATACTCCCAGGTAGAACCTTTCCATGAGTAATAAACGCAGGTCTTGCGATAGCACGTATCCAGCATTTCGCGAATGAAGAAAGGATTGCCCATAGTTTTCTCCTGGATTACAGCGACAAGTGGTAAAACATAGTCGCGATCTCGATGCAATGTTTCCGAAACATACTCCGCTGTCTGATCCTCGTTGAATGGTCGCAACTGCACCTTGGTTGCGGAACGCAGCATGGAACGAGTTTCTTTCGGTAGGCCATCTTCTTCCCGGTACGTTAATATGAGCACTATCGGAATGCGGCCGGAGATAATGTTTTGAATAAGTTCCAGGCTTTCAGGATCGGCATACTGAAGATCGTCAACGCAGAAGCAGATGAATTTACAAACCGCAAAAAGGCGGAGTACTTCGATGAAAGTGTTCATGAACCTCGAAGATTTTGTTGAGCCACCAGATCGCAACCAATCTGCTGCAGTATTTCCTGCACTTCCGCAGTGTACAGCTGGAGAGGATGCTCGACGTGGGCTTTTGATAGCTTGCACATCTCGCTGCTGTGGCTTTGGCATGCTACCAGAATCAAGCAGCCACTCTGGTAGATTTAAGTAGCTGTGGAGGAGAGGCCAAACGGGTTTCACATATGCACGTATGTTGTTGTGAAACTCGGTGGACACGTCGCTCTCTGAGAAAATCTGCCGAAAGAGGGAGGACATCAACTTCAGGATAGGGTCGAAGGGCGCTCGTTTTGCTTGGTCAAATTTGGATGACGCAAAGTATCCATGGCTCCTAGCTGCGATCTGAATGCTCTGCACGAGAGAGGACTTCCCAAGGCCAGCTGCCCCTGAAATTGTGATGACTTCACATCGACTTTTCCTTTTCATCTTCTGGGCGTTGCGCAGAAGAGAAGTCGATCCATCGGTGCCAGGCATGCCTGACCGTTGAATAGATGTATTGGAAGAAAAACCGTCTGTGCTGCCGACAGAGGGCTTGCTCTCAAATCTAGTTCCCATGAATAATGGTCTTGAATCCGGTAACTCCGAGAGTCCATCAGGAGTAGAATTTTCGGATTGTCTGATGCTGTCCTGTGATTTCTGATGCACTGATCTTGTAGCTTCCATATGTACGGCACCATTGCCACTCCCCATCCGGCTTTCGGAGCCCCTGGAGCTGGTGCTATCCGAAATCAGATCGTCGATCTGGGCTGCAGATTCAAGGTGAGATGTGGAGTATGAGGAGTTCGAGCTAAGACTACTAAGTCCCTTGGCAGATAGATGAGGTTGCCGTTGTCGTTTTGAAGCGCCTTCCACAATTGCCACAATTTGTGCCCGCTCTTTTTCGCGTCCAATCTGTTTCGAGGGTAAATTAAAGAAACAGGAGATATCCTTGGTGCCGATTTTGAATGCTTGGAGACCTTCTCCGTCACCTTCGTAAAGAAGTTTCTGAATCTGCACGAGGTCGTGCTTCAGGCCTGAGGTAGAATTATAACGTTCGCCGATATTCTTCTGTGTCATTTTCGTGATTACAGCACATAGCACGTCCGGTACATCTATCCGTTTCGTTGAGACCGGAGCTATTCTCTTCGAGAGGACATTTTGCATGACATCAAGAGGGTTGTTGCCGTCGAAGGCAGTTTCTCCTGTGAGCATCGTCCAGAACACTATTCCAAGGCTGTATATATCAGTACGACTGTCCGGCTCAGCCGGTAAACGTCCCGTCTGCTCCGGGGCGATGAACTGTAGCTTATGCTCAACTCCTACTTCGCGGCTTAGGGAAGACCATCCCGCGCTAGTCAAACCATTCTCAAAGGACCGCGCCCCAGACCCAAAGTTTATCATCTTCACCACGCCAGTTTCCATATTGAAGTGAAACGCATCTCCCCGCAGCTCGCCATGTACTATGCGATTTCCATGGTGCAGAATTTCGCAACACTCGGTAGCACCAACGGCAAAGTCCAGGAAGGTAAGCAGAGGGACCCGCTCGATGCTCTTGCCCAATGCTTTAAACTCCCAACCGGTTTTGGATGCAAGCTGGAAGGCATTTGGTCCCAACTCTATTAATTCGCGAAGGTAGTTGACGCCTGGTGCTTCAAAAATAGAGCACACCAGGCTCTCGGGATTTCCAGACTTTGGTGGGAGGCGGACGATTTCCAACGGCCTGACAAAGTGTTTGCATTCGGGATCTGATTTCTCTACTACGGCTTTGCAGAGCTGGTATTCCCTTTCCAGACGAAGCAGGTGTTTTGAGACGCGTGCGATGACCTGGCGTTGCTGCGGCGCTTGATTTGTTGTGGGTGTGACGGTGGCATCACTGCTGTCCGGCGAGTGAGAGCTCGAGTGGGACTGGGAATGCGAGGACTTGTGAGGAGTGGAGCGGCCGCGCGACTGGGGGCCGTCGGAGTTGGCATTCTGGAAGCCAAAGAAGTGCCAGTTGTCGTAGGACTGTAGAGTATTTGTCAGTAGGAGTACAAATGCTCAAGTCGAGCAGAGCCCACCGAATGGAACGGTTCTCTGTCCACAGCCCAAGTGTATCCCGGGACCTCAACCAGGCGCGAGAGGATCTGGGAGAAGCGTGCGGCCCGGTTTGCGGCGTCGAGATCAGGCGAGGACATAATGTCTAAGCAGCGCACGCGTTCCCGCAGCCCTCAAGTCATGTCTCCGCGATGCGGCCGGACGGCGCAGAACTCGGAGGCACGATGGAGGTGTCAGCGGACTGGGGTGAGGATCATGGTAAAGAGGGAGGCGTCATGGGATGGGATTTGCCGGTGCTGGAGAATCGATGGTGGTCGCCCTCCTGCGGCGGTGCTTCCAGTAGCAGGTATTCACTCTAGGCGATGCGTGACGCTGATTAAGAGTGGCGGACGAGGAGGTGATGTCTGGACTTTCGTCACTAACCTTGGAACTGCTCCCCTCGTCGATGCGCTCATTGGACGGGACGTAACAGCCGCCCTAGGGCTGGAACTCAACACCATCACCCTACATCGTGCCCGGCCTCGATATATTGCGGGCTTCGATGCTCTTTCCACCGCACTGGCACACGGCATCCATGACCTCACCAACAGAGAAGGGAAGCCATTGTCCATCGCTTGTCCTGCTCCTTGCCTCGACCCACATCACCGCCCCCACCACGATCCTCGCAGGCAATACATAAATCTGATTCCATACCAAGACCGCTACAGCCGGATGCGTCATAGCCAGTTGCTGAAGCTGGAGAGACGGCCAATGCAGCCCGGCACCCGCCATGGAGTTGCCCACAGATGAACACGTCTATACCGGAGACCCGCCCAAGCAGCGGACTCTTCCTGCCGACCTCCCACGCTCGCTCGACGACCGCAGGAATGTGCCGATAATAGCGGAGGAGACTGAGATGTACGATGCCTGGCAAGGTGAGGGCAGCCTGGCACGCTCGCTCGTCCTTGAATTGACTGAACCGTCTAGGACAGTCGCAGTTCCTCACAACGCCCGTTCCTGCCCGCCCAATTAGCTTCAACCTCTCCCTCGACGATCCGAGCTACGGGGACGAACACGCCGTACAGAACCTCGAAGACAGCGATAGCCGGCTTGTCCAGATGCTAGCGAACCAGGCCCGGTTGAAAAGCGATAATCCGGCCGCCGGGGACGAGGCAAAAGTCATAACTGATGAATCGCTCTCAGTGGAAGAGAAACAGCAGGCTCTCCAGGGGCTGTTGAATCTGGCAGCGTCTAACGGGGATGTGGAGAGGGTCAAGCGCCTCGTCAGTGGAGATGCGAAGGAATACATCGATGTCAACGCCCACGACGCCGACGGGACGCCTCCGTTGATATACGCCAGCTGCTTCGGACACGAGGAAGTGGTTGCCGCACTTATCGCGGCGGGCGCAGACGTCGACCGACAGGACCGGAATAGATGGAGCTCACTGATGTGGGCCATGACAAACCGTCATAAAGGGATAGCCAAGCTGTTACTCGATAATGGCGCATCCCCGGAAGTCAAATCATCATCGGGAAGGACTGCATATGATTTCGTCGAGCCGAACAGCGAGATTTCAGAGTATCTGCATGAGAGTGGATACAATATCGGAAGCGTTGGAGTCAGTGGCGGCGATTTCTACACAAGCGGATTCTCACAGGATCGGTTCGAGGAGGAGATGGCAGAAAACGAAATGAAGAGACGCATGATGATGGAAAGCGCCATCAACTTGGAAGTTGACCTGGGCAATCTTGGCCTAGATGAGCAGCCTGAGGTAAGCCACTGTTTCCATTATATGCGATGGCGATTCTAAGAACCAGCAGTCTCCTGAAGAACTTGAAGAGGTCCAGGAGTTTGTGTGGGATCGGTGTCTGAACGATCAGATGTTCGTTTTTCAAGAGAACGAGTTAGACCGCATCCTGGACATAATCATAACCAACATGACACCACAAAGATCTCCGTCGCAGAAGCCTGTGCCGGCCAACATACTCTTTTTGAGTGCCCGGTACGCATTTTACCATTCGAGTCCTGAGCTACTGGAGACTCTGCTAGTTTCTGCCATGGACAGGATCAACGAAGTCATTGAAAAACACCAATGGGATATGACAATCCTAGCATTTTGGATGTCCAACGCGACTTTACTTCTACATTACCTCAAAAAGGATGGAGGCCTTGTGCAAGCGACATCCGAATTTCAACTGCAGATGGCCGAGCTTATTAACGAAATCTTCATCTTGATAATACGAGATGCTGAACGCAGGATGGACAAGGTTCTTGACACGGCAATGCTAGATCACGAAACAATACCTGGATTTGAGGACGTTCACTTCCAACACGAGTGGAAGATATTTCGTACCAAAGCCAAGGCGAAACCAGTAGAACCCTTCGAAAAACGCTACCGTCCTCCATCCCCGAAGCGACGAGCCCAAGTATCGCCCCGAAATATCACATCACTGCTCTCTTCCACTTTGTTCGTTCTCGATCTTTACGACATACACTCTGTGATAACCTCACAGATCTTATCACAGCTCATTTATTGGCTAGCTGCTGAGCTTTTCAACCGTATCATGGCGAACAGGAAGTACCTCGCGAGGACCAAGGCCATGCAAATTCGAATGAACATCTCGTCCTTAGAGGAGTGGGCCCGCACCAACAACCGTCAACCAGAGCACTACGAAAATGGGTCTTTGACTTCTACAGGGGAGGCAACAGTCGACGCCGCCCGACGCCACCTCGAACCAGTCGTGCAGCTACTCCAATGGCTCCAGTGTTTTTCTTCCCTTGGCGGTGACTTGGAGTCGCTCAAGGGTACCGTTCAACAGCTCCCGAGACTGTCACCGCAACAGCTCATCCACGCTGTGAAATACTACAGGGCAGAAGTAGGGGAGAAGGGATTGCCGAAGGATGCGATGAAGTGGCTTGCTAGTCTGCAAAAAGCTGCTGCAGAACGGAAAACAAGACCACGGAAACATTCGGGTGCATCTCCAAACTCACAGAAAGCAGCCGATTCATCACCTTCAACACCTGTGAGGCCTGGACAACAGCAGGCATTCTCGCCATCGCCTGCTCTTTCCAAGCAGTCTGAAGATGATGAAGAGGAGGCCCCAGAACATTTGCTCATGGATCCTTCGTTGATGCTCCCGTTCTCACTGCCAACCTCTACGGATATGCTGATAAGCTATGGAGCCGGCTTCGGGGGACTCAACAAGGAGCGGGAGCGAAAATACCTGCCCACCGTTCCACCAGAGTTTCTAGCGAAGCTCGACTTGAATGGCAACAAGAACGGAGGGAACATTTACGCAAACTCAAAGTGGGACGACGAATCGTACAGCTAGTGCATTCGGGAGCATTTTGTCAGACGGTTGTCGGCATAAAGGTTTATGATAGACGATCACCAAGTTTCAGCATGTCTGAAGGTCAGCGTGTCGTTTCCATCCGTGTTGTTTAGTTCTCTATTGGGTATGGGGGGAAAACTTTGATCATCGGAATGCTCCATGCTTTTCACGGACCTCGCCAAATCTTACCCTGCCACTATATACTTTCCTACCCCGCGGTGGGGTAGTTTCGGTCACGGCATTTTGGAGATAGCATGCGACACCGGACTTTTCATTCACCACAACACTTAAAGGCAATTGAATACCCACAAGTTTCATTCAAACCACACACAACATGGAAATTCCCGTCGTGACCCCCGAGATCCTCAAGATCAAGAGCATTGGCGCATCTAAGTCATACCCAGTAGCCGCAGATAAGATTGCGACAACCTTTGGATCACACTACATAGGTACACCCAACCCTCCCACTTCCAATACAGCCGGCAGCAACAGCCCCCCTACCTCCTACAAGAGCGAAATCGACATGCTAACAGTAGCTATTTCCCCCTAGATCTCATCTCCAAACCTCTGGGATCGCGCATCCTCGCCTTCAGTGACGGTTCGTAATCACAGTCTTCCCGATCACTGTCTTTCATCCACTAACTTGGGCGAAAGAATGGTTCGCGGCAGCAGATAATTTGACCACACCCACGGCCCCCGTCCGCAAGCCCGGCGTCTTCACCCATGCCGGCGCCTGGTACGATGGCTGGGAGACGCGCCGCCACAACACCGAGCCCGCCGACTGGGTCGTGATCCGGCTAGGCGTGGCCTCAGGGCGCGTCGCAGGCGTCGAAATCGATACCGCCTTCTTCGACGGCAACCACGCGCCCGCAATCGCCGTCGAAGGTACCTTCAGCGCCGACGACGAGGCGGTCAAGGACCCGAAGTTCGCGGGTTGGGAAAACATACTCGAGAAGCAGGAGTGTGGGCCCAGCCAGCGCCAGGCTTGGGCGCTCGAGGGCCTGACGGAGAAGGCGTACACGCATGTGCGGCTGCTGATGTACCCAGACGGCGGCATTGCGCGCTTCAGGCTCTACGGCGTCGCGCTGCCCGTCTTCCCCGCGAGCATCGACGATGTGTTCGACCTCGCGGCGACGGTCAACGGCGGCGTCGCGGTCAGCTGCTCGGATCAGCACTTCGGGACGAAGGATAACTTGCTCTTACCCGGCCGCGGGCACGATATGGGCGATGGGTGGGAGACGAAGCGGACGAGGGGCGAGCATGTCGACTGGACGATTGTCAGGCTGGGGACGAAGGGGGAGGTGGATAAGATTGTGGTGGACACGGCGCATTTTAGGGGGAATTTCCCGCAGAAGGTGCAGGTGTTTGCGGGGCTTTGGGAGAGTGGTGAGCCTGGCGCCGCGGATAAGGGCTGGGTGGAGGTGCTTGCGCCGCAAAAGGCGGGGCCGGATAAGGAGCATGAGTACCAGGGAGATGTGCTTAGCAATGTGAAGGGGGCGGTGTATTCGCATCTCAAGCTAGTCATTATCCCGGATGGGGGCGTGAAGCGGTTTAGAGTGTTTGGCAGAAGGAGGGTTTGAGGGGTTAGTAGCTTAGCGTGGTCGGTGGTTACTTGGTACACCAAAAACCCTACCATTTAATTAATCACACAAAACACAATGAGCAGAGCACTTACGCAGAGATAATGAGAATCATCTTACCAGCCTTCCGTGATAGACTGTCCTTAAATACGTTCAGCTCTCCGCGCAACTACACCTCCCTCCTACAATCGACATCCGCGTCCACGTCTACTCAAAGGTTCTCCAAAACCTCAACGACTTTTCGCAAGCCCAACTCTCCACACAGCTACTCATCCCTCCTATAATACACACTCGCATTGGCATCCGCCCAACGACCTAGCTCGAAGCCAACTCTCTCACGAAACCGACCACCTCACTCAGCCACCATGATTTTCCCCATTCTCATCCCCATCATCATCCCACTCATCATCCCAATCTTCTTCCCCATCGGCATGCCTATCATTTTCCCCATCATCTTCCCCCTGCTATTTCCTATCGCCACGACTTTCGCACTATTCAACCTCTTCGCTAGCCAGGGAATCTTTTATGCCGGCGGCGACCTCGACGATGACAACGATAACGAAGCTGCGGCCTATACCGACTCTGACGACGACTTTGAAATTATTTAGTATTGAGTGTGGTGGTGGGGTGGGGGGGGGGGGGGGGTGTGAGTGAGTCCTGCAGTAGGATTTTTTTCTACGTACTCCGCTAATGGAACAAGCAGCATACAATCAGGTTGTGACTGATAGGGGAGTTAGGACTTGAACGTATCTGGGTCTCGAAGAGGGCAAAGTTATTAGGAGTTGTGACGAGGGAATGTGGCATGCTGTAAGACTATCTAAATGTTAGCCTCTTGAATATTCAACGTTTCGAGGGGCTTAGTAACACTATAATTGATTCTGTTCACACTGTACACTGCCTTTTGACGTGAGCCTTTTGATTTATGTCGAAGGAGCCTGCAGCACCTTCTCTACTTGTTATCCCGCCCCTTCCTCGACCACGGGACACCATCAATTCAACCACGATCCACATCTTAGAGTGCAGTATTCCGTATTTAAGCCTCCGAATCTCTACTCCTCCCTCTATCCCATCACAGCTTCTATAATTGTCCTCCACATCAGTATGCTGTAATCTCAAACCCCCACGCTTCATGCTTCAACTTCATGGTCCTCGTCTTCGCTTCTGCGATCCTCACCTTCAGCATCCTCGTCCTCGGTACGACGATCTATGCTGCCAACGAGAGCGGAATACAAGGACACTCCACAAGGTACAAGAACCCATAACTCTACATGAAGATACATGCCTTTGCAAAAGAAGAAGTGACGACTAATAGGAGTTGGCGGGTACGACAGAATTTCGAAGTTCTTGGAGAGGTGAGTCTTCGATTCGAGCTGTCTGTTTGCGAATGAGGAAGCTGAAGCAGGCTTATAGAATGCCAATGACACCATTGAGAAGGCTTTAAGGAGTTGAGACTTTAACACTGGAGTGTGGTTCAAGGTGGAGGGTCCCACCATCTGTGCGCTCGGAATATGCTGGTTGAGGGAGTTGAGAACGTGGTTTAGTAGCTTTGGTATCTTTGAGAGAATTTTAGACCTTGTGAATGTTGAAGTTGGGGAGTAGGATAGAGTGATTCGAATCCCGGGGGAGGCGGAAGAGGGAGGCGGAGGGGGGTTTCCAATAACCAGGTCGAGGGTCCATACAGAACACGCAGATGTCACAGCTGGCCGATGTCACTCGATTCAAAGCAGAAAGAAGAGCTCACCTATACCAAACCTGTGACGCATGCAGCATAATCGCACCCTCACCATCCGCCTTCAAACAGATGAAGTTGTTGAGTTGAGAAGCAACTCCGCATGCATCTCGCTCACCGCCGTCGTCGTCAGCGCATCGTCAGTCCACTACACTTTCTCATGCATAAAGCCGCATTTCCGTTTGAGAGAGATGAGAAACCCGGGAATTCTCAAACCGCTAAAGAATTTTTCGATGATCTGGACTGAGGCTCATCCAGGTCCATGAACCGCTACGCTGTGAGGCGTGAAGCTAAGTCCCATGTCTCGTGAGTTGTATACTATAGTATAGGTGGGTTCCATACGTGAAATCCTGACGTTAAGTCGCGTTAGGGGTATAATTCGAGCCGCTGCTCATAGTAGAACCGCCGGTAATGCCTCGCCAACTTTAGTGCTGTGTATGGGATGGCAGAGGTGCACCGCTGCAAGTGATCGATGCACCGGTTTTGTGTGATTGGCTGTATCTGCATATATAGTAGCCATGTGATGATGGAGTGATCGTGCAGGTAGGTCAACTCAGTCTCAGGTGATAACAAACTTCCGTCTTCAGCACGCACCTTTTCACGATTTGTGGTCACCAACAAGCATACGCGGCAGTATACTTGACGGTAGGTAATAAAAGAAAGCGTGCGGCGAGAGTACCTGGCCCAGGGGCTCGCCTTACCGGCTAAACAAGCCCCCAAGAAGCGGTACTATGTAGATCGCGGCAGCTCCTAGCTTCCCGAGTTTGTGCAAGATAGGTGAAGGAGAGACTAGAGTGGTGGGTCTCTGAGGGACGGTAGGCGTGGAAATGTGGGGGTGTTTCACGCTTGTAATTACTTAGCGGAGGGCTGTGGTTGGGGGGATTTGCTGATGCTCCGGAGCTCCCTGAACCTCAGCTATGTAGTGTCAGCCGCGGCAAGGAGAGGATGGTAATCCCGAATGCCAGGAGAGGTGGCGTACGACACGGGAGAAGAGGAGAAGAAAGGAGGTCAATTTCCGGGTTTTCTCAATTCTCATAGGGTACCAGTAAAACTTGTGGAGTAACAGTTCGACTACCGTCGGACCAGGTGCCAGGCAGGTGGCGTGGTGTCCTATCAGTAGTTCGTATAGTATGTACACGTCCATGTACTTGCAGGCGTTCCGTGCCAACGTCGATATGAATCTGATTACTGCTCGCTAGAAGTACCGAACGCTTGCCCAGATCCTAGCATATGTTTAGTGCCGCGTTTCACCACTAGCTTCGTCATTGCAACGGTGCTTCTTGTGCATGACTGACGATCCTTCGCAGGTGAAGTAGGACGGGCATTGAAAAGGTGTGCAATTTGGGCGCCGTTGTGATTAGAAACCGATACCTGCCCGCATTCAGGGCGGCGGAGTGCATATTCCCGTCCCGGGGTAAGGCCCTGGGATATGTGCTGGGGTGTGTCCCGGGTGTACGCCGTGGAGTGGCTTCGATGAAATCTTCCAGAAGCATGGAGCACACACCGGGGATAAATGTGAGCCCTGTCGTTGTGGAGTGCAGCAACAATCTGGGATCCCCCTGCGAGGCACTACCTCGTCGTCGTCCATATGCAGAGTACAGCCTTCTTTCAGTGGTTGCATGACAAAATGGCTTGAAATTGCGGCACTATTCGACGCCATGCCCGGTCTTCGACCAGGGCCTCGTGGCTTGACACCACTTGCCACGCGACCGGCAGCCGCTCGCAGCTGTACTATGCCCAGTAACCCGTGGATCTCCACCTTGTAGATCATGCGCCTCCTTCTGTATTCTCCTCCTCGTCCCGTCATGAACGGCTCCAAATCTTCCATGACCGCATGCAGGACATTCAACACATGCCTGTATGGTGCCCCGTACATGCCTATCCAATCTGGACTATAGGAGTAGTATCGATCCCTTCCTAGTACCCTCCTCCACAACTTGTCCTGAGCTGATTGGCGTAACCCGTTTTCCGGCACGAGCTTCTTTGCACATCCTGCTCCTAAGCTTCGCTTGAGATCCGCGTCTCTTGACGCTGTTGAAATAGCCGAACCATGTTCTCTGCTCGGAAAGCACCGTTTCAAAAAGGTACGTCTAGCCACTTCATCCCATATGTCGTCGCACCAGCGAGATGGCAAACAGGTGATTTGTCGTGTCCAGGGAAGGGATCTTTTGGTGTCCTCTACTGGGAGTGCTGTCTGAGAGCAGGACAAACTTGAACTCCCGATCCATGTACCATCCACCTTGTTTCTCTACCCGTGCGGCCAGCGCAGTGCATCATATGACCGCTCATACTTTCGGCCCTGCGGATCGTAGAAACATTTGTCGCCTTTCCTCCGCTTCCCGAATGATCTCTGATGAGAGTCGCAGACTTGGCGCTAGATGTGCGTAGCGCTCGATTTCCAATACGACGTCGTCGATAATAATATCCATCTGATGTGGCGGTGGAAGGAGTGCTGAGAGGGAAGGAGACATGGTTGCACCCATGACTAGAAGTGTTTGAGACACAATTCTACAGACTGTCAGTATTGGACTCCGCTGTAAATTTTGGATAGCTTACGAAAGCGCTCCCTGCCATAAGTATGGAAGATGTCCGGCATGGCTATAGAGGGCGTTAGATCCTGTTAACTCTGAGTCAGATGCTGATATAACATACTGAGCCGTGATATGTTCCAGTTGCCGAATGCAAGCCTCGAGGCACTTTCTACAATTTTCTTGGACATTGGGATCCAAGGCGGTATTTTCGTCGTTTAGCACCGCTAGAATATAAGGCCTGAAAATGATGGTGCGACACGCAAAGTAACGTAATCTGAGTACCGTCTGAACATGGTTGGATAGCGGAACTCTGCTGTGAGGAAATTGGACTGGAAGTGGCAGTCCTTCATACCATTGAGCTAGTTGATACTCTAGCTCGGCTACTAGTGGTTCCAAAGCTGCAATTGAGGTGTTTGGCGAGGTTTTCGAGTAAATGAGATGGCTCACACGGTTGAGAAGGCGGCGAAGAGCAATTTCGGCCAGGAAGTACCAAAGCTCATCTCTGCCCATGCCCTCCTCATCTTCATCTTCGAAACCACCAGGGAGCCCAACCACTTCTTCAAATTGGACGATGCCAGAATGAGGGAGATCGAGCTCGGCCAAGAGATCACTACAACGCCGTTTGGTATCAGTCATGCCGTCCGTAGCCTCATCGCACGTGCAGAGAATAGACTGACCTTTCAAAGAGCAAAGTGTTCCAGTATACTCGTTCGCTCAATTCCTTTGCGTGAAGAGGAAACCTACCAGGAGCACTTAGAAGCAGCTGAAGCTTCATACTTGTGCTTGTCAACAAATTCCATGCTTCGAGCGGCCGTACAATGTAAAATAAGTATGCAGATGCCAATATATGACACTGGGCAGAGAGCATCGTATTCCTTGTCATGAGGCTTGGGAGTAAAGCCCAAGCCGCAGAGAAGTAAGCCAAGCCAGGAGCGTCCTTGTCGGCTGGCTGTTGAGATATGCTTCCGGCAGCTCCGGCAGCGCCTAGTGCCAGCACCAGGAGAACAATACAGCTTTCCGCTCCTTCACGGAAGCCATGTGAGAGCGCAGTACGGTAATAGCTATTCCAGGTATGTGGGTTGACGCATGCATACCAGACATTGACCCGTTCAAAGAATGCTTGCACGTAGGTTCCAGTGTTTGAGAGGTCTAAGCTGAGAGAAGTACCTAGGCAAAGAGGCTCCCGCGCCATTTCCAGTTGGAGAAGAACTTGAGGGTCATAAGGGCGCGATACCAGATCGCGTATCATCGGCCATTGGAGCAGATGAAGCGCCGGCGTCGTATGGATCTTTGGCATGGTCGATATATTTGACGATATGTTATGCCAAGTGCCCAGACCATTCATGGGAGGTATCATACCCATGACGGATAGATTACTGGTACTGCTTGCGAGTAGTTCTTCGTTGGTGCTATTACTGCCACTAGGCGAATGGGTTGGCAGCGAATAGCCACCGGCTAGATTCGACTGGAGAATACCTTCAATACGATTGAGGTGCTCCAGGATGAGTTTGTCGCCCGCATCAAGCTTGATACCAGGCTCTCTATACACGCACTCAGCATTGAGCTCTGTGCATAGTCGGCATTTGGGCCTTGATCCATCGCATCGAGACTTCCTCGAGCGGCAGATTTCGCACTACAAATATGTAAGTTGAAGGCTGATTAGTATGAAGTGGGATGGTGTTACCGCAATTGTTGCGCGTCTACGCGGATAGTCAATTGTGTCGCTGCTTTGACGTTTTTTGGGGTTGGAGCGAGAATCGTTGCTGGTCGGGCCATTGCCCTGCATCAGCCCATCGTGGGACATCTCCCGATCAGTCGAGGATTGGGACATGTTGCGTGGCCGTTTCTTGAAGCTTCTGGTTAAAAATCCGTTTCCTTGGTAGAAGCCATTCGGCGACTCTAAGAGGTGGAGAGATTTGAGAGTAGACTTAAGCGCAAAATTGCTTGCGTCTGGCAGATTGAAGAGGTCGAGGCAGAATGAGTCTCGCAGAAAATGGCCATTGGTGGTTGCTGCTGACACCGGACTAACATCTGGCGATGGAGTGACGCAAGCCATGATTGGCGGATGCAGGCACGGCGACCGGGAATGCTGCAAGATGTAATGGCGGCGGCGTACGAACCTAAAGCGGGGTTTAGGAGGCTTTCTTGACTTCAAAATCGAGAACGCGGTTGAGGGCCAAAATGTCAGCCTTCAATGAATTCGAAGAGAGCAGTGAGTCCAGCGACCGGTCATATGGAGGCCAGACGGGCAAATATCGATATATCACTGTGGGCCTGGCTGCTCCCAAAACCAGAACGAAATGAGCGGTGCCGATGCGGGGAGTAGGGCAGACCAGGCCACCGCCACCAGGTGTCACTGCACCAAAATCGTATGCACTCAATGTTGCGTGGACTAGGTGAGTGCCGGGCGCGTGAACGACGGTGTTTGTGACAAACCTGGCAGCCTTCACACACCTCCTTGACCCCGGAGTTTCTCAAACGCGTTATGATTATCTGGACCGACATGTGGAGCGCAGCCACACACCGGAGCCAGCGAGAGCTGCGTTCAAGCGACCAGCGCCGGCCGCACTGGGCACAGTGCACTTAAGCATGTGTAGAGAGCGCCGCGGTAGCACGAGGTGGGGACTCTGGGGAGAACGACGTCGTCGGACGCCGTTTCATACGGGCGCGTCCGTGCCATATACAGCCTAATGAGTGGCCACAAACGTCTTATCAGCGTCCGCTATTGTCGCGCACGTCTTGGTGTACGCTGCCGCCGTTGTCATCGACAGCAGCCTGGCAGCGGACCTGCAGACGGCTCCACGTGAGGTTTCCAGGATGCCAGATTCCAGCGCGGGCATCGATGATAGATTAAGGACAAACCGCCCATGTATCAGTCGACACCTCCGCTGCCTATGACAGCCTCGTGGGAGCCATGTTGCGCGTGGCCTGCCATATCCTTTGATGCCCAAGCAGCTTCCGCAGGCGTCAATCCCGGTCATAGAAGCCATGGAAGCTGGAGAAAGTGTGGAGTGCAACATCTGGGGTCCGGAGGAGTAAGCCCTTCTGCGTCCGGGGCTTTGCCCTCGCTTCTAGCGCTCCGGACTATGGCCAGTGGTGAGCTCTGGCTGCCGTCAAATGGTTGTGGTCGTGGTCGTCACCCTGGCGCTCGGCTCCGCTAACCTGCTTCGTATCGGCAGTGATTCTCCGTACTTTTCTAGGTGCACCTCTGCTGAGCAAGTATTCTACTTCGCAGAGCACTTCGTCGCGTGTCCCACAAATCGACCGCTAGAGAAGTTCCTGTGAAGGAAGGCTGGAGGTCGTGGGAATGAGGTAAGTGTGGAATACGGTAAACTGTTTGGCAGCGTCTGCCTCAGGAGATGCACGTCAAGCGGCTATCTACGCCAATCTCTGCGCCACAGCAGTGCGAATAAGCTTAATTATGTGCAACGCACTGGTCGCACAGCCACAAGGGTGTTGCTTCGAGCAGAGCAAGGGACTGCCTGTCTTCTCAATGTCCATGTTGCAGATGGCCCCGACTAGCACTGGTATAGTCATTGCCATCTCTTCTCGCACTCATACTCGAGACTTCTGACTGGTTACCTAGATTATTACGGTCTACACCAATTGACAAATGATTCAAGACCATACCGCGACACCGTACACTCGCTCCTCGACTGCGAGAACATATGGCTTACAATCTCAATGCGGGTGTTGGGTAACAATGCTGTTGGAACGCACGGGATGCTGTAGAAGGTGCCGGATCGCATGGGATACTATAAAGGGTGTCAGTCCGCTATGAACGGACTGATTACTGATGAGTGGATGCTACATCACTCCGTTGAAAAGAGGAGGTGAGGCAATGACAGATTATATGAGATCCACATATATTCCACGGTACTCCGGTATATCCAGGGTAGTCCGAACTATCATAGTCTCAAAAGCATTGGCTTGGTAGTAATAACGGGATACAATACATATGCCCTCTAAGGTCTAGCTGAAGAGTGCGCACGGGGCTGACTTCCGAGCTGCTGACGTCTATTCTAAGCACTTCATTTTACGTCCCCCACAGTCGAAGCATCTATCCAGAAAAAGAATCCCTTGGAGCTGAAACATTAAATTATTAATCCAGACCTCCAATTCAGCTGAAATGGTTCCCGAAACTCGATGTCACTGATTTGTTGACCTCACTTGCGGTAAAACGTCTATCCAAAGGCCGACATGGAACGCAAAGTATGGGCTGCGAGTATCACTTAAACACGAGGACCTACGGGTTCAGAGTTTCAGAAGCTGCCCTTACAAAACTTGACTCAGCTGTTCTACTATGGAGCTATAGTCACTTGTGGTACCGTCATTTCTCAAACCCGTCTCTGTTCAGCCAATCACGAATCTTCATGACAACCCTCATTAGTCTTACATCTAGAGGCGAAAAGCTTGGTCATTCGTGAATGGCACAAGGGGCAATGAGTACCATTTTTAGACCAGATTGTTTCCAAAGAGGCATTTATCCCTAGTAGAACTCGAATGCGTTCCCGCCTCTCACATGCCTTCCCTTGGGGGTCCACGATATTGATTAGAAGTATAAGTACAAACTTGCGATACTTCCGAAGTTTTATTATCCTTTGCAGTTGGGAATTACCACCACTCTACTAAGCTCTGATGACGAGACAGCGTGGCCATGCCGGCCTCTTCACTCGTCTGGCTCTCACATACTTTCTTTCCCTTAAAACGGCGACTGCGGCTACCCCTGACACTACCACCTGCATCCCAGTTTCTGCTGCAAATGCCATCGCGAACGGTGGATGTAGCCAGGTCAACGTTGGGGTACTCCAGGATGCTATTGCCCAATTTGATCCAATCTTCGATTATGGCGGCGTACCCCTCGTGACCTCCATCAAACAAACTGGCAATATCTTCGCTGCCATCGAGTACCTCTGCACTGATGATAAGGCAAACACTCCATCAGAGCCTGGGTGGACCATCCGATCACAGTAAGTTATGAGCATCCACACTCTCTTTCTGTGCCGCACTAATGATTTCTAGGCTGAACAATATTGCTGCTTGCGACAGCGTTTGTGGAACCTACTACACGTCTGATTCATGCGCATTCGCGGTCTTGTTATGCGACCAGTCTAAAGGTGATTGTGACGGTGCCAGTCTTTTACCAACCGGGAAGCCTAGTGGTCAACCGACCGCAGCGGAACTCCTAGCTTTAATTAAGAGCCTTCAAAACCAATACGCCGACCTTAAAGACGTTGTCCAAGCCTGGGTCGATTCACTTTCAACGAGCACAAAGCTAATCAAACGAGATTCCTCAAGCCAATATGAAATGGCTGTGTTTCGCTCGAATAACCTTAAATCCAACGTCCAGGATGCACAAGGCCCTATTGAAACAGCTTATGCAGAGAGTGTTATTAATACAGACACCCACAACACTTTCAACGAATTGGAGACCAACATAGACTCGGATACTGCAGCGCTATTGGGAGCGAGTGCGACTGATATCAGCTTTGCTAAACAATATGTAAGGCCCCTCATCCCCAATAGAACTCCTCTATATTAACCCAAGTCACTAGGCTGCCGGAATTCTAGTCAATCTGGGCTTGCTTGGAGTTCTCGCGGGTATATTGGCTGGTGCAGGTGGTGGTGGAGGAGGAGGAGGAAATCCCCCGACCACAGGTGTTCCGACTGCCACTGCCACCACAACAGCCTCATCCACGACATCGAGCTGCGTGGCAACTGGGTCGGCTACTCCTATCATCATTGTCACGAAGGAAGGCACGACGGAAGATCAATTCAACGCCCTGGTAAAGAGCCTACCATCCAACTCGAATAATGTTCAACGAACAGATGCCGAACTTGATAACTGGATATATCTTGCAACAATCGACCAGTGTACGGCTGAGGGCCTTTGGTCGAACTCAATTGTCCAGGCCATGGCTACCGATGCTGAGATCATACAATCGGACGCTGAAGCCACTGATCCGGTGGGCAGCACTAAACACAAGAAACGATCTCGGACTCCAGAGCGAGAAGCGAGATACACGAGAAAAGCCACGGCTAAATCATCCAGAGATGTTGATACTTCTACCGTTGAACGAGATACAATTCGGGACAACTCAAGTATAGGGAGTCTTCAGAAGCGAACGGATCCAGATGATCAAACACACTATGTGGTTCAAGATTCTAGCCCGGGTCACCTAGCATGGATCTCGCAGCTGTCGAGACAAACAGGAGTCACTGGCGCATCTTACAGTGACTTCGAGCAATTCCTATACGATGACAGAAGCATGCGATCTGTCAACCCTGACGTTGCTGTCTACGTAATCGACACTGGATTCAACAATGACCATGATGTAAGTAAGGAGATCCTGTTTCCGCTTTGAAAGTGCTAAAATGTCTAGGATTTTGGGTCGCGCGTCATGAAACAGCTTTCGGGAGACAATGCCGCTCAATCTGAGGCAGAAAACAATCACGGAACTTGCATGGCCTCACTTGCTGTTGGTATGACATCAGTATTCTTTTGACACCTCGCTCAGCCGCTTATTCACTATACCAGGAAGCTACTCGGGGGTGAAAAAAGATGCCCAACTAATCACGGTACAACTGAAAGTGAATGACGCGAGGACTTCCAGAGTCTCCAACGCCATATTCACGTTCGTCGACATCTTGGTACATGCCAAGCAGAACAACTTCCAAGGCCGATCTGTGGTTAGCATGTCATTTGGTGAGTATGTCCTGCGTGAGGACGAGCGCACGTTTTGATACTTATATTGCACAGGCGGCCCTAAAAGACTCTTGTGGTATACGCCAAATGATCCCAAGAACACGGATGTCTTCGCGATCTATCTCAATTTATTCTGGAAGGCCGGCATTGTCACTGTCTGTTCTGCAGGAAACTTTGGGGACCACCCAGATGCTAACGTTCAACGACTTGATTTCCAGACTCCACGCAGCAACGGCGGTTCTGGCACCCCTCTAATCGTTGTGGGAAACTCGCAGCCTGACGGAACGCCAAATGCAAAGTCTCAGACTTCCGACCCAGACGGCAAGGGCATCCTCTCGATCTACAACCTGGGCACAAATGTTCAGTGTGCATTCAAGACCACCAATAACGCATGGGGCAGAGACCCTGATGGCACCTCTCAAGCAACGGCTATCACGGCCGGCATGATCGCGTACTTCCTCAGCAACGCCGACCTGCAGAAAGAGTGGGCAAACACCGGAGTCTCTAACCTGCCAATGGCAGCTAAAAACTACCTGCTTGATCTTGGGAAACAGCAGAAAGGACGCAGTTGGACAGATGGTATTCCAAGAGCCAGTATCGGGGACATGGTGCCGTGTCAAAATGGAGTCGCTGGACCAGTTCCGATTCCCAACTTCCAGGTACCCGGGGATGGGACGGATTTGACTCTCCAGACGACGCCCGTCACGAATGGCCAGACAGTGGTGTTCAATCCTCTGGTGAGTTCCGAATCGTCACTTTGAAGTCTTTAAACTGACGTAACCTCTTAGCCGCAATGCTATGCTTTATAGTGGCCATTCAAGCCTTCATTCTGTCTGCACGTATTTGGCCTCGAAAAGAGACGACTTGGACTTGCCTGTCTGCTCCGCAGCGTCGACCCAAGAAGTCGCAATCTATAGATCTTCGAACAAAAATGTATATTATATAAGCTGGATACTACGTTTCAAATTGTTGTCTATCTACTGGCCATATACCATACCCACTATGTAACGGGGTGTACCCTAAAGCCAATCGAATACATCAATATATGTCCGTGCACTGCGCCTTTCGTGTTCACTTTCCACCCGACGCCGTACTCTTCGGCATAGAGTCAATTCTTCCCCTCCACAGCCCGAGGAGCCCATCTCACTACGATGCCGTCTTTCTTACCCATAGCACTTGGCGTCGAGTAAATACTCCACTTGACCGCCAGCCGTTAAGCCTTGAAGGCCCGCCGGACTAAGGAAGCCGATTTACCGAGGCTGGAGATGAAAGCGCGCGAACCCGACGTCGGTGGTGGTTCGCGCTCCACCACATGTAAATTGATACCCGCCAGGCCGCACACGACCTCACTCCAGACCCACCACTCTTTTTCTGATTCCTCTCGTTTTCCCTTGCTCCGACTGTTCAAGGACATCCTCCCCAGCTTCTCGCGTGTCCAACTCCAGCGACCTTGACACAACTCCCCAGAGACCGCGCGCTGAAGCTTGAGCTCGGTCCCCGCGGCTCTCCTCTCCCCCACTCGTCATGTCCAAGTCGCTGAAGCCCGACCACGTCCCATCGGCAGAGGAACTGAAAGAAGATGTCATAGCCGCGACGTCGAGTACGGTGCAGAGCTTGCGCGCGCTCGTGGCAGGTGGCGTGGGCGGTGTTTGCGCCGTCGTGGTGGGCCATCCGTTTGACCTAGTCAAGGTGCGGCTACAGACGGCGGAGAAGGGTGTGTACTCAGGCGCAATGGATGTGGTGCGGCGGACGATTGCGAGGGAAGGGCTGGCGAGGGTGAGTGGTGTAATTGGAACGCGAGAAAGTAGGGCAGTGAAGCTGATTCTGTGCGGTAGGGACTCTATGCGGGTGTTTCTGCGCCGCTGGTGGGCGTGACGCCAATGTGTAAGTTCCTCCCTTTATTGTGTACATATATCTAGGACCTAGCTAATACGAAGACAGTCGCCGTGAGCTTCTGGGTACGCCAACCACCCTCCCCAGCCCAGCTTCCCCCCAATTAACAAACCCCAGGGCTACGACGTCGGCAAGAACCTCGTCAAGAGCGTCTCGACCGTCGAAAACAACCAATTCAGCGTCGCCCAGACCTCCGCCGCCGGCTTCTTCTCCGCCATCCCCATGACCGTCATCACGGCGCCCTTCGAGCGCGTCAAAGTCTTGCTCCAGATCCAAGGCCAGAAAGAGCTGAAACCGGGCGAGAAACCCAAGTACGCCGGCGGCGTCGACGTCGTGCGCCAGCTATACAAAGAGGGCGGCATCCGCAGTGTCTTCCGCGGCAGCGCCATGACGCTGGCCCGCGATGGGCCGGGCTCGGCAGCGTACTTCGCGGCGTACGAGGTCATCAAGCGGCGGTTGACGCCCAAGAACTCAGACGGCACGCCGGGGAAGCTGAGTCTGACTGCGGTGTGTGTGGCGGGTGGTGCGGCGGGTGTGGCGATGTGGATACCTGTGTTTCCCGTGGACACGATCAAGAGCCGGCTGCAGAGCGCGGAGGGGCGGCCGACGATAGGAGGCGTGGTGCGGGAGATCTATGGGCGGGGCGGGCTGAAGGCGTTCTTCCCTGGCATCGGGCCTGCGCTGGCGAGGGCGGTGCCGGCGAATGCGGCGACTTTCTTGGGCGTGGAACTGGCGCAGAAGGCGATGTCGAGGGCGTTTGATTAGAGAGGAGTGTATGAATAATGATGCAATTCATGGGATGGTTAGATTTCGCCAAGGCAGGTAATCAAGCTTTGATGTACTCTTTCTGGATTTTAGGTCTCTTCGAGTTACCGTCGTTGGATTGAGCTAGAGGAAATCGCATACGTTGAAGTTAAGTGAACATTATTTTCCGAGTCGAGGCAGAGACATATGTCAACTTCAAGAAGCATAAAGAGGTGTCCGTCGGACGTCTACAACTCCGCGCGATCCAGTACAACATAGGTTCCACACCGAGCCCAGTCTCATATATCAGACCTACTCAAAGCTCCATTTCACCCACTCTTTCACAATTTTTTTTCAATCCAGGCCCCTAAATCAGACCTTGAAAATGAGCAAGTCCTGGGGTTAGAAGGATGTATAAAGTGGAGCCAGTCTGTCCAATTTGCACTTAGCTTTGGTATATTGCTCGACACGCTAGATCAGGCTATAAGGATAGATTAGCCTTGAAGTGGCAAGATGTATAAACGAGGCTACTCCGTGCGATTTCCCTTCGTCTATAGCATACTATTGCTTGACATCCTAAATCAGCGTTTCTGGAGTTTAAATCAGGTTGAAGCTCGATTTCACTTCCTGTGATGTCGTTTGCGCGAGACTGCAGATCGGACCGCGGACAAAGGGTTGATTTTGGTGTGTTGAGATGTATAAACGGGAGCCAGTCCGTGCGATTTGGACTCGTTTTCGGCATGTTATTGTCGGAGGCCATTAATTAGACCAATTATTTTTTCTTTGAGGAGTCTGAACGGGAGCCAGTCCGCCTGTGGATGAGTAAGGCAATACCGAGTATTGAACGACTCAATTCATCGTGTTGAAAAGATTGGCAGACTTTACCTAGAATATTACCACATAACCTCACTGTGGTAATACGCATCAGGGCAGACTTTTCGATCTTGCATACCTGTGAAATTGTAGGATTCGAGTGTTTTACAAACCGCATCTTGTAATCTGGCTCAAAATGCAGCCGTCCCAACCAAGTATGATACATCGCTCATCACTTAACTTTCCAAATATTCCTACGCCCTATTCATTCCAACCCAAGAGTTCCACTCTAATCACCGAATTGGCTTGTGCTGCTTCATCAACAGCTCTGGATGCTTATGAACACTCGGCATCAAGCCGACCCCGATTGCCCTCCTTATAGCCTTTGCCATTCTCCTCTGGTTCACCGGCCGCAGTCCCGTCTCCTGCGCAGACTTTATCCGTCCCATCTCTGTCATGAACTCGGACATCATAGAGAAGTTCTGCAGCAATTGAGTCAGCCTTGCCCGAATCTCTTCAGTTATCTCCCCACAGACCCGTAGGTACATGAGTGTTCCAGAGAAGGGAAAAGTATACCTTGTACTCGTTAATCGGATTAAGCCCCAGCGCATCAATAGCATCCGTCTTCGGCGCATTTCGCGACTTCTTCCACTTCTGCATCTCCTGCCCCGTCAGATCGTGCGGGGCATACACGTCTCCAGGCTTGAATTTCCGCGCGAGCTGCTGCTCGTAGTCGGTGCGTTTTGCGGACAGTTCGGCGTCCTGGACGTCCTTTGGGGTGAGAGTCACGGTCTTGCGGGGGGCAGGCCTTTTCGGCGCAGAGGAAGAGGAGGAGGATCCATGGAGGATTCGAAGGGTTTCTAGGAAGTGTTAGAGGTCTGAAAGACTACGGGAGTGAGTACTGGGGGGAGCGTGCCTGCGGCTATGTTGGTTCTAGGCGGATCTGCAAGCCGCCGGCTGGTGCATGATAAAGATCTTGTGCAATGTCGACTCAGCGAGGTTGCTGGTCGCATTGAGGGTCTAAGGAGCGCCATGGTGTAGACTGGATGGAGTTGAAGGGACGTCGTCGAGTGCTCCGAGAAGTGTTGACGATGCTTGGCATTCACGGCTTCTGCCGCGCCGACTTTCTCATGCTTGACGTCTTGCTAACAGTCAGTTCAACCATCACCACGAGGCTTGAGTGCTTTTCTTGTATTATATTTTTCTTGCTCGGATTGCATCATGCTCTGTCGTTAATTAATTACATCTTTCAAAAGCACACCGGCCAAACACAATTGCATATCCTCTCCGCTCCTCCTTACCCGCAAACCGCGATGCCGTCACACCTCACCCGCGTCGTTTTTCGGAGGCTGCTATCCAACAAGCCTATTACATATCGAGGATGTCTTCACAGGTCTACAAGACCATGCATACCAGCCGACAATGGCCTCCAGGCCTTCCCCCAATCTCACAGACGGAGTCTCTTCGGTTTTTCGTTTTCACCTCCGCGGGAACCCAGGGCTCCAGACTTTACACCAGGGCAAAAACCATTGATGAAATTGGCAAAAATGGACCAGATAGCGGCACGGCCGCCATCGCCGAAGGAGATTGCGGATGCATTCCGCCAGTTTTTTGACGCGAAGTTGAACTCGAAACAACCGGTGGAAGATGTGCATGTTACGTTAGCTTTGAGAGCTCTAGAATATCTGAAAGATCAGCAAGAGGCGGATATGCCCCCGTGGCTAAGTGCGGAAAGCTTGAGGAGAGCTCTATGGGCTTTACAGCGTCGTCCGGACAGACCTGCCAATGCGATGCTGCAATTAGCAAAAGAGCTTCACGAACGAATAAAAGCAGCTCGAGATGCCGAGGACGGTGCAGAACAAGAGTTTGATGAAGATTTTGCCTACGTTACAATTCTGAGTCAAAATAATCGGACAATTGAGGCACGAGATATGTTGTTAAAACATACATTGCCTGGTGGCCAGCCGGCTCAAATAAGAAATTGGGAAAAGGTTCTCCAGGGTTTTCAGCGCGATGGCAACGAGCTACAGTTTCTGAAGACCTTATCGATTATTAAAAACCAATCGATACCTTTCACGGATATATTGCACAATCGCACGGTCCAGTTTTACAGTGCACGGAACGACCTCACAAAGACCAAGAAATGGTACTCCGAGCCTGTAGCCGAAGGACGACTTATTTTGCCATCTGCTCACTCAGCTATGCTGATGTGCTGTGCCGCAAACAACGATTTGAGCTTTGGCCAAAAGATAGTGGCGTACTTGCTGGAAGTTCCGCCAAAGAAAGAGATTTGGGATGTCATTTTCTTATGGTCAATGGCTACTGGGAAGGGTGTTGACGAGGTGGGCCGTATGATGCAAGTCATGAAGCGCCGAAACGAAAGCGAGAAGATTCATGAGGGTCCGGATATCGAAACGATTAATCGACTAGTCGAATACACAATGCTACGAAATGACCCATATACGGCCGAGAGATGTATCCACCTTGGCGAGAAATGGGGTATATTTCCGAATGCAAAAACTTTCATAATGCAGATGGAGTACCGGTTGTCAGTCAACGACATCGATGGCTCGAGAGCCGCCTTTTTCGGATTACAAGGACAGGAGGCCATTGATAATGAGGAAATCCCAGCCATCAACAAGCTCATACAAGCGATGTGCAGAGCAGGCCGATACGACTTCGACGCCATCATGGGCGTAGTCGACGACCTTGGCGACCGCAAGGCTCAATTCGAGCCAGAAACCATCTGCGAGCTCTGTCTCCTTCATCTCAAACGCGAAGAATTCGACGATGCTAAAGACCTCCTCCAAACCCACTCCTACCACTACTCCTCACAACAACGAATCCAAGTCCGCGACGTCTTCATCAACTTCTGCCTCGACCGCAAAAACAGCCTCGCCTCCGTCTGGGACACCTACCAAATCTTCCGCTCCATCTTCCAAGAAACCCCTCGCGAGGTCCGTACACCCCTCATGAAGGAGTTCTTTGCCCGCGAGCGCGCCGACATGGCGTGCCACGTCTTCTTCCACATGAAGAACTCGACCGATCCCGCCGTCATCCCCAACGCCGACACCTACGTCGCCATGTTCACCGGCATCGCCCGCGTCGCCGACGAGGAGAGCCTCGAGCTCGTCCATAACCAGATGAAGCTGGACGTCGAAATTGAACCAAACACCCGCATCCTCACGTCGCTAATGGCGGCGTACGCGGCGACGAACCGCCCCGTTCGCGCAATGGAGTTCTGGCGCGATATCACGCAGTCCAAGGAAGGGCCGTCGTACGCTAGTATTGTGGTCGCGTTTCGCGCGTGCGAGATCATGCCTTTTGGCGACCGGCATGCTAAGCCGCTCTGGTCCAGTCTGAGGCGCATGGATGTCGAGGTCGATCAGGAGGTGTTTGCTGCATACGTAGGCGCGTTGGCTGGGAACGGGCTTTATGATGAGGCGGAGAAGACGGTCTTGAGTGCCGAGGAGACGTTTGGGTTTACGCCGAATTTGCTCATGTAAGTTCCCTTGTGCTAGGTCTGGATTTTGAAGTTGGATGTTCGCTAATGTGATGACAGCCTTGGCTCCTTCTACAACGCTACTCGGAACGATTTCGTGCAGGAGCGCATAGAGGCGTTTATTAAAGATAATTACCCGGATATCTGGCCGAGGCTGGAGGCGCTGGGGAGCTTTATAACGGATGAGGGGTTCGGGTATAAGCAGTTTAAGCTTAACCGGGATGTGAATCTTTGAGAGGAGCTGGTTGTAAGTAGGGCATGAAGGATGGAGTGGATATAAGCTGCTTTTGTCGTTTAAGATTTACGTGGATGTATCTTCCAGCAAGACTGAAACGCAACGACGGCTCCCCATGTATGAAGAACTGTACATTTGTGAGCAATACGAAGAGTTACCAGAAGCTTCTCCAAATTCATCTATAGTATTGTTTCTACATTCTAGAATCGAAGTGACTTGACGTTTCAACCGTCCCACAACAGCCTCGCAGCAATATCAGGCACATTTCAAATTACAAACCTACAGTAGCAGTAACCGCTACTCTGTGCTTTTTAGAAACAACAGATGTTCTACAAGTGACATCTCCTCTCGATCTTTTACCTCCCCCTGTCATCTGCTCCGCCGCAGTATGGATTCACCGTCTGCCCCATTCACAGCATCTACACGATCCGGTAAACCCTCTTCGCCATGAAGTAGCATCCGAATCCAAACACCAGTAGTCCAGCCGTGATACCAAAGAACCACCACAAGCTGTCGATGTCCTGTCCAGGAACGAGCACGTTCATGCCCCACATACCCGTCACGATATTCATAGGCAGGACGATAGTACCAAGCACAGTCAGCTTACCGAGGATATCCGACGTCTTCTCCTGGCGCTCGTTCATGCGGATGTTGATTTGGGCCAAGTAATTGGAGTGGGCGCGGGAGAGCAGGCTACGGATTCGTGTTAGCACTTTCCTTATACCGTCCAGATGTTGAGAAAAGAAAAGAGTAGCGTACTTCTCATAATGACTCAAATTCCCCGTCATAGTCACAATATGATCCTGAATGTCTCCCAAATACAACCCAATCTCCGACCTCGGCGCAACATCCCACTGCTCCGTGCATCTCTTCGCAAACCCCTTGATCACGTCGGCCTTGTTGCCGAGCAGGCGGTACAGGCTCATGACTTTCTTCCTGCACTCGCCAACGCGACGGAGCATGTCGGCGCCGCTGTCGGCGGATTTGAACTCGTCGATATCTTCGAGTTTTTCGTAGTCACCGCGGCTGTCGCCGGAGAAGAAGAGGGAGCCGCGTTTTGCCTTTTCGGCTTTGGCCTGCTCGACTTCATCGGCGGAGTGCAGGCAGAGGATGGCATCGTCGATGTCGTCGACTTCTTCCTCGATGCGTTGGATTAGGGGGGCGTAGACGTCTGTGATGTCGTCGATGATGGCGTAGGAAATCCAGTCGGGGCTGAGGATGAGGTAGTCGCTGAGCTGGCGGATGCGGCGGCGAACATTGGCCGGGTGAGGCGTCATGGAGAAATGGAACTGGAGTAGTCTGTCAGATAGCGCCTATTCGTGAGAAGAGGATTGAATGTACTTACTGTGATGATGCCTTCCCGGAATACCACGACATACATGTTGACCGGATCTAGGTAGTCCTCGCTATTGCTGTCTTGCTCAAAGGTCCTGTAGTTTACAAAGTAATAGTTGCGGAACAGTTCTACCTTTTCTCGAGCTTCTTGCATCAGGATGTCCTCTGTGGTGAGGGGATGAATGCCGAATGCCTTTGAAATCACTTTCATCTCAGCTTCGGTTGGAGATAGAACATCCAGCCAAAAGGCTGGTCTCGGTCCATACCGTAGTGGCCTTTGCGGTGTGGGGTTGTTCGATGGTGCCGGTGAATTGGCACCAGTTTGTTCTCCTGACGAGTCCTTTTTACGTTCACTCAACTTCGAGGATGTTCTCGTTCCTGCTCGGGAGATGCCGTTCGAGGACAGCTGATTACGCCCCCGTACGCTATCGCGACCTGGGATGGTCGTTTCATCGTCGCTATCCTCCTCTGAGCTGTCATCTGACAGTAGCGGGGGATCCGGGATGAATAGATTCCTGAAACTCTGTCCTTCTTGGACAAGCTCAGAGATGGTCTGACTATGGATGGTGCTTGGGAATTCCTCGTTGAAGTATGTAAACCGATAGGGTGCATCTTCGACTTCGCGGTGCCAGACTTGCTTTTGAGGGCGAAGGCGACCTCCAACCATTAGGGGCTCATTGACTTGTCTCGCCCGAATGCCTTCCATAGTACGCTGCTCTTTTTCCTCATGACTCCACTGCTCTAAAACCGAAAGCTCCGGCCACCTCCTAGCCCTTCTTCGACGTGATCGAGGGTCTCCGGATTCAGGTAGATGCATGAAGTCTTCTTGGCCCATCTCGGACATGCCTTCTTGAGGGAAGCACACATCTTCACTGGCATGAAGAGTCATCCGTCGTAGGAGGTCGCCCTGTGCCGCTTTTGGAGAGGGGGGTGTTGAGTTGACAAAGACCGTGGGCTCTTCGTAAATGTTGATGAGGGCATCCCGCGACGCTTCCGGAGATCTTGATCTCCCAACCTCGCCTGTGGTGAGCATGACATCGTCAAATCCATGATCAAGACCCAGCTTAGGACTCGATGGGACAGATGGAGGATTATTCACATCGTAATCCAGGCTCTGGTGCGAGATTTGAGAACCAAAGACAGGCCGTCTTCTGCGACTTGAAGTTGAAGACCTGCTAGATCTCCGAGTTGATTTGTCCTTCGTTCGCCCTGAACTCGAAGGTGCACTCAGCCCCCCGTAACCTGCCCCATTCCGTTGGCTGGAGCCTATCAATGGTGACTTATCATCCACACTATCGTCCTCAGACTCTTCCTCCGTGAGTCTTTGTTGTCGAGAGAGTTTTGAGCGAGTTTGGGATTGTGGCCGCTGGGAAGGTCGGTGAGGAGAGCCTTGGGAAAACGAGCTGATGCCGCTGCCTTGTATGCTTTGACGCCGTTGCTGGATGAATCCATGGTCCCTGCGATTTCAAGTCAGTAAGGGTTCTGACCAAGTCCATTAATGTGAAATGGGCGTACCGATGGTCCAGCAAAGCCTCACTATCAAGGCTATTGTTACTTCGATTGTCCCGGAGTCTGTAAAAGGTCGCGCGTGCAGCATCGTCGCTGGGCAGACCGGAGCTTCTTGCCCCGTCATGAGGTGCAATATCTGTCCCAAGGCCCAATTCGTCCGGAGGGGCTATGAAGGATTGCCTTCGATTGCGCCTCTTCTTGCCACCACGGTGCTTCCTCTTCTTCTGCTGCGAGGTGGCCGCGGCTGCATCTTGGGAGGCACCGGGAGCTGATGGGCGGTCTGAAGAGGCTGCTTGGGCATACGAGGCCGCACCAGGGTTCGATGTTGGGGGTGGGCTGATTGTGGAGGCTGCTTTGCCGTGTGAAGCCATCCTGTGAAGTTGGGAGCTGCGAAGAGCCCAATCGCTGCGCTGATCAGAGTCTACGATAGATGTCGCTTTTGAGATGGAGATAACATCGGACGGCCCTCACTGGCGGGCGGAGATGAAGGGTGGACGCAGTCGTGGAACAGACTCGAGGTCGTGGAGCTCGGCGTCGAACTCTGACGTATTTAACCTGGAAACCTTGAGACTTGCCAAGGCTCTTTATCTAATGGATTGAGGATTGATTCGGTCTGGAACACAAAGCTTGGGACGAAAGCTGCAATAGAGGATGCGTGAGGTACTGCTCGATAGTCTGTTGTCCGCTGCATGAGAGCGCTCTGCGTCACGTTCTCGCGGACCATTGACTGACTGTCGTGTGCTCTAGGGCCTTATTCGGATTGCAGGGATAAGCATGCGTTGGTCGATCGCTCACCGGTCTTCAGGCTTTGACATATCTAGTGAATGAACAGGCCATTGAGCAAGTTGGAGACTTTTTATGGAATGCAACTCATTTTAAGACCCAGGCGTGAGTGTTTCGTGTTGTGTAAGACGTCAAGTCATATCTTCACTCGAATATCATCGCTAGCTGTTCTCAATAACTACTTCCGAGGGAATAAGTCGGTTCGAACGTACTATCTTTAACCAGGGCCCAACTTCCTTCGTATTAGAGCCCTGGATGCATTCTTTGTCGCGGAGACTGTTTGCTCACCTTCTACTCATTCGTCGCCCCGTCGGGTTAGCCTCCAAACATGCGTCGGCCCATTCGAAGTTTCACGTATGTTCTTCTTGCGCTCCTAAACAGACGTGTTTCCCTAATCAATCCCATCGAGACTTCATTAAGCTGCCTAGCAGAAAGGAGCTGTGAAGGCAATCCCACAAGTGAGTTTAGATTGTGCTACGTAAAGCCAACGAAGAGAAGAATAGGAACTCCTTCCCAGCGAAGTCTTAGATCGATATTCTTTGCAGGGAATCTACGCTGAAAACATAAGCAACCCATGTATGGTTGAAGGACTGCAACAGAAAGAACAGCTCCAATAAAGGATTGCTTCAACCAGACCGTGGGCTATCCTAGAAAGCGAAAGTAGATGTAAAGTCTACTACTTGGGCGTCCACAAGATTGGAGGCTACCTCTGATTTTGGCAGTATCGTACAAAGGTATATAATGTCCAGTAGATATTAGAATCACAAAGTACTTCCTGGATTTCTCAGATGCACGTGACTCGGTTACCCCTCCACTCTTACCCCTCTAGTCACCTGTTGTTACTAGCTCCACACCCGTTCCGACCCACAACATCAATTTTCCTCCTGACGACCATTCTTTGACACTGATTTACCTTCGTTTACCACTGAGGAGTCGGCCCCGCAAATATGGCTGAAGAAACCGTTGGTGAGCTTCCCACATAGACCTCTGTGGCCCCTATGTCACCGCACTACAGCGTGCGGCTTCGTAGAGGGAAGGCATATTGCTAACTAGATACTCAGACTACTCTCTCGCGAATCCCGACACCTTGACCAAGTACAAGGTCGCCGCCGGAATCTCTCAGACAGTCCTGAAGGCTGTGACAGGTATGCCATCCCCGAAAGCCTAGAGATTTGGTAGCCCAAACACCACGACCAACACTGACGGCCAATAGGGTGGTGCGTTGAAGGAGCAAACATTGTTGAGGTTTGCGAGAAGGGTGACAAGCTGCTGGAAGAGGAAGTTGCAAAGGTTTACAAGGGAAAAAAGATTGCCAAAGGAATCGCACACCCCACCACCGTCTCCCCTAGCTCCTACATCACGCCGTACACACCGCTGAAGACCGACGAGGAAGAGGCAGCTACAGTTCTCAAGCCTGGCGAGGTCATCAAGATCCAACTCGGGGCACAGATTGACGGGTTCGGCGCAATTCTTTGCGACTCGATCATCATCCCATCTGAGAAGAACGAGGATGACAAGCTCCCCGGACGCCAGGCAGACCTGCTCCTAGCAACACACTATGCTAACGAGCTACTCCTCAGACTCATGATCCCCCCGGGGTTGGTTCCTACCGGCACAGAGGAAGAGCAGAAGAAGGCTGCAGCCCAGAAGCCGCCAACCCAAGCTAAGATCACACAGCTGCTGGAGAAGGTTGTCAAGAGCTTCGACTGCAATCTCGTAGAGAGCACAACTTGCTGGTTGTTTGAGCGAAACGAAATTGAGGCGAAGAAAAAGATCATTCTTGCGCCAGGAGAAGGTGTCAGGGGTGAGGGAATACCCGAGATCGGCGAAGTATGGGGTGTCGAGATGGGCGTCAGCCTGGGTTCTGGCAAGGTCAAGACCCTTAGCAACAGACCTACGCTTCATCGCCGCACAACCACAACATACGGGCTGAAGAGGCCAAGCTCTCGGGCTACCTTATCCGAGATTGTGAAGAAGTTCGGCACTTTCCCCTTCAGTCTGCGGCAGCTTGAGGACGAGCGGTCGGCCAAGGTCGGAGTCGTCGAATGCGTCCGAGGCGGTGTCGTCCGCCAGTACGAGGTTGTGGGTGACAAGGATAACGAACCGGTGGCTCGTCTCTTCACTACGATTGGTAAGACAATCACTATATTGTCACCTCAAATAATGCTCGCCCTTCATTCCTTTATTTCAACTATAAAGTCTACGAGATCCAAACGTCGTTTCCATTTTCCATTACAAGATGAGGCAAAGGTGCTATACATCATCTTCAGAGCTAGATCGAGAGCCTTTTTGATGTGTCACTCAGGAGAGGATAGCGGCTGACTTGACTCTTCTAGCACTGACGAAGAATGGGCTGACGCGCCTTTCTGGGCCCCCATCCCCTGATCTGGAACAGTACAAGACAGACAAGAAGATAACAGACGAAGAGGTTCTCAAGATTCTTGAGCGGCCGATTGGAAAGCCGCCCGGCACAAAGAGCAAGAACAAGAAGAAGAAGAAGAAGCCCGCGAAGAAGGTTGCTGCGGAGGCGGAGGAGGACGAGGAGGGAGAGAGCAGCGACGAAGAGTAAAATGCTCCGGCGATGAGGGCCAAGGGTCGTCATTCTTGCCAAGTCAGCAATCTCGCCCGCTCGAACGAGGCTCTTCTGTTCGTGACAGAGGGGTGTGAGTAAGTGACAAAGACTTGGGATGGTCAGTTTGTGTTCACACGGGCTTGCACAGCAGGCACAGAACATAGATATCTAGTAGCTGAAAGGCTATGAAATCACAAGACGACTACACCTCAATCTACCGTGCTAGACTTCGTGATATGAGCGTGGGGTGGGAGACGTGGTCAGCCGTCAGGGGTTGCATTGCATAGATGCGTGAAATTTGTGCCAAACGCCACCTACTTACTACCTGGCCTTGGTTCTTGTGATTCTCTCATTGCACTCATATCCAGCTGTGAGAAGATCGTCCAAGACATTCATCGTCTCCTGACAGGGGCGGGGGTTTGCTTACGATTTGAATGAACCAGACGGGACAGGGAGCTATTTCCGCTGCAATCAGTGCCTTTTCGAAAAATCAGGCTCACTCAAAATGCACTTTTTCTAAGATCTGGATTTGCCGATTCTCTGTGTCATTGTGGTTCCAGAGTACCATGGAAGGTTAGGGGTCCCGTCATTTTTGAGGAACGCCGCATCTCGCTTTCAATCTCCGTCTCTCCTGCACTCAACCTTTTCCCCAAAACGCGATCACTACTTCGCGCAACACACACGTACACGATTGCTTCGAGGGTGAAACGCGTGGTAAATTCATGTTCATACTCTTCACTAGACGCACAAGTAGCTAACACCGCGCGCAGGCCTGACCGGCGCCATGCCTTCAAGTTCCATCCGCCCACCTGCAACCAGGAAATCGTCTCGCACCTCGAGTCCCTTTCGCAACTCCAACTCCTCACCCGCACCTGGGCTAGTACTTAAGAAAGAGAAGGCCCAAACGTTTCTGGACAGCTGGGTCGAGCCCCCGCCAAAGATCCCCACCGCCAGCTTTGAAGAGCACGGCTTTGCGCGACACGGAGTCCTCGAAAACATGGCGCCCCTCGGCCAACCACCGTCCGCCAAGCTGAAGGCAAAGCTAAGAGGAGGTCCGGAGACGCATAAGCACTCGCTGCTAGGCAAGAACGGGAATGTGTCGGTGGCGGAAGAAGCTTTCTCAACTCCTGAGATGACACCGGCCGCAGAGCCTGAGCAAGCAGAGTCGGACCCCCCCGAGGAGGACGCGATTCTCCCCCCTTCAATAGAACCGCAAGACGAGGACGAGGACGACGAATATATTCCGAACGGCGTCAGAAGCGCGTCGCGATCTGGCAAGACGGCGATGAAGAACGGTTTCAAGGCGACAACGCCGCATCGCGACGCCGTCCTCGCGCCTACCACCGCCCCGCCCAGCACGCGGACTCCTGCTCAAAACCAGATCATGCTGAAGGCCGTCAATGCCGCCATGAAGAAGGCCACGGATGATGGCAGGCCCTCTGTGGGCGACGCAGTCCGCCGCTTATATGACGAGAGTTGCCACAACCAGACCTACGCGCGGCTACTGGATGCCATCCTGAATGAGCGAGCCACGCCGCAGGAGCACCTTGATTTTCACAATTACATCAAGAGAGCGAAGAAGGTCTCAAAGACTCGTGATCGGCGAGCGAGGACGCAGACGGCTTCTTTGCAAGCCTCTCCAGTCTCGCACGCCAAGACTAGAAATTCTTCACTGACATCCGCCCGCCCCGCCGACACAATAACAACAATAGCTGCCGGCTCCACCACACCTTCAATACACACAATAGCAGCGCAGCCGAACTTAGTAGCCACCTCTGGACTGAATCCTCTCTCCAACGTTCCTCACCTCTCTCCCAATCTTTCTCCAAACCACCGCCACAACAACAACAACAACAACACTTTCGCTCCGTCACCCCGATCAACAACACCACCTTCCCAGTTCACCGCCGTCAACGGCAATTCCAGGTCGACCGAAATGGTCTCGACTCGTAGACAGACCAAAGGCGCGGCTCCGCCACAGGATGCTGCTCCGCCGCGAGCCGCAGCCAAGCAGCCAGCCGCGAAACCACCCAAATCACCCAAAGGCAAAGGTAAAGCGCCGAAATCACAAGCGAAGGCCACTCTTGATGCGACGGATTCTGAGCTGAGCGATGTCAACGAAGACATCATCATGAGCGAGCCCCCGGAGGCCGTCTCGGTCAAGGGAGAAGACCTAGCCGCTCCACCCAAGGCCCCGAAGCAGAAGCTCATCCTCAAAAACATCCCCAAGGGCAAGAAACCGAAGTCATCCACTGCTACACCGGTACCAACGTCCGGAAAGCGCAGCGCCGATGAGGCCGGTATTGACGATGCAGAGAGAGAAATTCAGGTAAAGAAATCGAAAATGGCCCGCGCTTTCCCTGACTTCAACCTCGAGTTTTCTGCTATTCGCTCGCTACAAGACTCGCCCAATTTGCGAAACGGTGTATTAACGGAGTTCGACCAGGTCTCACAGCCACTGGCTGCATCATCATCATCATCAGCAGCACCACGACGCTCCGGCCGGTCACGAAATGGCAACTCACAAGGCCCACAAGCTGCTCCCAACGCGACAGCGGCCCAGCTCAATGGCACGAACGCGGATGCTGCCTTTCCTGATCTTGCCTCGCCCGCACACGACACGCCCGACTTCGCATTCCTCGACGCTGCCTCGCCAGGCCCAGCTGATTCGGCTGTCGCATCCAGGCCAATTACGAGACCTACGACTCCAGCCGCTGGACACGCAGCGAAGCGTCGCAAGATTAACAATGGCCCTGCAAAGACAAAGTTCTCGTAAGCATTCCATCCAGTCACCTTGCCTCCCTTTCGTTCAGAAGCTTCGCGATGTGCGGCGCCGTCGGGGGTTTTTGCCACTCTCCTCCCCGCTTGGCATCGTCGTCGCACACCTGTCTCTTTATTCTCAAAAAAACATCATCAGGGCAGTTCACTAATTCGTATTTCACCTTACAGGCCGGTCAAGGGAAAGGCAGCTGTTGCAAGCAGTTCGCGTACGATTGGCGGTTCGAGTGCCCAGGTCGCGCCTGATGACAGCGATGTGAGTGGCACCCACGTAGCCAATACCCCAACACGTTTTTCGTCCTGCCCTCGCTTTCATCCTTCCTCCACCACATCCCCTTTGTCCATCATGATTCTTCGAACTAGCCCTGCAGACTCACTCTTTTCATCTCCACCCATTCGAAAATGTCTGGCAGTCCCACTAATTGTTCTTCAGTCTTCCGCCAATGACGAAGATGTTTGTGCCTCATGCGGTCTCGGCGGCCTCATCATCGGCTGCGATCACTGCGAGGATTGGTATCACTTTGCTTGCGCCGAACCACCTATTCCTGAAGGCGCGGAGGCACCAGATGACTTTGTGTGCCACAAATGCCGGCGCCTCTTTGCCGCAGCAGAGGCTTCACGATCGGCCCCGACGAAGAATCGATGGGTAGCTGGCCTTGAGTCCGCTCTACCCGCTCCTGAAGCTGGTCCTAAATGGTTCAGGCTACCTGACGACGTTCGCAACTACTTTGTAGGTGTGAAGACGAATGCAGATGGTGGCTATGAAGAAGAGCCGGCACGTGAGATTGGCCTGTAAGTTTCAATCACCGCGCTTCTCGAGCACATCGCTGACCTGCGATAGCGATAAACAAAAAGGCTACTTTGCCAGACCAGATCCGCACAAGTTGATCGACCACCACAAGGCCGTTCTATGCCACGGATGCTCGCAGTCATCAGCCGGCAAGCGCGAAATCCTCAAGTGCGATTTCTGCGACAAGTGGTGGCACTTGGACTGCCTCGATCCACCAGCTGCCATCTCTCCTGTATTGGTCACGGCATCTGGCATGACTCGTCGTGCCTGGAAATGCCCGCTCCACGTCGATCACGACCTCAAGGCTGTTGCAGAGATGAGCGCGCCGACTTTCAACGGTACTCTCAAGCGCAAGCGAGCGGCTAGCCCGGACCTCGATTCCGATGAGATAATTCTGCGACACCGTATCCGACGCCCCAAGGTGTTGATTCCGCAAGATGTTGCCTTGCCACGTGGCCTACGCAACGGCGGAATCATCGAAGTTGTGAGCAACGAAGACGAATCGGAAGATGAGGAAGACTGGGTCTACGACGACAAGGAACCTAGGCCAGAGGATGCTATTCTCAAGAGGATTCCGAAACAAGTCATCATCGCCGACTTCATTGGCTCCATCAAGCGCCGACGCATGAACGAGCAGGTCTACAAGGCGAGGCTTGCCTCAAAGAACCCTGCGAGCGCCAAGGGAAAGGCCCCCATGGCCTCCACCAATGGTGCCTCAACAAACATCTCGTCCCGACCCATCGTGGAGCAACAGGCCGCCCTCAACCTGGCCCAGTTCGCACAAAGAGAGACCGATATTGGTCTGACTGGTGAGAACGTCCAGTCGCTTGTCAACAATCTGATCGTAAGTGATTCCTCTTCTTCAGCAACTTGTCAACACTAACAGAACTTGCAACTAGGCGGAAGCCTCTCCGGAGGTAATTGATCTCATTAGTAACCAGGCTTCTGGCGCTGCTGAGCGTCAGTTGCTGGAGAAGCTGCAGGAGCTTATTACGCGCAAGCTGAATGGCGCGGCTCCTGCCTAGAGTTTTCCTTAGTGTATAGCATAGCGAATGGACTCGACCTAGCATAGTTAGCTGCTTTTTTGAATGGACTTTTGGCCCAATTGTGGGAGCGTGGCGCCTAGGATGGCGATTGGGGGTGTGAATCAGGTAGTTTTCACACCAATTTTTCCAGTAGGCAGATGCTGGATGATACTGCACTGTACTAGTAATAGAGAATCAAAAGTTTATCAACCTCTTTGTGCTATTGAATACGTGCTTAATACTTTGAAGCACTTCATGCACATGACTTGAAGATGCGATTGCGATGTCAAGGTCTCGAGGAGCTGACTTGTGTCATAGGTTTTCAGCTCGTGTATCAAACAGCCTTTTGCAGTACGTACGATTTCAGTTGCCTCTCGTTACGTTATGGAACATATGTTTAAGCTTCTGAAGGACCTCTACAGGTACTGCCCAGGTCGAGATTTAGATGTAAAAGTTTCAACGAGCCACATCGAACCTATGCACTTTTGATATCTTTTCAACGCCCATTTGCACTATCTTCGAGATTGCACGCCTCGTGTATTAGTTCTGAATACGGCTTAAACGCCTTGGAGGATCTCTAGAGGTGACGAACCGACTTGAGGCTTGATGTAAAGGTTTTGACAGGCTAAATCAGGCCGCGAGACTTCTATACCTAGTTTCAACACTCTTTTGCACTACACCGTAAATCAACGGCTTTGAAAGTTACACTTAGATATATTTCGAGCATCTTGACAGACTCCAGCACATATGACTTGAGGAGGAAGCCTAATGTAGCGTTCTTGACGTCCTAGATTACACGGCAGGATATCCATATCCTTTTCAACATCTTTCTGCACCACCACCTAGATCAGCCGCTCTTAATAACAATCTTGAACAGGTCTTTAATGTCTCAAGAGACCCCTGCATGTATAGCTTGAAGTTTGAGCATGATGTAACGTTCTTGACGGCCGAGATCAGGCCACAGAAAATTGTTATCTAACTTCGGCACACCTTTACATTACATCACATACCAGCCGCTCTATATGCCGGGTCTGAACACCTTTTGAACGTCTTGAGGGGCACCAGCACATATGGCTTGAAGATAAAGCATGATGAAGACTCCTTAATGTCCTAGATTAGGCCCCTGACTTTCTATATCCATTTCGACCCCCATATCACAGCATCCTTGAATGCGGCTGCTCTAAACAACGATTCTGAACACGTACTGAACATCCTGACGGGCTTCTGCACATACTGCTCATGACCTCGTCTCAATGTAACGTTCTTGACCCCCTGAATTAGATAGTCGTCACTTCCCACTTCTTCCTATAACCCTTTTGCCTCACGTCCTAATCTAGACGCTTCATATCACGCTTTGGAACCTCCTAGACATTTTGACGGACTATAGCGCATATCAATCAAAGAACTTTCTCAATGTAACGTCTTCGACCCCCTATATTAGACCACCGCCACCTCCCATCCTCTTTTACCACCATCCTACTACACCTCCTAAATCACCCCCTCACACAACCTCCTTGAATACCCTCTCGCCACCTCAACGTACCCCTACGCCTTCCGCCCAATCCCTCTCTCACCCCTTACCCCCCAACCACAAAATCCCCCACAACCGCCCGATGGTCACTCACAAACACCCCATCCTCAAACCGACTCTCCAACCCCGCTAACCCCCTAACCCGCCACCCCTCTCTCCCCACAAACAAAAAATCAATCCGCTTCGCAGCCTCCCCCTCCTCCTCGGGGACAAACCCCGTAAACGTATTCCCATGCCCATACACCCTGCCCCCCGCCAGTCCCAGCGCGTCCTGAACGGGCGAAGCAGCACCGTTCAGCACCTCATACGCCTCCTGCGCCGGCTCGCTGTTGAGATCGCCGGCCAGGAACACGGGCAGCGTGGTGCCCGCGGAAAAGGCCGGAGAAGAAAAAGAAGGCCCGGCCAGGCGCTCAATCTCCGCAACGATCATCTCCGCGCCGCGCAATCTGGACACAGAGCCTTGGTCGTCCAGATGCGTGTTCAGCGCCACAACTTGCTGTTTGCTCGCGCGGTGCTTGAAGACACCGATGGTCAGGAGCCGGATGCTGGCGGCGTCCCACCCCTTCGAGGGCACGTCGGGCGTCGGCGAGAGCCAGACGGTGCGGAAGTGGAGCAAAGACCAGACGGCGGGGCGGTAGAGGACCGGGCTGTACTCGCCAGCCTGATGGCCGTCGTCGCGGGCGACGCCGATGTAGGACCATTCCTGGGGTGCTTCGGGATTGGGGTTGGGGTTGGGGTTGGGGTTAGAGGTGTTGTTGGCGTTAAGGTTTGTTAGGATATCGAGGAGTTGGGGGTGGAGGACTTCCTGCAGGCAGATGAAGGCTTCGGGGTTGTAGAGGGTGGTGTAGCGGAGTTCGTTGAGGAGGCGTGGTAGGCGGATGGGCCAGAGTTCTTCACCTGGGAAGGGGGAGGTGGTGGCGTAGCGGATGTTGTGCGTGAGGATGCGGATGGGGAGGTTGGGGGAGCTTTTCATGTTTGGGGATATGTTTGTGGATTGGGTTTGAACTGAGGGGATGTTTGGAGAGGGTTCTTTGAGATGGTTGAGAGAAGTAAGAATTTGGGATATAATCTTGTGATAAAGGGAGTGGTTGCTGAAAGCGTTTTGACGTCAACTCACCTGCAAGACTGTATATAACGGCGTGATGACTTCACAGGTGTCCTTAGAAGGCGGGGTATGTGGGTCGTTCAATAGCCGGAAAAACGGCGACAGGAGACAGGTGTCCGCAGGAATATAAACAATGTCAATTGATGAAGAAGCTGGGCGTCAAGCCGTCTACGACTTGAACCAATTGCACTGTCCCCAAGCAACAACCTTTCCACTCCAACTGGCTTGAAATCAACGCCTGTCAGTAGCTAGCTCAAAGCTCACGAGGTCAAGATTGAACCTCGCATCTGAGCAACGCACCAAACACGAAAAACTCCGTTTTACAGCCATTGTGCCAACCTTCGCTTGTCGAAGGAGCCGGTTGTGAGATATGTATACAGTGCCCCAAACCCATTTCAAAAGCTATCCATAATATTCGTCCATTGAACCAACTCCTAACCATCTCCTCCTCATTCTTAGCGCAGTCCCTATCCCTGCGATGCGCTTCGCTTTCCTGTCCGTTTCTCGATCGCTATTTTGTGCTGTTTATTTCGTAGATGAACTTCGAAGTTTTCCACGGTCATTCCTGGACCAGCGGTATATAGCTTTCCAGGGCAATCGTTACAACGAATCCTTGGGCAGTACTGGGCTTTGACGTGGGATGGTAGTGGAGCTCCAAGCGGAAGGTTGTCAACTTTGAAGGGTGAACCGCTGTCCTGATTGACGATAATGTACCGCATGACTGGCTCGAAGTCATCAATTGGATAGTTATTACGCAGCTTCTGTAAAGCATTGCTCAACCATTCCGGAGGAGGAGGCTAGAAATCACAAATCAGCACGCGCAATATGATGTCCAGACGAGGTCTAGTCTTCTTGAGAGATACTCCGCTCCTCTTTGACATTGAAAGGAATGGAGGAGTACTCACCATGGGTGCACCGGCCGGCAGGGGATATGGTGCATCGGTTCGGCCGCCAGGGAGGTAATTCCATTGTGTGTTGCTACCGGCCGGTGTTGGGGTTGAAGACTTGCTAGGAGAAGCCTCAACATTCGAAGCTGCGGTGGGAGTGGAGCGTTGTGGGAGTGCGGGCGATGGAGGTGGTGGCATAGAGGTTACTGTGGGAGTACTACGCTGTGGCGTTGCGGTCTGTGATGCCATTAGAGGCGTCGATAGGTTTCGCTGCGACGAGTACTCGCCGCTTTGCTTTGCCTTTTGGCTCTGCAACCATTGTTGGAACTTCTTGGGAGCAATCCGAAGTTTCACTATAAGAGCAGTGGGATCAGCAACGCTCTCCTCTCTCGTTTCATAGACCCCGAATCGTCGGGCAGAAGTTCTTGTCTCATGATGGTGTTGCAAAGACGCAATCTCTGGAGTTGCCGACCTGCCCAGGTTCGCCCGCATGGCAGCTTGAGCTGCAGTCGCTGCGCCTCGTATCCCTCTAGTCCGCGCAGTGCCACCCATAATTTGGGAGGGCGCAGGGGACTCAGGCGCCGAATCTTCACTATCGGACTCGTCGGAATCGTCCCCGCCATCAGTTCGTCCTGTAGCACGGCCGCGGCGGCCAGATGCAGATCTAGATAGCTTGAAGACACGACTGGTCTCAACCGACTCTGCAGCTCCTGGTATGACGGACGACACAACCAGTGTACGAACTGTTCGTTGGCGATCCTTGAGGTCCGGTAATGCTGGTCCTCCGCGACGGTTCACCGACCTCTTCTGTCGCCGCTGCTCTCTCAAAATTGACAGTTCCGCCCGTTCTAATTCTGCTTCATTCAATTCGTAGAGATAGGGCGTGTAATCTTTGGCGGATTGCATTGGCCGGAAAACAGACGGAAGAGGAGAAGGCAAGAAGCCCTCTCGTACGTCTGCGTCTTCAATTGGACGTCCATCAAATGGATGCCCGGTGATGTAGAGACTTTTCGTAAACATTTGCGTCTGTTCTCGGATCGAGTGTGCTATTGCTGTTGTGAACTCTCCTGATAGTGAAAGGTCGCGAGCCATTTGTCTGGCAAACTCTTCCGGCGAGTTCAATGGGTTGTTAATCTCCCATTCAAACTGATCCATGAGCGTATGCTGGCCAATGGTAATATTAAGCTTGATCAATATCCGCATTTCGTCATTCTTGTATGCCATGTAGGGTTGGTGTGGATCGAGTGGTTCGTCCTCAATGAAGGCATGTGGGTAGAAGTCTTGTATCTGCTCTGCCATTTCGCGATTTATCTGCTGCGTCAAAAGACTCCTGGTTTCTGGGGGTAGTCTAAAGTCCTCCACGAGGTTTTCGGCGAAGACCTCAGGAGGGATAACGCGGTCATGCAGATTCCAGGTAAAAGTGTCTCTCAGTTTTATCTTATCGAATTCGATGTCCAGTCGGACGGGCACGAGTTCCTCTAGTTGATCGGCTTGTGTCGCGCCCTCCTTCCTGGATATGTGTAGTGTTTTTGATCTTCTGTTGCCCGGCCTTTTCCTCGTCGCCGGGTATTCCAGCCGTGATGGCTTCGCCTCTGTGATACCGTTGCCGTATCCCATGTAGCCATATCCGTAAATCGATCCAGGATCGCGCGATCGTATTTGCAGGAGACCTTTGTAGTATTCGGTCTCCTGCAGCTTCTCTTCGAAAAGAGCTTTGTTCCGCGCGGATTGTTCGTTCATAGCGACGGAATGGAGCAAATCACGAGTCATGTAATCGTTCAAGAGAAACTCGGGGATTCCTGGTTGTGAAGACGTCTGAGCAGCGGGCTGAGATGGTAATCGCGAGCCCGACCGCGACCGTTTTCGACTCGGGGAGGTGGTGCCATTGACAGTCCCAGTGGTGGCAGGCGACGTATCGTCGTGGGATGGAGATGCTGCCCGGGCTGAGTCGGACTCGATGTTTACCCCCGACGCAGCCATCACGGCCTTGGCTTTCTCCTTCCCCTCTCGTATCACGTCGTGTCCGTCCGCTGTCGCGTCGTTATTGGATGGGCCTTGTGGCTGTTGCATTGCACTGTCGCTGGTGCCATTATGGCTTGCGGACGCGCCCGCTGGCGACGATACATTGTGCGCGGAGTCTGAGAGGGCCGAGGAAGAGGAGGGAGATGGCATTATGGAATCGGGAGAGATTACAGGCGCGCCCTGAGCGAAGGTCTGCCGAGACAGGGCGGATACATGAATAGTCTAGAGAGGTGGGTCAGTGTCAGTCAGGGCCAGGCGCAAAGGAGCGGTCGCGTCGCCATTGCGACGACAACAACAAGCAGCGCAGGGCAGCGGGCTTCACAGGCGCCATCGTCGCCGCAGCCCGGCCAGCTGCGATGAAGTTCGACACGGTGCGATGGGCACACGGCGGGACACACGTACCGGTTGATGAGAGTGCGCGTCGACAATTCCCGGCGCTCCTGGTTCGCTGAGGGAAGACTTGCCGATCACGGGGCAGCAGCGCGCAGGACTCGGGCGGGCACAAGGGCGGAGAGGGACCGGAATGAAGGCTGCTTTGTCCTCCCCTGGGTGGTTTAGGCGCGGCAAAGGATAAGCTCGGAATGCCAATTCGTGGAGGCGTGCGTGTTACGGGCAGCCGATGAGGATGGGAGCAAGGCGCTTGTCCGCCGCCTTTGCCGACCTGACGTGGCTTAGACCGCCCCTGCAGCGACGACGGCAACGACACAGCGGGTTGGCCAGCGAGTCGCGGCGCAGTGTTTCAGCTGGGGACCACGGCTGTTATTGGGCTGAGGCTATATTGAAGCCTGAGGAGCATTGCAGCGAGAGGATGGATCAAGCTGCGTTTCAAGCTGCATCACGTGATGGATAAGTCAGCACGATCCGTTGAGGACTAGACATCGACGCTAGCAGAGAGAGAAGAGTTGTTCATAGTGTTTTCAGCATTCTCGATAAGAAAGAAATTCGGCATTTTGCACAACCGGTAAACTCGCGACGCTACCCCAGGCAGCATCAGCAGCGTGTACGCAGATTAGGAGCGTGTCCACTACACCCGATTTTTATTAGTACGCTGGAGCGCCCCAAATAGTGGCAGCAAAGTGTACGGATTTCTATATCAAGGCACTGTGGCAGAGGTATTGGCATCAAGGAGAGAGGCGCGAACAACATAGCATAGGTATCGGCAGCAAGGCGACAGACATGAGTGGTGTAGCAATTGCAGCCCAGTTCTCCATTTTATCCCTAGCCTGAGGAAAACCGCTCACAAAGACCGAGCAAACGAGGAGTGGTGCTAATACAGTGCTTGAAAACCCTGCGGACGCCATACGCAAACACCCCCAAGGCACTGCTGCACTCTGATGAAAACCGAAAGTTCGAATCGCGAATACCGAGCCCAATATCCCAGTGACCTGTTTATGTCCCTGATCTCCCAAATAGCTTTGCAGCATCCCTAGGAATTGCGCGTCCTTCCACAAGACCTTTGCTACATTATAGCTTCAGCGGGCACACCGTTAAGGCGACTACTCTAGACGAATTAGTCGAAACGTCTCAGCTAACTTTCAGAGCAAAGAGTCAAGCCTTGTAAACACGCTCAAGCACGCAGCCACGACCTAGCAACTATGTCAGCATCGAGCACGCGGTATTAGGGGGAATTCCACTCACCTCAAGCTGCAGCTCCTTGTCCTTGCCAGCGTTGATTTCGTCAGTGATGACCTGGCCCAAGTTTGCACCCACTCCCGCAGACCCTCCAGCTCGCTTGCCAAAGGGCCATTGGGAGTATTCGGCGAGAAGTTCGTCAACCTGGGCAAAGGCTCGTTCTCGTGCCTCGTGTCCAAGTGTTGAGAGCGCGTTTTCGAGGACATTCGCCGCGTACGCCGCGCAGACCATAGCAATCGTTCGCAAGTATCGGAACTCCATTTCTTCAGGGAGGAACTGGCTCGCCGGGAGCACGACAGTCCGACTTGTGAGGACGTTCCTCACCCTGCGTCTTATCTCGTCCTTCGCTCCACCGTCTGCCACAGGATGTGTTGCCATGTCGAATAAGAGGAAGTTCTTCTTCTCGGTGCGGAGGATGCCCTTGTCCACGAGGCCTTTAGCGAGTCGTTCGCGGACTTGCTTTAGTTGATAGCCAATCTTCATCAGATTCCAGGTCTCGCCTATAAAGAGGAATAATTAGCTCATGATGTAAAATGAACAGCATGCACCTCCAATCCTTACCGCTCATAAGATCAATCCACGAGTTGACGCTCATCTTCTCGCTCGACTTCATCATTTTGAGTGCTTCGTCAAGCAGAACCTCGCCAGTCAGAGTATCATCAACGACCTCAATGACCCGGTCTGCCAGGGGAAAGCGCCGCCGCGATGAATCCTTTTGCATGCTCACACGCCCCCTGAACGCCAGTTCGATGACGATACATCCTCGCAGCGCATACGATATATTGTCGTTCCAAAAGGAGAGATAGCCCTGTTCACAAGATATCAGACTAGTCCAGTTCCCCAAGAATAGCATAACCACTGACCTGCTTGTCTTTCAAGCCCATCAGAAGCACCTCCTCCATCAAGGTCAACTTCGGCTGCTTGTTCCTCTCGGCGCTCTCGCTGATATCCCGCGGGTCGAACGCAATCTTGTGTCCATTCTCAGAGTTCTCATACGACGTCTCCGGCGCTCGATCTTCGTTGCGCCTAGGCACGGGCGAGCTCACTCGGCTGGCATCTTCACTGTCGGCGCCTGCACCGCCAGCAGTGGCCCCTCCTCGCCTGCGTGTGAGACCAGAAGTTGTGGAAGCCATCTGCGGGGGTGTTGTGAAGGTTGATCAAGGGCTGGTGGGTGGAGGGCTCAAGGCTCGGTGTGAGCGCAGGGGTGGGCCGCGCAGTCTAAGTTGGCATGCGGGACGCAGCGGTGGGTATACGAGGTGTCAAATCGTCGCTGAGAACCGGGTGTGTTTCTTTAAGGCGGAGCCCAGTAGTGATTGTGTGCGGTGTTGAAGGATATCAGCTCGGTGTTCCGCTCTCGATGTTGCGGTGGTGAAGCCAGATAGGTAGGTTAACGAAAGCCCTCGCCAAGGCTTTTTTTTTGGAGCGAAGAAGGCACACCAATTGTTCGATTCCAGTATTCCCTTTGGAAAGTGGATAATTACGGTATAGCGTAGACGGAGGTGGCCTAGCAAGATCACTCAGTCTTCAGGTTTGCCTATATGCGATATCTCAAAATGTATCAAAAGACTTCATATGATGGCAGACTGTATGAGTGAACAAGAGTTTTATGCGATAGTACACGCGTGCAAAGTCCTATGGCCAAGACTCGCACGTAGAGAATATATAACAGAGTTCGGGGCTATCTACGCAGATCCATGGATGCGCCCGAAAAGCCAGTATCCCAACCCATCCTCCCCAAGCAACGGTCCCAGTACCGGCGAGCAGTTTAGTGCGCTGTTGGTGCATTAGTATAATTCCAAGAAGCTCACACGCGTAGACTTACCATCAGGCTGGCTCAGAATGTATGACACTGCCTTGTCAACTAGCAGTTCGTTAGTATCATGCCCGTAGATAGAGGTGATATCCCACGTACTGCTGTGAATAGCATCCGCCTCCTTATCTGGGATCTCAATGCTGAACTCCTGCTTAGGTATTAGCCGACTGACCAAAAGCATCTACAGCGGGGATGACTGACCTCCTCAATCGCCATAACCACCTCCACGGTATCGAGACTGTCAAGGCCGAGGTCGTTTGAGAAGTGCGAAGATGGGGACAACTATATCCAATGAGTCTTCTCTCATACCTTAGAGATTCTACGGGTTCGATTTACCTTCGAGGCGTCGCTGACCTGCATCCCCAATATTAGCCACTACATCCGCGAGGTCCCATTGCATTACCCCCGTACGCACCTTGTCGAAGTTCTTCAACAGATCCAATATCCTGCCTTCGACCTCATCCTTGGACAGTCCTGTTGGCGCCGAGTAGCATCGTACCGATTGGAAGCTGATAGCCGGAGTTATTTGCTTTGACTGGAAGAGAGAGCTTCGCGCGGCCGGTCGGGCAATTGGCGTCTGGAAACGGGGGGCAGCCCGGGAAGCAGCTCGTGCTGTCCTGAGGATGGCAGTTCGGAACATGGTGCGTGATGTAGGCGGAGTGTTGGCGGTGATGGGGTGATGGAGCGTAGTTGGAGATGTAGCACTGAAGAAAGCGGAATGATGCAGTAGATATTTGGATCACGTGATGCTAAATCTACCTCTTCGTAAAATGCCCAACACAAATAGCATGGAGCTGATACTAAGGATCCTACTTTAGAAGGCGCGTGTTTCAATTCTCCTCGAATTTGATTCTTCTGTTATCTGCGTTGCGCGTGGCTTGCACCTCAACGCTGTGGACGAATAGAGACGCCTTGATTACTGCGGCAACTTCCTGAACTTCAGAGCTTCAACACCCGACGACAACCCATTGCCACCAACCCACCCCGAAGCCCGCACTCCACTCCCTTCGACCTTGCGCACACAATGGCCAGCGCGACGAGGCCATTGATGATGCTGGCCCACGGCCAACGCGGCGTAGCATTGCTCAGGGCCTCCCGAATCCCTTCACCCGCGACCGCCGCTTTCTTCTCCACCACAGCATTCCGGGCCGCCACTCCAGTAGGACCCCCGCCAGCAGGCTTCAGGCTGGCCCCACCGAAGAGAGAGCAGGACTCTGGCGAGAGCGCGCTCGATAAGGCTGGAAAGTACTTCTTGCTGATGGAGATGATGCGAGGGATGTGGGTGTCCTTGGAGCAGTACTTCCGTCCACCGTGAGTTTACACCATTGAGGCCTAAGACCTCTCCGCCAAGCTTCGTAATAGTGGATTAATCAAATCTGAAGGTACACGATATACTATCCATTCGAGAAAGGCCCAATCTCGCCACGATTCCGCGGGGAACACGCCCTCCGACGATATCCTACAGGGGAGGAGCGCTGCATTGCATGCAAGTTGTGTGAAGCTATCTGCCCGGCCCAGGCCATCACAATTGAGGCTGAGGAGCGTGAGGATGGTAGCAGGAGGACGACGAGATACGATATCGATATGACCAAGTGCATATACTGCGGCCTGTGTCAGGAGAGCTGCCCCGTTGATGCAATTGTTGAAGGTACGTCATGAAGTCTACGTGGGTATGGGCTTTTGCTGAACATCATAGGTCCCAACGCGGAATATGCAACTGAGACTCGGGAAGAGTTGCTCTATAACAAAGAGAAACTGTTGATGAACGGAGACAAGTGGGAGCCAGAGATAGCGGCAGCTGCTCGCGCAGACGCACCCTACCGGTAATGGGGTTTCGAGATTGTCGAAATGTAAATATTTCAGAGCTGGAGCGACGAGAATTGCATGGATGTAACTATAAGCGCTCCCTAGAAAGCATCCCTTTGTAACAGTTTTATATGTCTGCATGAGTGATAATGTGAAAATCATGCTTTCATTATGGTATCATGCAATTGGGCCCAACACGCTCAATTCAATAATTGTGTTTGATGCATCATGCTTTTGCTGCCCAGTCATTTCTGCTATCACCCAGACTTGGCCTTACTTTTGCCTTCCTTGCCTTTTTTTTTACCCACCTTGTCTTCCTTTCTCAGTTCTTTTCTTGCCGCTTTTTTGAGTTCTTCTTTTCGCCGTCTGGCATCAATGATCTTCTGCTTGTTCTGCCCTGACTTTCTTACTGTACTGTCTGCCTTCCGCTGGGCACGTAGCTCCTTGATTTGAGCCTGGAGTTTAGCCTTCATGGCATCCCGTTGCGCCTGTGTTTCTGTGGAATCCTCCACTTTATCTTCCCTGTCGTCTTCCCCTCCTGGTACTGGCGTGGATGCCGCACTTTCCTGGGAGTCCGTATGTTCGTCCTCGACTAACCCGCTGACATCAATTTGCTCAATGTCATCGCCATTGGCTGCGTCCTCGTCCGAATTGGCCGCTTCTTCTTGCACTGCGTCGACAGGTTTCTCAGTAGCAGCCTCATCTTTCCGTGCTTTCCTCGCCTCTACTTTCTCCTTCAGCTTCGCTTGCTTCTCCTTTTTCCTCTGATCCTTCTCCCTCCTCTTCTCTGCTTTCGACTTCTTTGGTACTATCTCCTCGACGACGCCCTCTGCATCATCTTGCTCTCCCTTCGGCGTCTTGGTTTTGTCTGCTTTAGCGCCGTTTAGCTTCAACTTCTTCGCCTTTTTGCCCTTTGCTTTCAAGCCCTCCTGCGGTCGCTCTTTCCCCTCTCCTCCGATGTCCGAAGCATCCTCCGCTTCCAACTCCCGCTTCCGCTTCCGTTCGTTCTCGTCCATGACATCTTTGGCGCTCTTGTAGGAGCTTGGGTCTAGCTTCGCACGTTTGGCCTCTCGTTTCTGCTTTTTCGTCTGCTTTTTCCGTTGCCATTGATCCTGGCGGAAGTGTGAGTCTGGTGATTTTAGACAGATACGTAAATATAGACGTACGCTTGTATCTTCGCCGTAGTAGTGCTTAGCTGGGATCAGCGACATCAAGCCCTCGAAAGCTCGGGCATGGCTTTTAAGACGTTCCTGGGCGCATTTAGTCTTTTGTCATGCAACAACGGGAAACAAACATACCTCTAAGTCGTCCGCCATTTCGGGCGTAGATGAGGTACAGGTGACTTCTGCAAGCTTGAGAATACAATTTCTTGGCTGTACAATGCACGAGCAATCGTTGGTAGTAATTGTCGCGTGTTGGATGTGAGAGCTATGCCCGCGAACTTTTTCTGTCTGCGGAAGAGAGACCGCGGGCTTGGCGCGTGTTTTGGAAGGATTACGCGAATGCGGACCCCAGACCCATTCACTCTCAGCGGTGTATCTAGGAGACTATTTCTGTCTACATATGCTCTGGATCTTGTTTGCCACAGCTCTTCACCGCTGCGGCCGTCGTACGAGTTAAGCAGACGCGTCGACCACCTAACACTGAGGACGGACTCCCGGCTTGCACAGCCACTGCTGCCACGTAAATCCTGAACTGGATGCCTGCTTCGAGAAAATGAGCTTAAGCTTTCGTGTATAACACGTAACAGCGCTACACAGCTAGGCCTATATTCCGGCATGTTTCATAAATCATAAACCCTCACCTGCTACTTTGTCCATCCCACCTGCATCCGAAGCGTGACCCCAGTTCCACTTGCTCGCTTTCGAGGTCCAGTCTGTCAGCAAGAACGATGGCTTCTGCTGCCATTGAAGCGAGGTCACTATCAAATCTCACTGCACTTGCGTCCCAACCGCCACGCTATCCACGGAATCCTACTCACGAGAGGCATGAGCCATTGGTGCTGTACATAGCTCGGGTTCCCGGAAGCAGAGGTATGGATGCTACGTAGAGCCGCGTATCAGACAGCTAATTGTTTAGATGTCTTCCTCACTCCCATGAAACCTATGGAGAAAGTCGTGACGGCAGAAGATGTTCAAAGCTGTCTATATTACCTACATATAGATCAACCAGAAGACGCCGAACTTCTCGACGATCCCGTCGAGAACCAAGAAACAGGAACAGAAGCTCCTCCGCCCCCTCCGGTGCATAGGAAAGCCGTGGCTCCTAGTAATTCGCATTATAACAATAATCTTCTGACTCCACAGCAATCACCTTATCCACCGTCAACGAATTCACCCCACGTGATGCAGAGGAAACCGCTCTCAACGTCACCGTTAGCTCCAAGAACAGTCATTGACAATCGCCATGAAAGCATCCAGTCGAATTACCCGCGACCAGATGCCCGAGACGATTACCGGGGTCGATCTGCTGACCAGACTGGATCGCACAATGGCGAACAGCTTCCGATATTGCCTCCCCGTAGGCCATCTGAACAGCATCCATTACCCCCACGGCCACCGTATCCTGTGGACCCCAGCTTAAGAAACGACCCATATCGATCGTCCCAGGAAAACTATCCTCCCGCATTTCGAGAACCTTTTCCTTCGAGGCCAATAGCACAGAACTCATACGGCGCGCAGGTGTCCCCAGCTCACAATACGCTGGGGCCGCTCTCCGCGAGCCCAGAAAGACCAGACACGCCTAATTTCTTTGGAGCTTCACTTACTCTCATTCGGCGGGACCCATCTTCCTCTTCTCAGTGGAATGTTGCGCGGATCGAAGACCCTCCTATTGTCGAAGTATCTTCTTCCAGCTTAAATAATCCAGCTGTAACCCAAAAGAGCAGGCGCGCCGGAGCTCCAATGTATATTGAGATAAACAACATTGGATACTCAAAATTCCTGAACACCTCGGAAGGCCTCCCGTCTGCGGTTGTGGGAGATAATGGCGTATCTGCTAAGACTTTAAAGGACCTGGCTAACAACATGTCCGCAAAAAGTGATAATGTTCCGAGCGAAACAGTCTTCAAGAGGCGGCTGTGGATGGAGGGTGCAAGGCACAACGACAAATCTTTCGGACATCGACGACTCAACTCGTACGACTCTAGCACTGGATTAGATGTCCCACGAAAGAGTTCGGAAGGTAGATATGACGAACGGCTATCAGCAGATTACAACCGCCCACCCGCTCCATTCCAACGTCGAGATGACCAGGCCTATGCCACTGTTCAAATACCTGAGAAGCGCTCTTCCAGCTTTCGCGGGTATGCCTTCACAAGCCCGTGGAATGGACGGTGTGAATTTTCGACTGGTGGTACAGGGCGGTCTTTAAAGGTATGGCAGCCATACCGCAGATTCGACATCGCTGACAGGAAGCGCAGTGCAAGCATATCATGTCTGGCGGGCATCAAGGCGCCGCATCATCCTTTCCCATCGCTGCCAATGTCAGTGAACTACGCTTCAATCTGCCTAGCACCTCCCTGTTGCCGTCGACACCAAAAGGCGACGACGGCTCCTCCAAGCGATCTTCCTTCTTCAGGCCTCGTCACGGTCGGCATAAGTCGCTTCAGGATGACATGTCCAAGTTGGACCTCTCATTAGGTCAGGAACAAGCTGGCGGAGGGTTCGGAGGCAAACAAGCAAAACTAGGGAAGCTCATTATTGAAGACGAGGGCTTAAAGATGATGGATCTTCTAGTGGCTGCTAACATGGCGCTTTATTGGCGAGTCTATGAAAAGGTTGATGGGAAGTCTCGAAGAGCGGACACCAGTTTTGATGGATACTAAACGGGTGAGGGGGGGCTTGGAACGCTAGATTCTTCCTAGTCTTCACAAATTAAGAGAAGCTAAGATAAGTGGTAAAGAGTTTCCTGAGTAGTCTCCAAGAAAAATCTAGGTCTCTAGCCCTTGTCTTTAGCGATTTTTGCGTGGCCCTTCGCCCACCGTCAAGAGCCAGCGACGGTTCATCAAATTCTGTCGCGTTTGCTTGGCCGAGGCAGGTGCGCCCCGGTAGCCATTTTTGCACCTCTGAGGTTTGGAGGTCCTTTTTTCACCTTTGAAGTCTCACTTTCGTATTCACCATCTCAGAACAGCGTGGTAAGAGCGGCCAGCTACATAAACCCATCAACTTGGAATCCGACTACAACGCCCGTCACACCACCTCTCCTTTTCCCAACACAAGGCTTCAGAATCATGCCATGCCATCCCCGCAACCCCATCGCAGTCACAATCAAGTCGCTTGAAGATGTAAAGGCGTTTTTCTATCTCGCCACGCAGCGTCGTATTACGGACATACGATCTATTGAGCTCACTCTTAACGCCAACGAATTCTGCGACTACAAAGATGATCTCCTAGCGATGGCTTTCAAGCAGTTCCAACCTGACTACAATCGCAATCCACACAACATCACCAAGATTGTGATCAAGGTGGAGGGCATGATACTTTTCACTCGGCAAACTTACAACACCATCTCACCAGTTGCTTCTTGGTATGTCGACAAGCGACTCGAAGGCCTGCTCTCCGGCAGGGCGACTGTCAAAGAGAAGGAAGAAACACCCTTTAGTGTCATATCGCAGGAGAAGGCTTTCGTGGGCGCACTCCTCGGAATCCGTAATGTACGTGAGGTGGAAATCACGGGCAAGATGGAACCAGATCTGAGAGAGGAAATCATTGGGAACACAATGACTAAAATCGGCCAGCCTGTCCCCATCGCGCCTACTCGTGGGCGTCTGGCCGTCAACGGCACCTTTTGGTCAATGTCTTACGACCGCAACCGTGCCAAGGACAAGACCTACCATCCATACGCCCCGAAGAACGAGAGCAGCAGTGATGACAGCTCTCCCGCTCCCCGAACTAGCCTTCGTCCCGGCAACGTGCACTCCGCGAGTTCATACAGAATCGAGACGTTGAAGCGCATCGCAGCCAAACCACAGGACAAAGATGATTATGGCCCGGGGAGGCATGGGGTTACTGCGAAGCATTATGAGTACATGGACCCTGTCGAGAATCCGGAAGGCAGGACTGGCAATGACTGGATCATTCCGACTGGAAAAGGTGCTAGTTGTGTGATGGGTTGGAACGCCATAGGCGACTTCAACTAGCTGTCTGGCTGGTCGACAGTCATCACATAGTTTACCGAATTTCTAACTACCGGTAGCAGATGTGCATTGGGGGTTTGAGATTGTGGATGAATGACTGAGACTAAGACTGGCCTTGACTTTCGACTCTATGGTGGATGTGTGGTGTTTCGGTCCGGTACCTGAGGCTTTTTCTTTCAATTTCACAAGACGCGAGAGTGTTTTCATGGAAGATACTAAGGATACGTTTGAGAATTAAGCTAGGGACCTTTGGGGGCTACAGGTCATTGACTAAAGTACACACGTGACCGCTGCTACTTAGTTACAATGACGTCAAAGACTCATCACCTCCTACTCTTTCTTTTTGCTCGACTTGTCTCTCAATTGTTTCTGCTTTTGTAAGAAACTCTGAATCAACTTCATCTAGGTATGTGACATCTCAACAGTCAACGCAGGCGGTACCCGCTCGATTTCATCAACGAAGAGTACCATCGCGAGCAAGCAGACGTCACCAAACACATTGAGGGGTCTTTCACAACAAGTTTCAATTCCTCAGTTACTCTGTCAGCCCGGCTTACATTTGACCTCTCGCTCACCCTCTACCAAACCCAGATCATACTAATCTTTCAGCTAGGCACCAATCCTCAGAACCTTTACACAACAACCCACCTACTCTCCCCATCCCAAGTTACCAATCCAACCTTCCTTCTCTTCGACATGTCTTTCTCCAACGCAGACACCGGCAACAAGGCCGCCGACCCGTACAAAGAGAAGAACAGTGAGGTCGCATCTCTCAAGGACAAGGTCGAGGACCTGGTCGCCTTCATCGACAAGAGCAAGTTCTGCATGATGACTACGAGAATAGAGAGCAGTGGCCTTCTTGCCTCGCGCTGCATGGCCCTCGCTGCGAAGGTTAGTTCTTGTTCTATGTTTGAAGCCCCACAAATCTCACGTTTCATCCCAAATCGGGTGTTACTTCCAGTCTCCACCCCATTACTTTCTCGCCCTGCCTTCCCCGCTCCTCATTACCTCTCTAATCCCCTCTCCAGGAAGGCAACGGCGTCGATCTAATCTTCCACTCCAACACTGAATCCGGCAAAACCGGTACGTAAACCCCCGACACAGATAAAAAGTTTCCAGCAATCTGTCCGTTTGAAAGACTACTCAGGAAGTGTTTCGAGACAACCACAGCGGTGTCTTGGAATCCCCTGAAGAAGTGTCCCACGCAACAGTACCTATAACAAGAAATCAATAACGGTGTTCTCACTCTGGATTTGAATGATTTGCTAACCTTATTGCCATTTTTAGACGACCTCGCTTCTGACTCCGACATCAACCTCGGTTTTCTCAACTCTTCAGGCGAATGGGCCTCTCTCAGCGGCAAAGCGAGCATCAGTACCGACCGCGCCGACGTCGAGAAGTACTACTCTCCAGCGCTGAAGGCCTGGATCGGAGACCTGGGAGACGGCGTCCACGATGGTGGTCCTTCGGACCCGCGTATCTGCCTCATCCGCGTCAAGACGGTGACTGCTCAGTATGCGATCAGCAAGCGCACGGTGATTGGTGGACTTGTGGAGCTGGCGAAGGGTGTGGCGACGGGAGAGGCGCCCGGCGTGAACAGGTTGAGGTACTTGGATGAGGCGGAGATTGCACAGTGTGAGTTTCATTTTGGTTTGCATTGAAGAGGGTTAACTGACTTTTCTTAGGGCGCTCTACTGCACTGTAGGTCTATTCAGGACTTGGTTAGCTTGTAGCAATGAGGTCTTCGAGATTGAAACATCACGCGGTCTAGGGTGTCATGTTAATCACTGACGAAACCGGCCACAAACCTGCATGGAAGTGCGACCGGAGACGATAAAAAAGCATACATAATGCATAATGTAATGCTTTAGTATTACAAAAACTTATCAAACACCTCCTTGCCCTGCCGTGATTCTATCCAAGTTGAATGCCGCACTGATGAGAGCAAGATGACTAAATGCCTGTGGCGTGTTCCCGAGCTGCTCGCCCGAGCGTGCTATCTCCTCTGAGAACATGTTCGAGTGGTTTCCGTACGTAAGCATGTTCTCGAAGATATTGATAGCTTGTACAAGGTACTTCTTATCATACGCGCCAGCCTAGTACGGTGTCAGCAATATCACTAAGGGGGATAAGAGATACTCACTCTAGTCAACGCCTCCACAAGCCAGAACGTGCACATACTAAACGCACCCTCGCGCCCACCAACCCCTATACACACATTAGCCTCCTCAAACCATCTCCCTCTCCAAAGTGCCACATACCATCATCGCTCCTCTCATGATTATACCGAAACACCAACCCCGTACTCGTCAACCCCCCCTTCTCCACCGGCCTCAGAATCGCCTCCAACGTCCCCGTAAACCTCGGATCATTCGGCGCCACAAAAAACACCAACGGCGCAATCAGTACAGCACTATCCAACACATTCCTCGCCTCATAGCTCTGCACAAACGCCCCCAGCTCCGGGTTAAACCCCTTCTCCATCACATCCTCACAGATCCGATCGCGCGTCGCCAGCCACTCCGCCCGGTGCGGGCACGGGAAGCACCGCTTCTCCGCGAGCCGCAGCGCGCGGTCGATGGCGACCCACAGCATGATCTTCGAGTAGACGAAGTTCTGCGGCGTGCCGCGCACCTCCCAGATGGACATGTCGGGCGTGTCCCAGATGCCGCAGACGTAGTCGGTCAGCGAGCGCACGGCCAGCCACTGGTCGTAGGACACGGGCTTGCCGTACTTGTTGTACAGGTAGACGGTGTCGAGCAGCTCGCCGTAGATGTCAAGTTGCTTGTGGAAGGCGGCGCCGTTGCCGATGCGGACGGGTTTGCTGCCGCGGTAACCGTCCAGGTGGGGGAGTGAGAGTTCGGGGAGGTCGGTGTCGCCGCGGATGCCTGGGGGGTGTTAGTAGAGGGGAGGGGGTGCGGAAGGGGGTGACATACTGAACATGATGGGTAGAGCGCCTTCTGGGGTGCGGGAGTAGCGCAGGCGGTCGCTGATGAAGTTCATATAGGCTTCTGCTTCTAAGGTGAAGCCCATGCGGAGGAAGATGTAGATTGTGAAAGAGCTGTCGCGGACCCAGGAGAAGCGGTAGTCCCAATTTCGTGAGCCGCCAATGTCTTCGGGTAGGGAGAAGGTGGGTGCGGCAATGATGGCGCCCGTGGGCTCGTAGGTGAGCAGTTTGAGAATCATGAGGCTTCGGGAGATCTTTTCTCGCCATCGGCCTTTGTATTTACTAGGTTGAGTTAGAAATCTCGCAAGGTTAACTTCAATTTCTCAGGAGGTACTGTACTTTTGGGAGATCCAATTGAACCAGTATGTCTGAGTGTCCGACTGAGTCTGATCAATGAGAAGTGTCGTGATATGCTCAATATCATCATCGTTTTCATGATCACGTAGGACAAATGATACTGCCTGGCCCTCCTTGAGCTTGAAGCTGGCACTGACTCCCTGCCCCAATGGAGACTTCTCATCCTTCTTCGAGAACACAAGCAACGGGCATCCTTCCTGCGGATCATCTCCACAATCAATCGTGGCGTTCAATTCCAATGTCAGATCATTCGACCGAAAGATGACCTTCTGTCGAAGCTCCCCTTCAGAAGTCTCACCTCTCTGATCAGTGACTTCCGTGGTGTGCTTATCTTGCGCATAATTGAAAGCAGGGAACACCTCCACGTCAACCTCGATTTCGCCGCGGATACATTCCACGCGCCTCACAAGCCACTTCTTCAGCATCAGCCGCTGGGGCACGCCGCCTCGCCTCGCGCCAAACAATTTCTCGTTCAGGACCTGCGCGTCTAGGATCTTGGAGTTCGGCCGGGGGAAGAAGTCGATCAGGTTAAGTACACCATCTTCGTGGAGATATCTGGTCTGCAAGACGTTACTGCTTGGTAGATATTGCTGCTTGGTAGTGAGGCTGAGGCCCTTTTTGGGGCTGATGGCGAAGTATCCGCCCTTGTTCTTGTCGAGAAGGCGGCAGAAGACGGATGGGGAGTCAAATTCAGGCCTGAATTGAGTTAACACTCTCATATAATCAGGGAGGGGGTCATACTCGCCAGCACATGTAGTCCAATCCACCGTCCGTAGCTACTAAGGCACATGTTCTCATATTGCCAATGAGCCCGTAATCTCCAATCTGAATTGGTTTAGCATCGGATTTCCCGGCTAGTGTTCAATTGAGAGTCTCACGGGCATATAACCAGTAGTAGCACGCATCGATGTGCAATCATGTGGGTTATTTTCATTTTGAGTTGCTTTCTGATGTAGGGGCGCCGCCATGCTGACGATCAACTATGGAGGAAGTGTTCTAGGGAAGCTATGGAATGACGGATTGAAGAAGTCTTGTCAAAAAAGCTCTCAAGGCTTCATTGCAGTGAATGCAGTATATAAGCATGATGCGGAGAAGATGAATACTCAGATGACTAAAACGGAATGTTAGTTGCGATGACATCGTTACGCCACACATGAAGATGACTGTCCCGCGGGTGGAGCTCGCTTTGACCAGCCTGCGGCACACCTACGTACCTCACCAGACTTCAACACGACACATGCACCGCTCTGTATGGCTGACTGAGAGTGTCATGTCGGCCGCATTACCTGAGTTATATTTCGAGACCGACAAAATATGATCACCTAGATGCAGACACTGTTCTGTTAGCTACAGGTTTCTCCTACGCGATGCGGCTATGAAGGTAGTAACATCACATGTAGCCCTTTCTTTGACACTTCGTCTTGTTTGCTCTAGAAAATGTGTACATTCTCTCGGCTTCTTTAGCTGTACTTGTCCTTGGGATATCCATGGACTCCCTCCACGTGCCCCTGGGATCTTCCATATGCTCACTGGTGAAGGGCTAGGCGTCAAAGACAACAGGGCGACCAACCATGTCCCCGCCAGCTGTCGAGGGTGGCGTCCTCTTGCATGCATCCATCTCAACCTGGAAACCGTATTCGAAACACTTTTTCACCAATGGAACGGTGTCGCTTAACCAGGGCGTATAATCACAATGCTCGTGACTTTCTTTCGCCGTGCAGAGCCTCCAGCCGCAACATAATGATCTCTCCTTGCCGAACTGGCCTCGTGGATTGAGACTACCTGGGCGTCATGTCCACCGATTCTTCGTGGACATGGAGTGTTCCATATCAGCAGTACTATCGTTACGATGAGCAGCGTGTCCTCGTATGGTATCGAGCCATAGCCGACGAGACAGCAAGGTACGATTCAAGCAGCAGCTTCGGAACATTTATGTGGAATTTAGATCGATCTAGGGCTCAACAACCTCGCTCTTTACCCCAAACCGAAGAGACTGTAGCCTCGGGTCTTCAGGAAGGACGGTTGAGACCGCAAAACCTCTCAAATAGTACCTCAGGCCGCACATATCCGCACCGAACACAGTTATCGAACAGTCAGTTTGCTCTTCTCCGCCTACAGGATTTGTCATGCGACAGACCAATGACCCCTTCATAGCTTCACAGGCCACTCAAAGCTCACCATCGCCGCAATATTATCCGGCGTCTCTAGCGCAGCGCCACTATACACATCCCCGTAACACTCCCTCTTATAACTCTTCTAATATCCGCCAAGGTCTAAGGTGAGAGTCCCCCAGGTGCTCAATGGTGACGTTGGGTCTGACGTATATTAGTCCCACTCAGTCTGAAGAGGACTACTGGAAACACCGGTAAAACGAGCAGAATCGTTACGAAAACAATCACCGTGAGGAGAACAAGCCCCATAGGCCGTCTTCAAACGCAGGAGACGACGAAGAAGAGGAGATAGACGGCCAAGATAACCAAATTTCTGAGGAGGAAGACGAACTAGGGAAGCGCCAGGGACGGCGGAAACAGAGGAAACGACGGAAATTGCGGGAAGAGGACGAGACGGAATATTGTAATGGGATGGCATTGCATAGCCACCCGAACAGTAAGACAGTACCGGCTCGGGGCGTACAGGATCCCACCCCCAGCTACCCTGGCTATGTCGAACGCTCTCGGCAGACAATAACTTCAAGGGCACCGGCGCCTGCCCCAACGTCCGAATACTCATTACGTTGACATTAGGAGTGACATCAACGCAAGGGCTGTCTCGAAAATCCAGCCCCAGGAGTAAAGTCAACACCCCGTGTGTGATGATACTAGCCGGTAGATTGTCTCGAGATAGGAATGGGATATCTTAGTCTATAGAGTGAGGAAGGTTATTATGAATGTCCTTGACGACGTTACGAAGAGTCACACAGGACGCATGTCGAGAATTTTTGCGTATGCCTTGCTATTTACAAGGGGTTAGAGCGTCGGAGTCTGGTTCTGATTTCCGATTTTCTGATCAATGAAACGCGAGGTTGTGCTACATACAGGCGTTATTGATATATGTCATATGATCTTCCAATTTCAAAGAATACAAAATATGTGACATTTGAAGCCCCAGTACAGGCTTGACTCATCAGTACATATAAACACGTGTCGCGCTCAACTGTAGCTCGCAAAGATGAAAAGTGAGTGATGAAATATCTTGAGCAAGCCAGTCCTTGATTCATTGGCTGGTTGTGCCCCGGTGAGCTTCTGCACGTCAGCCTTGTCGCTTCGTGGCGCCCAGGAAGTGGTCACATCTCAGCCTCTACCTGATACAACCAAGAGCCAACTTCATTCCGCGTGTTTGACAATCAACAGCTCCCTCATCACTCCAGACCAGCAACTATATCGATCAGGGACATCCCCACAGTCATACATCCTAGATATCAATACCTAGAGTATACAGCCTGAACAGCTAGGCGCTACCACCAACCACCACGAACCAGGCAGATATAATCGCAATCCTGCACCCACGACTTGATGTGGTCGCTTTCCGACGATGTTCATACAGGGCGTTGGACACACTTCAGCCGTGATAGTGAGACAATCCTCGATTCTTGTATTCTACAGTTGCTAACGCGAGTCTTTAGGATATCAGACTCTGTAGAGTGACTATCGCGCCGATTGGCTGTAAGCAGCTGCTGGTGCAGTCTTCATGTTATGCTCAGTCTACTTCTGGGAAATCTTGTGGAGTAGCATAATAGGCATAGACAAGTGGTGGAGGACGCCCAAAAAGGCCGCCAATGATCGGCAACCCATTAACCCAGTTCTTGCAGATGCAGATGTCGAACGGGGCGAAGAAGAGGACACTTCAGTGAACGAAAATGCGCCATTGCTTTCACGGCCAGTCAAAGTGCTTGAGGCATCTGGAAGCGGAGAGATCTGGTGGTAAACTGGATTAACGACGCGCGGAAAAAAGATTCCAGTGAACCTACCTCGGTCGAATTCATCTTCATCGTGACCATCGTTCTCGGTCTCTGGTTTGCCAAGGAAGTAGCGAGGGTGTTTGTGGCTAAAATTGCACATGATAGAGCCGGATTGTTGAATGAGCAGAAGTGCGGGCTCTTCGAATTCAATGAAACACGTGGAGGCGAGGAAGCCGCAGCTCGCGCGGACCTTTACATGTACAAAAGAGAGAAGCGAGCTGCTGACTATGCTCAGACCTGTTATGGACAAGATGCCACTTCCGGCCCAGCCAGTTGCAACTTCTTTTGTAACGCCAACATCTCATATCAACGTCCTCCTCAAGACCAGCACTGCCCTTTCAGTAACTCAACCATTTGTGCGGGGCTAGGATACAACACCGGCGTCGCTTTCGATACTGGCCTGAAAGATGCGAGCGTGTTAGGCGTTAATGATGCGCATCATTACAAATGGCGTCGACTAACATCTTGTGCGCCTCTCGATATGGACCATGGGCACGTTAAAGGATGGATCATTCGCAGGACCAACGAGACCGGGTACCATTACTACTACGGCAAACAACTCGACTACCGAGATAATTCCAAGGTGGACACTAATTGGACTCTCAGCACAAGCGGTGATCCTTTCACTTGGCTTGTTCCGGGTTATTGGGTAAAGTACGTACCTTCCCGCCACATCTCTCTACAAGTAGATGTCTAATAAAGAATACAGCACTTTCGGGACTACTCTTAATAGAAAGGGAGACTTGTATGATCCTATTGAAGCTCTCATACCGCCGCAAGACAGCACCTTCACAATAATATTTGTGAAGTCAACTCACATATTGTACGAGAAACCGAGCACCGATCTTCTCTTCCCCAGAACAGATGAATATGAAGGCTTTCATGTCAACAAGAACGCGATGGCAAGGCCTCTTGGTTGCATCGATACCACCCGTCTCTGCTCGCCTAGCGGGAGTCAGTGCTGGGCGATGAACGAACCCCTACCTTCAAGTCTCCCAGATGCACCAGCATACTACCTCATGAAGTACGCTCTCGCGCGGTCCAACACCTACGAATCTATCAAGCTTCGACTCGGCACTGCTCTTATAGCTCAGCAGCGAATAGGCCAGGATAGATCTCAATCGCTACGCGACGGACACTGGGAAGATGAAGTCGAGCACTTATTCGCGTCCTCGCTAGCCCGCGCCCAGTTTGGTGCCCGGAGTATTGCTAGCGGAGAAGACAGAAACCAACCCGGATATGTTGACATGTTGCCCGACGAACTCAAAGGGCGCCTATGTGGTGGTATCTACAAGTTCATCACTGTCGGTTATGTGAACTTCAGGATCTCGGAAGTCTATCTCGCTTTCTTCTCGGTGCTTTTTGCTTTCTTCCTGAGCTCGCCTATAAGATGGTACGCAGCTGCGTACCATAATTGTACCAGCTGCTGCACAGGTCGGGGGGAAAAGGAGCGAACTAACAACGGCAAGAACGGGTCAGCAAATGGAGTCAACAGGCTAGCAACTAATGGCAACGAGCCAGCGAATAAACCCAACGGGCCAGCAAATAAACCTAACGAGCTAGTAAATAATGGTACCGGGCCAGTAAATGAGGAGGGTCTGGAAACTGGCGCTCCAGAAGTCAACAACGGCGGCCACAATGGAGATATTATCCTCCAGCATATGGAGGACCAACAAAGCTCTAGCAGAGCGAATGATAACAGTGTTAGCAGTGGCAATGGCATAAACGGCCTGGGGAACGGTGATATCCACTCGGATGCTTCAGCAATTGCTAATGGGCACTTGGATAAGGGAAAGGCCAAGGCCAAAGATGACGCGGACGATGATGCAAACGTGGACGCAGCCGCAGATGCGGAAGTGGACGAAACGAAAAAGGGCCAGAATGCGGAAAAGAAGCCAGAGGATGGCGAATGGGAACATATCGTCTTTACATGGTTCGTTGGCGAGATCCTTATTCAGTTCTCTCTTGTCAACGTTTGTAAAGGGATCTGTTGGATTCTATCTCATTCTTTAAAGCTCTTCCAGGATAATTGAACGGGCTGAGATAGGTTTCGGGTGGAGAAGCTAAGGTGAGCGGTCATTCGCCATTAGATTTGAACCTTTTCAACGTAACCTATGCTGCTAAATGAAGTACAGTGAGCTGCGAACAGGCATGTTGAGTGAATGAAGATCTAATAGCTTCCCATGGCCCCCCTGCTCAAATTGTGAGTACAAGTAGATAAATCAGCCTTGATGCAGTCCCTTCCTGCATCCAAACAGGACTTTTATGGTCTGGGAATAAGAAACAGATGCTAGGCCTTGCCATTTAATAAAGCGGTGACGTACTCAGACATTCAATCTCTATACTATAGCCGCCCTTTTGTAGGCCTATTAGCCCTTTAAGCATCTGCCAATACCTCATCACCGTCCTCTAGGCTAGCTTGCTTCAGATCCTCAGCAGCGTCGGCCACAGCGTCCTTCTCCTGTTCCAGTTCCGCAGTAGCAGAGACATGGCCTCCATTCACAGCCTGGTTCTTCTGAGCAGGCTTGCGGGCAGTATCTTTGCTGCCATGCTCTGCCTGATCCTCTGCAGCCTCAAGGCGATCGATTTCCTTCTGGGCCTTGGCCACGTTCTAGCGTTTTTTAGTATTCATTGTTAGAGCAATAGCACTAGGTGCCCTCAACTCACTTCTTTAGTCTTGCGGTCCTGGTCCTTCTTCCAAAAGTCAAGCTTCTCTTTCAGCTTCTCTACGACAGCAGGCACACCGGCTTGACTCGATGGTGCATCGACACCGGACTTGGAAAGTTGCTCAATCACTCCGATACTTAGGTTGAATTTGCCTTCGGTAGCGGGCTTAGGAGCGCTAGTCTTCTTTCCCTTCTTCCCCTTTTTGCCTCCAGTGCCCATGAAGTACTCCTCTTCATCTTTCTTTACCAATTTTGTACCTTTCAGACCAGCAGCATCGACTGTTCGCTGAGCGGCAGCGGTGAATTGGCTGGGGGCGCTTTCTTCCTTGGCGGCAATAGCGGACGGGTCGAAGTATCGAATGAGGCCTTCGGCAGTGATAATGTCATCCTGGTATGCAGGTGCGCTAGCCTCCTCAAGCTTCTGTGCCGCGACCTCTTTCCGCTTGTTGGCCTCCCACTCCTTCTGTTCTTGCTTGTGCTTTTCTCGCCTAGCCATTCTCGCCTGGTAATCGTAATCGGAGTAAGCCTTCTTCTGGGAGTGATAATTGTCTCTGATTTCTTTCAGGGCGACCCATTTCTCTTGCATCTCAGCGTGAGCCTTATGCATTTCTTCCTTGAGTGACCTAGAGTTCTTGTGGGCATCATCCTCCTCAGCTTTGAGTCCATCCAACTCCTTCTGGAGAACAGTATATTTGTCGCTAAGCGCCTTCTGCTCAGGGTCATCTAGTAGCTTCTTCTGTTCCAAATGTTGGACCCTCAACTCGTCGATCGCCTTGTGCATCTGATCGAACGTGTCGAAATTCTTCCGTGCCTTACGCAGATTGCTGACCTCCGAGAGCGCCTTCTTCTCGTCCACTATCTTCATGGTGCCAGTATCGACTTGTTTTTGGAGGCGATCGATCTCCCGGTCCACATCGTCAACGGTGCGAAAATTGATGCGGCCCTTCGCAGTCTTGAGCTCATTCTGCCGGGATTTGATCTGCTCGTCGAGCTTCTTCATCTTTTCGAAGATGGCGTTCCTTCCAGACTTGCTCCCTCTCTGCAATTCCCCAATCTTCTTCAATTCGCTCTTGAGCTCTTGCTGCCTCTTTGCATTGGGCGAATCCCTGTTGTTCGGTCGGGCAAGGTCTTGTTTCGCGCGAGCGGCGTTCTAAGAGGGAAATAAAGTTAGACACGGCAGGTAAGCGTGCAGATGTTGGGTGTGAAGGGTATGAAGTTTAATTGAGGACTTCGTACAAATTTCTCCTGCGCGGCGGCATGCTCCTTCTTAGCTTTCGATTCCTCCTTGTGGAATTTCTCCTCGTCCGGCTTCTCAGGCTTGACGAATTGCGGCTTGGTCTTCTCGGCGGAAGCAGTCGAGGCGGTGGCATCGGAAGTGGCCACGGTTGCGGCCGAAGGGGTTGCTACATCGGCCATGTTGGCGCGGAGACAATTGGATACCACTGATGGTATACAGGAGGTGTGGGTGTGGGGAGCCTTAATTGTGAGGGGACGGAGGTAGTTGCGGACAGGATTCGAGATGGTGCAACGTCGTGGGAATTTACGTGAGGAAGCTTTTCCCGACTGCCAAATGGTGTCGCTTATATGGCCCTAGAAGCTAAGCCGTGTTTCATCTCTCCGATACGCGGGCAGAGCCTGCTATCAGCTAAAACTCTCTAAAGGAAATGTATGAGTGCCTCACAAGTAAGAGCAAGGTAGCTGTGCATGAGCTCGCCTTTATTTTGCCCCTGCACGACCGTCGATAGGCGGTATACTGTTTGTGAGTGTTGATAGTGCGCTCTCAAATAAGCGACCCTTTCTTAGTTGCCCTCCATCTCGCTACGGAATTGCCTTGATATCCTCATGATCGACCTCACAGTCACGACGTCTTACACTTCCACCATGGCCAATTCCTCGCAAAACAAGGGAAAGACTCCCATTCTGTTGCTCAAAACCAAATCATCTCCCCATGATGGATACGAAGAGTATTTCTCTTCTTTTGACTATGGCAGCTTTGATCCAGTGTTCGTCCCTGTTCTCGAGCACAGATTCAAGAATGATTCACTTCAGAAAGTGAGAGAGTGCGTGGCCAGTGGCGGCCTCGCTGCAAAGGAGGCTGAAGATTTCATATCGAAGTATGGCGCCGTGATCTTCACCTCTCAACGAGCCGTCGAAGCTTTCACAAAGGTTATCAATCACATCCGGAGTACGACACCTGGATCTTTGGATGGCTTACTCCCGGCCAGCACGCCACTTTATGTCGTTGGGCCGGCTACAGCTCGAGGCTTGCGATCATTAAATCTTCGGTGCCCGATTTTGGGCGAAGAGAGCGGCAACGGCGAAGCTCTGGCAGCTTTCATTCTCAATCATTATGATACAATCCACAAGGGTTCGCCAAAGCCGCCAATTCTATTTCTTGTTGGTGAAAAGAGAAGAGATATAATCCCCAAGACGCTAGAGTCAGAAAGTCTACCGCTGGAGCGCAGATCGAAAGTAGATGAGCTCGTCATCTACGAGACAGCAGAAATGCAATCGTTCAAGTCACATTTCTCATCGATATGGAAGCAAAATACTGAGCGCGGGCTAGAGCAGCAATGGGTTGTAGTTTTCTCTCCCACCGGATGCAAAGCAATGCTCGAGAGTTTGGACATGCTGGACGGCAATGGCAAAGTCAAATCTGATCCTAAGCGGCAGGGAATATCGATTGCTACTATCGGGCCTACGACCCGAGACTATCTGGAGACTGAATTTGGATTTACCCCGGATGTTTGTGCAGAGCAGCCGAGTCCGGAAGGTATTGGAGCTGCTATCGAATCGATGGCAAAGTCCCGTTAATTAGACCTAGTTCGTAGTAAGGACAATATGCGCATCAAGAGCACGGGAAAAGCGTATACCAACGTATCAAAACCAGGTCTCTGAATTTACATCTGTAAGGATTGTTCGGCATTTTCAGTAGGAGTACCAATGTGACCATCCTTAGATTCTATCAGCGTACAAAACAAGGGACTGGATTACTTTTACGAAGTAGTTTGCATCAAGCCGACGAAGTATTACATTGTTAGTCACGTTGTGACGTCGCGTGAAAGACGCGTTTCTCGTGCATACTTCACAAAAATGTCACGAATACGTCATCATCTCGCGAGTGGGGTTAAGGACCACAGACGCCCTCAGTTGGCCGCGACCTCAACGACGTGTCTACTTACATACACTGTGCGTCTCATTCCCATTGCGCATAAAGATCGATCAATTGCAGTCTGTCCAAAGCAGGTGAGCAATTCATCTACTACTGTCGCCAGCACCCTGTTGTTTCGTTCTATTATATCATAAGTCAAAATGGTATAGCGGTTCAGCTGTTGCCCATACGCCTCATTGTCTCTCAGGTAGCATGTTTCTAGTACTAATGCCTGGTGTCTTTTTTGCGTTTCGCTTGCGTTTCGCTTGCGTTTCGCTTGCGTTTGCGTAGCTGACGACACATTTCTAGATACCATGGCCAGAACAAATCTCAGATCACAGAATAAGGATCCAGCTTCGGGGACAAAGCGCAAAGCGGATGCCAATAGCTCACCCGAGTCTAAGCGGGGAAAGGACGATACGAAAAAGAAGCAGAAGACTATCGAGCAGACTGTGCTGGGAGAAGAGCATAGTGATGATAAAAAGGACAAGGATCTGCCGAAAGATGAAAACGAATCCGACGAAAAGCTCGGAGGGGAGGAAGAGGAACCTTCTACCGAGGGCGAAGATGGTAACATGGAGACGGAGACTAATGGCAAGGCTATTGAAAAGTCACCGGAACGTGCGAAAGCCATGCCGTCGAATATCCTCGAAAAGGGTGTCATATACTTCTTTACTCGGAAGCGTGTAGGCATCGACGACGCAGAAAGTGCTGCAGACCTAAAGCGCACATACTTTGTCATGCGACCTCTTCCCATCGGTGCCAAATTGGGCGAGGGATCTATTGACGAGTCCAAAAGCAACCGCCTCTTCGCACTTCCGAAGAAAGTATTTCCCAAGACGCCCAAGGACAGGTTCACGGCGTTCGTCGAGAAGGCCAACACCACCATGAAAGACCTGAAAGAGGAGTTCTTCCAGGGATCGACGTATGAAACGCAGACCGCCGGAACGCGCCACAACCACCCGATTAATACAGTTGGCGAGGGTGTATATGCTATCACCCGGGTGGAGAACTCCACTCACCTGGTCTACATGCTTACCATCCCGTCCGAGCCAGGAGAGGTGCAGGAGGAGCTCGGACTACGGTCGCAAGGTAGTTTTGCCATAAGCATCAAGAATCCCACTCGGAAAGGTCCTGCCAATGCAAGTCTTCCACAAGGTCCAGATTTCCCAAAAGAGTATGTCCCTCGTTGGTTCACTCAAGTGCATTGCTGACGTCTCACTAGAATCATAGAAGAGTTCCGAGGACTGGCATGGGCAGAAGTGAAACCGAACTACCTCGACTATCCCAATGCTCAGATCCTTCTCATTGGCGAAGCGAACAACAATGACCTTGGGACAGCGGTCGAACCGACGTCCAAAGATCAGAAGAACGACGATAAGGAGACGCCGCTTGAAGAGATGGAGAAGCTAGAGCATGAGGACGAGTTGAGGGTTCAGCACCTGCATGGTACGTGTGTTGTCACTGGCGCTTGAATATGATGATGACTTCCTGCAGGCGATGACTCCGTGTTCGATGATCTGAAGATGAGCAAGTCGGAATATCCGAAGGTTCCTACGACCTGGTAAATTAGCTAGGTAGGCGAAGTATAGGTACTATCAGGCCGCACTATTGGTGCAAATGGCAGGTAATTCAAAATGCAACGGTTTTATCTGAATGATGACCGTTACAAGCAAACGTCTAGAGAGTTTGATGTTTCCGGCGCACTAAAAATTGACCGTACTCCGAGCTTTTAGTTAGCGCAACAAGTCAAGGGTCGCACCATAAACATCTTCACGATGGATTTACTCATTTCACACCACGCGAAATATCAGTGTCGGATTGTTGAGCTATTTAATAGAGACAAAAGTTGGATTCTCTGATCAGTTCTATTGGAGTTTTAGTAGAAACAAGTCGGTCTTCCCGAGGCGCTCTGCAACTGCCTCTGGGAATTGCCTCAGGAAGTAAGAACCGCCTAATTGCCCTCCTCGTTCATCAATCCCTCTTCATCCTCACCGCCTTCCTCGTCTTCGAGATCTTCAGCATCAGATGGATACCTAGATTCCTCCTCGTAGTCGAAAAGACATTGAAGGTCTCCCTCGTCAAAAATATACGGGTCTTCCTCAAGATCCTCGTCCTCATCGTCCTCCGCGTTATCCTCACCATTAACTTCCTCTGCAGCCTCCACAACTCCTGGAATCCCCTTCTTATACCACTGCTTCGCCTCCTCCAGCATCTCCTTCCCACGCGGAAAAAGATTCTGCATCTCCTTCAACACTTTCCGCCTCAGCCGCTTCCTATCAAAGTCCCCGCACGGCATGAACCTCAGATTCTTCATGTTCTCAAGGCGAAGAAATTGACACGCGTACACGATATACTCGCCATACTCGCTGAAGTACCATATGAACGTATCGTCCATGACATTCCAATGCATTAGGCGGACGATGAGGGAAATTTGAGGGTTCTTGGCATAGATATCGCCAGCCAAACAATTGATGGAACCAAAGGGAAGATAGGAGACATTGCCGCTGAGCTCGAGCTCGATGCGAGACAAGTTGGCCAGGACAGCACGAGAGCACTCGTTTATGAACGTGGTGCAGTGGGTGATTGCAGACGAGTCGCCACGATCCTGGGTGCGGCCCGAGAACACTACGCTCGTGTTGAACTTCAGCGTCAGGCCGAGCGTCTCGGCGCGGAGTTGCTTGGAGACGAAGCGGAGCGGGTTCGCTTCAATTAGGTTCTGGTTGGGGGTGATGGAGTTTGGTGAAGAGATTTGGAGGATTTGGCGGTTTGTGTGTCGGCAATATATGACGCGGTTGTTGGGTCCGGTGACAGCGTATTCGTAAATCATGTCGCGGAGTTCCTGTGGTAGGCGCATGAAATGGCATATGTCGCCGACAGTTGGAATAGAGGGATCGCGTGCGAGGTCAGAAGTGCTGCGGAGGGTTGGTCAGATGGTCTAGTTCGAGTGGATGTGAGTAGAGGGGAAGACTTACGAAGACATAGTGGGTAGAGTGGTGCTGCTGGTGTGAGGTATGTGGATGGTGTTGGAGTGTGGGTTGTGGTATTTTATGGAGAGACTATGATGAGGGAGGCAAAGCTGCGGATTTCATGTGGCTGATTTAGTGAAGCTGTGAGCTTTGATGTAAGTGCATCCTACGGCGAATGGGCATGGTGAAGGAATGGTGTCGACGAATCCAGAACCTCGAGCTCATATATTCTTCAACGCATTTGTAAAGCACAGACCAACATGATACACTTCCAATATGTTTTCGCCCACCTTCCCCGCTGTAGGGGCCCGGCAAGATACCAGGCTTGTCAAGACTCTCGTTCAGATTGCCCCAAGAATTCTTTGAGACACTTCAAGCCGTGGCAAGCCATTCTGCACAGACTTTTCTCAAACACATATCAATCCCCCGAAACCGAGACTGGGATTTTCTATTGACATCACTTTGTATTCTGTTTCCGGCAGTTTTCGAGCGTCAGAATTTCTATACCCATACCACTCATCGCACTCATAACACCTTCAATACTACCAGAAAGGAAGGGTTAGTCCGACTACGCTCTCATTCCATGCCGTCGATGCTCTGTCCGAAACCAAAGCTTGCCGTATGACCAGGAATCAGGATCTCTTCCCGCCCAATCCCATCGTCCATCCACCCACTTTGCTGCCTGGACTCCTTGAGACCAGTCCGCCCCATCTACAATACCGCCCGAAACCCCCTCCGGATAGAATCGGTTCGTCTCGTCCACATGTCTCTGTGGATTAGACCACGTAATCCCTGTGGCCCGGCAATAGTCTCTGAGACTATTCAGATACGCATCTTCGTCGAACAATCGACTTAATGGCGCCACTTTGAGATTATTTGCCGGTCCGAGGTCTCCCGCAAACTGCGATCCATCAAGCCACATCCCGAAATAGAAAAAGATCCTGAACTTGTGAGCTGCGTATTCCCAATCAAGCACACGGATCGTAATGATGATGTGTGGATTATCAGAGCAGAAGCGGGAAAGAGGTCCTTTGATGAGCGGGTATGGAAGCGCCTCAACGTCTCCTTCGACATGGAGGACAACATCCTTCAGCTTCTTTAGGCTAGTCTCGCTGCACTCTTGGAGGAAGGCAAGGCATTGCTCAATCGCGCACTCGTTCCCATCACCGAACGTCGTCTCATCGCCCTTGAAAAGAATCTCTTTGTTGAACTTTAGAGTCAAGCCGACTGTTTCCGCGCGCAGTTGCTTGGAAACATATTGCAGTTGGTTCACCTTGACCATAGGTCAGTTCGGATTGTGAGGTTGTGAGACCTTGAGGGCTTGCTTGGCGAAGTACTGGCACAAGACGACACGGCCCTCCGGAGAAGTGATGGCGTATTCATAGACCATGTCGCGGAGTTCTTGCGGGAGGCTTAGGAAGAAGCATGTTCCATCGGCCGGCGGGTGCGAGGGATCGGCAACACTGTCAGAGATGGTCAGTTCAGGAGCAAATTAAACAGATCTAGAAAGGGATCTTACGGCTTGTCCATGGTGGTTGTTGAGGTACCTAATCGGGTATTGGTTGATATTAGGTTTGGAGAGGTGATCGAGAGTAAAAGAGAGGCTGTGACGTGGCAGAGAGGTGTGCAAGGTGGAAGTGAGAGAGGTTCCTTGGGTGATTTAAGCGAAGAAAGCGAAGAAAGCGGGGCAAGATCCGTTGTGGTGAATATTTGGGGGAAAAGTTTATGGTACGGGTCACGTGATGAGGTTTAGAGAGACAAGACAGTAGGCTAATTACATGGGTAGGAGAGCATGGTATTAGGTTGGATCTTATGGTAAGGCTTAAGGCTTACGTGTATCTACTCGTTGAAGCTTTCTGAGAACCATCAGTCCCGGATATGAGGAGGAAGAGCAACTTCCGCTCCATCTACGGTATCATCACCTCCAGAAACCCCCAGCGTTCGCTATCTCCCGCTCAAGCTAGCCAAGGCTAGCCAAGGTATGATACCCGGACCAGACGCACTCTCTAGGTCTCTTACCAGCTTGGTCGATCTGCACCAGAAATCCCTTTATCGTACCACTCCTTCGCCTCGGTGACCTGCACCGGAGGCATGCATCGAGACATGACTGCTTCATCGGGCAGACTTCCGGAGGGCACAACCCGCAAGTTGGATGCAGTTCCGAGCATTCCCAGGTCACAAAAGTGGCGCACGACAAATCCTGTCTCAGAGAAGCGGGCCGCGATCCGGAAATCCTCATATTCGCAATGCTTAAGAGCCCAATTGGTAAGACGGAGCTTGACCAAGACGTGCGGATTCGCGGCACAAAATTCGGAGAGTGGGCGGCCGATATCGCTCCAAGAGAGAGCGCAGACTGGATAGCAAACGTGAGGGGGTTCGGGGAACTCGATCAAGAGTGTTGCGAGCTTCGAGATCGAAGTTGGTGTGCATTCCGCTAAGAAGGTGAGGCAATCGCTTAGACTCTTTGGGGTTTGGTCCGAATTGCTGGTAAAGTCCTCACTGAAGAAGCGGACGGACTTGTTGAGCTTTAGAGTGAGGCCGACTGTCTCAGCACGCAGTTGCTTGGAGACGTATTGCAGCTCGTTGAAGCTTCGGACTTGACTGTATAGGTTGATATATCCGATTTCGCCGTCCACTACAGTGACATAGTCCGATTCGCTAGTGATCGCGTATTCGTAGACCATGTCACGGAGCTCTCGGGGGAGGCGTAGAAAGTGGCAAGTGCCGTCTCTTGAAGGGATCGAGGGGTCGGTGACGCTGTATCTTTATGGTTAGATCGATAAGTTTGGAGTGTGAGAATGTAGAGGGGGCTTACGAGGACATGGTGGGTACTTGGAGATACGTAGGTATGGTGCTTTCTGGTGAGGTGTGTGTCCTGTTGAGAGACTGTACAGTAGAAAACAGGTTCTTTTGTGGGAGTGCGGTCCTTTATATGGCGATCTAAGCGGCCGAATTTTGAAGTAGTGAACGTGACCGGCAATTACGGTGAATTGGGCCAAATCAATTATCCCACGCAATGTTTAGCTTCTTTCCACCCTATAAAGGTTCTTCATCTCTACCTGATAACCTCGTAGCTGAGTTGAACCACAACACCATACCCACAACTACACCCAAACCACCATGTCTTCGTGAGTCCCCTTTTAGATAAACCCAGTTCTACCTCATCAACTAACTCCTACAGCATCACCGACCCTTCCGTACCACCATTCGATGGAAGTTGTCATTTCCTAGGTCTCCCGCGTGAACTTCGCGATGAGATCTACGGATATGCTCTCACCAGCAACAAAGATTTCATCACCAATAACGAGCTCGGAAGCATCAACCAACTGCAATACGTCTCCGAGCAGCTACGCGCCAAAACCCTAGGGGTTGACCCTCAAGCTTAACAAAGTAGTCCACTTCACATGCGGCAACGATGTCGCCAGGATGAGCATCGCTGAAAAAATCAAGTATCACAATCAGTGTTTCAGCTTCCTGACCACATGCACTCCAGCCTCTATTTCGAATCTCGCCACCATCCAGATTGAGCTCCTATCGGGATTCAGCAGGAGTGATCCACTATCCGTTAGGATCTGGTGCCGTGCTCACCCACACGTCACGGTTAAGCTCCGAATAGAACGCTGGACATTCAAAAATGCAAAGAGGATCTATCGGTTCGTTAGAGAGGGCCAGTCCATGGCTCGGCAGTGGTTTGGGGGAGAACCCGGACGCCTTCCTAACTTGCGGATCCTGCCTTTCGGGAACGTCGATGAAGAGGTACTTAGTCAACAATTGTCGAAGGAATTGATCTATCGATGTGGCACGATTGCTTATACTACTGCAATGGAGAAGTGCCTGTCTCGGTTAAAAAGGTGCTTTTCGGAAGGATTGTCTGGAGATCCAGCAGAGATTTAAGAGATGTGTGCTAGGGGGACCAGAGGGCGCAGTTGCTCTCGAGGTTGTTGACTGGCTACCATAGGGCAGAAATTGGGTTGCTCCTGGGCATTTCAGAGTCGAATAGGCCTGAGTTTGACTCATCAAGTCAGCCCTGCTAAAAGGCCTGGACTTTCTTCCTTTCTCTTTCTTCCAATTGAAATTACACTTGTTTTACTATTGGTAGATGATTCGAGGCTGACTGTTATTAGAAAATATCGTGAATCTGACTGAATCTTCGTGAAAATCGGCTAATGGAATGGTTGCCCAAATCAGCCAGGAATACATTGCATCGGACTTGACATCCCGTCCTAACTTTTGAAAACTCACGGAGGCACCCCGAGCGGTCGCAAATGGCTGTACACTAAGCTTCCTCTAGTTACTCACATAAATTTGTAGCAGCGTGTCACATATCATTCGTGCACGCCCGTCCACTGCTGTCTGAGGTGGCCCAGTGACCTCACCGATTGTCCAAAGTAATGAGGCTCAGACTTCTCTGGGTATGTCGAGGCGCCTATCACAGTGGGAAGCAATGAAGCGAAAGTGAGTCTAGGATGATGGATCTAGAAGAGGAGTATAGCATTTGGCTAGAGTCCTAGCAAATTCCAAAGCCACTGAGACAACCGAAATTTCTTTGCAGTATAGAGCTCATCCGACAACATCCGAAAACAAGCTGAGGGCAGCTGGACGCCGTCAAACCATAGCACACACTCCTCGGGTTCCTCATAGCTCCGAGCATTGTTCATTGATGCCGTAGCATCGGAAATTCCCTTCTGATGAAATGGGGACTCACCAAGCTCTGCTTGCCCACCACAATGACCTCCGCCAACCACCTAACCGTATGTTCTGAGAATTGCTCAGCGTGGCGAAGACGCCGGCGCCTGGAAAAGCCTTGCCTGACGATTTCACTGTCAAAGAGCTCCTGGTACGGGGCCAACTGCAGATTAGTAGCGATTCCAAGCTCGTCTGCCTGTCGCTTTAACTCTAGGCGGTACCCAATGCGAAGGAAGTCATGCACCTCGCTAGCTTGATCGAAGTACCAATCGCCGATGATGACCTTGACTCACAGGTGCGGATTCGCAAGGCAGATCCTGTCGAGTGTGCCGCCAATTTTGGCATACGGAGCGTCGTCAGCGTTTGGTATCTCGATGACAATAGAGCGAATGTTCGCAAGAGAATTAGGCGTGTAGGCGGCTAGGAAGCTGATGCATTTATCAACAGCTGACTCCGAGCAGTCGCTATAGTACGATCCGGGTTATTGATACTCGGAAACCAAGAAAGTTCTGTCGTAGAATTCGACGTGCTTGTTGAATTTTAGAGTTAGACCCGCTGTTTCAACGCGCATTTGCTTGCAAACGTGTCGAAGCTGATTGACCTCCGTGCAATTACTCTGCGTAAACTCAAGGCGCGTGAAAGGTTGGTGAGACTCGTCCGCAGCCAGGGTGATGTATTCGTTGCATACGATGCGGCCGTCAGGTTCGGGGCTCGTGAGAGCATATTCGTAAATCATGTTTCTAATTTCTCTAGCCGGACGGAAATGGAAGCCTACCATCAGATTTGCCTCAGCTCGTTACCGTACTGAGCTACAAGTCCGGATGCCCTGTTGTATCACTTCTTGGATACCCTTCTTGGTTGCCATGGAGTATTGTGAGAAGATTGCGTCATCCCCCAAGGTAGCCGGTCGATCAAGAGCCTCCAATAGCCGTCTGAGATTCAGGCGCCTCAAGCTCTATATGCTGTCCTAGTATTTTGGACCTTATGTCGACACCCCAAGTAGTGGCAAGAGAAGATTCCCTTGCACTAGAAGAAAATCGCGTCATGAACTTGAGCCAACGGTTGTCTACCTCCTACAATACCCTCCTGATCTGGTTCGTCCGTTCCTCGACTGTGGTGAAGACAACGTTCTTTGGACATTAGACTGATGCCAGTGCTCTAAACTCCAAGGTTAAACGAAAGAGTATTGCGTGGGAGGCGGTGTGCAATGCAAGGTGGGGAGAATGCCAAGACAGCGCAACGAATATATGACGGTGTAATTTACCTTTGCGTCCGGCCAGAAAGCTTCTTACTGTCTCACTACCACCAGGAGCCCTTCAATGCCCTGCGTACCCTCCCAAACGCAACGCCATTAGCCCACAAAATCAAAGATCCGATCAGGCGCGAACCATGCCACCACCGCATTTTTCACCATACTTAACACAGCTCACAGCAGTACACCCAGCTCAAAGGGTTATCAAGAATTTCTCATTCTCATATTCCAAAAACCCATCTTGGGGCCAACTATCTCATGAAAAAGAAGCGACGAAAAAGAAGTATGCCCACGCATTAAAAACCATGGCAAATTAGGCTTTCGCTTACATACATTGTTGCCCATGCCCAATGCTGCCCAGAGAAAATGAGCAAATCCCCCCAAGCATAACAAATCGTCGTCGTGTCGAACATGGGTCGTCGTGAAGAAAGAAAAGAGAAAGTTGAAAATCTGAAAGCACCCCCAACCTCATGTGAACCATTCAAGTTGCCCAGCCCGGCATCCTCTCTCCTTCATGCATTAAAGAAAAGAGGCTATAAGATCGTTAGACCAAGGACATGATGTATAGGTTCGTCATCATTCGGCGTCAAATGCACAAGATCTAAGGAAAACAAACAAGAGTGAAGGTTTGGCCGGGTCATCGGAGTTGGCAAGTATAAAGAAGCCAAAGGACCACGCGCACAAAAAGTGGTTCAGAGAAGTGAATTGTACAAAAGAGACGAAGGCCGAGACGATCTGGAAAAGGTATGCAGATTCTCAGCATAGTAAACATCCACAAGATGGAAAAAGCTTTTTGTAGTGTCGTAAATGCAGGACCGGGTCCAGTGGATCCCCGAGTCGGTGAATTTTGAGTGTCAAGAACACAGGTTATGCAATAATGCTCGCTCGCTCGTGGCTAACGCAAAACAAACGCCCGAAATGCAATTGTGGTCCTGTGAGGTAGACCCTGAGAGGAGGAGACAGGAGTGGAGTGGACTAGTTCTGAGTCTGCATCTCGTCTTTCGAGTTCACGTAGGAAGAGCCACCTGACGTTTCACCAAGTCGGTCTTCGAAAGAGGTAACGGGTTCGAATCCGTGTGGCGTGAAGTTACGTGGGAAGGTGTTGTTGAAATGTACATTGCTCGAGCGTCCCCCAAAAGGAGAGCCCAGTCGAATTGTCGGATGAGGAGGCACGGACTCGGGGGTAGGAACTGGTTCGTCCATCGCTTGGGTAGTCATTTGATGTAGTTCCGAGGGAGGCGTGAACATCGAGGATAGACGCCGAGCGCCTTCGCCCATGTCACCCAGGCTGAAGCCACGACTACGGACACGGCGGTGGCTACTCTCGGCGGGAGCACCAAAGAGATCCTGAATAAGGGCTTTGTTGACTCTGGAATCCCGTCTATATCTACCATCTTCCGAGGGCTGATGGAAAGCCCGGCGCTTGAATGATCGTGGGAGCGGGTTAGGTGCGTGAAGTTCGACTGGAGGTGCTAATCGAGGTGGTTGTGTAAGCGAAGGCGGCGGCATAGTTGAATGTGGCTCATGGGTGGACGATGCGACAGGCGCACGAGTAATCTGAGACATGGAAGAGAAAGATGAGCCCATCATATTGTTACTCAGGCCGAGGCCGAAATGAAGAGACTGGCTCTTTTGATGAGCGGAAGATCGTGCCGGTGGCTGGTTGAACCAATCTTCCTGTCGAGGTGTGCTGTCATTCGTGAGCTGCGAGAGGGGATTGCCGTACTGCATCGTCGATGCCGTACTGGTTGAAAGGGAGATGTTCATGTCACGAGTCGAGAAACTGGCCATGTGCTCGCTAAACGGCGAAGACAATCCACCAGCCGGCTCTACGCTGGAACGCGGCGAAGACGGGAAAGGCGACGGAGATCTGCAATGCAGCAGTCGTTGATAATGAGCCGATAGCGACGGCTTCCTCTTGCACAGTTTTCGAAGTCGTCTTCGACTCGGACCATCTGATCGAGGCCATTTCGGATAGGATTTGGGGATATTCAAGCCGGTAGGGGTGTTGCTTCCGCTCTTTGAAGCTTTGATGGTATCAGGAGAACCTGAACCTCCTACAGGTGGTACGGATCGGCCACTGGACGCTAGATGGACGCGAGAGCCCTTCCAAGTCTGCTTGGCGTTTCGTACGACTCGATGGCAAACTCCAAGCGGCGGCGCTGTTCCTGGAAGCATCTTGAATGGCGTTACCGTGGGGTCCTGAAGATATCGCATGTACGACATCCAGAGATGGTTGTCTAACTCTTCGGTCCAGACAGTCTTCCGCTGCTGGGGATGCTGGCCGTTGTGTTGCTGGTAGGAGTCCAGCGGCGACGACTGAAGGTTGTATTTCATGCTCGAAGATTCATAAGTAAAGGGGTCTGCAGCATCGCTTTCAGGGCTTGTACAGCTTCCTCCAAACGACGGGAAAGACTCTACACTATTGCGTGAAGAGACAGAAGAGTCCGAGACTCCAGAGCATGAAGACGAGGGTCTGCTGATACTGTCACCGCGGCTGAAACTGTCCATATCATCCCAATCATGCGGCCCGCTACGCGACTCTCCCAGCACTTGTCTCACTGGAGTCTTGGGCGGGGACATCAAACGTGCAAAGGACGGCGCAGGAGCAAGGAATCCTTCAACCGGCTCAGGTGAGGGCTCCGGGAGACCTACAAAGTCATCGCTGGTGAAGATGGGTCCTTCAATTGTGGGTATGGGTTTCTCGTAGGATTCCTGTGGGTAGTCAGGCTGGTTGGCATATGGCGGAATAACGGCGCGGCGTCGGCGCACACGGTAGGTTTGTCTAGGGGGCTCCGGAGGCTCTGGGGGTTGTGTGTTCTCTGTACGTTCTTCGGGCTCGGGAGTCTTTGGGGGTTGGCCGTCGGTGTAGTGGAATGTGAAGCTGCGTGGCAGCGTGATGGAGAGGTGGGGGCGTATCGGCGGCATCTTTTTAGAATGGCTGCAGGCGCTTCCGCAGCAAGGATCCAAATTTGTATCCAACGCCGTTCAAAGCCCTTGATGGCTAGAGGTCCAAGTAGGGCCAATCCCAAAATTACAAACTCTGCAAGGGGGACAAGCACCAATCGCGCGCACGGTGGCCCTAGCGCATTCGACGCGGCACAGAACCCGACAGACGCTGCGCTGGTCTGCCCGAGTCCCAAGCCAGGGCAGTTGTTGCGACGTGCGTGAGGGCGCAAGCCGTGGTGTGCGCGGTCGCAGGTTCGCGGTGAGGACGAGGGCGGCGTCCAAGGAGTTGCACAAGAACAAAGGAGATTATGAGCAATGGAACAGTCGAGGGTCGGCGTACGAAACGGTCAATTGAGGATTATGGCGGATTCGGGGTCGTGGTCGAGGACGCAAAGAGAGAACGAAAGTCGTGAGCTGGAGGAGCGCGGCTCAGCTCGTGCGCAGGGGGAAACGGGGTCAGCCAAAAAGGGAGCAGCTCTCAACAGGGCTGTAGCACGTCTGGCAGCAGTTCATGCCGGTGCAGCGCGGGCTGTCGGTGTTGACGAATTTGCGGTGGTTGGGAGGCGGGTGGTCGCGGCGAGCAGGTGAAGAAGCGAGGCGCGGTCAGGTGGCCATGGGCTGGAAAATTCTCCGAAGCAGACTCCAAGAAGACAAGCAGAAGTCGCAGGCGGCGGGTGAGAGCAGGCGGCCGCTCACGGCATGGCGGAGGGGGCAGAGGCGGCGGGTGTGGAGGAGGAGAAGAAGACGCGGACGGAGTTGGGACGGCACGATAGATGGATGGGCGGCAGCAGCGATCGCTGGCAGCCCCAGTGGGAGCGAGCGGGTCGCGGCGCTAGGGCCGCCAAGCCACGATGTCTTCGACAGCACCCGCACCGGCGAGACGACCTCGACAGCGCCAGTCGCAGCGCCAACTCGAGGGCAAGATAGGCTTGCTGCATCGCCTGCCCCCAGCTGCACGCCGCGGAACCCAATCGCCATGCTGCCCGCAGGCCTCGCGTGGAGCGCACCGCGAGCTGGGCCAGGAGCCGGGGCGGGCGCGTCGTCGGCGTGAACGCGTCGGTTTCGCGATGTGCTCGGCCAGCGGCCTCAGGACGGCTTTCACCTGCAGCCTCCCAGGTCACATCACGCCCCAATACTTCCGCTGTCTCGCCCACGCCGCCCCCTGCGCGCGCCGGCCGTGCGAACGAGTGCCCGGCTTGCACGTCGCGGCGGGCACCCATGCTGGCCGTGCATGCAGGCGGCGGAGAGCCCCTCGGATTCAACGGCCGCGGGACGACGCCGTGGACGCCGTGGACGCCTGCTGCGACATGCACATCCAGGGCCCAAGTCGTCCAAATCCACCGCCAGAACCCCACATGGTGCGGTTCGCTGCGAGAGGCCAGGCCGCCAGCGGTGCAGCCAGCTCCAGCCGCACGCCCACTCTCGACTCTGCTCTGCCAGCTCGACGACGAGCAGGAGGCATGAGAGGCCTGCGAGGCCTGCGCGGCCTACTTAGGCTCGCCGTATACGCGCTAGAGGTGCGTGAGACACCTATGCCGCCGCGATTCGATCCCAGCGAGAGCCTGTCTCGCGCGCTTGCCACGGTTTATTCCCTCTTGTTGCAATTGAGGCCGCGTTTTCTTTCTCTGTTGTCGGCCTGGAGTGGCTGCTTCGGCCATCTATCAGAGCATAATCTCCTATCCCGGTCACCACCATGCCCCGCCCATCGTGATCTTGCGCGCATCGGTCCCCGCTGTCCATGGCCTGCCCACCGAGGCCCCGCGTGATACGGCCCATTTGGGACTACAGGCGGAATATACTTTCGTTTGGCCGTGACGCCCGCCGCGGAACGCGTCTTGGACCACTCAGACACGTGTATCAGCCCATCAACGATGTTAGTCTATCGTGGTGGCCGGCTTGGATAGCATTAACTTCGTGTTTGGAGGCCTGGCATCACGAGGTACACAGGATACCCACTTCGAATGCGTCTGCGATAAGATCAAATGGATCTTCGTATCATTGGGGCCACTGCTTTGTGGCTAAGTGGCCCAGGCGAATGGAACAGTCAAAGCTTCCTCATACAAAGCTGCCGGCAGTTGTCTCACGAAGGAGTCCGATCGACCCTTGAAAGCGGTGTGATATGGGCTGAGGTCGTCTCATTCTACTGCTGCTCCTCGATCGACTGTATATGTAGTGTACCGACTGTACGGATGGCATCCCAGCAATTTACGCGCAAACAGCACGTAACTGACAGAGAGTACTGCGCCATCGGACTGGGCACATGGATAGCAGTGCTTGAGTTCGACTCTTACTTGCTCAACACCACCGTCAGGAGGAGCTCAAATATCGGTAACCGCCTAGTCAAGAAGCAGTCTGATTCCTGCTGCATCGACCTTAACGTCGGTTTTAGATGTTGTAATTTGGATGTTGTAAGCGCACAGGCTCCGCTCTTGCTCGCTCAACACCACCGTCAGGAGGAGCCCAGCTGTGAGGTAAGTACTAGGTCAAGAGGCAGCCTAATTCCCGTGGCCTTGAGTTTTATATCGCAACTGGAACTATGAAAGCTTCCGGGGGCACCTCAAGCAGTGGCATTCTAAACGAGCATGCACAGACTTACACCAATGGACAGACATGCTCTGGATTCTTTGTTACGCCCACCAGGTGATTAAATGTTGACTCTAACGTAATATGTACTTTCTGACGACATCCGGAAGTCTTAGACAGCTAGCAGTCTTGCCTAAAACTCCACCTTTCTGAGAAACATCACCTCACGGAAGTTCACCGTCAAGCATTCAAATCCCCGCGCCCTGATTGGCCGGACCCTCCCAGGATCCCAGAATGTCGTCAGTCCAAGCTCTGTTGACAAACCCACCTCACTCCAAAACCCCGCCTTCCGGACCGCATTCCTCACCTCAACCCTCCCGAAAAGCTTGCATATCCCTCAGTTTGATACGACAAGACTGGTCACTATCTATCATGGCATCTGCAACCGGCATCCCAGACCAGAACCCGGACTCGCTCCTTGGTCGCGGCGAGGAAGAGCCGCTGCTGGGGAGACCCGGCGATGCGAAGCAAGAGGACGGGAAGCCGCTGTGGGCCAACCTATGGATTGGTGAGATATCCATTCTTTCAATACCCACATGAGCTGAGGCTAACGATATGATTCGAAGGCACTGGTGTCGTTGCTCAAGCAGGCATCTGGATCGTAAGCTTAAAATACCTGATGCATACAAACAATTCTAACACCAATTCTCCAGCTCGCAGCTATAGTATGGGGCGCCATCTTCTCCCACGACCTCATCTTCTTCTCCGCTCACCCCGTACGTCCACCTCCCAGCCTCCTTTTCCCCCATGCTAATCTCACCAGCTCCTTAACTCCGCCGGCCTCCTCCTCGCAACCCAAGCTGCCCTCATCCTCCAACCCACCCACACCCCCGACCAGAAGCGCCACGGCACCTACATCCACGCCATCCTGCATCTCCTCTCCATCGGCTCCCTGCTCGCCGGCCTCATCGTGATCGAGCGCAACAAGCTCGGCCACGGCGGGAACCTGCAGTCCCCGCACGCAATCCTCGGCCTGGTCACCTACATCCTCTTCCTGCTGCAAGCGCTGGTGGGCTTCACGCAATACTTCACCCCGAAGCTGTACGGCGGCGTGGAGAACGCGAAGAAGGTGTACAAGTACCACCGCGCGTCCGGGTACGTGATACTCACGGCGGGGCTGGTGACGGTGGCTGCGGCGACGCAGACGACGTATAATCAGGAAACTCTGGGTATCCAGCTTTGGGCGGTGATTGTGGCGAGTGTGGTTACGTTGGCGGGGTTGTTGCCGAGGATCAAGAAGCAGAAGCTGGGGTTGTGAGCTTTGGTGGGTGGGTGAGAGGTGAGGGAGGCCCTCGGAGGGCTGGAGATGTGTGCAAAGGGGTGGTGAAGTGGAGCTGATACTGTATATAGCGTCCTGATGATCGAAAAGCGGTGTAATTTGGAGCCTAGTAATTACGTAATGCTTTTTTGGACACGAAATCGACTCTAGCCAAGCAGTGTTTTGATGTGCTGAGCACCTGTCCAAGAGTCCTTCAGTGTGTTGGACACACCTCCAAACACATAGAAATCAAGGGACGATTTACACCTCTTGTCCAAAAACATGCCAAAACAAAGTTTAGATTAGGCAGATTGGCTCCCGTTTCACGCTTCTTAATGTCTTAAAAACTCCCCGAATTCCATGCTCTAATATACAGCATTCAAAAGTAATACGCCAAAAGAGAGCAGAAATAGGGTAGACTGAATCTTGGTTATATAGTGCCTCGCCAAAAGTCTAGTTACAGCAGTTTACCAGGTGCTTCGGAATATTATAAAAGTTTCTATAAGATGTAAAATCCCTAGGAGTTTAGATTAGAAAGATTTCACACGCCACTTGCCGCTGTATGTGGTGCTTCGGCACCTTATCATAAATCGGGACGAGATGAAAAAGACGACGCGTCCAAACTTGTGCCCTAGTCCTCTGAGAGGAGATCACAGGTCAGAATCGTCACGTTGTCTTTGCGGATTCGACAACGCTGTTGATCTGCTAAAGGTTCATTGAACAATTCATCTTGCAAAGCGGATGTAAATATTCGGAAGCCCAAAGTCGTCCACTTGTTCTCATGATTTTGACAATGCTGTGAACAGGCTGAAGGCCCATTGAACAATTGATCTTTTTGCACAACCGATGTTAGGGGTTGGAAGCCCAAAACCGTCACCCTGTTCCCATGATTTTGACCGTGCCCGTCCGTAACACCCGGAAAGCACCCTCTCACATCACCACACAGGCAAACGAATGATCCCGACGCCTCGATTTCCACACCATACTTTTATCCTCACCCCCATGTCCTAAAACCCAGCCTACCGATTCCTAAACTTCCTCAACAGCTCCAACTCCTCCGCATTTCGCACCATCCCCTCCTCCACCGGCACGCTCTCATGCCTGAATTTCTTTCCCCCGCCCGCCCCATAATCCGTGCTCACCTGCCCCTCCCCATGAATCAGCCACCGGTAAATCGTCAGCCCCTCCAGCCCCACCGGACCCCGTGAGTGGATCTTGTTCGTGCTGATGCCGACTTCCGTCCCGAAGCCGTAGCGCTGCCCGTCTGCCATGCGAGTGCTGGTGTTCCAGTACACAGACGAGCTGTCCACCCCGTCCTGAAAGCGGGTAGCGAGTGCGCGGTCGAGCGTCAGGATGGCGTCGGTGTGGTGGGAAGAGTGGTCGTTGATGTGGGAAATAGCGATGTCGGCGGCTGTTTCAGGGGTTGGTTGGGTCGGGATAGTCTTGATAGCGATGATGAGGTTGAGGAACTCGGTACTAAAGTCCGCTTCGGTGGCATCTTGGAGTAGGACGGCGGAGTGCTTCTCCAGAGCGGACGAGAGAGCGGCCTTGGATGCGGCGTCACACCGTAGTGAGACGCCGCGGACTAGGAGAGCTTCTGCTACGGCCGGGAGAACGGTCTGCAGCGCGTTCTCGTCGACGAGGAGGGTTTCCACGGCGTTGCAGCCGGCAGGGTAGCTGGTTTTGGCGTCGACGATGACGCGAACGGCGATGGGGATGGGGCAGTCGGCGCGGAGGTAGATGCTGCAGATGCCATCGGCGTGGCCGAGGACGGGGATGGCGGTGCTGTCCTTGACGGTGCGGACGAGCTTGTTGCCGCCGCGGGGGATAACCAGGTCAATATACTGGTCTAATTTGAGGAGATCGCTGATGACATCGTGGGTCTGCACGAGTTGAAGGCAGTCGGAAGGGACGTCGGTTGATTCTAGCGCGCTGGAGATAACGGATGAGATGGCTTTGAAGGACTCGGTGGATTCTTTGCCGCCTGTGGTAGATGGTTGAGAATGAGGTTGGTCGATGGCGAGGCACAAACTGACCTTTTAGAATCGCAGCATTCCCAGATTTGATCGCTAGTGATGCGATATTCGCAATAACCTCTGGACGAGCCTCGAAGATGATTAAAAGGACACCAATTGGACATGTCTTCCGCTCTAGGATGAGGCCATCGTCGAGGATTGTCCGTAAGTTGATCTTGCCGACTAATGACACATCAGACACACCATTGCCAGGGACGAACGAAACGATAGGGCATCAATGAGAACAACAGAGAGATAGGAAGTATTGATAGAGTGATATTGAATATATGACTTCTTGATTAGGGGTAACCTACTCGGATCCTCCAGCTCTCGCACATCGAGGATACCCTGCAGCATGTCCTCATATTTACTGGGCTTGCCTAGATCTAGCCGCTTGACAAGGCTTTGACTTAGCTTTCCATTCTCTGCGGCTTTGTTGGCGGCTTCTAGGTCCAACTTGTTTGCGGCCAGAATAGCATCTTTTGCGGAGGACAAACCCGCATGCATCGCTGTTAGGGCGGCATTGCGGGCGTCAGTGGAGAGGATCGCGAGTTTTCGAGACCCCATCCGCGCCGCGCGGGCAACTTCTTGTGGAGTAGCGTTTGTGAGAGACATTGCAGCGGGATCAGTGGAGTGGCAAGACGCGGTGGTGAGAGTCTCTCGTGGTGGTGTTTGCGGTGGAGCGTGACTCAGAAGGCTTGCGATGGCTGCACCTGTCCGCGTTGTTCCAATAAATTGACGAAAAGAGATGGAAATGCTCCGTATAGGCTCAAGAACGGTCACATTTAGGTTGGCTTGTTTCCGAAAATAAATTCTGCCTTGGAGGCTCTCCGATGCGATGTGCGATCTCGGCCGGCGCCCAAGTGGCTGGGACGTTCTCGACGCCACACCTTTCACACGTGCGAACCCCATTTCCACCTGCACACCCCTCTTTCATGCCATCACCATCGTCCCAAGCTTGCTCAGCTGAACGCGCAATCAATAAAGAAAGCCCATGCTATTGTTACCAGCACATCCCGGGCATCCCGGGTCGAACGGTCTCGGCGATCGTCAAGGCGTGGTGGGTTGGGTTCCCCAGCCATGCGCCAACTAGCCACTCGACTTTTCGGCGCATCACATTCACGATACGATGCAACCACCCCAACCTCGTGCTTTGGCAGCCAACACGATGCCTCCATCTGGCTTGCCACATTGGCCCACTAACAACCATCAGCCCATGCCCCCTCAATTCTTAATACGATGGCTGGTGTCGTGCCTTCTTAACTACTGCAGCTTCCCGGTCCTCTTCCCCATCCATCACATCAACCCGCCTACTCACTCTTCTTTGTGCTTACCACCCAACCACCGGACTTGTTATAGATTCTTCACGGCCTCTGTCTCGTGACATTCAGTTGTCTTCACCTCACATACCTCCGCTCGCATCCTCCCCTTCCATCCGAGAGAGTCCACCGCTTGCATCCCAGCGGTTGACTATCCCAACTCCACCCAATCCACATATACTCGGCACCCAACATGCGGACAACCACATCAGTACTCGCTGCTTTTGCCGCAGCAGCCATCCACATCCTACCCACCTCCGCGCAAACTTACACCACCTGCAATCCTACCGCCGGTCAGTGTCCTGCAGACTCAGCACTCGGCCGCAGTGTAAACATCGACTTCTCGAGCGCCTCCGACAGCTTCGCACCGTCAGGCACCGTCACATACGACTCGAATGGCGCCTCCTTCACCGTTGCAAAGTCGGGCGACTCTCCACAACTGACATCGAAATGGTACATCATGTTTGGAAAGGTCGACGTCACTCTGAAAGCCGCTCCGGGGGCTGGTATCGTTAGCAGTTTCGTCATGCAATCGGACGACCTCGACGAAATCGACTGGGAATGGCTAGGAGCCGACTCCACGCAGGTTCAAACCAACTACTTCGGCAAGGGGCAAACAACGACCTACAATCGCGGCGCCTTCCATCCGAATACGGGTAATCAGGCTGGGTTCATCAAGTACTCAATTGAATGGACCTCCACCCAGATCGTCTGGTCAATCGATGACACGCCTGTGCGGACTTTGACTCCAGATATTGCTACCGGCTCAGGCAACCTGTACCCTCAAACGCCCATGCAAATCAAGGTCGGCGCATGGAGTGGTGGCGATCCTTCGAACGCCCCGGGAACCATTGAGTGGGCTCGCGGACCAACCGACTACTCCCAGGGGCCATTCACGATGCAAGTCAAGTCTCTCTCCGTCAGCGACTACTCCACCGGTACTCAGTACAAGTACGGTGACACCAGCGGCACTTGGCAATCCATCGTCTCTGTCGGCGGAAAGATCAACAACGGTGGCGGATCTCCTATTGAGTCTGCTGCACCAGCTGTCACGTCTTCCTCGAGCGGCCAGCCAATCCCATTCATTCCCAAATCATCATCCGAATTCACTACGCCCTCTGTCTACCCATGGGTGCCAGAGGCGACCACCATGTCGACTGCGACAGTGTCATACACTACCCTTCCTGGACTCCCGAGCGGGTGGACTGTCTCGAGTTCAGGCAAAGTCGTCCCCCCTAGCTCGGCACCTGTGAGTAAGAGCGTTCTGTATTCTTATTACCTATACATAACTAACCTCTTTCTCCCAGTCGACGTCCCTACGCGCTTCATCTATGCTGTCTTCTGTTGTCTCGCAGCAGGCTTTGCCCTCGGCGGGCGCCTCTGAGGTAATTACAGCCTATGATCAGCAAGGCTTCACCACCCTTCTGACAGTGCCGGCTGGGTACACTGTTCCACCCAAGTCATACGACTGGCGTGGTTTCTTGATCACGCCGTCGGCTCCTGGTGCTACTCCTTCTCATACTAACGTCTTGGAGAACAATGCGGTGATTTCTTCCTCTCCTACCGCTGCTCTCGAGAGCAGTCCTTCCGCGACCGTTTCTGCATCCCCTTCTGCAAGCCATACGGGCGATACCTCCCATGTTCTTCTGAACTGGAGCCTCTTTGCGATTTTAGCGGTCGTCAGCTGTACCCTCCTACTATAAGGCTTTGGGTCAGCTTCAGCATTTTGGATTCGGTTTTTGCATTAGCGAACGGAGTAATTGGGTTTATTTTTTGGACAGAAAGGCCTCAGTGCGAGCTTTCTTGATCCTATTGCTATGATCTGTATATATTACGCTCGAACGAATAATAAGACATGAGTCTGTACATTTTTACCTCTACTTTCTAGGCTTTGATGTGGCGTGAATTCTGAACACATTTAAATTGAATTGAGCGACGATCAGGCAAGCTTTTGAAGCCTTCTGACAATGCGCTATATCTATTGGGGCTATCCTAGGTGGAAACGCTTTGTGGTCAGTGAAACATCAACCGTATCGAGATTTCTCTCTTGAAAAGCGACTGTTTGCCTGCATAACCAAGATTGAAATAACACAAGTCATAGTAAGACTCGAATTACACAAACGCAGATTAGGCTACGTATAGCGAATTAGGTCACGTATATTACCCATGTATCCAGTGTGAATGCGCAGACTCCGATTAGTTGCAACACTTGGCTCGCATTTCCACAGACCCGTACCACGGTTCTGCTCTACAGTCTTCACACAGCCTCGCCCATAACGCAAACAACTTACCATGGAACCACACTCTCCTCGCTGACTCATCGCACTCAGCAGAAAGTACATATTCCCCTCCTCTCCCCGTCCCTCTTCTCTTCTCTGGCCCTCGGGCGGTCCACTTCTCCCACCCCCAAGATCTCATCCTCTGCACTTTGTATCACCATTTCTTTGTAGATGTAGGACACAAACCCGGCCCTTGTAGACTATGTCATCTCGACATTTCCCCGGCCATATATTCCCAACTAATGTCACCCCTTCGGGGCGGCGTGTTCACAGATACTTAGGCGGAATTGGATCGTCAGAGGGTTATGAGATCTTGGTGAACATCGTTGGAAATTTATGGAGGGTTTTGATCCGAGAAGGGTTTCCCTCCAATGAACATATCATATTTTCTCGCCACGCAAGGCTTTTGAGTTGATGTGTGCGAACGTGAAATGCTGTTTGAACCTGCCGAAGCACGATGTGGGCCAAACAACGCTCAATTCAGGTGAACAAAAGCCTTTCGGCACCTTCTTCCGCCATTTCAGTAACCTCCAATGCATATTCTATCGAATCCAAGAGCCTTAGGACGTCTGCTCCAACGTGGAGAGCGCTGATGGGCTGGCGTGGCCGAACATGGCAGCCGGTCCGTGCGCCGGCGATCTTTGTTTACGACTTTCCAAAACACAACAACATCCTAGCTGCCCCCCATGTCACCAACACCGTTCTACCATCCTCACTCCCATCACTCTCATACATACAAGAACACACTTCTTTTGGCTCTCGCACGCGCTGGATCGCTGAAGCTTGCAGAGTACTATTGTATAATGCAATTGACCTGAGCACGCTCAGCTTTAGCCGTTCCATTCCGCTGCGCATTCCGATACCCATCTCTGGCCCAAATACCAGCAACCCTACACGATGAGTTCCGTCGACAGGGAAAGCTCTCGCGACCGCGATATGGTGCTCAACCACCAGCATTCTTTCTCCTCCGAATCTGGCAGATCACATATCCCCATGTAAGCACCTCCGATGTTTTCCCATGTCAACACTCCACAGCCTCCCCTCTCAATCTTGAACGATGCCACTGACCAGCCGTCTTCGACGTCGTAGGTGGGATAGCTCTGACCCAGACCGCGCACCACCCCCGCTTCCTCTTAATCCAGGTTCGCCTGTCAACGCCTCGACTCGACCCAACGTCTCTGCAGCAATCGCCGCTACGGCCAAGGCGCTTGAAGAAAAGGCGCGGGAGGGTGCACCTGCAAGCTCATATACTACGAACCGTATGCCAGAAAGGTCGCCAGACAAATCCTTGGTCAAATCCGCCCAGCATAAGCGCATGCAGTCGCTACAGACCACCAGTGTCCGAGACTTGAGGAGCTTCCTCGATGGTGTGAGGTCGCCGGACCGCTCACCCGAGCGCCCTTCAAGATCAGCGACACCAAATACGGGACGAGATCATGACAGAGACTACGCATTCCCTACGTCTCCAGACAAGAGTCCCACTCGATCTGCAACGCCAACACCAGTCGGGCGAGAAGCGCTAAAAGATACTCCGGCCCTACGACCATCCAGCCGGCCGCTTACGAAGGCCATACTTGGTGAAAATACTCCGCCATCGGCCACCATGTTGGCATTACAGACGATGACCATACCGCGGGAGCACCTCGAACCTCTATCAAATATCCCAAACTCCACAAATTCCGCAAATCCCGCAAATACATCGACAGCTAGGACTCCACAGACTTTCGATGCCATTTCAACTCAGCTTCTGAGTATTACCTCTATAGCTTCCAATCTCCAGAAGGAGATGTCACAATTGAGCCGCCGGAGTAAAGACAACGCTAGCGATCTGATCAGCCTTAAAGAGGCTACAAATGCTCGGGATGAAGACATTCGCAAGTGTCTACGAGAACTCGTTGCAAACGTTGGTCTTCCTCAACAAAGCAATCTCCTTGGTGCCCCACTGGATTTCAACCGGTCGAGCAGCAGTCTCTTTGGAGAGAAGAAGGATTCACACAGTACCCCACCGGGGAAGAACTTCACCTTGCCCCGGTTTCCTTCTCCTAACATGTGGGCGGATGACAGAATAGGGAGCCCAAACCCTTATTCTGTCGAAGGAGCAGCCAGCGTGGCGATGTTAGAGAAGATCATTCGCGAGATGGTCACCAAGGACGGTCAAGAGCGCCTTCTGGCAACACTTTCAACCCTAGTCGACAAAGCCACTGGAGACACCGCTAAAAAGGTCACTGATTTGGTCGAGTTCATCAAGGCGGGACCTCAGAGCCAAGCTCTGGTGGCACGTGGAGGAGGCAATGGAGGTGGAGTCAATAGACAAGGCACAACTTTCCAGCCTTCGGCAGGCACTGGGCCTCTTGCTCGCACCACTAGGGATATGAATGCTAGTTTTGCCATGCCAAACGTAACCGATGGCCAGAAGCCCTACGCTAGCCCGAAAGCAGCCGATTTCGTGAGCGAGGAAATGCTCAAGTACTTGAAGAAGATAAAGGACAGCGTTGCTGAGCAAGGTGGCATGACTGCCGAAACCAAAGCTTTCCTCAAGACTATGCGCGGAGAGGTCCTTGGTATGGGTAGAGACATTGCCCGTCAGATCGACGAGTACGCCAAACAGCGGGAATCTCATCTTGCGATTGACGATGTCCAAAACAAACCAGACCTAGAACGCATTGTCCAAGAGGGTCTGGGCGAACTTCGAGGTCAAATGGATCGACTTATCCGGGAGAAACGACGGCAATCAAACTCGTCCACCATGTCCCGAAACTCGGTCGATAGCCAGGAAGTGTACCAAGTTGTCAAGCAAGCTCTTGCGGAGCGGGGCCTTGACCGCGCCCCGGTCACTGCAGATTCTTCTCTCGATAAAGAAGCTATTCTTTCTGCGGTCAGGGAGGCCTATGAAGCATACAAGCCCGAGATCGAACTTCAGCAATTTGGCTTGGAGCGAGATGAAATTCTGCAATGCCTCAAAGAAGGCCTTGAAGATTATCGAAACTCCGGTTCTGCGAGAAACCAAGGCGCCATCAGCAGAGAAGAGGTCATGGATACCATTCATGATGCATTCCAGAACTTCACCCTCCCAACTCCACCAAATGAGGCCCACGAGATCCGGGAAGAAGTCCTGTGCGCCGTCCGCGAATGCTTAGAGGAATTCAAACCAGCCATGAACGCTCAACCGCCATCTTTCGATCATGAAGTCACCAGGGAACTCGTCGCGGGCGCCGTGAAGGAGACTCTTGCGAATCACGACTTTAATGCTCCACGTGAGCTTGAAATCAGCCGCGAGGATCTGTTCGATGCCGTAAAGGCGGGCCTTGAAGGCTCCAGCACTCCAATGGGCGGATACGGCGAACAAGTCATGTCTAGCTTGAAAGAGGTTGTAAACAACATGCGAGAAGAGTTCAAATCGTACTCGTCTGCCAACGGAAGAGATACCGAGCAAGTTCTGGATGCGGTCAGGGATGGCCTCGAAACTCTTCGAGCAGAGATCGAGACTTATGTCGACAAAGCCCAAGATGTCACCGGAAAAGACGAAATTGTCGACACCATGAGAGACGAACTGGAACGACTGCGGACGGATGTGCAAGGTTTTGTTGCGGAAGGCCCTCGTGGTGATCATGCTTTGAGTCGTGGAGACATGATTGGATATATCAAGTCAGAGTTCGAGCACCTTCACGAAGAACTCACTTCGCAATTCCTCCCGGCAGCGAAGGACAAGGAGGAGATTTTGGCTGCGCTGACCGCTGGATTTGAAAGCATGCGCTCTCAAGTCACTACTACTCGCGACTTTGATCCAGAATCGAATGACGATATCAACGAAGCGATGAAGGAGGAATTTGAACAACTCAAGGACGTCTTGCTCGGCGGCAGTGCCTCTCACAAGGACGAGATCCTTGAAGCCCTCCATGCCAGCCTCGAAGGTCTCCACTCCGACCTTGGCCAGTCTGGCTCTTCGGTGAACACCAACGACGATATTCTTGCTTCAATGAAGGAAGAGTTCGAACATCTTCGTGAGACTCTGGCAACTACTCTGATTAAATCTGGAGGCTCCGCCGACAGGGATGATATTATGGATGCCGTGCGAGAGTCTATGGATGGCTTGCGCTCTCAGCTCGCATCTGAGCAAGACACTGCCTCCAAGGAAACTCTAAGCGCAATCCAAGAGGAGGTCCAACATCTGCGGGAAACCTTGGGCTCTACCCTCGTTCGAGGCGGTGATTCGGTGGAGAAGGAGGAAATCTTGGAGACTCTGAGGACAGGTCTTGAGGAAATTCGTACCAACACATCTCGATCCGAGTCAGGTGGTCTCAATGAGGAACTGCTTGAAGCTTTCCGTGGCGAACTCGAACAACTCCGCCAATCAATTGCAACCGGTATGGCTCGCCATGGTTCCAGGGCTGATACAGAGGAGGTTCTGGATGCAGTCAGACTGGGACTCGACGATCTACGCTCGCATTTGGAGAAGAGGATAGATAACCCGGAACGCCAAATGTCCGCGACTGGAGAAATCCTCGATGCGCTGAACGATGGTCTCGACAGTCTGCGCTCAGATGTTGTCAAGTTGGTCGACAAGCCAGTTGACATGACCGTTTCGTACGAGATTCTGGACACCTTGAAGGATGGTCTTGCCGGCCTTCGTGAGGATATCGACCGCCTCAAAGGACATACCAGGTCTGGCTCTTCTACGGAGTCTTTTGATGAAGAAGTCCCGAGGGGCAATGAAGTTGTGCTTGCTGAAGATCCCGATTCTCTGACTCGTGATATGCCGCCAGTGCATGTACCGCAGGAGTCACTTCAACGCAACGATCTGGAGAAAATGGAAGTCATGTTGGCTCAGTTGCACATCAAGGTCGAAGCGATGGACGCAAATATTCAGAACGTGGACGCAAATATCCAGAATGCTCCAGCGCCGACCGCCGTTTCTGACGCTCAACCAGCGCCTGGCTCTGCAATGAAGGATGACATAATTGGTATCGAGGCACTCCTCCAAGATCTACAGGCGACAGTCAATGTTATCGCTTCAAGAGATGGACCAAATCCAGACGGACTAGCCACAAAAGAGGACACGGACGCTATTGAGACCCTTCTGAGGAATACCAAGGCCATTATCGAGGAATTGCCCCTTGCTGACTCCGAGAACGCTATGAAGAAGGAACATTTGGATGCGATCGAGGGTATCACTCTATCTACGAACGAAGCGATCGACGCCCTCTCCGCCAAAATTGATGAGAATGGAGCTACTAAGGAAGACATTGCTGTAGTTGAGGTTCTAGTGCAGGACATGAAGACTGCTTTGGAGGAGCTGAAGACAGCCAAGCCTGATGAAGAAGAGGGCGAGGAGAAGCTCACCAAGACGGATGTTGACACACTTGCCTTAATCTGTATGGACATCAAGGCCAAGGTTGAGGAGATGAACGTCCCTGATGCCGATCAGCTTCCTTCGAAGGCCGACGTGGAGCAGCTTACGGGCTTGATTCACGACTTCCGGGATAGCCATGACAAGATGAAGGACAGCTACGAGGCTGATATTGCGATTACAGCCAAGGCCTTCGATGATCGTAAGAAGGAAGCTGAAGACATGGTTCTCAACATCGCCGAAGTCAAGACTGTTCTGGATGAGATCAAGGAAGACATCAAGAACAATCTGCGCGAAGATGGTCAAGGAATTGACGGCCTTTCGCAGTCCTTTAAGAGCCTTGAAGAGACTATTGGATCGAACTTCAATATCACCGCCGACATTAAGGAGCTGATGGAGACAGTGAACCGGGAGTTCGATCGATCGCACGGTTCAGTGGAGGGTCTGAAGGTCGAACAAGACGAAAAGCTAGCATCAACTCTCGAGAAGCAGGAAGAGGCAAAGGAAGCTATCATTGCGGAGCTGTGCCAGAAGCTCGACGAGAAGTTCGACACCATCATGACCAAATACGACGATGCCCAGCTGCTTGCTGATGAGCAGGCGAAGGTCATGAACGAGAAGGCTACCGAGCAGCAGGAAATCCTAGCCAACACCAAGGCAATGGCTGACGAGCTCCGGCTGACCATCGACACACTTGGGGCAACCATTACTGGCTTGTCTGACACGTTCTCAGAGGCAACGAACAAGATGGCACAAGACTCTCAAACTGTGTTTGGTCGCATGGACGATACCGTAGCCAAGCTAGATGACCACCACGTCGAAGCTAAATCCGAGCATCAGCACACCCGCGACGAAGTGGCTAATGCTATTCGCATAATCAACGGCCTCCAAGGAGATGTCACTGAGTTCCATCCGAAGTTCATGGTCACCTTGCGAGAAATCCTCGCTCTTGTCAATCAGCACTACGAACACTCTCAGAAGGCGAAGGAGTCTACTGAGGAGCAAGTGCGAGCTATTGCCGAGGAAAACAATGCACGAGCTGAGGAGATCAGGAGCAACTTCGTGAACCTACCTGCACTGCTGCCACCTCCGCCTTCGACCATCGAACCTGCTGAGAAGTATGATGATGGCCAGGTCCAGGAGAAGCTCGACAAACTCCTGAGCCATGCAGATGAATCAGAGAAGTCAATTGCTCAGCTCAGCCGTCTTGACCAGATCCACCAACAGGTCATGAACACTGCGGCCGAAGTTTCTGATTTCGTGGCAAAGCAAACTCAACTGATCACTGACGGCCATGATAGTAAGGAACGGGAAGCTGAGGAGATGGCTCTTCTAGTTGAGCGTCGCCTTGCACAAAAGGAACAGCTCGACTCGGACGTCCAGGACCTCAAATACGAGAAGGACTCTCTACTCGCCATTGTCGCCGCTCTGCAAGTCGAGCGTGAGAACCTCGCAACCCAAAAGGTCCGTCTTACCGGCGAAGTCTCCTCCCTACAAACCGCTCTCGACATCCGCCGCGAGGAACTGCGTGACATGGACCACAAAGCCGACGCTCTCGAACGCCGCATCCTCAACGGCATCATGGACCACTCCCGCGCCATCCTCATCAACAAATCCAACAAGGGCCCCGGCAAGCCCAAGAAGCAGCGCATGCCCAGCAACGCCTCCCACAGCACCCTGGGCAGCATGCCTCCTCCCAGCGCCGCCGCCAACGGCCTCTCTCTCGCGCTCAAGCAACGTCCAGCCATCCGGCGCAACGGCCCTCCCCCCAACCCGGCCAGCCGCCGCATCCTCTCCCTCAGCCAAATCACCAACAACGTCCCCACGGGCGCGCAAGCCTACGCCGGCGCTCCCAGCTCGCTGTCGATATCGAACGGCCTGGGCAACCTCAAGCGCAGCCACTCGGTCAAGACGAACTACATGCGCAAGACGAGCTGGAACGGGCGGCCGGGCGGCCGGCGCGTCTCGGAAGTCAACAAGGAGAACGAGGCGCTGGCGGAGAGGGATGATGAGAACGAGAGCGAAGGCGAGGGCGAGAAGGACAACGATGACATGCCGCGGAAGATCACAGCCGGGCCTGCGGAAGATGTGGAGATTGACGAGGAGCATGGGCATGAGCATGAGCACGAGGGCGACGAGGATTTCGCGAGCGACGCGGGGACCGAGCGGAGACATAGCTACACCACCGCGACGGGCTCGTACGTGGGTGGCTTCGATGGCCGCAGCAGCTATGGCGCGGGCGATAGCGAGTATACCTACGGCTCGGGCACGGGGACCTACATGACGGGCAGCGATGTCGATCGGCGCACGAGCTATGGGAGCACGGTTCGGTCGACGCTTATGGGCGGGGTGATTGATGAGGAGGGCGAGGAGGAGGAGAGTGGAGACGAGCACGGCCATGAACACGAACATGAAAATGCGGAAGAGGAAGCGGAGAAGCGGGATCAGCTTGAGGAGCTGAAGGATGTGGGTGGTAGGCATGGGGAGGATGGCAAGAAGATGATTGTGTTTGCGGCGCCGAGTGATAGCGGGCTGGGCACGGATCTGCCGACGGGGGTGGAGATGAGCGAAGCGGATTATTTTAGGAGGGCGGCGGAGGAGGAGGAGAGTACGGTTGATTTATTGGGCGGGCATGGGGATTGAGTGAGTGAGTTGTATCAGATTGAGCTCCTGGGATTTCTACTCTTGCTTGCTGGGGGGTCTGAGTTTCTGGGTGTTTTTTTTGGCACTTAGCTTTTTTCTTTTCGTTGTTGAAAAGGGGAGGGCTTGGAAGGGGATGGGGATGGGGATGGGGAGGGGTGTTCAAGGGGAAGGTTTCTGTGTATGCAGTCTTGGTGGTGGTGCTTTGCGACAATGAATATGGTTTCCTCATATGATGGGTGCGACTTGTCCGCTGTGAGAGGATTGCGAATTTGTTTGTGGATTGGCTTCTTCCCTACTTTGTGCTTGAAGAGGAACGAGACTATGTTGGAGTCGTGGGGTCAACCTCTGACGCCTTGGGGGATGGGAAGGGATCGTTGTGGTGGAAGAAGAATCTGTCGTAGACCAGGCTGTAAGGAGCCACCCGCATTGGGGGGAAGAGGAGTATGGAGCGGTGAGGTGAGGAAAACGGCGGTGTGATGGCAGTGTGGAGTGGAGGGGGAAAGTTTCTGAATGATAGTTGGGAAAAGGTGAGATGGATTAGAGTCAAGTAGTTGGGATTTAGAGTTGCGGAAACTGGGTCTGATGGCAGTGTTGAGTGGAGGCGGAGAGTTTTCCGGGAAGGCAAGATTGGTTGAAGTCTGCAGTTGAGCATGCAGAACAGGAGGCTATGCGCCATCAGAAAATTAAATGGATGGATGTTGAAAGCAAGGATTTGTATTGTACAGTATGACGAAGCTGTATTTGCTGTTAAGCTGGTTTGGATGCAACGATAAGGAGTCTTTTGTACGGGTAATAATAGCTCTTTGGTACTTTTCGTGAGCGTTAGAGAGTCGAGTGAAGATGTATACATCGTCGTAGTTCATGAACCGAATCGACGACTGTTCAAGCACAGCCAACTTACTCACCCACCCCTCTCTCACTGCAAACCCCTCCTCAACGCTCATCACCGCCCTATCCTATCTTATCCCATTCGTCCCGCGCACATGCAAGACACGAACCCACATCCCTCCCTCCGACCCGGCTTTCCCCCTCACGATCTGCGCCGTTGATCTGATCTTCGTACCTGAACCCTGGTGCATGATCTACTGTACAGAAATTAAAAGCTCCACCCTGGTTCCTAGACCTGAGGGGGAAGCAGCGACGTTCGGTCTAAGGCATCACGGAACCGCGGTTGACCTGGCTGCTGGCTGCACGGTTGGGACGTATTAACCAGGCCGGCGGTATCTCGCCACTACTCGAGGGCGCTGAGATCAGTGGGCGGATCTGGGTTGCCACATGGAAGGGGAACAGAGGGGGCTGGTGGGAATAGCAGTAGTAAAGGAGGAGGTTGGGGTGAACCGTGGGCGCTCTTGCTTCTTGGTGGAGATGGGAATGAGGCGAACCGTGGATACGTGACGAGCTAGACGTTGATAAGCTCGGATTTTAGTTGGTGATAGGCGCGCCCGCAGTGCTGGGACCGGACTGCGGGAATTGATTCGACTCGGGATTGCAGGCTCTACTGTGCGTCCGTACCTAGGTATAATTGTGAGTTGCATATTAGAGTTTAGCGGTGGTTGGAGTCGTGGCTGGTATACCAAGTTTTTTTCCGGTCGGTGCTTCTCGTTAGGCTAGAAGCGGAAAGTCGATTTACAGTGCATCTTCGTGACGAAGGGGGTTGGACGGCACGGCATGGCATGGCATCGCGTGAGTGAGCGAGTTAGATGACACGGGCGAACGACAACGGCGACGATGCATGATCAATCGCAGATGCGGACGCGACGCGATGCGATGCGGGAGTACTAAGGTTGGCTGCGTCGACGTGTCTCGAACATGGACATGGCCGTACAACTACATCCCTCCTCACTACTTCGGCAATTAAGAGCATGTATCAAGACGTATAGAGAGCACAGGCTCGCGGGACTGTCAAGCAACGCCTGCTCCGCCTCGCCCGCACGTTCAACAGCAACAGGGTCTACGATTGCGGGCTGTTTCTGTCTGCTGGAGTGAACCCCAGGCTCCCTACGCAATGCGGCAGCCAGAGATCTGTCTCGCTGCTGCAGTAGAACCCTGTGAGAGGGCAACGGCACATGATGCAGACGGGCGACGGATGCAGGTATGTCGTGCCGCACATGCGGGTCATGGCAAGCGAAGGACGCGGCTCTTTTGCTCTCCAATGTCCATTTTCTTTTAGCCCGGCGTCAGACGACGGCACGCCGTTGACGACTCCTGCACATGAGCAATGCCGGGCGCATTTCAGCATGTAGTGAGACGTACAGGCCATGGGCGCTCGACGGCGCTGGGACGGAGCGGCGCACTCTGCGGCCCCCAAATTCGCCGTGTCGGGACCCGGGCGGGGTAGGGAGTGAATTGCACGGCCGGGGATCTGGCGAGGACGGCGAGGGAGGGACTGGGAAGACGGGGTTCTCGCGGCAGGAATAGAACAGCGGTGAGAGCGGGAGGGAAGTTCAAGAAGATGGCGGCATGCCGGGAGGATCAGCGGCTCGCATGCAATGGGTGCTGTGGACAGTGGAGCGGAGTGTGGTGTGGGCTGTGGAGGAGACTTGGTGAGGTCTTCGGCATCTTCGGCGCTAGAAAATGGAGGCGACACACAGCGTGGCACGGGCGGCGGATGGTCGGCAGGAGCGCGCACACCCGGTGGCATGCGGAGCCAGCCTCTGTCGCCTGTCGCCTGAGGCCGGGCTGCAAGGAGTGGTTTGTGTCGCCCTGCAAACGCCCTGAAGCCCCGTGGCTTGCCTGCCCGCGCCCCGATAGCGGTGGTGCTGGACAAGACGTGGCCGGCCCTGATTGGACAGCCGCTGATATCGCAAATCCATCAGCGGCGCTGGCTCGCTGGGGCCGCGAAGGAGGTGGCAAGAGCGAGAGAAGGAGCGAAATGATGCTATCAACACCACAGCCAACAGCAAAACTCAACACCAGCGCGGTGGCACTGGTCTCGCACCGCCGGCGCAGCTGCACCAAGCGAATTTGACGCATCCCGGGAATGGCCGCGCGCGCAGGGATCCGCTGGCCTGCAATCACACGCATATGCAGCGCGGGTAGGTGCAGGCGACACACAGCCAACCACTCTGCCCTCGTTGTCCAAGCCGCAGCCTCGATCCCGCCGCCGTCGCTCGCCAGCTGCAGGAACCATGTCCGCCGCCGAAGCCTCTGCGACGTGGGGCCCCCCAGCCCCAGCCGACCATGGGGTGCAGCCGATCGCTGAGAGCCAGAAGGCCCAAGCCGCACTTCGAGAACCCCCAGCACCATCACCACCGCAATCGCTTCACTCGCCGCCACTCGTCGCGCAGAGGGCCAGGTCGCAGATTGTCCGTCTCCGCGCCATTTCCCAGGAGCCCCCGCAACCATTCGTCAACCGCCATCCGCCACGACTTGTCCCAAGGCTTGCCCTGAAGGCTTGCCAACGGTCTGCTTCCCGAGTGCTCATTCGGGGCATTCCAGCATGCCGTCCAATGACAGCCGCCATGCGCGAGCTGCTCCGGGTCTGCCGTTGCCAGCCTGACGTCTCGTTGCAGAGGCCGAATCCGCGGCTTGGCCATTGGACGCCACCGCCTGGATCTAAAGTGGCCCCGATGTCAGGCCATCCGGGAGTCGTTCCCCAGATTGCTCGAATCCTCATCCGCCCCGAATGCGCGCTAGCACGACGGCATCATATGGCCGGATGGCGACAATCGCTGCCTGGGAATCGAGGCGCCGCTGGCTGATGGCTGACGGGAGAATGTCTGAGCCTGGAATAGGTGACAGCGCGCAAGCCCTCCTATCAATCAACCTGCCTATCTCGACCGCGAGGGTGGTCAGCAACGCGGCGGAGACGGCGCCGGCTCGCCAGACCATCCCGCCGTCCCTCTCGCGCCGGATGTGCAATGCACCTTTATTTTTGCATTCCTCCAGTCCACGAGGGCGTCGTGTAACTCCCCTTGCAGCCTGGGAGATGCTCAGTGCAACCGCCGAAGGGCCAGACGCCACAGCTCCCACGACAGCCTCCCGTGCGACTTGGCCCGACGAGCGAGGCCGCGCGCCCATGCTTGATTACGTGCGCTGAGGGCATTGTCGACCCTCCCTCGACGCCCGTGTCACCGCGAGAGCAGAATGCCCATTGTCCAGCGGCCGTGGCGTGGTGGCCACGTCTCACAGGGCCCAGCAGCGCTCCCAGCAGCAACTGTCGTCGGCGTGAGGGCAGCGACGACGTCGAAACAAGTGCCAGGCTGGCGGCTAGCGGGATCGAATCATCATGGATGCGAACATGGGTTTGGCGCGCGAAGCGGTCCCCGCAGCACGCACGCAGAGGCAGCCGGCTGCTGTGGCTGGGCAAAGGATGGGCGGTTCGCATGTGCAGGCACACCAGCAGCTCGACCCCGTGGAAAACCCGTGATGCGGAGCGGTGGCAGACGACGAGGCTCGTGCTCGCTGGCCGGTTTCAGCTGCGCAGGCCTCGCGGCTTGTGTCTCCAGCCGTCCAGGACCCGGGGCGGTGGTTGTGGCCTGGCCGACGACAATCGAATGTCGAGGGGCCCTCCGTCGATTCGCAAGAAGGTGTTGAGCGACCGGCTTGACCTCAGCGGCGTGACAGTGAAGGCCTGGCGCCGCATCGGGCCTAGCGCCGCCAGCACATCGCTCACACCGCAAGACGACGAGCCAACCACGCCGCGCGGGCGCCCACGTCCAACTCCATGCCCGTGGTACAGTCGGCACGTTTGGCAAGCACGTCGTCGAAGCATCCATGCCTGGAGAGCAATTGGCGGCCCAGCCGAGGTGGAGTCGCGACGCCTGAGGACACGCTGGAGGTCTCCACGAAGCCGTATCATCTGCTCGCACGCTGACAAGCAAGTCGCACCCGCTCTTCATCTGCTCTCGAGTCTCCACGTCGCACCAGCCTCCCACGGCCTCGTCCCAGCCGCGCCGGGAGAGCGCTGGCGGACGCCCTCCGTTGGCTGACGGCGAGCCACGGCGACGATCAAGGGCTGCTCTGCCCTCAACTCCACCATCCTGGCCGGGCTGGGTCCAGTGCTATCCCCCGAGCCCTCGGACTCCCTCGTCAGCGAATGAGCAAGATGCTCCGCGGCCGCTCCCTGCACGGCCTGCCGTGCGCGCATCCCGTTCGTCGTCGCCATCCCAGCGTCCTGCGCTGGCGTTGTTGGATCGGGGCGGCGGCCATTTAGCCTGGCTGGACGCTCGAACTGGGGCCGCCTCGAGCTGCCTGCCTTGGCCGTCCTGCCTGAAGCGCTCTGGCGAGGGCTGGTTGATGGACAGAGGTGGCCCCGGCGCGGGGGGTCTAAGAGGAAGAAGCACTTTTGCTTTTCCCTGGCGCGGTTTGACTCGCAGCGGTGCAGCGCAAATCATCACGCGTTTGCCGGCAGAGGCCACCGGCTGCTCCCCGCTGCACAGTCGCTGGCCCAGAAGATGATGGACAAGGGCTGGCATGGGCTCGCGCAGCCTCCCGATCGCAGGGCCGCTCGGAACACGTCCCACCCTGCCCGCCGTCGTCCTGTTGCGCTTCTGCTCTCCGCACCGGTCGTGCTGAATAAGGCAAGACGACAGGCCCGAAACGGCTCGCTATCAGCACCCACGGCACCGCTAAGCGCGTGCTGCTGCTGCTGTCGAATATCTCCGCCGCCTGCCACTGGCCCGCCCATTCAGCCGTCTTGTTCCTATCGGCACCCCGGGCGGGTGGGCTGCTGCCGCCGGGCTGGGTTCGCCTGGCGGTGGAGAGCTGGCGACGGTCGGCGGCTGCGTGGACAGATATCGCAGCGTGGACTGGAGGAATGGCCGCAACAGCAACACGCTCTCGCCACGCCGCCGGCAGAGGAGCGCAATAGCGGCGGCTGCCCTTGCGTGCGGGCGCCTGTGTGCGCTGGGGGCGTGCGCATCACGAGCGTGGAGCAAACGTCGGGTCGTCTGGGGGGCTGGCAGCTAGGAGACCCTCGCTTGCGTGCAGTGGCAGAGTGGTTCGCGATTCGCCGGGCAGTCCTGTTCAGAGCAACGCGACTTCAGAGCTTTCGAAACGGCCCTTCACACGGGACTTGTGCGTGCGCCCGCCACACGCATCCATGCCGCCCCACACGCATGCTCTGGAGATTGTCTGCGCTGGGCAGAAGCCGAGCAGCAGCCCCAGAGATCTCCACCCGCCTTTTAGGTACAGCTGGGCCTGCACTCCAATCCACGACGACACCCACGCCCCCGCTGCAACAGCTGCAACAAGTGGACCTCATCGCCGACGCGCCCCAAGTGTCCTGGTGTCCTGCGAGACTCGTGCCGGCCCGCCACGCAGCAGCCGTCGCAGCAGCAGCCAGCAGCATCTGAGCATCGTGAAGGGCGCCCCCATCCACCCACCGCCCACAGGCCGCAGCGAGGCGCGTGCTCCGCAGCCAGCCCTAGCCTCAGCCTGCCCGCCTGCCCGCCGTGCGTGAGGTCTGCACAGAATCCGCGGCTGCATCCTCTCACTTTCCCCAGCCCAGTCCCAGCACGAGAGCAGCAGCCTCAACCGCCGGTCGCCAGCACCTCAGCAGCCTCGCCCTCCGCGCCGAGCGTCCAGGGCTGCGGTCCCGTGAGTGTCAGCTCGTTCAGCGTGAGTGTTGGCCCGTTGTTTCTTTTCCGCGCCTTGCCATTGCGTTTCCCGTGCTCGCCTATCTCTGCTGGGCTGGTTGGCTCGCGCGGCGCTAGCATCAAGTCCCATCCCAACCTCTCCTCCGGCTTCTAAACCTCCGCCCTCCCCACTGCTTTCGCGCCCTCTCTCGCGCTCCACCTCCTCCCACCACTCCATACTCGTCGAGGGTGCGCGTTCCCGTCGGCCTCAGCCTGTCCGCTCTGCTAATCCGTGCTGCCAGTTCCTCTCCGCCGCCCGCGAGCTATCACGAACCGCCCGGCCCGCCACTACCCCAGGTGCGCGAGGACTTTACGACCCGCTACGACCAGCCAGACCGTCTCGTGCCCGTCCAATGAGCTCGGTGGCTGCAGAATCACCCTATCTCAACATCTTCATCCCTAGGCTGGTCGCCGTCGTTCCATCTCATAGCGTGCATTGACCGTCCGCCAAAAGCATTTTTGAAAGCTAGTCCTCACGACCGCGACGACCTAACGACGTACTCTTTGTCTTTTTAGCATTGCAGCGTTCCTGTTCTGACGAGCCTGTGTGAAAAGCGCGCGCCGCATTCCTGGCATCCGTATCTGCGAGATTCCTCGGTCCTGTTTCACCACCTTGGTACCACTACGCAGCACTGCCAAGTACTCCCCCCGGAAATCCTCACAGGTCCAGAGCGGGCTGGATATATTCGCGCTTCTGGCTCTCGACGTCTGCGCGACCGCTGAGACCTGTTTGCCCACGTGTTTGACAGGCATCGCTGGCTTCGGACTGGTCCCCAGGTTTCATTCCTAGCAAACAATCGCCTCTCCCGTATCTACCGCCGCCGTCTCCACCTTATCGCTGGAGTCGCGTCAAACTATAACACCGTCCAGTCTCATCCGCCGGCAACTTGCACCGATTCTGCAATCCCCGCCGCAGAGCATCCACTGCCTGTTTCCGCTTCTCCGTTCGGCAATCTGGTGCGTTGACTCGAGGTTCTCCCGCGGTGACGATTTGAAGTGAGTGCTGTAGCGAACCATCGCCCGCACCCCTCCAACACCGAAAAGCTGGAGCTGCCATCGATAACGTCGGTCCACTCCCGAGGCCCCACAGACGCCGCATCGTGGTATACTCCCCAATACGCGCCACGACCGTCTGTCCCGACGGAGCGATTGCCTGCTTTGTCCCAGATTCAGGCGCACGCGAGCACGTCCTCCAATTCATCCTCGCCTCGGGGTGGTTCCTTTAGCGCGTCCTCCGTCCTCAACGGCAGTGCGAGCTCGAATACGTCTTACTCCTCCTCGGTCAACGGCCACGCAGGCGGGTTCAAGACGCCTTCGCCCGAACAGACTCCCCAGGCGCTGAGTCGTGAAGGGCATCCGTTGAATGTGCAGTCGCAGCAGGAATCTCCATACGGTTCTCAGCAAGACTACGGGTATAGCGCCGAGAATTACAGCAGCATGAACCAGATGCAGCCCTATGGAGAGGTGCATCCATCTCACATGTCAGCCGCAACAGCACACGCGCCGTCTTCGGGCGCTCCTACCGGACTCTCGCACTACTCGTATCAGACACAACCGCCAATATTACAACCAGGACCTCAATATGCGTCTGGACCCGGTGGGTATCCCCCGTACGGCTTTGGAAATGGTGTCCCATCACAGCTTCCTGTGTCTTCATCAATTGGTAATTCAATGGGTCAAGCTCTCCCCCTCCCAGGTAAGTGCATCTCGCAGTCGACTGAGCAAAAATGCTGACAAAACAGCTATGACATCTGGAGCACCCGCCTCCTCGCTTTCAGGCTCGCAGAGTTATCAATCTCATACGTTTGATACCACCGGTCAAGTCGCACCGCCTGGCATGAAGCCTCGTGTTACCGCAACATTGTGGGAAGATGAGGGCAGTCTCTGCTTTCAAGTCGAGGCCAAGGGTGTTTGCGTTGCTCGCCGGGAAGGTATGAAACCCAACATATTATTCTATCTATATTTGGCTGATGATATGCAGACAACCACATGATCAACGGCACCAAGCTACTCAATGTGGCTGGTATGACCAGAGGTCGACGAGACGGCATTCTCAAAAGCGAAAAGACACGGCACGTGGTCAAGATTGGCCCAATGCACCTCAAGGGAGTCTGGTACGCTTATCCCTGTCCGTAGCGCTGAACACCATACTGATATAGTCAGGATTCCTTTCGAGCGAGCTTTGGACTTTGCGAACAAGGAGAAGATAACAGAACAACTGTATCCTCTCTTTGTTCATGATATTGGTGCTCTTTTGTACCATCCAACAAACCAGCCGCGTGCTGGTGTTGGAGCAGGTGTTAGTGCCATGGCAGCGGATCGGAGTCGCAGAGCTGATCCTACCCAACAGCGCTTCCTCGGCGCCCCGGCGAGCTCCCAGCCGTCCTCGCTGCATCACCACCATTCTATGAGCAACCCCATCGGGGGCCATATGCCGCAACCTCCCCACGCTATACAGCCACACCCCTCGGCTCCACGACCGGGCCTAGACAGGGCACATACGTTTCCAACTCCCCCGACCAGCGCGTCCAGTGTAATGGGTAGCATGGGCAACCAGGGCAGCTCGTACGAGTGGAGCCAGTCTAATGTCCAGCCAATGCCTGGAAGTCAACCCCTCAACATAGATACCGGACTAAGCAACACACGCTCTGTGCCCACGACTCCTGCATCAACCCCGCCAGGTTCACTCTCGCAAGGGATGCAATCGTATCCGCCCAGCCAGGGATACGACAGCTCCCGACAAATGTACTCAGCGCCTCCTGCCCAGCCGACACAGTACAACACTCAGCCTCACATGATGCGCTATGGCCAACCGCTTCAACCCAGCGCGTACCCGAAGAGTGAAATGGCTCCTCCTTCAAGAGCTGGTGAGGTTGACCAGCAAGTAGATAGCAAGCCGCCGGACGGCATGATGGGTCAAGGCTCTGAACCGGTGGCTCATGGCCCCGGAGATGACGAAGCTGAGCACGAGAACGACAACGAATATACGCACACTAGTGCTTCTTATAACGGCAGCCGAGGCGCCTATTCTTACAACCCCAGCGCACCATCCGGACCGCTGCATGGAGAACACGCACATCTGTCTCCGGAAATGACTGGATCCCCACACCAAAATGGGTCTGGAAGGGCCACACCACGGACGACATCTACGAATCAGCCTCAATGGACGTCGGGTTACACTACCCCGCAGCGTGCCCAACAGCCGCCGTCGTCTAACCTCTACAGTGTCATGAGTGATACCCGAGGTAGTACTGCGAATGGCAACTCGACCGCAGATGCCTATCAGGCTCCTGCTGCTGTTCCTGCGTACGCCAACCAGACTTATGCCACGAACGGTGTCTCGTCAAACAAGCGTGGTCGAGACGACGAGGATGAGCAGGACTCGTACGGCCGCCCAAGCAGCCGAGGCGGCGAGGACATTGACAGCCTCAAACGCCGAAAAACGATTCGCGAAGGGAGCGTGGGCGGACCTGTGGCTAGCGCTTTCGATCGTGACCGCAACGGCCTCCAACGAACCCGATCGGCAATCCCTCAGCGTGCCGGCGGGCGGAGGTAAAGCTTGCAAAATATCCCTAATGTGACTGGGTGGCCGCTTCTTCGAATGTTTGCAATAGACTGAGGGTTTGCCTTGTCCGTGTCTGGTGACTTACGGCCATCCTATCAGGCGTTTTTTGCAGCGACTGGTTGTTTGCCTTCACCCCGAGGACTTGTTTAGTCACGACATGAACCTGCATAGCCGCTTTTCCTTTTGTTATCTTTTCCAAAGAAGGTCCTTTACCTTAACGATTGTGCTTTTCCGCAGGACACCAACCGAACCGCACACGTTCCCTCCGACGAGACGACCTTGAACTCGCACCCGAAACCTTACTTCTCTTTGTGTCACACAACGCTTCCTTACCCTCTTCCGTGTTTCTTCTTTTACCTAAACTTTGGGGCATCATGACGACCTATAACGATTTTTCTTGCGGAGCGAACCCACTACTTTTGTGTGGGTTTGACAAAACGAGACGCGGCGGCACCGATTTTGTCTGTCTTCACGATCCAAACGACTCCCTGCCATATACACGCCCGTTGTGTGCGTGTCGCAGGTGACGATTCTGTACTTTCTACCAAACCAACAAACTTGTTCTATTGTCTTCTTTTGTTACTTTTCTTCACGAAATTATGGATGGATATGGGCCTCTTTGGCGATTATGCACTCGCACGGCCGGTACATCAACGACAACGTTGGACGTTAATTGCTTGCTCCCACCGAGATGCCACACACGCGGTGGCCGAACGCCACTCCACCTTCACCTTCTTCTTTTCTTATATCCGCTTCTCAGTGCCTCGTTAGGGGAAACGGGAAACGGATAGGGTATTTAGGCCACGGGAGCTTGGAAAGGAAATGCAGGGATTGGGGGGTGTCCGATGGATGATAATGAGGATATCAAAAGCTGCTTCTTTTTTCCGAACGCTCAAAATATGCCTGTTTTTATGCTGTGATGTCGTGACTCTCCAGATCGGCTTTGCTGAAATGCTGTTTTGCTACTATGATTACGGCATTGAGGCACCCCAGACGTCTGCCTCCGCCTCCAAACTGCCTCGAACGACACACCCGATTCTCGGCCTGCAGACAAGACGAACATCAAACGATACCAATTTACAGCTGCGAATCTATGTCCGTTACCACCCACCCAAAACCAGGCCTCTGGTTTCAGCCTTTTGCAGAACTGTTCGACCTATCGAGGCACCCCTAACAGCGGCACCCAGACCCCAGAATGTAGCCTTAAAAGTCGGTGAATCAAAGCTCGGGAATCTTGGAAGTGAGGATTCCAAGCCACATTGTGGCAACTCAAGCGAAAGAGCGACCGGCGCAACGCAACGCAGCGCCAAGAGGCAGCGTCATCAGCTCGCAAAAGGCCTCGACAGACGCTTTGAAACGCGCATGTCAACGAGGCTGAGCCGCAACACCACCCAGGCACCGACAAACATTACTCCGCAGACCAGTATACATTACCCAGAGCCCGGACGGTTGACCGCAACCCACACCATCCGCAACCGCCGGTCCTGAACCCCGCGATACACCCCGCGACCCAATATGAATATTATCAAGATCCAGAGGTGAGATGCGCGCTTGGCCTTCAAATATCCTCGCCAATGCTAAGTATTCAGTATGAATACGTGGCTAATTCTTGCGGATGCCGTGCGCAGGAAATACCCTCAGTTCCAGCAATCCGAGATCTTCGGGCTGCAAGATGCCTTCCGCAGGCTGGACATCGACGACAAGGGCTACTTGGACGAGGCGACGGTCATCAAGGCGACACAGTCGTCTGAACACCAGCCGTACGACGTCGTGCGCCAGGCACTGAAAGAGGTGGAGCTGGACAGCTCGCGGAGAGTCGAGCTGGAGGACTATGTCGATGTAAGACTTCCGTCGGCTTCCGTGGCCTTTTCTCTGGTGCATGAGTTGTGTCCAGATTGGGAGAGGAGGGGATATGATGTCCTGGGGGTCTATTTGTGGAAGCACTCGGACTAACGATTGTCAGCTCATCTCAAAAGTGCGAGGTTCCTCTCCAGCGCAGCAGCGCATGTCCACTGGACCGCAAAGAGCACGAGGCCTCAGCAGCGCAACCACCACCTCTCCTCAACAATCCGGACACGCTTCAAAGGGCAGCCATGGTGGCGGACGGATACAAGTCCAGGGCTCATCGGCGAACGTCACGCACACAATCAACGAAGACGAGCGTACCGAATTCACACGCCATATCAATGCGGTGCTCGCGGGCGACCCGGACATTGGCGACCGCCTGCCCTTCCCGACCGACACATTTGAGATGTTCGACGAGTGCAAGGATGGGCTTGTGCTGGCAAAGCTCATCAACGACAGCGTGCCGGATACCATTGACGAGCGCGTGTTGAACAGGCCTGGCCGCAAGATCAAGACGCTGAATGCGTTCCACATGACCGAGAATAACAACATTGTTATCGAGTCTTGCAAAGGTATCGGCTGCTCCGTTGTCAATATCGGTAGCGGAGATATCATTGAGGTCCGCGAGCATCTGATTCTGGGAATGATCTGGCAGATTATTCGCCGAGGTCTGTTAGGCAAGATTGATATAAAACTACATCCTGAGCTTTACAGGCTTCTAGAGGACGGCGAGACCCTAGAACAGTTTCTCCGCCTACCACCAGAACAGATCTTGCTGAGGTGGTTCAACTACCATCTGAAGAATGCCAAATGGGGCCGCACGTAAGTTCTAAGACGCTGAAAAGCATGCGTACAAATAACCAACATTAACCTCCATACAGCGTCAAAAACTTCTCCTCCGATGTCAAGGACGGTGAGAACTACACCGTGCTCCTCAACCAACTAAAGCCAGACATCTGCTCCCGCGCACCTCTCCAAACCCACGACCTCCACCAGCGCGCCGAGCAAGTCCTCGACAATGCAGACCGCCTCGACTGCCGCAAATTCCTAACCCCTAGCTCTCTCGTTGCCGGCAACCCGAAGCTGAACCTTGCCTTTGTCGCCAACCTCTTCAACAACCACCCGGGCCTCGAGCCGATCACCGAAGAAGAGAAAGCCGACATCGACGACTTCGATGCCGAGGGCGAGCGCGAAGCGCGCGTCTTCACCCTATGGCTGAACTCCCTCGACGTCTCACCGGTCGTGCAATCCTTCTTCGAGGACCTGAAGAGCGGCATCGTCCTGCTGCAAGCGTACGACAAAGTCATCCCTGGCTCCGTAAACTGGCGCCACGTGAACAAGCCGCCAGCCAACGGCGGCGAAATTATGCGCTTCAAAGCGCTCGAGAACACCAACTACGCCGTCGAGCTGGGCAAGGCCAACTCCTTCTCGCTGCCCGGCATGCAAGGCGCCGACATCACCGACGGCCAGCGCACCCTCACGCTGGGGCTGGTGTGGCAGCTCATGCGCCGCGACATTGTGTCGACGCTCTCGTCACTGGCGCAGCGCATGGGCAAGCGCGACATCTCGGACAGCGACATGATCCGCTGGGCGAACGACATGGTCAAGAAGGGCGGCCGCACGAGCTCGATCCGGTCGTTCAAGGATAGCAGCCTCAGCACGGCCGTCTTCTTGCTCGACGTGCTGAACGGCATGAAGAGCTCGTACGTCGACTACGACCTTGTGTTGGCAGGGAAGACGGAGGAGGAGGCGTACCAGAACGCGAAGCTGGCGATTAGCATTGCGCGCAAGATGGGCGCGACGATTTGGCTGGTGCCGGAGGATATTGTGGCGGTGCAGAGCAGGCTGATTACGACGTTTATTGGGAGTTTGATGGCGACGGCGGAGAAGAAGTAGGGTAGGAGGGTGGTGGATGGGGGATGATTCGGGGGCTGTGGAGGGAGGGATGGGGGCGGCGGGTCTCTTTTTAGGTGGTTTAGTTCAATGGAAAAGTTTCAACTCGGATTATGGGCTGCGTTTGGTGGGGTTTTGCAAGTTGTGATGATGGGTTGGGGGACCTCAGACGGTGGTGGCATGAGGCCAGATGAGTGATGGAGGAGGTCTGGTTTGGGGGGGCTGGCAAAGGGGAGCGGGTTGGGGGTGAAATCAGGTAGGGGGGACGGGGATGGTGCTGGAGGTGCTGGAGGTGCTGGATCAGGTCGATTTTGATTTTGATTTGTAGGCTGTGATAACGGATTGAAATACCTCAGACAGCGGCAGCTTGTAGTCCATACACTTCTTCCAGTGATCTGATTTCGGGTGTCCGTCAAAGGATATCATCTTAACGCTTATAATCAGACAGGGGGGCTGATGGTCTTGCTGGAGGTCTCGAACCAGGTCGACGCTGGTATGGTTGTGCACGCTGTGATCACGGGTTGGGGTATCTCAGACGGCGGCAGCACGAGTCTAGAATCCTGACAAGTGAGGTCTGATTTGGGGCGTTCGTCAAAGGACATCGGATTAAGGGTTGAAGTCAGGTAGCGGAGCTGGTGATACTGCTGTAGGAGCTAAATCAGGTTCGTGTTGTTAGGGTTTTGCGGATCGTGATAAATTGTTGAGGTGTCTCAGACGGCGTGAGTACGAGTCCAGAATCGGGACAGGGGAGGTCTGATATAGGGTATCCGTCAAAGGACATCGGATTGAGGGTTGAAATCAGGTCTGTGTTGTCACGGTTTTGTACATTATGATGACTCGTTGAGGTACTTCAGACGGCGTCAACACACAGTACACTCTCCAGCAGTAACTAGGGTTCCAAAGTTGTATTACGGAAGCTATTGTCTTACAACCTCCTCTGGGATACCAAATCCGGCATCGCGTTAATATCTGCGCCACACTGCCGTCACTGCCGCGGTGATTGGCCGGCTTGAGTCATCTGCGCTGTCCCGACGCCTTGCTACCTGTGCCTGATGCTGTGACAGTTCCACCTACCTACGACTCACACCCGCGACACGCTTAGCTGGAATATATACCTTCGGGTCCTCAGGCAGCCGCTCTTCTTCTACTTCCGCCGATACCCTCACCCGCCCATCGCAACCCTCCTATTAAGCTCCAGGCTCTCCCGTTCACCCCACCTTTATCCGCGTCCTTGTTACGGCTCCGACTCCTGAACCTCCAAACGCCGATTTTTACGAGCACGAAGCACAAAAGAAAGCGTATCTAGTCATGTCGTCTTCGATAAACATCCCTAGGCGGAGGAAGCAATCGGCGTCCGGGTTGGCTATGGACCCGGCGTCTGCGTCTTCTGGCCTTGCGAACTCCTCGAGCTCTAGCTATGGCGGCTTCACAGGCAAAGGAAAGAGCCCGGTTGCGAGCTCAGCAGCACCAGAACCGAGCAGCTTTAGTGGGAGGGAGAGGAGGGTCAGCCTTCTGGGTACGTTCGTTCCGACCTTCCTGAGGTTCTTTGTGAAGAGAGGATAGAGGGGTCGAGATAAGGGATTGGACGACACGAATCCGGAATATGTGCTAATCAATTGATATTGTAGGCTCCTCCCTCTCTAAGGCTGAGCACATCGTCGTCAATGTCGGAAGCCCGGAGCAAGTGCGGTTGGTACGTTATGTCTCCGCTATAATCACGAATGCAGAGGCATTGAGCTAATCAAAAGGGTCGTAGATCACTTGCGTAAAGTCCTCCCAAGGCTTCGAATGGAGCTCGGACATCTTCCTCCCGTCCTACGCCAACGACCGTGACTCCCGCGATCTCGAGCGCAGGCAAGACCCTGTCGAGGATATAATTGTTACCGATGAGGAGATTGCAGAGATGTTTCCGCAGTAGACGGGTGACATATGCTTTACTACTCACACACGAATTCACGAACGGGATAACTGGGCTGGCGAATAGACACGGGCATATGCGGTCCTTTGGATTGCCTCGGGAGCACGGCACGGCAAGGCTATAGAATGGCTCTTTCTCCTCTTCTCTCATACTCTACGGATAGTTCAGGGGGGCGTTGCTTATCATTCCAGGCGCGAACTGATTTTGATACATATAGGTCGGCATCTGGGCGGGTCTATGATTTTAGGGGCAAGTGGGTAATGAGCTTGGGCACGGTGTTGCGGTTCCTTTCCTATCCTCATTTTCTCACGTCCTGCGCAGGGTTTGGGGCTAATGGGTCTTTTCTTCTTGATTCTTTGCGGTACGGAGTCCGGATTGGCTTGGTTGTGTATATCTCCATTCAACTAATCCTGCGTACATCTATCCACTCACAAGTTCATTAAATGGCGGGGTTGAGGTGAAAGAAGTGAAAGAAGAGATGAAGGCCCATGGGCCAGATCTTAGCTGTAATATGATCTACGCATACTTGAGACGAAGACACTTATCCCCACTAATTCGCCAGTTCACCATTCACATGTCTGTCTGGAGACCAGTTCGAGTGAATGTCTCAGCCCCACTCTATTCCCGCGAGCACGTGCCTACCAGACGCCAAGACACTAATCCTTGCGGCGATCCCTCCGCTCAATATCAACACCACACCAAAACAACGCCTCTATCAAACGTCCCACGCGCAATTGCCCGCACACACAACTCTCTAAAACCCCAAACAAACCCCTTTAGACTCTCAACGCGTCAACCCCACCTCCAACGCGGCGACCCATACCCTCAACCCTCCACAATCACCAAAGCAAACCACAACAATGACCACCACAACCTCCACCACCCACCACCGCCGCATAGAACTCCAATCCCCCCTCGACCTTTCCCACCTCCACACGCTCATCTCGCGCGCCGCCGCCGCCAAGATCGACCTGCACCTGCCGCCCTCGGCCGCGCCCGCCGGCGAAGACGAGCTGCGCGCCAAAGTCGAGACGCTCGTCACGCAGTACATCGACGACACGTGGCGGCTCTGCCGGCCGAACCTGAGCGTCAACGGGGTGCATCTGGAGAGCGACGCGGCGGTCGAGAAAGGAGGGGCCGGGGGACGTTCTGGCGGGGAGGGGCGCCAGGAGGAGGTGCTGGAGGTGTACGAGGATTACGATGGCGGGCTGAAGGAGCGCCTGGATGCGCTGTTTGTGCGGCGGAATGCGCTGGTGGCGCGGGTCGCGGAGATGAGGAGGGTGGCGCCGGCGCAGGCGGCCGAGAGGTTCAGGGGGGAGTATCTGCGGCATGTTGAGGAGGAGGAGGAGGAGCGGGCAAGGGCGGTGGGGGGGAGAGATGGGGGGGTGGATTTGGGCGCGTTGGAGAGGTGGGAGGACGTGGCGGGGGCGTGGGAGAGGGCGGTGGAGGGGCTGGGGGCGTTAAATGGGGGCTTGCCGGAGCAGAGGGCGCGGTTGGAGAGGGCGCGGGGCGTGGTGGGGTATTTGGAGGGGAAGTAGGGGGTGGGGTATTGGGGGTTTCTTTTGGGCGTTATAGGGCGGTGGGTGTTTGGGATACCCGTTGGTCTGGTGTTTGGACATGCATAATCTTCGAGTCCCACACTACACGAAATCACTTCATCCTTGAATATTACTTGTCAAAACACATGAGGCTGATATGCTGAACTGTGTATTTCCTCTACTAAACACTCCATACGTTGAATTGTCTGTCTTGTGAGAGCATAGTTAGCAAGCTTCGAGGGATCACCTCTGGTTCACTCTGAATTTAGACTGTCTCCAAACAAGCGATATATGCTTGTTGCATCATGGAGTAGTATCACACAAAGCAAGTGATCCAGTACATCCAATCTCGTCGGTGTTTTCCCCTCTGCCGAGCCACCATCTCTGACTCAGTGCTGCCAATCCCTGCTCCGGTTGTAGCTGCTATCTCTCTTGTTAACCTCGGCGCTTCCTGCGGTAGTTCCTGCGGTGATCGCCTCATATATTAGGCGTGGGAGTACGGTGGGGAGGATGGTACTGTGACTCGCTTTGCTCCTAGTGCTTCCGTCGTGCAAATTCGACGAGCTGTATATTCTCGAGCTTATCCTTGGAACATCTGTGAAGGCGGCCATTGGGGCTAAAGCTCCCCAAACAGCGAGGAGCTATTCCACAGCCTCGGGCCGATAGAGCCAGCTCAAAGTAGGTATTCGAGACTGGAGATGGGATTAGTTGGCCTTCTCGTGTACAAGATGTACAGGCTGAGGTTGTGTGATGCTGCTCTAGAGCGATCCGGTAGATTGGGCTGGCGAAGCCTGGACAGGCGTAGCAGAAAGCAGGCCTGCCGAGGCTTCTTTCTCGAGACCTAGCTTCATATCGAGCCAAGAGTAGAAGTTTGGAGACCGGCAGAAACTCTCGTATAGGTTGTCGCGTGCTTTATGTCTCTGCATTGGGCTTTGTCCCCTGAACTTCATAGAGCTGCCGTGCTTGGAGAGACTGTAGAGAAAGTCGGCTTCGGAAAAGTTGGCGTAACGGTAGTCTCCTCCCGGAGAGGTGAAGTTGGTGGACGCGCTGGTGGCGAGGTACCTGTTGACTGGTGCGAGATATTGAGCCGTCAACTCGGCATAGTGTCGGCGGATCAGGGACGAGAGCTCATGATTTGCCGGGCTGCTTCTTAGCAGTGTATCTACGGTCTGTACGAAGGTGCGGTCGCTTTTGACGAATCTTTTGGACACAGTCTGGGAATCGATGCCTCCCGGCATGTCAAAACTTTGGTTGCGGTGGTGCATGGAACGATGTCTCTTTATTGGGACCGGATCTTCGGAGGCGTGGAGATATAGCACGTGTGGTTTACTGCGATTGCTGGTCTCAGAGGCACCCAAGACGCGTTTCAAAAGGAAAGGATTCGTAATTCCAATAATGAACGGTCGAGGTGTTCCCCCGTCGATACCAATGGACCGAAACTCGGATTGCATGGTCATATATGGCTTGACCTCTCCGGCATAGGGAATTGGCCGAATTAGGTCGACAAGAGCACTTACGCCTTCACTGCAAAGCTGTGGGCTCTTGGCAAGCACGATTATACTTTCGCACAGTAGCAATTTCTCGTAAACGACATCGAGATCGGACAAGCATGGCATGAATTGCATAATGTTTTCCCAGGTCCCAAGTGGTTCGTAAGCGTAGATGGAGGGGGCCCTTCCAGTGGCTGATATGGTTGGTCTTGTAGATACGAGTCCCTGAAGAGGAAATGCGGGATGTGGGGTTCTAGATTGATATTAGGGGCCAGCTTCGATCATCAAGCATCTATCTTACATCTCAAGTGTCAACATGGAACCCATGAATGGGAGTTCATGTTTGCCCAGCGAAGGGGGAGCCCATGTGAGCATCTGATTGTGTGCAGTCTCGAGAGCGGTCGGATCACTGATAACACCAGACGATGTCATCTCCTTAAGAAGGTGGATGAAGAATGCAGGGAATTCATGAGTCGTAATCATAACCAGTGTTCGTTGGTTGAAACTTCGCTTCATAGAATGGTCATATTCTTGGCGGAAAACTGCGTTTCCGTAGAATTCGGTGGCGCTACCATGTGGCGAGCAGGGGGAATCCAGCGATATATCAGGAGAGTTGTTGGGGATGGTGAAATGAAAGGTCAGATCCGCTGCAGTCTCGGTATCCTGACGTTCGGGAAAGCTGCCCCAGAGTCAGTATCCGTTCTATGGTACAGAATGGCCGCTACATGCCTATTGAAGCAGATGGCGGAGAGATCGCTAGTAGAGAACTGCGTGTTGGGTGGATATACTATCTCGATCTCTGGGCCTGTAGTGTGTTAGATGCTGAAGGGGGGCGTATAGAATAGGCATATAGGCAAGGTTGACAGAGAACATGAAGTTTGTGTGCAATTCAAGAGAAGGATTTGGTCTTCAGAATAACAATAGGTTTCTTTGACGTTTTAAGACAAGGATAGAGGGAAGATTCTTACCAACATCCACGTTGAAGTTACATACGATACTTCACCCTTGTCAGCGAACAGCCTGGTGTAGATCAGGGTCTCTGCTCTCACAATGCTACGGCCCATTGCCGGAAGTTGTTTGGCGTCGGAGTGACTTGACGGGATCGCCTGTGATGTTGCAATAATTTGTTCTTGAGCTTCTCCATAGCAGTTTCAGCTCCAATCCAGGAGGGTCGCGCGGGCGGAACGGTAGTGAGAGTGTCACTGGACAAGATGGCTTATGAGGGAGCCTACCATTCCGCTAAGCAGAACATGAATAGCGGGAAAGGTCTTCCTGCGATCTGTGAGTATAGTAGCAGGTTCGGCGGGCTTAAGGCGGAGTTGAGTCTCGTCGTCGTCGGCCTGCATAAGAGAGCTTGGGCCACCGCGATGACGCCGTTGTCTCGAGGTCTTGCTGCACGATCCTTGTGACGCGGCTGGACACCACCGCCTCAACTCTTCATAATTGGCCTCCAACCTCGACCATCACTATTTCCTAGCTTCTCTGTGGACGTTGTCCCTCTGGCTGTGCTGACAGCCCTCACTCGCGCCTTTCCACCCTCGTTTTAGCTATGTAGGGCGTCCAAAAACCGCTTGCAGATATGGACGTCAACATTCAGAAGGCGCTGAACGACAAGCTCTATGACAAACGGAAAACGGGTGCTTTAGAGTGAGTGTTTTTCTGCTTGATAATGAAACTCATGTTGCAGAGTGATCTCTCCAGTCCTTCTAGAATCTCTCATCCTTCATCGAGCTTTGCGCCGTACAGCCATATCACTTTGAAGTCTGACTAACCGCGCTTCTTGTAGACTTGAAGCCCTCATTCGAGACTCCCTTGCGGCGAACGACCATGACCGGATACAGAAGATAGTCTTCCAGCTCTGCCACGAATATGCCTACGCCGTCCACCAACCACACGCTCGAAATGGAGGACTTATCGGACTCGCAGCAGCCTCTATAGCTTTGGGAGTTGTGCGTAAAATATAAGGAGGTATTGCTAGTACACGGCTAATGAATGGTTACAGGAGGTTGCGCGGTACCTGGAGCAGATTGTTCCTCCGGTGCTTGCTTGCTTCTCAGACCAAGATGCTCGCGTTCGATATTACGCCTGCGAGAGCATGTACAATATCGCAAAGGTCGCAAAGGGCGAAATACTGGTCTTCTTCAACCAAGTTTTCGATGCACTGTGCAAGGTATGCTTAGCTCGTTTTGTTGTCCGGAAGCCTCGAGGGCCCAGCCAGCAATTTTGTGAGATCTTTCAACCGTCTCAAAAGATTGTCCTGCAATCCCAAGAGGTTTCCATATGGTTTCCTATCTTTTCCAGGCTTAGCTAATCTGACAACATCAGCTTGCGGCAGACTCCGAATTGTCGGTAAAGAATGGTGCCGAATTGCTAGATCGACTTATCAAAGACATAGTCTCCGAGTCAGCCGCATCCTACGTCTCCGTACTACGTATCTCAGATGAGATCGATGAACATTCTGACGATGGTGGACACAAAGAACAGTCAATCGAAGCTCGGACGGCATTCTCATTACCCGACTTCATACCACTCCTTCAGGAGAGGATCAATGTTCTTAATCCATTTACACGAACTTTTTTGGTCTCTTGGATAAACTTACTGGACTCCATACCGGATCTCGAACTTGTGACCTATCTCCCATCTTTCCTCGGCGGCTTATTCAAATTTCTCAGTGATCCTAATTCAGACGTACACACGGCGACCCAAACAGCGCTCGACAAGTTTCTATCAGAGATAAAGAAGATTGCTCGAATCAAGCGTGGGATCGCTGAAAGTCGAAAGAGTGCTGGAGATGATGGAATAAAACACTCGGCTTCCAGCGGTCGGAGTGTGCAAACTATGAGTAGCGATGGTAGCATTCCCCAGGATCGGCAACGACACGAAGACAGCCTTGACGACGAGAGCATTAACAGCCAGTCCATGACCGCGACTGACGAGAAACTAGGCAGTGCAGAGGATGACTGGATACCTGGTCAAGATGTTCAAGTTGACCATACCAAGATCATGGAGATTTTGGTAACCTTCCTTAGCGAGTCGTCGGGTATGTGCCGTCCTCTGCTCGAGAAACCGTTGGCTGATCTTAAGTTAGAAGAAGAGATCCAGCTCACTACACTTCGGTGGATTGATAGCTTTTTCGAAATCTGCCCAGAGGACATGATGCCCTTTGTGCCTCGACTGCTATCACATGTGCTTCCCACAATGTCACACGACAATGAAAAGGTTCGACAAGCTGCTAATCGCGTCAATACTTCGCTCACGGATTATATCTTGTCGCTATCGGATGCGAGTCCGAAATCTGAGGCTCCATCATCTGCTACACTTCAAATCCCGTCCGCACCCGCAAATGCCGCAAAAGAAATGACCGGAGAGAACAGGCGCGACTCGAACATTTCAAGCAAATTACCAAGGGCCAGTAGCCGGGATCCTACAGCAGAAACCCGATCAGCTGACGCGCGCTTGAGTATCGACACTCGAACGCCGACACCTGCAGAAGAACGAAGTCCACCACCTAGCCAAGGGGCAGACTTGGATTACCAGGCTGCAGTGAATGCTCTAACTCTGCAGTTCTTGAACGAGCACGAGGCTACTCGAGTAGCTGCAATAGCTTGGCTCATCATGTTGCATAGGAAGGCTGGAGGAAGAGTAATTTAGACCTCGCTTCTCTACCGCATTATGCTAATCGTGGTACTACAGATTCTCTCCATCGATGATGGAACCTTCCCAGCACTCCTAAAGACACTATCAGATCCTTCTGAAGCGGTTGTCACTCGCGACTTGCTTTTACTTTCGCAAATATCCAAGAACAGTGAAGACTCGTACTTCACTTCGTTCATGGTGAATCTCCTTCAGCTGTTCTGTACTGATCGTCGGCTTCTCGAAACCCGTGGCAATCTTATTATCAGGCAACTCTGCGTCACTTTGAGTGCGGAAAGAATTTACCGAACGATGGCCGACTGTCTTGAGAAAGATGAAGTTCGTCCATTTCTTCGATTAGAGAAATTAGTACATGCTAATCATTACTAGGACGTCGAGTTTACAAGCATTATGGTGCAAAATCTCAACAACAACCTAATCACTGCGCCGCAGCTTGCAGACCTCCGGAAACGTTTACGGAACCTGGAAACTCGTGATGGTCAAACCTTCTTTGTAACCCTTTTCAAGTCTTGGTGCCACAATGCAGTAGCCACCTTCTCCCTATGTCTTCTGGCGCAAGCATATGAGCAGGCATACCACCTTCTTCAAATATTGTAAGCTTATTTTTCCCGCGATATCTTATGGTTATTAATTTTTCTAGTGCGGAGCTGGAAATGACGGTCACTATGTTGATACAAATCGACAAACTCGTGCAGCTCCTCGAGTCCCCAGTCTTTACCTGTAAGAGCCTTCATATAAACACGTGCAAGATCCGCTGACAGTAAACCAAGACTTACGCCTTCAACTCCTCGAACCTGACAAGTTCCCACATTTATACAAATGCCTTTATGGCTTATTAATGCTCCTCCCCCAATCATCTGCCTTTGCTGCCCTTAAAAACCGCCTCAATAGCGTCAGCGCTATAGGCTACCTTCACATTGCCCCACGCCCGTATGTCCCCTCTCCCATTGCGTCATTCTACCATTCTCGCCAGAAAAGCTCAGAGACCGTGCCTCATAGTACTCAGCCGACGTCCAGCACGTCGAGCTTCGAGCGACCAAATCGGCTCAAGGCAAGGGAAGAAGGCGGCATCAGGTGGGTTGAGCTGCTGGATAAGTTCAAAAGCGTCCAGGAGAAAGCAAGGAGGTCACAACGGCTGGCGAGCATGGGCGAAGATGCTATCATGACGCCGGTTGTGGAGAAAGAGAAGCCGCAGCCGCCGGAGGTGCCGCCAAAACCCTTCGTACAAAGTTCGGCTGCAGGTTCCGCTCGTCCTACGCCTCCGCCACCACTCGGACACCAGAAAGCTAAGTCGAGTTTGAGTAACCTGGGACGGTTTACTGGAGGCGTTACGGGCAGGAAGTCGAAGAAATGAGCGTGAATATCCGCTCCAGTATTCGAATCAAGTGTTCACGATGTACAAAACCTCTTTGCGTTCTGTCTAGTGTTCTTTGATTGGCAATTAATACATATCTAATGTGCTTTTGGAGTTTTGGGAGAGGGCTGCTTCTGAAATAACGTAGACTATCTATTCTCATGCCCCTTGTAGCTGCACGAATGTTATGAGGCTATTTGTGGAGCCTACTTCAAAGACTTGGACAAGAGGTGAATATTCCTAGAGATGACTATCTTCTGTATACTCCGGGATTTACTGGCCTAGTCACGTAACCGTAGAGCGCCTGAGCATAGATGACACTCCTTTCCTCCTTAAAACGTCCACATTCGAATGCCGAAACAGGGTCTTTGATAATTCTGCAAAGCATTGAGCTTGTACAGTCAGAGAAGCAGCTAAAAGGGCATCTATTGCAGTTCTCATGGCTCCAACGCCGACGAGGACTAACTGATATCACTCAGCAGCACAAAGATGCCCTGCTCCATTCGCTACATGTAACCACTAGCCCTTCGCTTGACAGCGTTCCTAAGAATTCTGTGCCCCCCGCTTGGCGGTCGGGGGCTTGTGCAAAATCCGTGGTTGGGGGGCCCTTGTGCTACCCCCGTTAATCAAGTCGACAGCTACCATCCTGTAAATCCACCATATCTCCTCCACCACAAAAGCACACCGATTAATTAGCAATCCTTGACCAAGTCGTACTCGAAACGGCGGATCTATCTAGCAGTCTAAACCTGCTATCAAGTCGAACGTCATGACTGAGAGCAACTTCTCGGACGACGACATCTTCCTTCACCTCTCATGCCGCCCACGCCATATTCTCGACAATGTGATCCCAGTTGACGAGTCGACAAAGCCAACATTTACACCCTTCCAACGCGAATGCCGATCGTCTCTAGGACAGCTTGACAAACTACCTCTCGAAATTCTGCACGAGTCTCTTGGATACTTGCATCTCCAGTCCCTATCGCGTCTATCTCGTGTCTCTCTGCGCGGCAAAGCCGTCGTTGAATCTCTTCGCGAGCATGGAAATATCGTCTCAGCCGCAGGTCATACCTTCGAAATCCTAAATCGGGCCAGGATTCTTGGCTTGCACTCTGTTACCACGCTTCATGCTGCCCTATGTTCTGAGCGAAGTATATCCTGCGGCGCATAGGGGGCGTTTCTACTTCTGCTTTTTGCTGAGCGGTGCTGCTATATATGTCTGGTATTCCGCCAGCCTTTCCGGATAATCCTGTTGACGTTAGTGGGAGAATGCTTCTGGCTCACGGAGCAGCAATCAAGGGCGCTGCCCGTCATGTGGAGCATTCCTGGAAAGAATTGCGCTTCCCACAGCATATACTGTCAACAATCAGTAATGGTCACCAGTTTCGAAGCCGCAAAGGAGCTAGCTCTCAAGGTGCATGGGTCACTTGAGGCATTAGAGGCGAAGTGCCCTCTGTATAAACGGGATATTCCAGTTCTTGAGGATTTCGCCTGTTTGACATGGTATCGACAAGCCGATCTGCGTCCACTTTCGCAGGACCCTCTCATAAAAAACAATGCGGACATCAGAACCCGTGATGACTTCTGCGGCATGGGTGCCGTACCATTTCCATCACTTCTCGGCAATGACACTGAGCAAGGGCTCTGGTGCCGAGGATGTGAATTGACTTTTGAAGAACATGCAAAGGGAGCGATAGATCTCAGCACATTATCGCGTTTGGTACCCCAAGGTTGCGATCCTTATCAGTTTCTACGAAAAATGCGGTTCCGGGCTTGGTCCAGAGCAGACTTTCTCCAACACGCAAAGCGCTGTTGTTCCACAGCTGCGGTCATTTCAGAGAAATGGATAGGTTCAACGTACAGATCAATTCTCGTGTAGTATGCCATCACCCAGCCAATTTGAACAACTTTCACACCTATGCCCGGCACCACCACTACTCAAAATAAGTTGCAGCTTGACTATAATGATAAAGTTCTACACGCTCCAAAACTGCATTCTTTCGATACTACCGTTTGGCATTGTTTTGGGTACCACGCAGAATAACTGGCAGAAGGCACATTTATAGATATAATCATTTCTTCCTGTGTGTCCTGATTTTGCTTACTTCGGGTCGAAGCTTTCATGAAAACTCGGTGTAGTCCTCTGATTTCATCGAAGCGATTGTGATGTATTGGCGATTCTGGGAAAGGCATATGCATTCCCACGAATTCTCCTTAATAGCCCACAGCACCGCAAAATCAACCACAAAATACAAAACTGCATGTCAAACAGCAACCAAAACGAGGTGGGGTTGACTTGTGAGAGAATGAAGGGACTTTTAGGCGGGAAAACTAGGATATTAGGTCCTCACCGAGTTCGAGGGACCCGAGATGATGATCCAGAGTACCAATGCAACCTCAAGTCTGGAGCCTACTTCGAGCAGCACCGGACCCATGGAAAATAGCATCTATAAATGTGATGATCTTGGACCGGATTACTCTTAAGGAAGGTACCAGAATATGTAGAATCAGCATATTAAGGCCGTAAGCAATGCCCAGCTAAGCTTAAAAGAAACCGCATCTTATAAGGCAGGCTTTAATCTAGCTGTTACTAACTACTCCACCTAATGCTACAACTATACTAAAGATACTAGTGCCAGGTATCTAGAGGGTTGGTACTAAGCTAAAGCAAATATCTAGGGCCCGTGACTACTTATCTAGATTTAAACTACTTTTCCAGGGCTAAAAACCTTGCATTAGTGTCTCCTGAGCGCCAAAAAGGGTACTGGGACTAACTCGCAGACGCAATAGTTCTAAAGAAAAAAAGCTCCACTGCACAACCTGCTTGCAACTGACATATAGTGAATACGCGTGGAAGAAATCTAACGTGAGCAAATGGAATTCGTAGGAGCGGCATGGCTATGAAGAAAGAGACGGTCTCAGTCATCGTTTTGCATTGTCAGATTACTAGAGGGCGAAGGAAAAATTGAAGTAAAACCACACGAAGAACTTTGATATTTGTACAGTGCATTTACGTACAATAGGAACTCGAAGGGAATTACGTGATTACTCTTCCTCGTATCGTTCGTTTTACGCTGGTGTATCGTCGATTTTGGCTGAAGCGCTGCATCGCACAAAAAATGGCCGACTGCCCGTTCGGTCGGGAGTCGGTATAGGAATAAGACGACGACCTGAGCGGAATTCCACTGAGGGCTGTAGGGCACCGGGGGACGACGGGCGGTGCCTGAGAAAGCTTGGGCCCGAGGTCGTCTGGATGGTATCTTGGTACAACTTAGCGCGCGTCATGATGTTCAAATTATTCCCAACCACCATTGCTTCTTCTATAGAGCTCCTGTGAGCTACACGACGCCTGAAAATTCCCCAGCGCGGGCCTCTCAACCATTCGAATGACGCGCCGGTGCCCTAGGCTCGTGAGGAGCAGCTCGAATTACCCACGACCACTCCGCTCGCTATGTTCACAATCCACCCTCTCTCCCGCGGTCCACGTCCACTCTCTCTACCATCCTAGCCGGCGAAGAACCCAGTCAAGCTGGGCCACTGCTGTCTCAGCCGCTCAGCATGTCTTCAGCAGTACCCCCGACCCCAAGTCGCCAATTGGGCCCGACCCGTTTCAGACCGTCGCGAAAGAGATGAAGTTTCTCACCAAGAACATAAGCCAGTTGCTGGGATCCCGCCATCCTACACTAGATACAGTAGCGAAGTACTATACGCAATCAGAAGGGAAATATGTACGGCCAATGCTGGTGCTGTTAATGTCACGAGCTACTGCTATCGCCCCCAAGAGTGGTCGCTCGCTCATACCGGAATCTGTGAACAAGTCCTTCGCTTCCCCCAGTATTCTTGTGGACGAGAATCCTTCTACGCCAGGCTACTCGCCAACTACATCGCTATCGAACGAGCCTGTCTATTCCTCTGAAGATTCAGACATCCTTCCGTCCCAACGACGCCTGGCCGAGATCACCGAGCTCATCCACACTGCCTCCCTCATCCACGACGATGTCATCGATCACTCAGAAAGCCGGCGTGGAGCGCCATCGGCAAACATAGCCTTTGGCAATAAAATGGCAGTGTTGGCCGGCGATTTCATGCTGGGACGAGCGTCTGTTGCTCTAGCGAGGCTACGGGACCCAGAGGTAACGGAGCTATTGGCGACAGTCATTGCAAACCTTGTGGAAGGAGAGTTCATGCAGTTGAAGAATACGGCACAGGACGAGAAACACCCAATGTGGACCGAGGATACAGTCACGTACTATCTACAAAAAACCTACCTGAAATCTGCGAGTCTGATAAGCAAGTCATGTCGAGCTGCCGCTTTACTTGGACAGAGTACCCCGGAGGTTGTCGAAGCCGCATATTCATATGGGAAGAATCTTGGCTTAGCTTTTCAGCTGGTCGACGATATGCTGGACTACACAATCAGCGGAGTGGAGCTTGGAAAACCTGCCGGGGCTGACCTGGAACTTGGCCTTGCCACAGCGCCCTTGTTATTTGCATGGAAAGACAATAAGGCCCTAGGTGCGCTCGTCGGGCGGAAATTTTCCCAGGCGGGAGATGTCCAAAAAGTAAGAGCCGCTATTTCACCACAATCACAGCTACTAATCACAACCTAATCAGGCTCGAGAACTTGTGGCCCAAAGCAGCGGACTAGAACAAACTCGAGCACTTGCTCAAGAATATGTTGACAAAGCGATTCAAGCCATCAGCGCGTTTCCCGAAAGCGACGCCAAACAGGGACTTATCGAGATGTGTGAAAAGGTGCTGAAGAGGCGGAATTAGACACGACGCTTCGTGATGTTAAAAAAGTCAATCTTGTCGTTTCCTGTACGAGTATCTTGAATCCTAGACGACGACGAAAAAGGTCTTCTATTATGGATGAGGTAAACCTCGAAACGGTCTTTGGCGCTACTCTCATCTTTGCATTGTACATATATACATTCACGTACACGCCATGGCATTGGAGCCAGGACAGACTCTTTCACATTTCGACGTCTGCTAGGTGCGTTGTTCTTCATATTCGTGTATCAGATTTACTGATTGTCACGTGTGTTGGAGTCGGCCAATCATGGGCCTCGTATTTCTAAGGCTCGATGTTCTGTTGTGCCGCAAGCTACAGACATCATCACCTCGGGAAGTAGGGGTGCTCGTCATACTACTTTCCACAAGCAAGAGACACTTCTATTGTTGAATCTAGCAATGGAGGTAGACGAGAATCTCACCCCATGTGCTAGTTCTAATAGGCGTTACACTTATAATCAAGTCTACGAAACCTATCACGAACCGCGCGGTCCAAAATGGTTTAATATCTGGCTAGTCAAGAAAGAAAGCGTGTTTGAGTCACTGCTTTCCACTTCAAGCATACCTTCCAAGCAGAAAAAAAATAGGGTCAAATTTTCGCCCTCCAGGTACTCCACAACAGTACCCAGAGGTCTCATAGACACAACTAAGCGCAAACCCCCAAGAATTACCTGAGGGTTAAAACGCTCAGCATCACTCGACGCACTTCCAGTAGAGCTACTGCAGCACAGCAAATCGCAACCTACCTTACCCCCCCAACCCCCCTCATCGTCTTCGTCCCGACCACCCACATTCTCGCTCGCCGCCGCCACCACCACCACCACCACCACAACATCCCCCCCCTCCAACAGCGCCTGCCTCACCCACATCTCCTGCGCGAGGGGAAAGCGCAGACACGCGCCTCACCGCCACCGGCCTCCGCCTGCACTACAGCATCACGCCCCGCCTCGTCGACGGGAAATAGTACCTTGGAACGCAATTCAACGCCTAGCAAAACCCACGCCGGCGCCCGGTTTATCGCTACTTCAGCAGGTCGGGATTCGCCCGCGCGGACGTGCGCGCGCATTGGCGCCTGTCTGCGTTCGCGTTCCCCCGAGGCAGCGGGGTCATGGAGAGGGTTGAGCGGGTGGAGGAGCGGGTGGAGTAGGATGGCTAAGGGGGCGAAAGGGGGTTCGAGGGGGTCGAGGGGGTGGGAAGGAGGTATGCTTAATTCAGAGCCCTCCTCGCTATTCAGGTCTCTAATATATCTATCACGTTTCAAGAGAGCAAAACAGCTAAATCTGAACTCGCTCTCAAATATTAGGGAGTGCGGTGGCACATTATAGATTACAGCGGTGAATACACTCTCGAAGTAGCATCATCTATCCATACATGGGATGGAACAGGGGGCAAAAAAGAAATCCAAAAAAAAAGCCAAACACGTTAGCTTTTTTTAGACCGGGGGTTTTCTTTGGCTTGTGGGGTTTGTGTGCAGGAACATGGGAGCGGTACCCATATTGTACACGAGGATGAGAGAAAATTAATAGGTGTATGTAGGTTGAGCGGGAGAAGTTTGAGGTATCGGTAAGGTAGCGAGGTCATGTGAGCTCACGTGCTGAGGGTTGAGGTGGTGTATAAAAGGGTGGGTAAGCGGATGGTGAGGTCGGCAGAGGTTTGGGTTGCGGAAGGCAATGTGAAAGAGTACGATGGCTCTAGAGGTGGGACATCAAAACGATGGTTACTGTCTGACATGGCTTTCTTCTTGGATCAAACCTCCACGCTCGGAGAGATGCAATGTGGTGGAGGCGTGTTATCCACTCTGAGGAAATCGATGACTACCATCTCTATCAGTATATAATGATCTTCGCTAACACGGCGAACACATGGCTAACATTATTGGATATAGAAGGTCAAGAGGAGTATTAGCTTGGAATAGCTCCGTGTTACTAGACGTACAACACACTTGCAAGCACTACATCGACCTTCGGATTCGTTGAAGATTCTCCCTGCTAAATTTGCCCTATTTTGCTACTGATCTTCCTTTTTAGACGGCTCGTCAAGCGTCATTAGCATACCGCAACTATCCTCATCATCACCACTCCCCAGACCCAGGGACACCATCATAAGCAGCTAGGGTTGCAGTTGGAAAAGCCCAACCCCAGACATTGGACCACTGAAATAGCCGATTTTGATTACTCATCAGGTCTTTGCTACGGACCATTTGATCAAGCCATGCACCTTGATTTGCCCTGTAGAGACGCCAATCGCAAAGTCCGGCGAATGTTTTATACCTTCTCCACACCCTAGTCACGAGATTAGCATGTGACTTGGCATCAGCTTCTCTAAATCGTAGAGTGAAAACTGGTCAGAGTGGCCCGAGCGAGGTATCGGTAGTGCAAGGCTGACCGAAGGAGCAGAGACAGAATGCGGCGCAGACCGAATGGAATGTGCGAAGGAATACGGCACGGCCTGAGGCAGACTCATGTCTTACCCAGCGTCAGCAAGGAGAAGCAGCGCCGCGCTCCAGTACCAAAAAAGTAATATACGAGTCTGCCTCGCAATTTGTCTCTGCGCTGTTGCGAGATCTGTGAGGGGTGGGGCGGAGCGGGTACGCCGACGATCGAAAGCGGGATGCTAAGATTTTAAGTAAAGGCTACGTTTGGAATTGACTCGCGTATAAAGAGATGCAGAAAATTGGGTTCATTGAATTGATTAATTAACTAGTTCGGGGCTTGGTTTTGATATGGGTAGTAAGGAATTTGAAAAAGACAATGTACAAGAAGTTGAGCTAGACCTCCAGTGCTCACCACCGTAGCAGAGAGGTGAAGTCTGACCATTCCACTACCGTATCGTTACAGAACGAAGCCAATGCATGGATCGTGTTGTTCCGATGAGACTTGAAATCTCATGCTCTCATTTCCGTGTGCGCCGGTATGAGAAACCCTCCCATTCAAGCAGCCCCGAAGCCCTAAGACCTTAACACAACCCAAACGCCCGTAACCTATCCCTATCATAACTTGATCGTTATCGCGAGCCGGAACTCAAGGTCTACCGGATGATGCCGTCGCTCTGCTTATTTGGTGGTGGGCCGGGTGGCGGAGAGTACACGCTGTCCTCGCCTCTGTACGGTGTATGCGCTGGCTGCGGTGACTGGAGCTCGACACCGTTCTGCTGGCCGTAGTAACCCTGGTTGGCGCCGTTGCCATAGTAGTTTTCGTTCTGCGGCGCGGGAGTGTACGGTGGAGCGGGTTGATTATTGTTGTTGCTGTAGTATGGTTGCGCGTTGTAGATGGCGGGATTGTGGCCTGGAGGGACACGGCCACCAGCCCAACCGGTGCCATAGAAGGGCGCGCGGCCGGCGCGACGACGGCGACGCGCGGTGAGACAGCTGCAAAGGATGAAGAGCAGGAAGAAGCCGATGATGACTACGGCGAGCACGACCCAGCGGACCCAGTTGTCCCATGCGGAGCTGTCGCAGTATTCCTGGCCATTGTTGCCGTAGTAGCAACTCATAGGCGATGAATGTTAACTGGTAGTTCTTTGAAACTGAAAAGAATAAAAGGTTGGCGACACAGCTGTTTGCTGAGGGCGGGGTGACGATGCAGCTGTAGATGGAACACTGGACTGAGGAAATGGAAACTCACTTATAGTATCGTTTATTGATGACGGGCATAGCTGCGGTGGAGAGTGTACGTAGGTCAATGACGAAAGGTGGTGTTGGTGGTGGTTGGGAGGAGAGGCAAATAATAAAGGTTTAAGATGGCCGGTGGCAGCAGGCCGTGTGGAATGACGAGGACACTCAGCCACTCTTGGCCCTAGCAACCTTGGAAGCACGGCACGTGGTTAGTGCGGTTTTCGATGGATTGACGTCTGCTGCGGTTGGTGAGATTTGGAATCGGCCTCTTTGCAGGCATGCGTTGCGAATATTGTCTCTCGCCGTGCTCAGCTATCTCTGTTGCAAGCCAGCCAGTATCGCAAGCTTTGTCCGTGTTCTTTATCAAATTGGCCATCAAAGGCAGGAATAAATCGATGGCATGACAATAAAGCTTGACGTGCGTAGCTGCCCACGTCACTGCTTCGATGAGTGGTTAGATCCGATTAGCGAAGTACCTATGTATTCCTGAAGACCCAAGAATAATCTGTGTCCGTGTCACTGATCATTCACCCAACGATGAAGCACTCCTCGCATCCACCAAGTGCAGAAACCATTGACATAGTTGACCACATTCTGAGTGTTTATTGTTAGTGGCGCCATTCCGTGGAAAATGATGATTCTGGAAGTGTCGGCGTTGCTTCCGCCTCATCCTTTTGGCTCGCATGACAAGGCTGAGTCTGGAGTCGTATGCTCAGACCTTCTAGTCGCCTTCCGGGCCGAAAGACTGGACGCGATGCGCTCCCGTGAGCAAGACCTGGGCATCACGACACACGAAGATTGGGCTCGCTTGCCACATATAACAACGTCCTCCACGAGTCTTGCATTGAGAGATTGATGGGCCCAGGGCAGCCGGGCCGAACCCTAGCACTAAGATGAAGAACTCCGGTATCCCTACAATCGTAGGGCAAGAATAACGAATCACGTGACTAAATACGCGATGCCTCCTCAGTGAGTATTATTTCAGCGAGCTATAGTCCGATGATACCAAATTCTTGGGGGCACATGAAAAGAGTACCCATCAAGCTGTTTGGCGTTAGATAGTGTCCAGACTTTATATCGCCCCAAAATATTGAAGTGTCGCACGCCCTCCTTACATCGCCAGCATCTCAAACCTTGCACATACTCACTGCCACGCATGTGGACCATCGCAGCCACCTGCGCCACTCCTCTGCACTACCTAGGTAAGTAAGACTGCTTGTTCAGCGCTTCAAAGTCGTTCCTTCAGAGCACGACAATCATATGTGAAATGACAATTTCGATAGAAAAAGACATGAACGTCATTACCAAGGAAACGTTACCCAAAAATTTATCTTACGAAGTGTTCGATTTGACTGACCCAACTCGAACTTATGAGTAACAAGGGTACGACAGGAGCCAAAAAACTCATCTCCATCTTCTCGCAACTTCAGTTGACATCGCTCCCTTTTCTAATAGTCTATGGATAATTTGATCCTTCCAAACAGACACTGCGTATCGCATAGACTCATACGTCGAGTCGAAGGGAGTATGAACCCCTATATGCCGCCACCTGTGATGAAGAGCAGTAAAAGCTTCTGGCCCCTGGGCAGAAAAAAAGGCGCCCAGTAATGTCGGTGAAATCTCACTCCCGGCGCCACCAGGCACGTAGAGCTCGTGACCTACGCTTTCGTGAAGAACAAGTGCCGATAAGTCTACATCAGTCAAGTCCGCACACTTCAGTGGCGTTCTTCCACAGAAATCTTTGACGTTGATGATATCTGTGATATTTGGCATATTGAGAAGGATACTGAGAATTTGGGGGTGCCAGAGGACAGAACTGGCCAAATGCAACCCCGTCAGACCGAAATCCTGTCACGATAACCCGCGCGACAGCCAGCCGCCAAGAGGATTGGGAGGGTGTCCAATGAGTTCCAGCAGGCATACCGTACAGCGCTGTAACCGAAGAGCGTTTGAGCCTGAAGGTCGGCCTCATGCTTGATGAGTACGCTAGCTGCTTCCGGGCTGTCGCCATGTGCTGCCTGCAGCAGTGGGGTGAAATTCATGTCATTTCGTTGGTTGACACAGTCGACACATTGGAGCTCGCGTTCAACAATTTCAGAATAATTAAAAAACGCTGCGATATGTATGGGCGGCCACAGGACATGCCGGTCAAACCACATCTCAACATGCCACCGCTGCCAGCGATCAAAGAGGTTGGTGGGATTGGGTCCAAGATGAGCATTCCAGTAAGTCTCAATATATTTCCAACTTTAGGTGGTATTCGGGTGGGAAAAGACACTATCCATAGAGTGGAACTGTGTTAGGTATTGATAGAGCTGCAACCATCTCCAGGTTTTCTCTGAAGACCCTAAGAATTGGGCGATTGTACTCTGTAACAGACCTCCGTCTTCGTAAGGGATTTTATCGAGATGCTTCCACCAATTCAGAGCTGCATATTCGAGAAATGGATATTCCACGATAAAGGCATGAAGTTTTTCTACATCAGAAAGTCTGCTTGGCCTCTTACCGATCAGGCTGATATCGGAAAATGACAGTGAGGTGATGCAAGCTCTCGCAATGTGCATGGCGCTGAGTGCCTTTTGAAATCGGTCTACGGGGTAGGGTTGGCTCAAGCCAAATTGGACACCCTTGGAAGTAAGGAAGTCTTTTGCAGAGGCATAGACAAAACGAATCTGCCCGGCTTTCGTGATTTCAACGAATGAACCACAGGCCTCAACGACATCTGACTCTCCGCGCATCAACGACCTTTGCTGAGGCGATACTTGTGAATCAATATGAATTCCTAGAGCGAAGTCGAGTTCATTGAGCGTCAAAGGCCGGTTTGCAGCCGTTATCCACTGCTGAATTCGGAAGGCCCTTGCCCGACGAAGAGCGTTCGGGATATCCTGAATTTTTGCCAACAGCCTCTCATAAGTCGCTTCCAGATCCTTTGGTAAGTCGTTCTGCAAGACTGCTTTCGCATCCTCGATGGCGAATTGGGCTTCGAGGGCTTCCAGTTGGAAGCGGGCCCAAAGAAACATACCATCGGCACCTTCTTGCAATTTCGCGAGGGCCCATTCCTCTAAAGCAGTATCAGAAAGGAAAGTTCCATACGGCCGACGCAGGCTTGAATCCATCGGCCGAGGTCTTTCTCCGTTGCGCTGTTCGTCACTGGTATAATGCAGACTCTGTCTTTCACCCCGGAGTCTAAGGCTTTCCGAATCCAGTTTTCTGGTCTGCTGATGATCGCGAACAAGCAATTTTGTCCCATTGTAGACACAAAGTGTATCAGCTTGTCCGCAGAAGCCGGTTCACATTCGTCCAAGCCATCCACAATTAGACAGATAATCTTAGTGGACCGAGAGATAATGTCTCCTAACGCGTTTTTGACAGGTTCATGCTGTCCACGTATTCCAGGACCTTTCTTTTGGTGTTGCAATGCGCATTGAGTAAATTCAGGCATTTGCTCCAAAATTTGCCAGAGCCATGTCTGCAAGAATGACTCAAACGTTCGTCGGCTATCATCTCCCAAGCTGCAGAAGAAGTAGGCGGTGACAGTTCCTTCCGCTTGAAGGTGTTCAATTAAAGTTGCCGAAAGTATGGATTTTCCAGAGCCAGGTTTGCCGCGAATCCACAGAATCGGACGTAGATGTGGTTGCCAGTTGCTGAATTCGAGGGTGTCGAAAATCCAACGGCAAGTGGCGAAATGGCGCTGGTTTAGTAGCTCCCTGAGGTCTTCTTCCACCGACGCAGGTTGAAGCCCGCTTGCGAGGGACTCGCTGGAAGCTTCAAATATTGTTTTTGATGATGTTAGTGTGCTTATTGATGAGTTTGTGTTCCTAGTCGTATCATAAACGACCAGCTTTGAAAGATCCTCATTGACTACGTGAATTATCATCAGCAGAAACCCTGTTTCAAGATGAGTTTCTGTAGCCCTACCTTCGCCTGGTTAATCGAGAATTCGCTGGCTTCGCTAGAAGCCTTCTTCTCAGGCTCGTAGTTCCTTAAACGCTTGTCGATCTTCGCTCGAAGTCGATTGAAAGCATTATCCCTCCCCTCGCCATAGATCAGAGGCATGTAGACTTCAAAAAGACCCAGTAGGGAGTAGGCTCGATCCTCCTCACGCTTAGTCTCACGCGTTGCTGCCCATGATATGCGCTCAGCAACGCTAAACTGAGAGAGATCGGTTCCTCGAAGAGCATTGGTCGGAATCCCCGTAATGTCTTGAATCTGTGTTTCCAACGAGCTTTTGTCCCCGAGTCTCTTGCCTTCTAGGGAGAAGAACTCGACTAAACGCGGAGCAACAAGCTCTTGAAGGGTCCAGCCCCGAGTGAATCACCTACTGTTGCGAAAAGTCGATTCCCTCGTGACCTCGACGTTCTCATCGATGCCACCCACTAAGACGTCTACGAGGTATACGTAGCACTTGGCCGCATAACGGTACCAGCGAAACATGGAGTTGATGGCCTCCGTGAGCTCTGAACTGCTAGATTTGTCGATGCAACAGGTATCCACCCAGAAGTATGACAAACCATCTCTTGAAGCTTGTTCACGGCAGAAGTGGAGTTTCTTGTAACCAGCCTTGGTGTTCCCCAAGCCTGTCACTACATCTTTATAAGTCACTTCTTCGTGATCTGCTCCCCAGGTATGCGAAAGTATGGCATAGGGGGGTATGTCGCCGACAAACTCGATCAGGCTGAGGTTGAGGTCCAGAAGACGCATTGCGGTGCGTATGTTTCCGTTGATGTTGGTAAAGAAATTCTTGCTGATCAGACTTTCAAGCTTTTGTACATGTCGTGGCCAGTGATGATGGGCATACTCAATAAGGAGAAGAATAGAAACTGTGAAGAGATGTTGAGTGGCGCGACTGCAGCCACGACGCGCATCTGGGCATGCAGGCGGGTTGATGAAAGCTCTCGATATGCTACACACACAGTGTCCTTGCAAGATGTGTTGCATGAAGAACGCATTGACGGTCTCAGCCTTAAGATGAACATTCCCACATCCCTATAAGCGTCCATCTAAAGCACGGAGAACGGTGATGGCATGTCACGTGATATTTAGGTCAATCTTCTCACTGTCTATCACCTTCATACGATGGTATCCAACAAGAACAGAAACAAGAGCAAGCATATATCAGTAGTAAAGAAAGTTAAAAGTGAGTTATCTACACTTGTATTACACAAAACGATAATCTACCTACACAGTAGTACACACCTGGCATCATAAAGCACGTGCAGGTGGAACCCTCCTCCACTCCCCTCAGCTTCGTCCAACCCCTCCCCCTCCTCGAACAGGCTGTGGGCGGAACCCACCTCCCCTCGCGGCTTGCGTTCCGCAGGGTTCGGGACGCGGCCCACGGCCAGACGAAACGTCACAGCCCATCGGGATAGCAGCTTGTGGTCGCAGGGTCCTTCAGGCCTCTGATTGGCGCGCGCGCCCTGGTCCGTTTTAGCTGCTTCGCTGGCAGTGCATGAGAGAGAGTCGAAATAATACTCGCGCCTGGTCTCTGCACTTTTTTCCATTCTCTCTCCCTCGGACTTGCGGCCTGTCGTTCTGCTTTGCTCCCGCATACTGTTTTGTTTGTTGTGAAGGCTTTGGAATGCGCCAATTCCACCGCCATTGGGAGCGCGCGACCTGGCGACCTTCACCGAAGTCACTGACCAGCGAGCCCTCGAGCTGCCGGCCTGCACACTGCAGAGCGCATGCCCAGCAGCCACGCATACGCAGCTCTGGGTCGCACTTATCTTCTCAATGCACGGCGTTTTCGTCCTGCTTCACCACTCGCTTTCATTGAGGCTAGGGCGCGTTTGCGACGCTCAATCTGAGCATTAGATTTGAAGGGGACTCCTCTCCCAAGATACCAGCTATCCTTCACCAAAAGCCCCCGGCGCCGTATATTTTCCGCCAGTTGCCACCCCGCCCTCCAAGAAACAAAATGATACAGTGTTGATTCCTATGCCAAAAGAAGAACCTTCTCCAATCCTCGCTCCGCTCCGCTATGAGCGCGGGATATTCCTGTCGTTCGCTCGCTCACTTGGACGCTTATCCATGCCCGCTGGGAAGAATTAAAAAAGGGAGATGAAACAGGAGATCGTGCTACGAGCTGTGGAGATTTAGACGGCCATCGCTAGCCTGCAGAATAATCTTCTTTCCATCACATCGTCACATCATTAACTATGTCGTATAAAGCTGACTGCCGTATCCGTAAAAGCATAGGCGTCGTAGAAAGTCGTCAAGCAACCGGAGCTGGCACCCACCTCTCCAATGTCTACCCCTCGTTAGATCATCCACATTCGACAAAACCGGTTTCGAGAAATCGCACCTTCCAACTGCGCGCGAGCGCCTCATTTGCTGGACCGCGCAATCAACCACTGGAGGACGGCATCCAGATTGGTCTCTTCCTTGGCGCTGATGCCGTAGCAGCTGACCTCCCGGTGCGTCACGGCCTTGAGGTTGAGGGCTTCGATCAGATCGTCGACTGATAGCTTGTCCGGGAGGTCCGACTTGTTGCCAAGTACCAGGAGAGGAATGCCCTCCAAGGCAGGCTTCTCAAGCAGCAGTTTGAGCTCCTCACGTGCTACCGGGAGCGCCTCCTTGTCCGCCGAGTCGACAATGAATCTGGATACTGCCATCAGCGATGGTCTGGCTTGGGCACGTGGTGTCTTTACACGATCGCATTCACACCCCTACAATACCTCTCCCACATGGACCGGAACCGGGGCTGGCCTCCGAGGTCCCAGCTGCCACACCCACATCGTCAGCGCGGAGTTCTCAGATCTCGTGATGCTGCGCGGCATCTCCGATCCGGGTACTCGACTCGGATGGCTGCATCGATCCTCGGGACTACTGCTTACCACTTCAATGTAACATGCCCTTTCTGGACACGCTTCATGTTGAATCCAACCGTCGGAATGGAGCTGTGGCCTTGGATCAGTTGCTGGACCAAAAAAGAGGCGGATGCGGGACGACGCCACATGGCACCAATAACGAAAAGAAAGAAGCCGCAAGGGCTGCGCGACTCGGAACGGCATCGACGTACTCGATGGTGAACTCTCCTCCCTAAGCCAATCGGTTAGATGGATGCTGCCGACGAGACATCCGTGAGGTTGCACGGGGATTGTCCCAAAACGGTAGACACTCACCGCCAGAACTCTCAGCAGCGACGTCTTGCCGGCGTTTTGCAGCCCGATCATGGTGATGTCCATCTCGGTGGCCCTGCACAGGAGAGGGGGTCAGTCATAGGCACTGCAAATACTTGGATGCATATTTGCTTTTTTCAGGTACGAATTTGCTGGAAAGAAGGCGACAGATGCGGCACGAGGCAGCGGGGAAACGAGCGGGGCGACGGGCGCGGAGCGGGCAGACAGACCAGAAGAGGCGCAGGAGCCAATCGTAGAGGCGACGGAAGAAGCCTGCCATGGTGGGCGCGGTGGGCGGTGGTTGATTGTTTGCTTGGGAGAATTGGTGGTGAAGCGGGTGTAGGTGGTGAGAGAAGGCCTATCCTTGCTGCGGGGCAGAGGCAGTGGGGCGCGGCGCAACAGCGACTTGGGCGTGGAGGATAGAGATCGTGAACGAGCGCGCAATCCAACCTGAGGGTAGGAAGGAGAGGAGCAAGCGTCGCGCGAGGTGAACGATTCCGCCGCTGAGGACCCCAAGTCTTGTGCACTGGCAGCCTTCTCGGCAACCCAACCGTGGCTGGGCCCAAAACCGCCTACTGCCGCTATCGATAGCAAAAGCCCCCGATTCTTTTTTCTGTGAATTTTGCTGCCGTCCGAAGTGATCCTCTGCACCATCCGCCCCCAACCCTCAGCCCTCACCTATTGCTGCGACGCTGGCTATCGCAAGCTGGTGCTCTCTGCTGCACGCCCCCAGCTGCTCGTCTCGCAAACCATTACGGGCGCCCGCTCTCTTCCCGCCATACAACGCGCACCAATTCCGCCCGCCGCAGCTATGGCCCCATCACGAACGAGCCAGAAATGGGGCACAGAATTCGACACTGTCCGCCGACAGAAGCTGTTTCAGAATCCGCCCACTGACCGGACTGCCTACCCGGCCCTCGTGGAGGCCATAAAACCTCACATACAGTCTTTCAACACCATCCTCGAACGCGGAGGTATCCTCGACCATGCCATCAAGGACATTGGCACCAAAGTGTTCCTCGATGGAGACCCATACCTGGCGGACGCCCAACCCCGGAACAAGCTCAGTGTTCGGATACGCGATGTCTTCGTCGAGAAGCCTCAATTACCACCTACGAACAAGTTTGCGCTCAACGAGCGGAGGATCATGCCGGCTGAGGCCAGAGAGCGGCATGGCACCTACAGAGGCCGCATGTCAGTGCGGCTGGAATACAGAATCAACGACGATCCATGGATAGAGACTGTGAGGGAAATGGGACAGGTGCCTATCATGCTTAAGGTGGGCTCTCCAGTTTCTGTTTGTACCATAAATTCTAATTGTGCAAATTTTAGTCAAATCGATGTCATCTCGAAAACATGACACCCCGCCAACTCGTCGATGCGAAGGAAGAATCGGAGGAGCAGGGTGGATACTTCATTGTCAACGGCAATGAGAAGCTTATCCGCATGCTCGTGGTGAATAAGCGGAACTACCCAATGGCCATCACTCGATCCTCTTTCGCAAACCGTGGGCCTACATACTCTAAATTTGGCGTACAAATTCGATGCGTACGGAAAGACCAGACATCACAGACCAACGTCCTACACTACCTCAACGACGGCAACATCAACTTCCGGTTTTCGTGGAGGAAGAGGGAATACTTGGTGCCCATGATGATGATCCTGAAAGCACTCGTGGAGACCAACGACCGAGAAATCTTCGAAGGAATCGTGGGCGCTGCTGGGTCAAAAGGTCTACAAGAGAAGCAATTCGTGACCGATCGACTGGAGGTCCTTCTGCGAACGTACAAGGTATTCGGATTGCATGGAAAGGCCAAGACAAGGGCACATCTGGGGGACAAGTTCAGACCTGTCTTGAGAGTTGCAGAGGATATGAGCGATGAAGATGCTGGTACCGAGTTCCTAAAAAGAATTGTGCTCGTTCACTTGGGCGACGGCAAAGTTACGGATGAGCAAAACGCCGACAAATTCAAGCTCCTCCTGTTCATGGTCCGGAAGTTATACGCGCTTGTAGAAGGAGATTGCGCCGAGGACAATCCGGATGCTGTTCAAAATCAGGAAATTCTCCTAGGAGGCCACCTATATGGCCAGATCCTGAAGGAGAGACTGGACGAATGGCTATTTTCGATCAGACTCTCGCTCCAGAAATGGGGCAGGACGAGTAACTGGCTCTCTTTCACATCACCAGAATTCAAGAAAGATTTCATCTCAAAAGTAATACGGAAAACTAACGAGAACATTGGTCATGACATTGAGTACTTCATGTCTACCGGAAATCTCGTTAGTACCAGTGGCCTGGATCTTCAGCAAACGTCTGGCTTCACGGTTGTTGCTGAAAAAATTAATTTCTATCGATTCATAAGTCATTTCCGAATGGTCCACAGAGGAAGCTTCTTTGCACAGCTAAAGACAACAACTGTCCGAAAATTACTTCCGGAAAGTTGGGGCTTCTTATGCCCTGTACACACGCCTGATGGAAGTCCTTGCGGTCTGCTTAACCATTTTGCACACAAATGTGTCTTAGCTACCCACAACGTCGACGTTTCAGCAATTCCACAGCTTGTAGCCCAACTAGGAGTCACCAGCAAGTCGTCAGCATCACTTGACGAAAGCGTTGTAGTGCAGCTGGACGGCCGTGTTCTAGGATTCTGCACACCAAAGCAGGCCAGAGTCATTGGGGATACGTTAAGATATTGGAAGGTAGAAGGCACCCACAACGTCCCTTTGGAGCTTGAAGTCGGCTATGTCCCAAATTCTAACGGTGGCCAATACCCTGGAGTCTACATATTTTCACAGTCTGCCCGGATGTACCGACCAGTCAAGTACCTACCACTCGAAAAACTTGACTACGTCGGACCATTCGAGCAACCGTACATGTCCATCGCATGCACAGATCCAGAAATCGTGTCAGGAGAGTCTACGCACGTCGAGTATGACCCTACCAACATTCTTTCGATTGTCGCAAACATGACACCCTTTTCCGACTTCAACCAGAGTCCCCGAAATATGTATCAATGTCAGATGGGCAAGCAGACCATGGGAACACCAGGAGCAGCAATACGTTATCGCACAGATAATAAGACATACAGACTTCAGACAGGTCAAACGCCGGTTGTCCGAGCGCCTCTACATAACGAATACGGCCTAGACAACTTTCCAAACGGTACGAACGCCATTGTAGCCGTCATCTCGTACACAGGTTACGACATGGACGACGCTATGATTCTGAACAAGTCTTCCCACGAGCGAGGATTCGCTCACGGTACCATCTACAAGACTAAACTTTGCCAACTCGAGGAAGGATCCCAACGCTCCCGCTCGGCAAAAAGTATCCAAAAGCTATTCGGCTTTGCGCCTGGCGGACTGATTCGTGCGCAGTGGCGCGACACGTTGGACGATGACGGCTGGCCACATATTGGCGCGCAACTCCAAAAAGGGGATATTCTTGCCGCCTGGCATACCGTCTCATATGATCCTGCGACTGGGGATTATATCAACCGTGATGGACGGACAGAATTCGTAAAATACAAGGATGACGAAACCGCTTTCGTGGACGAGGTGCGCATCATCGGGTCAGAGAATGGCAACGAACCATGCCAGACCATCAGCGTCAAGCTCCGTGTTCCTCGATCACCTGTGATTGGTGATAAGTTCTCTTCTCGACATGGACAGAAAGGTGTCTGCTCCCAAAAATGGCCAGCAATCGACATGCCTTTCAGCGAGTCTGGCATGCAACCCGACATCATCATCAACCCGCACGCTTTCCCGTCTCGTATGACCATTGGTATGTTTGTCGAGTCCCTGGCTGGGAAATCGGGTGCTCTGCATGGCCTTGCTCAGGATTCAACGCCGTTCAAATTCGACGAGGAAAACACGGCGGTTGACTACTTTGGCCATCAGCTCAAGAAGGCAGGATACAACTACTACGGCAACGAGCCGATGTACAGTGGTATCACTGGCCAAGAGCTCGCCGCTGATATTTACATCGGCGTAGTATACTACCAACGTCTCCGTCACATGGTGAACGACAAGTTCCAGGTCCGAACGACTGGCCCAGTTGACGACCTCACCGGCCAACCTGTCAAGGGTCGTAAGAAGGGAGGTGGTATCCGTGTCGGAGAGATGGAACGTGACTCCCTACTAGCTCACGGAACGGCTTTCTTGCTCCAAGACAGACTGATGAATTGTAGTGATTATGTTCGGACGTGGGTGTGCAGGGCTTGCGGCTCGTTCATGAGCACCTCCCCTACTGTGAGCCAGTACAGCAGGAGAAAAATGGGGACTGGTATCACCAGGTGTAGGAGATGTGCTAAACGAGCGGACGGGTTCGAGCCTAAGGCGAAGGTTTGGGAGGATGGAGAAGGCGTTAGGTGGACTGGGGGTGACGACGTCGCTGTCGTTGCTGTACCGGGGGTGTTGAAATATCTGGATGTCGAGTTTGCGAGCATGGGCGTCAAGATGCGGTATAAGATCGAGCCTTGAGCGAGAAAAGTGTATGTTTTGGAGTATGGTGCATGGGCATGGGCGTATGGGTCGAGCATAGTCTGCATGATATGAATGAAGATCTTTACTGAACCAAAAATGGGTTCAAACGCCTACTATCTTCTCGACAACTTGCTCTCGTAAGGTCCTGCTTTCATAAGCTACATGACTAACGCTCTGGGATATTACTTAGCGCTATAGAAGCATTTAAGTTCGACGGCGTTGGACAAAACTCCAACTCCTCCCCTTGCACAACATGGCAATTTCTCGCCCCCAAAAGCGTATGCACGGATACTCTCCAGTGTATAGAAGCAACAAGTGTCACTGAAGACAAAGAGCAGTAGTATTTAAGAGTTGGACTTTCAGCCCATCTAATTGACGATTAGGGCGCTGAGTCTTGGCGAAACCGGGACCAGTCAGATAACCGTCCTCCGATACAAGACAGTGGAAGAAGCGCACTCAGAGTGACGATTAGGGCGCCATCAAAGAATTGTGCCACCTTTTGCCACATCCAATAATGGACGGGTCCATGAGCGAGCAGGATTTTCAGAGGCTCTTGGATTCTATTCCGGTGCAGGATCCGAACCTTCTCGGCACTTGGGATACATCTCTTGACCTTACAGGTATAGGAAGCGGAGTTCCTCAGGATGATTACCTTGGAGGGCTGTCCGAGTCAGTTGTTTTGCTGTTCTTTTATTACGGAAGTTCGTTAACAGGCTTCACAGCTGGCCCTCTTCCTACATCAACCGGCCCCTTCCGGGTATGCCATTAACCACGAAAGATGGACTGGTTCCACAGAATCTGGAGTTGAGCCCCCTTTCAGGACTAGACCCTTCTCAAGTTTCTCCTTACTCGAGTGGTCAGCTGCAGTGGCAAGATCTCAGCGACCTGAACCTTACGGAGCCCTGGGACCAAGGATACGACTTGCCATCCACCTTATTCCAATTCGACGACCTTAATCCCCCCAAGAACCCAGCAGACCAGCAAAATACCAGTTATGGAGAGGTCTCTGGAGACGATGACAAGCCAAGCAAGAGGACTCGTATCCCTCTCGAAGCTAAAAAATTGTTGGAAGCCAGCTTTGAGCAACACCGACACGATCCTTATCTGCAGAAGAATGACCTGAAAGAGCTTGCGGATGCTACAGGTCTATCACTACGTCAAGTTCGAACCTTCTTTGCAAATGCTAGAGTTCGGAAGTTGCCTCCAGTAACGTCGAGTTCTCCTTCAGCCGAGCCCGAGCAGAGTCCACTGCCAATTCCGGCCAACGACACGCAGACTTCACTTGCAAAGCGTAGACGACACTCCAAGCCGTCCAAGCCGAATAGCTCAGGACCATGTGCCGCTGTGCGCGTACCCCGACCATCCTCTCTGAAGCAACAAGATCCTATGCAGCGTTTCCTTTCGAGTTCACCGGAAGATGAAGGACTTTCAGAGGACGCCATTAGTAAAGCTGCTGCGTCCTTTTCGGACAAGAATACTGTTACTCGGCCACCGTTCTTAACGGGAGAGAATTCTACCAAGAGTGATGCAGTTTCAGTGGCCAATTCGGCGTTGAGCAGCAATTCTGGTTCCGGGTCTTCACTCGCAAGCGTTGATTCCGCAACCCATCGAGGGCCACGTCGAGGTCGCAAAAGGCAGCGAGATCAAACGACCAAAGAGCCAATAACGGTCATCAGACGTCCCTCCGACCCGTCGAAGATATACCAATGTAGCTTCTGTACGTCAGACTTCACACAGAAGTACGACTGGCGCCGCCACGAAGAATCTGTACACTTTCCTCAGAAAGAATGGATCTGTATGCCTGACGGCCCGGCTTACGACGATGACGATGGGACAGCACGTTGTGTCTTGTGCAACGAAGCTCTCCGACTGCCCTCACACTTCGAAACCCATAATTGTGCCAGTTGCCTTACAAACCCGCGTGCCGAACGTACCTTTACGCGCAAAGACAAGCTTCTCCAACATATCGCTCAGGTTCACAGGATCGTCCAATTCGAGAACGATAAAAAGCTTAATTGGTGTCGACCTATCCAACATAAGATCACAATCACTTGTGGCATTTGCGGTATACACCCCACCACTTGGGCAGAGCGCAGTGACCATCTCGCCAATCATTTCGCAGAGGGACATGGCATGCAATTTTGGATTGGCCCGCCCGGTGGGATCGTGGCAAACAACGGCGACACTCAACCTGAAGTTCAAGCTAACCAAAGCCATAGGGAAGATCTTCTCCAACAGAACCGCACCATGTGCCCGATCTGTCCAGAGGTCTTGCCAACGCACTTGGAGGCTTTATACCACAAGCGTGTGGCGCACAACTACTACTGCATCACGGATCAAACCCCTCCGTATAGCTGTCCAGCTCCAAGAGTAGCTACGCCGCCACCTAAGCCTCGCAATGATATGAGGCAGGTTAGTGACACAACCTTCACAGTCAGCACAAAGAAGCGGGTCGAAGACAAGAGCTCGCTGTCAACAAGCTGGAAGGAGGGTGATCCGAATTATGCATACACAGGTGGAGGCCCGACTACAGCTTTCATGCCGAACAACAGCCTCTACACGGCATCGGCCATGAACACTAGCACAGTCGGCAGCCAGCCCTCTACTAGAATGCCTTTCACGAAACCCTCCCACCTGGCCGCCCTCAAAGCCTCTCGCGGAGACGTCGAATATCCTACTCGAGGTGCCGATAGCTTTTCTCTCCCAACTCCTGGCTTCGTCGTCGCTACGCGGCGCAATCTCACACAGTGGAGGGGACAAGGGGGTGTGCCACAGAAATTAGTTGGAGAGAGTGGAGCACCGAAGGCGCCAAATTGGAAGGAAGGCACGGGGATGAGACTAGCGGGTGATGGGGAGGTAGGCAATGGTGGAGGGCCGAGTGGGAGTGGGAACGTGAAGGCGGTTTGGGGGCCATGGGGGCCGAAGTGAGGGTGTTTTCAAAGCGAGTATTGGGTTTCTTTTATGCACGGCCATTAGCAGTGTAGATGGGAGGGAATGCCTTACGATGTGATGAAGACCAAATGGTCATGATTTATGAATTGTAGAACGGCGTTTCGTAGATCTCTGTAGGGCTAGATCACGTGTATTCACGTGAAAGATGCCAAGAGAGTGAATTGTTTATGCCTTGGAGCCCGATCTCGAACTTTTACAACTTGATTTAATTCATCGTATGGTGATGGAGATGGCCCAGCCACTTTAAAGAACCCTTTCGTCTCATCTCCTCTCGACTCGGTAGTTGAGGGCCACGTGGGACCACATGGTATCTGTAAGAAAGAGTGACTTGTTTATGCCTTGACACTCGAACTCGATCTTGTACGAGTTTAATCCACTTGATGGAGATCATCCTTAGCATGATACTTCAGTATTTCGTCTCATCTTATATCGGCCAGGCCCGTGCTGAAATCTACGCACAGGGCCCACCGCCCAACGTCAACATTCACCACCAACCACCATTCCCCTCCCCAAAGAGCTCTCCAAGACACCACAATGCCGACCTCCGTTCGCTCGCTACTTAATTTAAGATGTATGCACTCTATCCCAGGTTCTATATACAAACCTAACAAATTGCCCTCTAGGATCGACGTCCCCCGCCGCCTCCGCCGTGCCATCCTCCTCAACGACCTTTCCCTCGTGAAGCGCATTGTACGCAACAACCCGACTTTTCTGCGCAATCCAGACTTTGGGGATAAGAGCAATACTAGTCTACACCTTGCGGCGAAGCAGGGGTTTAGGGAGATTGCTGTAGGTCAAGCTGTTTCCTGTATTCGATGGTGGGTTGGATAGGAACATGAGGGCCATTGAGGTACTCAGATGTAGTAGCTGACATCTACAACGCAGGAATTCCTCATCGACGCCGGCCACGAAGATGAAGGCGTAAGCCGCAACGGCGACTGGGAGACCCCCCTCATGCTCGCCGCGTCGTCCGGCAAAGCAGACGTCGGCGTGCTCCTCGTCGAGCGCTTCCCGGAATGCGTGCCGTGGGAGAATAAGGAGGGGATGGATGCCGTAAGGCCCCCTTCCCCAAGCCTTTCTTTACAAACTCTGGCTAATGACTTATTACAGCTCATGCTCGCCTCCCGCACCGGCACCCTCCCTCTCCTCCCCCCGCTCCTCCACACCTCCCCCACGATCATCTCCCACCACGACGCCTCTGGCAACACGGCCCTGCACCACGCCTCTGCCGCCGGCGAGCTCAAAGCCCTCCGCATGCTGCTGACCTACGGCGCGAACCCCCTCGCGCAGAACGCGTACTCGTGGACCCCGGTGCACTACTCCGCGACCCAGGCCGCGGAAGTATACTTCAAGAACCTCGTCGGGGAGTTCGAGAGGCAAAGGGTGGAACTTGGTAGGGAGAAGCGTGAGAGAGAGAGACAGAGATTGGGGGGGGTGAGGCTGGTGACGAGTGAGGACGCGATGGCGGGGATGAGGGGGGGCAGGGCGAGCTTGGATGATGGGGAGGTGCTGAAGCCGCCGAGTGTGGAGTGGAGTCCGGTAGAGAGTAGGAGGGCGATGACGCCGACGGCGAGGAGTGAGGGGTGGTTTGGGGGGAATGGGGGCCGGGCGAGGGCGAGTAGTGGGGATTAGGGGAGGAGGATGAGGGGGGTTGGTGAGGGGGCTGTGTGGTTGATTGATCGATTGATGATTAGCGTGCATTGTTGGCGTTTGGTATTGGTTATGGGTTGGGACGACGACGGTCAGAAAACATTTTCAGCATATCTGCATGGTTAGAGTATATCTTTTTTCGATTTCTTCTTTCCAGCATATCTTCGAAACGCGTTGTAGGGCATCCTTGCTGCCAATTTGCTTCCCACGGACAGCCAAATGAGAGCCCCCTACAACTGTTTGCTCGCATTCGCTTTCTCCCTTACACTGATGGATCCATTGACGTGGCACCGCTCACAAAGAACGTTTAGTTCGTCCATATCTCCAACAATCCGGTGTGGTTTAGTTGGCTATAATACCTGCGTGATCGCGTTGTCATCTCCACTCGGGGATGGCAGGAGACCTGAGTTCGATCCTCAGCGCCGGACACCTAATTCTTTTGAATCTCTATTTTTTGTCCGCCTAGTTTTGTTAAAGGGTGTTTAGATTAACGACTGGTGAATTGGGGGCTGCGCTAGTTGGTTTCTAGAATTAGTCAAAGAAAGCACACACGAGCCTAGATGGGGGGGCTTTTCAGGGCTCCTTGAACAAAAACGTGGCAATCTACGAAGCTGTGAATTTATTCCAGAGCCTTGCCGCGTCATTAACTTCTGCTCTCCGCTGTATGTACCTCGCTCCATCTTTATCATCTTTTGGTTTCTTCTCTCCAGCATCTTCGAAATGCGCCGCAGGGCCCTCTCGCCATCAGTTCGTTGCTAGATGCTTGGCCAGCCGATTGGAAACCTTCTACAAATGTACACTGATAGGTTCACCGCCATGACACCGCCTATAAAGCTGTCTAATCCGCTAAGGCCCTAATCCGGTGTGGTTTAGTTGGCTATAATACCTCTGCTGCGCTAGTACGGTTCGTTCAAAGTCCAGTATTCGCAGTGGGTCACCGTTTGCAGTTGGCGGCGGCGACAAGGGAGACCTGAGTTCGATCCTCAGCGCTGGACGCTTAATTCTTTTTGACTTTTGTTTTTATCCGCCTTGTGTAGAAGGGTGTCTGGAGTGAGAACTGGTGAATTAAAGACCGCTCTAGCAGGTTTCTAGAGCTTGTTAAAGGAAGCAGGCACTTGAGGGCCTGGATCGGGCGACCTCTCAGGGTTCATCGAACAAGAAGGGGTAGCCCACAAAGCTGTGAATCTTTCTAGAAATGTATGGACTTCAGATATACACTGATTGGAGGGTTGTGTGCACTTGCCTACCACCCCTTGAGGTCCTCTGGTACATTATTAGAAACTGTGAAAACAACAAATTAACAAACTTGGTAGCTCACTAGGCCGCCTGAGACGGTGTTTGACTGCTGTTTTATATTAGCAAAGTCTGAGAACCTTGCCGGCCCATCTCCTACTTGACGTTGTACATGCCTCATTCCCATTATATCTTTGTTGGGTTCTTCTCGTTTAGCTTCTGCAAGATAACCCGTGTGGAAGGAACGCGCAATTCATCCAAAGCTATAATAATCCGGTGTGGTTTAGTTGGTTATAATACCTCGCACTATGCTCTGCACATGGATACGTCCTTGATGTATCATAGTGCGGCGTCGTCACCAATTGGTAACGACGCCGTGAGGAGACCTGAGTTCGATCCTCAGCGCCGGACACGCGAGTCCCTTTTGGAGCTTTGTTTTTGCCCCCGCGGTTTGAGTTTGGAGAATTGGGTGTCTGCTGGTGACTTGGATATTCCTCATTGGGGGTTCGAGCTCGGCGGAGGGAAGGGAGGTCTCGACGGGCTGGATAGCGGTTGATTGGGTGTGAAAGGCTGGAGACAATATCAGATATACGTAGAGATCTGCTGACGAGGTAATCGTCGTTACGGGACCGCTGAAGCCGTGTCAGATTCATGGCGGCGACCGAACTGCTCCTCGTCCTTGTATCGACATAGGCGCCGATGGGAGTGTTGTTGTAAGCTCTGCGATAGGGTGGGAAAGGGGAGCTCTATTCTGCAATAGGCAAAGCGCAAAGAAGTTGCTGAAAGCGTGAAGGCCTAGAGAAGACCTGTCTAGTTAGAGCCACGGGCCGTCTACCGCCGTGACTTCCGTATTTGGCAACTCTTGGCAGCCGTGAGGGTTTTCAAAAAGTGTGGAGTACGCAACCCCCCCTCTAATTTTACGATTTGAGCAAATCTCTTCTCGAGAACTTCTTCAAAAATACTACTTAACCGTGCGATTTACGTCCCAGTGTCAAATTTGTGCTAGCATCCGTGGTTGTTGGGCTATCCACGAAGAAGCACAAGAACGGCCAGAGACTCGAAAATTTGGGTTCGGAGAGTTTGCTCCTTCTGGCAACGCTTGGCAGCCGGGAGGAGCAAAAAGGTGTAGAGCACCGCAGACCCCCCTCTAGCCCGGTGAGATGGTGCATTTACTTCTCTGAAACTTCTTCAAAAATACTATTGGACCTGGCGAGTCACCTCCTGGTGTTAGATTCGTGCTAGCATGTGTGGTTGTCGAACTAGCTGCGAAAAGGCTCAAATGCGGCGGTTGGCTCGAAAATTTGGATTCTGAGGCCCCTCTTCTTCTGGCAAGTCTTGGCGCCTGAGAGGACAAGAAAGGTGTAGAGTGCCGTAGACCCCCCTCTAGGCCGGTGAGATGAAGCTTTCACTTCTCCAAAACTTATTCAAAAATACTACTTAACTGTGCGATTAACGTCTGGGTGTCAGATCTTGCGTAGAACGCGTGGTTGTTGACCTACTCCCGAAAACAGTGAAACTTAGCGGTTAGCTCGAAAATTTGACTTCTGAGAGCTCTCCGCTTCTGGTAAGTCTTGGCGGCCAGGTAGACAGAAATCTGGCAAATTTAGCGTGGAGCACCGCACACCCCCCTCCAACACAACGAACTGGTCCTTTCACTTCTTTACAACTTCCTTAAAAATACTTCACAGCTAGGCAAAACACGTCCCCGTGTCAGATCCGTGATGCGAGGCGTTGTGGTTGAGTTATACGTGAAAAGCGTGCGGGAGGCTCGAAACCCCAGAATTTCTCTTCTCGCATTTTAGTATTGCCGCTACCGGACTTCGTCCTCTTCTGGCAACTCTTGGCGGCCGGGAGGCGCGAGGGCGGCTTCGAAAAGTGTGGAGTACGCAACCCCACCTCTAAAATGGAGACTTCACTTCTCTAAATTTTCCTCAAAAATACTCCTCCGCTAGGGGGATCCCCTCCTGTTGTCAAATTCGTGATGCGATGGGTGGTTGTGAAGCTATTCACTGTAAAGGTGCGGGAGGCTCAAACCCGTGAAAATCTCTCTTCTCGGCGACGGCAGAACGAACTTGCGAACCTTCTCTTTTGGCAACTCTTGGCAGCCGTGAGGAGCTCGATAAGTGTGGAGTCCTGCACACCCACCTCTGTGTTAATGAGTTGGACTGACCACCCCTTGAAAAGTTCTTTAAAAATACTATCAAACCGTGCGATTCACGTCCCGGTGTCAAATCCGTGATCCGGGGTGTGGTTGTGGAGCTATCCGTCAAAACGCTGCGGGAGGCTCAAAACCGTGAAAGTCTCTCTTCTCGGCGACGGCAGAACAAAGTTGCGAACCTCCTCTTCTGGCAACTCTTGGCAAGCCGCAAGGACGAGACAGGTGTGGAGTCCTGTACACCCACCGCTAACATGGTGACGTGGACAATATTCTTCTTGCAAGAGTTCCTTAAAAATACTATTTGACCGTGCGAATCACGTCCCAGTGTCGGATTCGAGATAGGAGGTGTGGTTGCTGAGCTATTCGCGAAAAGCTGGTCGAAGCTGGAAAGGTCGTAAAATTGCCGCCGAGCCTTAGAGCTGACTAAGACTGTGTTGTTGGTGTTGAGCCATCGGGCTTGGGTTCGAAGATAGCACCACCTTTTCGCACGCAGCTCAACGACCACAACTCGCAACATAGATCTGAAAGCAGGACATGTTTTCTCAAGAGCAAGGAGGATATAAAAGAAGGGCTTGGAAAGAAATTGTCAGAGGGGCTGGAAAAACCGGGGGGGGTCAGTGGATTGAGGCTAGGAAAGGGCGCGCGGCGAGCCGACAAGCTTGGGAACAAAACTCCTATCTCACCCTTACTCTTGGGAGACTACAGACGTCGTCCTGGACCTCCTGCTCCTTCCTTCCTCCCCTCATGCACCAACAAAACTCGACGAAACCTCCTTAGCACAGCCGAAGACACGAAACGAGACAAAGGGAGGATTTCGACTAGTCGGATGCGGGCTTGAGAACATAGCGAGAATGCAGAAAATGTTCTCTCGAGGACGAGGAGAGAGCGAGCATAACTTGAACCTTTACCTAGGAGAAGATACTTACAGGAGCGATGATGAGGATAAAGACCCAACGACTATTACAGAGGCTGGGGAGAATAAGATGATACTTAGGTAAAGGCCCCGGCAATCCGGCAGTCAAGTTCACCTTCAGTTCCAGCTCTAGACGCTCTATATACTGTTTAAGAAAACGTGGTTTCATATACTTACACAATTCTAATACTACATTGAGACGCTCTGCTATTAGCACCTAAGTCCGAGCAGACTAATCTCCTCGCGCGAAACGTGCCAACTTCCCTGAGTTCGCATTCCTGAGCGCATCCGATCGCAACCTTTCCGTAATCGTGATCCTCCACCTCTCTAGCTTCGCCCATCCGCCAACGAAGCGGTCCAAACTCCAGACCGCTGCGACGAGATGTCCATACTTCTGACCCCGCGCATCCTGTCCCTCCAAATTCATCGCGTCGAGCATCTCGAGCGTGTTCTCGTCGAAATCTACACCCCCGTTGTCCATATCCTGAATCAACTCCTCCACGTATTGCAAGTCTGCGTATTTTATCCAAGCCATCTTGATAAGCTCGTTGTAGAGGAGGGTACTAGCGCCGAGCACATACGCTCCGCGGCCGAGGGCTTTGACGGTCGGGATGAGATTGAGGGGTAGGGAGGAGTTTGGGAATTCCTGGCGGAGCTGACGGACGGCAGTGACGAGGAGGGAGGAAAAGTTGGGGCCGATGACGGAGAGACTGGCAGCAGTTGGTTCTACTTCTGTTGGTTCTGCTTCTGTTGGTATTGTGGGCGTGGAGCTCGTTTCCGCAGATTTCTTCCCCTTGGTCCTAGGCTTCTTCTTGCTTTTTGTTGCAGATGTCCCATCCAAATCAAGATTACGGATCAAAGTAAGCACTTCCCTATCCAGGATGTCCCAGAGCTCTGTGTCGGTCTTCGTAGCTGACAGCATTTCGGTGATCCTCTTGTACTGCTCTTCTTGTAGCTTCCGCAGCCCCTGGAGTCGGTGTGCGTCCTCTTGGTTCAGCTCGACCGTCCTTGAATCGAACTTCGGTACCATCGATCTCGCTTCTTTTGCAAAACTCAAGGCTTTGCTACGCTGCGCTCGTGCTTGTACGTTTTTATCCCTAGCTGACACGCTGTTCTGGAGAACATTTTGGAAGATGGTATCGAGAGGCTTTGGAGAGGCTTTGGATCCTTCTGAGGTCGTAGCTGCATCATCTTGAGATGCGGGGGCATTGCTCGATGCGCTTTGCCCAAGATTGTTATATAGCTTTAGGAAAGCCTTGCGTTCGGTGTCCGTGATGGTAGTTGGGCGCTGCCGGTGGAAAGCTACTTCCTCAATCGACGGTGGAAGGGTTTCGCCCGCGCTTTTTTCACCGTTAACCCAATCAAATGGGGTACCGGTAGAGTTAGATTCATGGCGGGGCGTACGAATACTGCGACATTGTTGGATCGTTGGCGTTTGATAGAGGAACGGCAGGAGTGTGGCAGGTTTCGCAGTGAGCTGTCGCTGAACACGCGGAGAAGACAAGGTCCGGAAGGTAGTCGTAGGCAAAGACATCAGATGAGAGGAAGGCTGAATTAGATATTGTACAAATACACATTCGTGAGCTGCGCAGAGAAAACAGAGGTCGTTTCTGGAGAAAACGACGTCTTGTCTTGTCTTGTCTTGGCACTAGTACTCTGTCCGTGCAAGCAATGACGCGCCGGGCGTACCTTCCATGTTCACCGCTGGTCTCACTTCAACCGCGTCCAACATGTGAAGGCAGGAGCAATGGGTTTGGAAGCACCTATACAACATGTCGCTACTCCGAATGGAGTCAAGCCGGAAAGCAAGAAGGCGCGGCCATCCATGGATCCGAACGTCCACAATGCGGTGCTCGGTTCACTGCTCATCAAACCTTGGTACCCGTCCTTCTACCCCGAGGAGCTGGTAGGGAGGGAGGTAGAAAGGCTATATATATGCCAATGGTGTTTCAAGTACTCAAAGGATCTCATTAATGAGTTCCTTGGTCACCTTGTATGTCACAATTCACCTCGTCTTAGCACTACTAGCTAACCTCCCCAGAAAGTTTGTCCTCTAAAAGATACCCCACCCCCCGGCGCAGCGATATACACCAAAGATGGCTATTCGCTGCACGAAATCGACGGCGAGGAGAATAAGCTCTATTGCCAGAACCTGTCGCTCTTCGCGAAGCTCTTCCTGGACACCAAATCTGTCTTCTACGACGTAACTACCTTCCTCTACTACCTCCTCGTCGCTCATGACCCAACGCCGCCCGTGCCTGTGACGATCCCTGGCATTCCAAATTCGGTCAACGGACAAGTGGTCGGCTTCTTCAGCAAGGAAAAGATGAGTTGGGACAACAATAACCTGGCGTGTATCCTGGTCTTCCCGCCCTGGCAGCAGAAAGGTCTTGGTCAAATCCTCATGGGAGCAAGCTATGAGCTCAGCAAGCGTGAAGGGAGGCTGGGAGGGCCGGAAAAACGTACGCTTAGACTCCTACTTCCACATGCAAAATAGTGGTGGATTCATGTATTAATTGTCTGTAGCTCTCTCTGAACTCGGCAAGCGTGGCTACCAGTCATACTGGTCTCACACAATCGCTCGCACGCTGCTCAGTGCACCGCAGAAGAAGACACTCACGGTCACGGATATTAGAGATCAGACGTATATCGTACAGGAAGACATCATCGCGACGTTACAGGCGATGCAGGTATTGGACCGCAAGAAACGGGGTGGAGCTGAAGCCGTGATTAACAAGGCTAAGGTGAGGGCGTGGGCGACTGAGAACAAAGTCGATTTGAACCCACCTGTGGATGTGGAGGGTTTCGTAGAAATGGAAGAGGAGGAAGAGGAAGAGAAATGATGCTTATGTTTGAAGACTATGGAACGCTCGAGCGCTCTGTCACAGGCCCACAAAAACACTGGCAGGACATTCGGAGAGAAGCAATCAGGCGTTCACCTCACGAGCGCAAGGCTCCCTTAGACACTTATTACGAAAACTTTATACCCCCAATACCATTTCATTTCCCATTCCGATCGACCTTCTATATAATCAATGCCACATGCCAGCGCCATCAGACTTGCTCCCCTTCATATATCTCAACTTTACTAGAAGTGGCACTTCTCTCTCTGTCTGATTGTTACTCCCATTACTCCATCCCAACTATTTTGCCTAATTCACAAGCCCTGTCAATAAGATCCCAAACCAACTCCATATCGCCCAGACTAGCTCTCTTTACCACCTCTTAGTGCCCCATAGCATAGCCTTTTCCCCGCGCTTGATTTGGGGCGTCTTGCAATAACATGGCAAAAGTGAGTGCAGGCTGCACACACTAGCATCCGTATAATACACGCAACGTAGAGGAATTCGCTATAACCTCCACCAATAATAGCCACCCTTTCGTTCGTCTTTCTCACGAACTTCAAAACCCATCAGCTAGTTCAACAGATGTAAAGGTATGTATTCTGGTTTGAACAGTAGCCCGCTTTGTGGCCCCTCGCCTTCAATGTTTTCGGCAACAGGTCCACGTTCTCGCTCCAACATGTACACCGTAGGGGTCTGATGATTTCTATGTTCATTTTCAGGTAAGCACGCCCTTTTGAGAGCATGTACCGGTTGTGTAGGGCCTTTCACTCTTTGTTTTATTAGGCAGTCTTGGTAGAAGAAGTCCCACTTGCACTAGGCTCTGGGTTGAAGTTGTGACCAAAGCACATTTTCGATGAAGTATATCTACTGGCTATAGGCCGATCGTCTTTTCTACATATGTTTTGAGGGAGTAGAGTAAAGGGGCCAGGAAGAGGGGCGGTGGTGGCTATGAACAGATGTGTTCCGGCTGTGTAGACGCTTTTGGACCTGTGTTTCGCAGAGTAGACCGTTTCGCGAGTACTCTCGGCGCGTGTGGTCGTGTTTTCACCCATCTTTCTTACAAGTGTCACTGAATAGAATACCTAAAATGGTCAGGGAGATTGTATATCATTAAGGCCCTCGCAATTCTTCTATGCATTGATGTCCGCCGCCACTATCAGCGCGGAACTTGTCTGCTACAAGACCATGGGATAGTATCGTACACCCACCTCCATCCCGCCGATCCAGCCCCAGGCCCAACTCTATAGCCCGTCATAGTCTCCAGCAGCCTCATCTTCATCAATATCGCCATCCTGGATCTCCTTGGCAAGTTCCCTCTCACGCTCCCTCGCCTCTTGCGCGTTCTTTAGCTCCAGACGGTGCTGGTTCATGGGATACCTCATTGCCTTAACACACTCGTCATGTAGCGACAAGCATGCGCGGATGCGGTCATGGAAGGCTTCGCCGGGCTCGCGAGTGGCATAAACATCCCCCGCTTGCTTGGTCTGCATATAGCCCTTCTCGTGGTCGATAGTGGCCTCTATGACGCCGTCACGGATAGCCTTAGCGACGATGTATTCTGCCGACTCCTCGCTTTCAAGTCCAAGTCGGATGCAGATATCGCGGAGCGAGATTCGGGAGTAGGAGAGAGACAGCATGCGAATGCCAGTTTTGATGACGTTTTGGCGGAGACGAAGGATCAAGGTGTAGGTTCCGTCGCGGTGGAAAACAGAAGAGTATGTCTGTACGACCTTCAGGAAGCCCTGGAGATCGCCGACTCTGACGGCCTGGACAAGGCGGAAATACGGCTCCAGTGCGCTCTCGAGGTTCGGCTGGCTGAACACGGCGCGATCAGGGATATCACCCATAAGGAGCTCAACCACAATGAGCAGTTTCGTCGACGCCTGGTAGAAGCCTGAAGCCACGGCATTGGTTGGCGATTTTCGGGTTGCGCTGATTAGATGTTCGTGCGCTTCCGTGTACGCCAGCTGGATTGCTCGTATGCGTCCAAGGTAGAACAGGTAACGGGCAACCTGGTTGTTGGGAGCAGTCGAAGGAAACTGAGTCTGCGCCACCAACAGATCGGCTTGTGTGATATCGGCGGTCGAGATGTAGTTCCGTAGGAGGAGAGTCGTCACGGCAGCCTGAGTGTCCTGGTCCTTACGGAGCACTGAGCTGCGCAACGCCGCGAGAAGCTTACCACGGATAGATATGACGGGCGATTGCTTGGATGGAGGCTTGGGATCTAGTTCCTCGTGGAATAGAGAGAAGTAGAAGTAGGACTTTGCGGCAAGGGAGTCGAGCGTTCTTCGGTTGAGTTCGCGGATCTTGTCTACTAGAGTCGACGAGAATTCGGCGCCATCTTCAAACTCCTTGGCATCATAGAGATAGACCTGTTTGATGTGTTAATTCCTGCGCTCAACAAAATGTCGAAAAGGCGCCTACCTGGATCAAGATGGCTATGTAGACATCAATCTCCGGGATGACCTCCTTCGGATTTCCCTTCAGAATCGCCAGCTCTTCCTTGTATTGGGAGACAACGCGACCTATCTCCTCGCCATCTAGCCCGGTTGCCTCGATCAAAATGCGGGCTGTTGGGTTACTCGGAAGATATGTCAACACTATGACAGAGCATAGGATGCGGGCGTCCAAAGTTTTACGGATGGACGATATCGACCGAAGGGCGCGGAGCGTGAAACGACTATCGAACTGAGCAACAGCGCGCTCTAGGAGAGCGAAGTTGCTGCGGATATCCTTGACGGGCTGATCGGGCTTGACGGCGGGTTGATCGACCTCCATGGTGTCGACCGCCATGCTGGACGAGAAAGAAACGGAGCTGGCCCGGGTGATGTTGAACAAATGGAAGAGCTGGAGTTCGATGTGACAGAGACGGTGGAGGTGGTTGGGGCTAGGCGTGATGTGTTCAGGCAGTCGAGCTCGAGCTGGCGATGATGAGGCAAGCACGAGTGCCAAGCACGGGGATGGATTAACTTCATTCACCGAACCTATTTGTTGACAGTCGAATCTCAACCTCACTCTTCTGCGCGTTATATACCCTCTCCTCCAATTGGAGCTTCCAAACTTTCATGTCCGCTATGACTCTCCTCGACGCTCATCTCGAGCAGATTTCTTTCTGCGCCGCATCAATTGCGGAGCTCCCGTATGCGTCCAATCCCAACTTTCGACCCCTCCTTCTAACGCGTAAATAGATTTCCTCCGCCAAAGATATTCACAAACGCCTTACTTCATCCGCACGATATCACGACGCTTATACGAGATACTGAGTTACACGAACGCGCTCTCTTCTCCGTTCCGCCCCCTCCAGCTCAAGCAAAGGCGCAGGACCCATCTGCAAGCTCGAGCCGCCGAAACACTATTTTCAACCCGAATGGAGGAAGCACTAGTATCACAGGTGGTGGTGCAAACGCCGTTAGAGCACCACGGAGAAATACTGCCGTAGCAGCTGTGTTGGGAACAGAGCTCGTTGAAAGAATACGGAGAGGAGGAGGTGGTGGTGCTGGAACTGGACTCGGATATAGGACCTTTGATGGCACAAATCGAAATGACGTTGACGTGGAAGTCTTGTTAGAAGGGGCAGAGAAGCTATGTGGCGTATAGTAAGCATCAATTAGCCATCACGTACCCGCTAATCTAACTATCGAGTAGTCCAATCCCAGGCGCAAGAGAAAAGATAGCGGCATTGCGCCAACGGCATAGACGCCTCGAGGCTTCCATTGAGAGCTATGAGATCCGAGTAGCCGAACAGAATGCGCAGTTGAGCCGGATGAACAGACCTCGCGACTTCGACGACGAGCCTGAGGAGGAGGAACCTGAATTAGAGGCACCGCCTGGGATAGTAGTCACTGAAGAAGACCTAAGGAGAGAAGAGGAGGAGATCCGAGAGCTAGAGCGGAAGAAACAAGGGCTGGAAGATAGGGTGAACTCTATGGGGAGAGATATCACTGGAGTGCTCCGGTAATCCGTGGAGCAAATAGAGCTATCAAACTACAACCTTCCAAGTTGTAACTACCACCCGTGGCCTTCAGAACGAGCCTCTCACTTCATAATGGGTCTTACAGATTAGAAGTGAGTTTGAGTGATCCTGAGCACGGTTTTCGGTCCACTAATACATGAGTGCAAAGATACAACCATGCCGCTGATTCAAATGGAGCCTTTCGACTACGAGGCCGCCTCCGTGGAAGTCCTGAGTCGGTACGACTTGGTGATGTTTCTGGTTGGAGTGGGAGATGATCGAGATGTTGTGGCGGAGGTCTGAGGGATGTCATATGGTTGAGCCTCAATTCCTCTTTTACTTGGTCTAGTTGTTATACATCACGGCTCTTCTAGGATATGTACGATGAAATAGATCGATGTAGTAAGCATGGTTAACAAGCGGAAAACTCCCGCTATTGCGGGAAAGTTCCGCTGATATCGATCTGGAGATCTGACTGTATCTTTCTATCAACGCTTCTCACTGCTCTAAAGTCTATCCGAACCCTATTGCTTCTTTGTTTATCGAGAGTACTTTCATAATGATCGACTTTACTCTCACTATAGAACAGACTGCCCTTCGCAATGGCGCTCGGGCTTTCGCGCAGAATGTCCTAGCTGGTGCTCCCTCAGTCTACAGTCAGCTTCCAGATCAAGCAGCGCGTTTCCGATCGACTCGCCCCATTTATCGCAAAGCTGTCGAGGCAGGATTCATTGCGGGACAGATTCCCGCACCGCTCGGGGGAACCGCTGGCAGTCTCATCAACGCAGCAATCTTGGTGGAGGAGCTTTATGCAGTAGAGCCAAGTGCCTCGTTGACTATTCTTGGAACGGGGCTGGGCCTTACCCCACTACTATTAGGAGGCAGTCAAGAGCAACATGCACGTCTGCTGAAGCCATTCTTGAGTGGAGAAGGCGAGCCTCTGGCAAGTTTAGTGCATTCAGAGCCAGGAGGAACAGCAAATTGGCTAGAGCAAGGGTCGCCCGGCTTGCAAACAACGGCAAGGAAAGAGGGAAATGAATGGGTCATCAATGGGGAAAAGGTCTCCAGATCTCCCCCTTCTAAGTGATGTTGAACCTTCGCTCACATCCAATGTAGCTCTGGACTACCAATAGTGGTGGCTGGGACGGCAAAGGAGCAGACCTTCAGTGCGTTGTCTGTCGTCATTCGCAATTCAATCAGCTTCAGGATCCCAACAGCGATCCAGCTACCTCGATTCTCATTCTCGTTGTCACATCCGCTGAGATCGCAAACAACAAGCCAGCCGCGTTCGTCGTTCTGGGTGACCCCGAACTCGCAGGCCACAAAGCAGCGTCAGGACCTCATTCTCGCTTCACAGAATTCCGGGTACCAGAGAAGAATCTCCTTGCGCCGCCAGGCTCTGGCGCCGAGCTTGTTGAGAAAACGTTTGGTTCTAGTGCCGCTCTTGTCGGTGCCATGGCTATTGGTATCATGCGTGCTGCCTTCGATGCCGCTTTAGCCTTTGCGAAATCAGACACCAGAGGTGGCACAGCTCCGATCTTGTATCGGCAGAGTGTTGCGGATCTATTGATTGATATCAAGATGCGCGTCGAAGCTGGGAGGGCGCTGACTTGGAAGGCGCTGAGCTGTTTGGAGAAAGGGCCAGGTGGGTTTGAAGCGAGGCTAGAGATCGCGCTTGAGGCAAAAATCTGGTGTTCTGATCAAGCAGTGAAATGTGTTATGGACGCTATGAAGACCGTTGGGATGTGAGTATGAATTGGTTGGTCGTGCTACCAACCCCGCTAATCTTTTCGATAGGACTGCCTATGCTAGTGACCAGCCATTCTCTAGGCTGCTGGAGGATGCGGCTTGCTTGCCGTTATTTGACGGAGGAAATGTGGGCATTCGACGACGCCAGATAGAGAAGATCTTCCAAAGGGACGATTACTCGCCTTGGGCAGCGACTTATGAGTAGCCCAATCTGGCTCTTCTGGAAGACACAAGTCTTAGCTGCCGGGTGATATATAATGTGGTCTAATGTGGGTGGTATTCATATATCTCTATAGTTCAAGTTTGGTCAATGACATCATCGCGTCGCAACTTTCATGTGACAGCCGCGAACATCCATCATCGTTTGTTTTCCACTCCGCATCACTCCGCAACTCTATTGCTTCACATCAGCTACTCTGTCGCGAACCTCAATTGTAAATTGATATAACTTGTCTTTCAGAATTCAATCAATTGCAACAATGGAGAATCCAGGTAAGCATTTCCTTTTTTGTGGGGTTCGTGTTTACAGGGTCCCTCGCCAAATGCACCTCTTCCTTTCCATCCTGTAGGCTTTCATGCTGACTCTTGCTACAGTCGACGAAATCTCCGGAGTGATCCACAGTCTTACCCAAGACCCGACGCCACAGCAAATGGGCACGATAGAAAATTACTTCACACCTAACGCCACCTTCACTCATCCTTTCTGTCGTACTCTCACTAGCAATTCAAAGACTCAGATCATCTATATTTACCGCTGGTATAAGATCATGAGCCCCAATATCGACATCACTATCAAGTCTGTTGGTACGTTTTCTGTCCAATTTCCTTGGCTAGACAAATGCTCTAGGGAGTATTCCTCGCGGCTTCGGTTTACACTTATTACCTTCAACCATTGTTCAGTTCATCACGTGATCTCAATGTCTTACCGCATACTGGCCAGACTACCATTCAGTGACTTATCTAACTGTACTCCAGCCTTCGACAAACAGAATCTAACCCTCTATGTCTCGATATCACAAGTCTTCAAGCTGTTCATCATTCCATTCTACAAAGCTCCAGTGTCTCTCGTCACTCTCTTACAGCTCGAGCGCCGCGACAAGAAGTACTACATCGCCAATCAAAACGACCTATACCAGACGGACGAATTTGTCAAATTCGTGGCGCCATGGGGAGGGGCTCTCCTAGTGCAACTGTGGCAGCTAATGGCCACGCTATTCTGCGTGCTTGGTGTGTGGCTTCTTTGGCCGTTGGGTGTGTTGTTTGACCTTGTCGTACGGCCAGAAGGCACGCAGAAGGTTGTCGGAGGGAGGGGAAAAGCAAAGGAGCTAGAACAAGAAATAAGGGAATCCTAGAGCAGAGTATTGTAGGAGAGCGCAGATTGGGAAATTGGTTGACTTTCAAAAGCTGTGGTAATGATCAATGCCTTTCACCAACCTTATGCCTTCGTCACGATTAGGTACACTATTTATAACCTTGACGCTCAACCTTTACTTTCTTTCGTCTCTTTATATTTCTCAGAATTCAGTCATCAGATTTTAGTGTCTCCTCGACACTCATTTGTGCTGTTACCAAAGCATGTTGGAGATTTCGGCATCTAAGAGTCCATCGCGATCGAAGTTGAGAAGGACGATGAGCGCAAGACGGACGCCCCAAAGGCTGATGGAAACAACAGGAACATCGCGAAGGTTGAGGAAGATAAGATAGACGCCGCAAAGACTGGCTCGGAGTGAAGAGCGGCGACGACGTCACATGGACTCTTTGCGGTGTGGTTTCTCCGTTTGTTCATGCTTTTTGGGTATCCTTGCACCCACGTAGGTCTCATACACCACATTCTAGACACGCAAGCACGCGCTGTCAGGTCTTAATCCAAGCTTCTCAACATATCATGTCTTATTATTTCTTTATTTACTCTTTTTTCTCTCGGTCTCTGATACCAAAACACCGACTTCCATCAAAGTAGCTCTCCATTCTCTATCATATACGGTACTAAGTCATAAGTTTGGGTACAGGGAAATACCACTGCTCGGACTGCGCTCTTTTCCGGTCGACAACACTGTGAGAGGTACCCCGATGAGCAGATAGCTGGCCAGTCTAAAGGTAGCCTGATTTCCACTGCATCAAACTTTACATTGTGTTCCCATTACAATATCAGGCCATAGGTTCGGACACGTCAATGTCCCACTGATCGGACTCAACGCCTGCTTGCTCGACACCACTGTAAGGCGTTCCCCAGCTAGCAGGCGGCTAGTCAGTCAAAAGGCAACCTAATTCCCACAGCATCGACCATAACCAAAATGTGCATCATCCACACCAGCGAAGCCGCCGACTGCGGCCACACCGTCGAAGAAGACTCCCACCTCTGCCGCGCCGCCCGCCGCAACCACGACCTGGAATGCGACCCGCCCACCCGCATCGTCGAAGGCAGCGTCCCGGGCCTATGCCGCGTCTGCCGCGAAGCGAACATGGACCGCCGTGACATGGCCGACACAGCCCGCGTCATCGAGGCCTCGCGCCGCGCCGCCGCTGCTAAGGAAGACGAGCGCCTCCGCTCCACCCTCGAAGCATCACGCCGCCAACCCCCCGAGCGCTGGGAAGCAGACCTGCAAACCGTCCTTGAGCGCTCCAGGCGCGAAGTGCCGCCCGCAGGCTGGGACGGCGACATTGATGCTGTACTCGCCGCCTCCCGCGCGGACTTCGAGGCACAGGAGGCGGAGCGGGAGGCGCGGGAGGTCGAGATGCTGACCGCGGCGTCGATGAGGGAGTGGTCGGAGCAACTAGCACGTGCGCCGACGGAGTATTACCGCTTCAGTGTGAAGTTTGCGTGCGGGCATACGGTCGATATGGGCGCGTCGAAGATCGAGAGGCAGCCGGGGGCGCCGGGGCCGGGGTATTTTGAGCAGGATGATCCGTTTGAGTGTCCGGATTGTCAGGGGCGGGGCGGGTCGAGTATGGGGCCGGCGGCGAGATGGGAGGCACTGAGTAGACCGAGGCCGGAGAAGAAGAGAGAGGAGGGGGGGAGTGTGGCGAGCAGTCAGGTGCCGGTTGCGAGGAGTCAGGCGATGAGCCAGGCGATGAGAAATGTGAATGAGTTCGAGGATCTAGCACCGGGGAGCAAGGGTAAGGGGAGGATGGATACGGCGAGTGTGGCGAGGAGTGAGAAACCGGCGGCATTACCATCATCCTCACCGGGAGTTGGAGGGTTGACGAAGCAGATGGGGAAGATGGGTATTGAGAAACCGAAGCCGTTAGAGCATGTCTTACCTTCGGCTGAGCAGATGCGCCAGAAACGTCTCGCTCACCTCGGGACAATGCCAAAGGCTCCAAGTAAGAAAGGCCAGTCTATTTCTCAGACTAGAGAAGCTGCCTCTACGCGTGGCCAAAATACCTCTCAAGTGCAGAGCTCCACTTCCGGGCGTAGAGAATCCAAGTCTCAGATAGGCGCCGCAAGTCCAAAGACTACAGCAAGCCCCAGGAGCCCGTTGAATCCAGCGTTCAAGAAATCCACGGAGACAAAACCGCAGGAACCTGTGTTGCCTCCGGCAGAGAAGATGCGGCAGCAACATCTCGCCCATCTGGGCGCATCACAGCAGCCTTCGAAATCGAAGAGATATTCGGCTTCACGAACTGGAGATAATTCCTCTGTACGCGGTCAAGCTGTTCCTCGACAGCAAGATACTGCCTCGGTACGTGGGCAGTCTAGCTCACAGGTTGGTACATCAAGTTCAAGAACTGTGGTAGGAAGCTCTAGTAGTCCGCTAGGTCCGATGGCCAAGAAACCCACGGAAACAAAGAAGCCTGTCGAAGCAAAGAAGGCCATAGAAGCGAAGAAAGAGACGGGACCCGTTTTGACTCCCACAGAGAAAATGCGCCAGCAGCGTCTCGCGAACCTAGCCGGGTTGCAACAGACTTCAAGTCAGAGAGGGGAGTCTGCCTCACGAGTTGAGGATTCTTCGTCGATGCGTGGCGCCTCACAACGAAATGACTCCAATTTTATGCGTGGGCAACATGGCTCGCAGGCAGGGACGGTAGGTCCAAGGACGGTAGTGGGCTCTCAGGGTTCGCAAAGTTCGACGGCCAAGAGGCCTACAGAACAGAAGAACCCCGCTGCGGCCACAAAACCTGTGGATATCAAGCCTGCAGTGTCTAAGCCTGTAGCAGCCAGTCAAGCCACAGATAATAGGAGTATAGTGAGCAAGGCTCCGGAGCCAGTCAAAGAAGCTGAGGAGGAAAAAGACTCTGAATCCGAACCAGAGCCCGAGGACCCTGATTACGTTCGTCAGCAGCGCCTGGCACGCTTCAAGTAGACTGCGAGGTGAAATTGAAGGGGATGAAATGTAAGTTAGTGATATAGCTGCAGGAATGGGCTGGTAGATTTTAATTTGAAATGAAAAGGAAGATCAGCAGTGAAAGTTGAGTAGTGATCGTAGAAAGTCATATGAAACCTGCCTGGCCCGCTTGATATAGGGTTTCACGACACATAAAATGTTCCCACAGGGATATAGCGTCGCGGAGGCTAGATGTCTACGATATCGGTGGGAACGAAGGAGGCCGATCTAGTGGCAGTTTCGAGTACGGCATCGACTGTGCATTTCTCTACTACTAAAGTGACTAGAGATTCTTAAACAATACGCGAGCTAACTTCGTAGAGACGAATCGCGCTGCGAATGGGGGTCTTGTCCCCTCTGGGCACAATAAGTGAATTGTGGGATAGCAACGAGATGCTCTGATCAAGAGGCAGTAATGGTCGGCTTGGAGCTAGTTGCTGCAAGGTATATGGTATGCCATAGAGATAAGAAATAAATGTGTTGTTCTCGATGCTGAATAGGTACTAGGTGTTGAGGATGGCATGAAGTGAAGCTTGAGATCGCGAGAAACGTCAATGCTCTGCCGAGCCCCTGTCCATTCACCCGCTAAACCGCCTTCGTTCTTATGAGACACAACGTCAGTCGGAGTCATGAGGCATTTTGATGAGTAAAAGGCCACAGAGACCTCAGTATGTTCTGCTAATGTTCACCTAATGAGACTGGTTCTCGCATAGGAAAGTATATGGTGCTTGAAAGTGTGACGTCGTCTCCGCACACTCACATAGCAAGTACCCTGTGGAAACAGTTCGCCAGTCGAGTATCACTGATGGCACACGAAACACCAATCCTAGTGACCTAGAGCGGAACGAAATCACCTACGTTAGCAATCATAGCTACATGTAAGCAGACTAGAAGATAAGGTAATCTAACCCCGCAGTAGTAATGCACTCCTCTCTAACTTTGGAACACAAGCTTTCCACCAAGCTTTCCCCGCCTCCTCGCATTAAGTTGGGACCAGAATGCAAGCTAGGTTTTAGTGGTCCGATAAAAGAGCGGAATGAAAGCGATAGTGGCAATCTGACATAGATAAAGAGGAGGTATAAGTGTTGATTCATTCCTTCATCTCCATTACACACTACATGAATATTCTCGGTTCATCCAAAAGACTAGTACAATCATCAAAACACTTTCTTCAACCATCACGAATTTATCAGTCCAGAATGTCCACGATGAAAGCAGCCACGATGTCGGCCCCTGGCGGCCCTGAAGTTCTCAAAATCACCACCCTACCCATTCCCACTCCTAAAACCGGCGAAGTCCTTATCCACGTCCACGCTCGCGGTCTCAATCGCTCAGAGTTATTCACCCGTCAAGGCCACTCTCCAGGAATCCAGTTTCCACGCGTCCTAGGTATCGAAGCCGTGGGTGAGGTCCTCTCCGCCCCAGGTAGCACGTTCAAAAAAGGTGATGTCGTTGCCACTGCTATGGGTGGCATGGGGCGGCAGTTCGATGGCGGCTATGCGGAATACACGTGCGTATCTGCGACGCAGGTGCAGAAGATTGATGCGGAGGTGGGAGAGGGGAAGAAAGTCAGTTGGGAGGTGTTAGGCGCGGTGCCAGAGATGCTGCAGACGGCGTATGGGTCGTTGTTCCGGGCACTGAGGCTGAAGAAGGGGGAGAAGTTGCTTGTGAGGGGTGGTACGACGAGTGTGGGACTTGCGGCGGCTGCGATTGCCAGGAATTTCGGGGCGGAGGTAATGAGCACGTCGAGGAGTAAGAGTCGGAATGGGTTGCTGAAGGAGAGTGGTGCTACCCAGGTGGTGGTTGATGGGGGAAGTGTGGCTGAAGACGTTAAGAAGATCTGGCCTGAGGGTGCGGATAAAGTGTTGGAGTTGATTGGAGTGACGACGCTTGAGGACTCCATGGCATGCGTTAAAGAGGGAGGCGTGGTTTGTATGACCGGGATTGTGGGGAATAAATGGTCCTACGAAGACTTCAACCCCATGGAGAAGATCCCGACTGCGGTATATCTGACCACGTACTCTGGAGGGCCAGATGAGTTCATGGACACACCTCTAAACGATTTAGTACAGCAGATTGCAGATGGGAAGTTGAAAGTACAACTCGGAACGGTATTCAAGCTCGATGATATCGCCGCAGCTCACACGCTAATGGAGGAGAACAAGGCCGGTGGAAAGGTTGTAGTTGTAAATTAGACCGTATCTGCGCTTACCTCATGCAATGCAAAGCGATACTTTCTTTTAAGAATTCCATGTCGCATTCTGCAACACCGCCCTCCACCCATCCGGATCCTCAAAAGTATTCCCTTGCACGTCCCAATACGGGTTGAAACTTGGCACCGCCCCAAACCCAGCCTTTTCCATTCGCGAAACTGCTTCTTTCCACTCACTTTTGTCCGGCAGATAGAAAACCAGTAGGGTCTCTTGCGTCGGAGCTCGTCCCGCGTCATGGCCATCTTTTGTCGTGATTTCAAGATGGTATGGTGCCCCAGGATGTCCAAGCATGACGCCGTCGAACCCGGCGTGAGCGGTGAAGGATGATAAGATAGTGAAACCGAGACCTTCGGTATAGAATGGAAGGATTGTTGAAATGTTGTTCGTTGGGCGAGCTATGCGGAGATGGGATTTTGATGTTGGTGGTGCGGGAGGACTTTTGGACGCTGACGATGGAGGTGTCGACGATGCCATGATCTTACAGTTTTGATGATTATAGCTTCTGAGTTGTGTTGCAAGAGTTTCGTGGTGATTTCTGACAATGGGCCTGCCATACCGCTCGTATATAGTTTAACTCGAGGTCTTACAAATCCGAAGAATCTAGATCTTTGCCAATTGCATTCCTCTGTCGTATACGTACTGAGTCATGTGGGCCTTGAATGTCGAGTCTTCTTCACACTTTTCGATACGCAACTCTGATTCTTAATGTTACAGGATGCTTTTTAGTTTTCTCGACCGTCCCGCCTCATCTTTTCATCGCCTCGAATTCCTTCTTCACCTCATCCAAAAGACCCTTGCGCGTCAAAACATCTATCGCCGTCGCCGCCAACCCCTTCCCAACTTTCAAGGCGAGATCAAATGCCTCTCGCGTTCCAGAAACTTCCGTAAATTCAGGGCTGTGCGGGCCACTCCCTATATTTCCCGGCCGGATCCAAAACCCAGGACTCAAGCTCGGCATGGCATAGCTGATATTGCCTTGGTCCGTACTTGCCATCGTCCTATGTTCGATCTCGTCTATATCAGCTGTTGGGATAGCTCCACCCAGTCGGTTGAAAAAGTGGCGATAGGACCTTCCCAGCGCGCGATTCGGGACATGGTCGTCATAAGACTGCTCGAAAGTGGACTTCAAAGTCGCACCCGTCGCCGCTGCTCCAGCTTCGAAGCATGCATCGACTTTCTTTTTCAGCACCGCCAAACGATCGCGTGTGTTTGCGCGGGCGATGAAGACACCGGCGGCGTACGCGTGGATGATATTAGGTGCCAGTCCACCATCCGTGATATGTCCTTGGATTATATCTCCCGGCATCGTTTGCTGCCGGAGCACAGAGAGCCCATTATACGCAGTAATGAGGGCATCTAGAGCATTGATTCCCAGCCACGGACTAGCCGCCGCATGTGCTTCAAGACCGAAGTACTCGACTTTGAAGCGGGTGTACGCAGCTGTACGGATGAGAGCGCCATCGTTGACGATTCCAGGATGCGAAATCAAGTTGATGTCGCATTTGTAGTCCTTGTATGCACCGGCGTTAAGAAGCTTGATCTTGCCGCCTCCACCTGTGTTCATTTGAGCTTCTGGCACGTAAATTTGCGTGGCTTTGGAGGTGAATGAGGTACCTTCTTCCGCTGGAGTCCCAAAAAGAACCACCTTTCCAGGTATGTGATACGCTTCCATACACTCCGCGGTTGCTAGAGCTCCTGATAAAGAGGCCATAGCGATGAGATTGTGGCCGCAAGCATGGCCAATGCCCGGGAGAGCATCTGCCTCTTTCATTAGCATTACATCTCAGAGAGTAGTGGAACCCGTTACCCATCTCAGCATTGAAAGAAACGACTGGTCCCTTCTTTCCACTATCATACACCGCGACAAATGCAGTTTCGAGTCCATATGCTGAGCGCGTTACTTTCCATCCTTTCCTCGTTTCCAGAAATCCCGTAAGTGCTGCATGTGCAATCTTCTCCTGGTAGCCAAGCTCTGGGTTATCATGAATCTTTTTGTTGATGGGCCAGAGAGTGTCCGCAATGCCGTCAATGTAGGAGCTAAGAGAGTCGAGGTGATCTTGCTCAGCCGGCACGTCCATCGCCGCATCCTTCATCTCCACCACAACAAACTCATCAGCTTCCATCCTCATTGTCATTCCTCCTATTCAACAAGCCTTTCAGGTGAGAATTCGATCGCAATGAGATGCATAGATCCTGCATGTTTGAGCAGCGGTCGGCTCCGTCCATGGTGATTCGTACTACACCCCCGCATCATGAACCTGACCTTCGGATCGATGAAGCCGATCGCCATCTCCAACACGGGAGCATGCCGTCTTATCATCGCAACTAAATATTGCGAAGAGTGGGATCATGGCCGAAAACACTTAATGCTCCCCATTTTTTCCCCGGCGTATGGGTCCTTATCACGACGGCTTACGGCTGTTAGACAGGACTCAAAAATACATATAAACGCGCATTCCGGGATCCCTTGCTGCCTTCCACGTGGAAACCCATATTGAAAAGAGCTTGGAAACTTGGGGTCTCGTAGCTGCGGGTATTAGCTGAATATCACCTCTGCGAAATTTCAACCGAAGTCGACCATGGACGAAGTCAAGACGTCCCATGGAACTCACGGCCAGAGCGGCGAGATTGAGAAAGACGTCGCAAAAGTGGACACCATCAACCTCGAGAAGTCAACTCTTCACATTGACGATGAGGCCGGAGACCTTGCAGCCCAGGCTCTCGCCAGCGGGCGCTTGGACGAGGCTGCGTCGAAGAAAGTCCTCAGGAAGATTGATCTCTACATTCTCCCATTCCTCTGCATTACGTACGCCCTCCAATTCATCGACAAGACTTCGCTAGGCTACTCGAGTGTCTATGGAATCTTCAAAGATACCCACCTCGTCGGCCAGGACTACTCCTGGGCGAGCTCAATATTCTACTTTGGATACCTCATCTCAGAGTATCCTGGTGTAGCCATCATCCAGCGATTCCCGGTCGCGAAGTTCCTCGCCGCAAACATCATCCTCTGGGGCGCTGTATTGATGACAACGGCCGAATGCCATTCTTTCGCTGGTCTTGCTACAGTTCGATTCTTTTTGGGTGTTACCGAAGCTACCATTTCGCCGGGTTTCGTGGCCATCACTGGGATATGGTGGACGCGACAGGAGCAAGCCGGCCGCTCCGCTCTCTGGATATCCTTCCTCGGCGTTGGATCTCTTTTCGGCGGCCTTATTGCATTCGGAATCGGCCATATTACCGGTAGTCTCTCGCCCTGGAAGTACATCTACCTCATCCTCGGTGCTGTAACTATGAGTTGGGGTGTTTTATTCTTCTTTGTCGTTCCAGATAGCCCGACGCAAGTTAAATGGCTCACTCAGGAAGAGAAGATTATCGCTGTGCAGCGTGTCATTGGGAATAAAACCGGCACAAAGTCTCGGACCTTCGTCAAAGCGCAAGTAATCGAGGCCGTCACAGATCCTAAGATCATCGTGCTGGGTCTGATATCGTTCGTCAATGCTCTTGCATCTGGCGGGCTTTCATTTGGATCCTTGATCATCGCCGGGTTCGGATTCAGTCCCATTGAAACGACGCTGATGAATATGCCTCTTGGAGCCGTTCAGACAGTCGCCCAGCTGACTGCCGGCTATCTCTGTACGAAGATTAAGAGCTCCCGTTTGATCATTGCTTCAATCGCTATGGTACCACCAGTAAGCCTCACGCCCACGAAGAACAGTCTCCAGTCAGAGTAATTCTAACAGCGGCAGATCATTGGTACTTGTCTCATCAACCAGCTTCATTCAACGAACAAGTGGGGCCGGCTTGTCGGTGTCTGGCTTCTAGGCTCCTACCCTGTCGGCTTCATGGTGATTCTAGGCCTCCTAAGCACCAACATTGCTGGCTCCACAAAGCGTTCCGTAGCGTCGGGCTGGGTTTTCGTCTGCTATTGCGTTGGCCAGATCTCAGGACCCCAGTTCTTCAAGAACTCCCAAAAACCAGCGTATCATAGTGGTATCGTGGCTATGCTCTGCGGTTTTGTGTTGAACTTAGTGCTCAACCAAGTTTTGCGCGTCTTGTATGTTCGCGAGAATGCTAAGAGGGATAAGATGATTGAAGGGAAGGGTGAGGAGGAGCTTGCGGAGTTGCAGATGGAGAGTAATATCAAGGGGTTTGAAAATACGACGGATTCGCAGAACGTAAGTGGAATGAATGGCAGAGCTTCATATCCTTATGCTAACCTTGCTTTTAGATGATGTTTCGGTATGTCTTGTAGGATTCTAGGCTGTGGGAATCTTGAACAAATAGTATTATACTCCTCGATTGCAATGCCAAGTGATGTACGACTATGAGTACTAAATGTTCAAATCGCCTTTGAATAACCTGTTGGTGATGACGGGTGGATGGAGGACTTCTGTGCCACATAAAAGGAGACTTGGGATGGTTATATTAGCGCGTAGCTAGACTCACATACGAAATGAGGAGCACGTAAGGAATAGCTGTAGTGACTCGTAGCGTTACTCTTCTTGTTCGCAGAGCTTCTAAGTTATCACCTCCCTCTCGACGACTCGGCCGGCGTCCTCAGACCTGCGAGAACTTCTCCCTGTGGCCATACGTTTTATGCGCCGGCGAAAAGCAAGTCGTTATCTTGTCATTTGCACCCCTCCGTTACCCAGTACCCCTATCTACCCGTGACATCGGGGTACTAATTGGGCACGATCTGCCACATGTCCCAAGGACTCCGCTCTTTGAGCCACTGCCAATCCACTACCGAGTACACTTCGAAAGGCGCTTCGTGCATCCAGTCATGAACCAAAACCTCGATTGGCAAATACAGCCTTGTCTTTGGAAAATTCTCATTCTCCTCGGCCGTTTTCCGCAACAAATCCAGTCCCTGCTCTTCCCTCGCCGCACGAGGTCCCCGATAGCAATGAACCCTAATCTCCAGCTCACGTAATCCCGGTAACATCGGCAGCATGTCGTGGATAGTTTTCCAACTGTCCTTCGGAGCCCCTAACGAGGGCAACTTCAGATCAAGGTGAAAAGCCCTCACTTCCTCACGATTCTCCGGCGTAAGCCCACCCACGAATCGCTCCACGGCGTAAGGCGACCGGAAACTGAAGATATTTGAGGAGTAGAGAAATTCAATAGCTTCGGCGTACACTTCTCGACAAGTGCGCAGCAGCTGCGGCGATACCCGGTCGCCTCCATAGTCGTACTTCGCGGTGTCGCATTTCCATTCGCGCTGCCAGGAACTCATCCCGCGCTCGGGGTAAGTAGCGAAGCCTGGGCAGGAAGCGCAGGTGCAGCGGGTATGGCGTACGATCTGATTTCCGTGTCTAAGAACAATGTGGATGTTTGAATGTCCGAGAACCAGTTTATAGATTTCTTGGCGAAGCTCAATTGGGAGGCGGAAGAGGGGAGATTGAGGCTGGGGTGTTGGCTCTTTGGATAACAATGATGGCGAAGTGTGTGCTTGAATAGAGATGTTCTTATTTTCATCGGACTTTGCTCGGTTTGGAGACTCATTCTTTTTACCACTGGAGAATAGCCGCCGAATTGGATTGACAGTTTTGCGGGCCACGGCTCGGTAAGAGGATATCTGGAGGTCTTCAGGAGCCCACCCTCCTATGCCTGTGTGCTGCCTATCGTAGTCCCGACGGGTCTCAACTGAGTGATCGAGCCGCATTGCTCCTGGGAAGGGAAATTGATGGAAGGATGGTAGGCGGCAAGGGCAGGCAGCGCTCATAAAAGGAGGTGTAACAGTAAGCGTGGCGGAGCGGAGTAGAATATGTGGTCCGAGAATACGAGGAGCGATAGTCAGAGGGGAAGCGGATCAAGACAAGGTGTGTAGCCAAAGGTGTGTTGATGATGGTGAGGAAGCTAGCTATTGAGCGGAAGGACGAAAGATATAGTTAACGTTAACTAACTAGTTAACTACTTCGTACAGGAAGCTGCTGAGTAAGCCAATAGCTAGGAAGGGGCCGACAACGAATGCGTATTTTTGAGCTACCACCCAACGAGGACGGACAACATTCACACATCTGTGCAGGTGCACCACAACTCAGAATAAATTCTCGCTTAGCTGAAAAGACACATTTTTACACGCTTTAGAGTATAATTTAGAGTAGTTGTGGGCGTCGGCTTTCAAAGTCGTTGTTGTGGTGTTCTCTCAACCCTAAGAAACGAACCTACTCTTCGTAGAATAGCCCTGTCAAACACGGCGGCACATGATACTCTTTGTAGAATAACCCTCTCAAACATGGCAGCGCATGATGTAAGCCAAGAAACGGTACAAGGCTTAGCAGGAGTGAGCGAGTCATAAATAATTCCGACCTAAACTCTGTGCTTCACTCGCCAGCGTTAGGGTAATGCAGAGCAGGTAGGGATTACGAAGTTTTGATTGTTTGCTATGTACAGCTTCCTCTCACGGCTGCTCGTTACAGCAATAATAAGAGAGCCACAGGGGGGCGACGTGAGAGCTGTCCCCCACCCAGAATAATAGAGAAAATAGCCAGCACACGCAATTGTCGATTTCCAAATGGTGCGATATTGAACAACGGCCAATTTATACACCTCTACGTATTTAGTTTTCAAAGATAGGCTTCTGTTGTCGAGCTGTGGAGGGTGGAAGAGTCGTCTTGGGTGGGTCCGCCCATACAAAATCGTCCGCGGAGCTAGGGGGGGGACAGCTCTCGCGTCGCCCCCTGTGGAGCTCAACTAGAGTCTGTAGCCTCCAAAGGTTTTATGAGACAGCTACTAGATGCCGCGGTGGAGTTCTCACGGCTTCGAGAATTGGTCGAAGAACTTCATGATAATGTCACTGGCCTGGATATGAGTCGGACCCTCTCCAACAGAAATCTGGGAAAAATTGATCTCGGTGGAAGCCCAGCAATGACCTGAAGGTGGTGCAAGTTAGCTACATATGTTCTTCGAAACGAGGGTTCAAGAACACGTACCCATGTCGTCAACTTTCCAGTGCTGTAAAGTCTCAAGTCCATCGCACGTCCAAGTAATATGATGGACATCGCCGTTGAAGCTATCATCCTGCTCCACGCTTGTACAACCATTCCGTTCAGCCCACCAACTCAGCCTAGGTCTCATTAGCATCGCCACCGTACAGTTTAACAAGGTCGCGAAGCACTTGGAACGATCTAAGGTTGGTGTAGGTTCGGAGACACTCACCAGTCAGGAATTGCCGGTTCATCCCCGCCTTCGCCTTCCCCGCCTTCGTAATGAACGCTTTTGTCGCTGCCACCATGGATCTCCAGAAGAGGAAGCGGGCTACTCGCTGGCTTGCATTCATCGTGGTGTTCATCGTTGTCAGTGTAGTAAGACCCTGACGCTGGAGCGAAAGCGGCAAATTCTCCTCCAACTTCGTTACAGGCAATGGTGTTTACAAATCCGCCTCCGTTGGACATGCTTCACTCGGTCAGTTAAGCAGCAGAGATGACGAGAGACTACCGTCGATATGAGAGTTGTAAGGACAAGACGTACCCAGTCGCATAAATTCGGTCGTTGTCAATGCAGTATCCGCCCCTGATTTCGTCGAGTAGGTCGGCCACAAACTGCAAGTCTTCTGCCACGGAGACCTTTGAGTAGTTGGCTCCAGCCCACGCACCCTAATTTCGTCAATACGGGCATGTCGAGTGCCATAGCATGTGTGCAAAGCGTGACGCACCCCGATACCGTCCGGGTAAACCATGATTTTCTGGAACATCGCTGATAATTAGCAGCGTTTTTCTCTCCACCGCAAGGGACCACGCTTCTTACATTACCACTGAACCGACTCTCACTCATTTTGGTATCTGCCTCAAAGAACAGACCCACGCTGTCAGATCCATGAAAGCCGAGGACGAGAGGATATGGTTTCGACTTTTGGTAATTGACCGGAAGATGGATCGAATACTTCCGATCGCGGCCACTGCTCTTGAAGCCGAAATACTGCGTGATGCCGTTAAAGTAGTGAGTTTTGCCGCATCCCTTCGTTCCCGATGCTGCTGCGCGTTGTGGGGAAGTCGCCGGCGATGCATGAGTAGCTGCGGCTATGCACGCCACAGCGACGGCGGCAAGGTTGAGGCGCATGATGATATGGGCAGTGGGCACACTTTACGATGCTGGAAGTGACGTGTCAAGAATGCCGTGTCAAGATATTAGGAGGCATGAGGGTTAGTCTTGAGCAGCGAAGGAAAAGCTCTTTCTGCGCCTCTGAGGGTAGTTGTGGTGGGCGCGGCCTTGTGATACTCCTATCCTCCCTGCTCAAGAGGGAGTGGCAAATCCTCGCCCGAAGAGGCATGTCGGGAGCAGTAAATTGATTCGGTGGTTGTACTTGAAAGGGGCGAAGCGTCCGAAATGCCATTGGCGGCCATTTAATGAGGCCTGTGTCGTCCAAACCCATGTGTGCTGTGACTTGTCTACCTTGAATAGTGCTTGGACGCAGTCTATGCCTCTTTGATTACTTCATTACCGCATGTTCAATGAAAGATGTAGGAGATTTAACGAAATCCACAAGTTAGTGGCCCGCACAAGCTAGTGGCCCACCCAACCACGCTACCGAGGCCAAATATTCCGAATTACTCCACCACGAACAAATATATTTGATGCAGCTACATACTAGCTAGCTGCCTGCCGCCTAGGGCACGTACGTGCATTGTGTTCTGTTGATTCGCACATGCTGCACCTAGGTTTTGCTCGCTGTGGCCGCTCGGCCGGTGGCTCTGCTGCCTCCTCTGCTGCCCCTTCCTGTACAGGTTGTGCACGATCGGCTGCTTCTTCACCTGATAGAATACCCT